GATGTCTGTATACAGGCAGTTTTGTGGGCGTGGTGGTGGTTGATGGGGTGGCCGACTCGCTTACGTGGCCGACTCGCTTACCGATTACGTTAGTTGCGCGCTGTTATTGGCTTTCCGGGTCTCGTATTCCATCCATGCCATCTACTATGGGAGAAGGCTGGACTCCACTCAGTATTTACTCTTCAATATACCATGAATATAACAGTGACTTGATCTGATATGGTAGCACGCAGTAAGGGCTGCGCACTCTGCGTGCAACGTCGAGTCAGGGTTAGTATGCTTCCTTCGAGATACAATAGCATCCACTAACCGTTATAGTGCGACCAACGGCAGCCTGGATGCGCGAAATGCGAGGCCTATGGGAAGCCCTGTCCCGGATATGGGCCTCGCTTCAAGTTCGTTGCCGGGAAGCCATATCGCTCTCAGCGCCGTCTAAAGTCAACCTCCGAACAGAATGGCTCATCCCCGGACTCACTTGCACTGGTCGACTCCCGGACTGTGCTTCAACTTACAGGCGAGCCGGGCAGCTGCTCGTCCATCGCCCCGGCTGCTATGAATGTGACACAGTGCCTCGACATTCTGATTCAGGAAATCTCCAAGCCGTTTCCTGTAACCTCGGGGCATGTTACTTCTCGCTTGTTCGGTTCGCTCCCCACGGTTTATGGACGCAATAGGACCTTGGATTCGACAATAAGGTCCTTTACAGCGCATCACATTGGCAATATGACGAGTGATAAGCGAGCAGTGCAATACGCGAGACAGGTGTATATTGAGTCTCTGTATCGGTTGCGGGTTTCATTGAACAACCCCCGTGAATGCTATTCGTCCGAAGTGTTCTGCGCTGTAATGATTCTGTGCCTATACGAGGTGAGTCGCATGTCATCTTCCGTCACAGCAAGTCTAATAATCAGAAGCTGTTTACCAATACCCACGAGACGGATGCCTGGATGAAACATGCCAAAGGGTTGAGTCAGCTGGTGGAGCTGAGAGGAGCAGCTCGTTTCCAGAGTGACTTCGACCATGTGCTTCTCAAAGCCTCCCGAGGTTTGATCGTGATGTACTCTCTCTTTTCGGGCGAACGTTGCTTCCTAGCTTCGAATGAATGGCATACCGTGATGATACAGCACCCGAATACAGGCTTGGGCGCTGATCTTGCGCGCCTGGTCGAACAATTCTTCGTCTTCTTCACTTTCGCACCTAGTCTCGTGCACCAGCTATACGACCTCAAAGATGCAGATCATACTCAGCCGGACATAGTCGCAAAAGCGGATGAGTTGCTCGCTCGCGCCTTAGCCATGCAGCGGAAGCTGCTCGCATGGTTCGCCGAGTTCTCCGCAGTCACGCCAGTCCCAGTTGAAACTCGATCTTCGACAGGTGATGCGCGCTTTCCAATCGTGCTCTATTACTCAGATGAAAGCTCCGCATCTATGTTCTGCGGATATTACTCTTACATGGTCATTATACACGAGATATTGAGGGTCTGTGGATATCCTGGCCAGCACGCTACCACCGTTGTTTATTTCCGGGACCAGATCTGCATGTCGGTTGAGTATAATGCCCGGGGCCTGCTGGGTCCGAACCGCATGGGCTTCCCGTTCAAAGTAGCCTGGGAAGTTGCCGATCCTGCCACTAAGGCTTGGATTCAGGTTTGCTTGGAAAGGCTCTCGAATGTCTACGCAGCCGTGCATCCACAGAACCTCGGATGAGACGAACATAATTCTACACTAAGGCAGATGACATTGGTACCTCAATCACGGCTTCAAACTAGTGACATTAAATACCATCATGCTGGCTATTGCTCTTCAGGCTTCTGAGTCAGTCCGAGCTTGGGTCACAGGCCAGAAGGGCTCTGCTACGGCACGAGCCAACAGCAGAATGATAACAACGAAAACCTCCATCACTAGTCCCATGCCCACCATGATACCCTCGCTGCCGTCCATTGGGCTGAACTTCTGTGGCCCAAACTCCCCTAGCAGGAAAAATGCCACTCTGACCATTAGAAAAGGAAGAGCGCCCATCACAATCAACACACAGCTTAGTCCGGCAGCTGAGAGAATGGAACGGTAGACAACCGCCAGCCACATCACAAGGCCACACACGAACCAGAATGTGGCGACGAACACGGCTGCTCCTGCATACATGCAGTCACGAATGCCAGTACACTCCCCCACTACCACCACGTCTAAGGAAAGTATGACTGGAAATCTGAAGAAATGCAGGAGAAATCGGATATGCTTGGGGTAACGGGAATTGCCGGGGCCAGTGCGACCTGCTTGTCCACTAAAGCACGGTAGCGCTGTCAGTCCTGTGCATGTCTGATCTTCCATATGTCTACTCAGCATACCTTCGGAGGAGCACGAGGCTCACTTCAAACAACAGAGGCGAAAGACCAATGCTTTCCAGGACGGATTCTGCTATGAGCATCGGCTGGTTTGGACTGGGGTTTGAGATCACCATGGCCGAACCGGCGATTCGGACTGGAACAACTGGGTTAGTGTCTGCTGTAGGCACAGGGCGATGTACGTACTCTGGGCCAATAGGCCTAGAAGCCCCCACCAGGAATAGAAGAAGCACCGTGCAGGTCGCTTCCGTTGTCTATGGTGCCAGTAGAGCCATTCCTGGTTATACCGCATGATAAATTGGGCCAGCTGGATGACTGAGAAGATGACAACTTCAACCATGGCAATGTATTTCTTTCCTGGAGAGATGAAGGCAGTGTTGGTGTCATCGTGAGACATCTTATGAATTGGCTACTAGGTCAAGGTGGAAGCAATGAAGTATAAAGGTGTTCGAGGTATAGAACAGTTTCAGGACATGGTAGTGCAGACGCAACAATGGCGCATTCGACCAGGCTATATATACTGGATCCATCTTGACTAAACAGCTCAGTCCTCCCTCTCATCATAAAGAGCTTCTTCGGTCTGTGTGAATGCTCAGGTAGCATAGCCATGGCCTTCCTCGTGCTTGGTGGAGAGCTCGCGATAAGTGACCCATTTGGGGTTAGCGCATACTGTCATGTTCGTCTACTAGAAACCCTGCGAAGTCTCCAGTCGGCTACGCTCGGAGCTGTCTGCCGGCGGCGACACATTGTGCCTGTGCGCATGCTATCATGCCTCTTGGAATGAGTCACAAGCTTACTTAACCGAGTGCAAATTCAGTCGAAATTTGCATTTTAGATGGGAAGGCTGATGCCAATCTTCAGAGAACTCGGTCGACTCTGAAGTAGCTCGGAGCTTCCATTCTTCCTGGTCGTTTCCTCTCGATGACCGGAAGCATTTGACCAGACTACTAATTAGTAAGAATGAAGACTGTTGACATCCATGATGATTTCTACACCCAGAGAATGCTTCTTCAGCTCCTCGTATACAGCTCCTTGCCTCAGGCCATCTACCTCGGCGCTTGTACTGTACATCACAAGCATACTGCAACATGATTGGCTCTGAGAACGTGACCTAGCCCCTCCCCCAAAGCGGTAAGGCTCATGCCTGTGGTGTCAATACTTACTGCCAACCTTCCTCCGTTTCTCCTCCGCTGCATTTGAAATCCATTGACTATCCATTTCCAACCCATTCCTGCGTCGCTCTCTTCGGGCATTCATGCCTCACCCCTCCCTTTGATATCCCCGTATACCTCGCTCCCCAATTGACCTCTTGACCTTTCTTTCCATTATTTTCGTCATGTTTCGCTCCGCAGCTCGAGTTGTCGCCCGCGCGCCCGCTGTCCCAGCCCGTGGCGCGGCCAGCAGACGATTGATAAACACTTCTCCCATTGACACCAAACCGAGGACTTGGAAGGGCAGCATCTTTCGTCTGGGTTTGGCCGCTGGTGCAATCTACTACTACAACACCAGTCCCGTCTTTGCGCAAGATCCGAAATGTACGTCTTGTCCGCTGTTCCGACAATTTTCTCCCAAAGCTTGCTTGGTCATCGTTCCGGCGGGATCAGTTCAGAGCTCTGAGTCGTCACTTTGAGAATTGGGAAGAGTTTGAAGTTGGTTAACAATGTGCACACAGTCTCTTTCCGCTCTCAACCTCAGCCTAATGTTGTCGCCGAAGAACCTTTCCCGACTCTCGACTCCGTGAAGCCCAAGATCCGTGAGCAGAAGGCTCCCACCCCCAGTGCTACGCCTGCCGCACCCCAGCCACCTTCCGAACCCACCCAGATCGATCCCGCGGAGCTTGAGGAACAGGCCGGTCACGAAGCTGCGTTCAATGAGGAGACTGGCGAGATCAATTGGGACTGCCCGTGCCTCGGTGGAATGGCCCACGGGCCTTGCGGAGAGGACTTCAGGGCTGCTTTCAGCTGCTTTGTCTTCTCTACTGAGGAGCCCAAGGGAATTGACTGCATTGATAAGTTCCAGTATGGAAGGCTTTCTTCCGTCGAGTTCGGCTCGTCACTAACGGTACCCTAGGGCCATGCAAAACTGCTTCAGACAATACCCTGAAGTCTACGGTGCGGAGCTGGAAGACGATGAGGTCCCCGCTGAGGGACACACCGCCCCTGCCGCTTCTGGCGACGAGCAGCCCGTGAGCGCTGCTCAGATCGACGCTTCCTCTACCCCCGATGAGAAGCACGCCCACGCCAAGGAGGTCAGCGCCGAGACGAAGTCGCAGCTCGCGGAGAAGGGCGAGCTTCCCGAGAGCGACGAGCTGCTTCCCAAGGCCTGGCACAACACGGAGGCCAAGAACGAGGCCCCCGAGCACCAGAAGTAAGCGATTCGACCTATGAGTCTGTCATTATGCGAGATCACGAATCGGGATTGCAGCAAAGACATCGGCTGGGTGTGAAGTGAACGACCAAAGAGAGAAGAGTCACCGATAAGCGGGATCGGGCTGTGTATCATTATATGAATGTGTTTCTATATCTTATACCCCTACCCTCTCTTCCTTGTTCTCGTTCGCTTCCTGCGTGCATCGGCCTTGTCATCAGCTGGCCGCTCCAGCCATCCCGTCGTCCAATTCTGCCCATTATTGGGAATTGACGTTGCCCGTTCTCTTGTCATGTGTTCTGGAAACCACGCGTTATGCACCATCTCCTACTCATATCTTTTCTTTTTTTGTGTTGAGTACCTGTATCTAAAATCACTGTACTTGTATGATTTTCTTGTGTTGATGGTTATTTAGCAATTCCGGAAGAGAGAGACGGCATGGAATAGAGATAGATTACTGATTGGTTACTTTGTGATCTAGCTGAATGAGATGTTTCCAAATTGTGCCTCATCTCTTGAATTGTCTTGTGTTTGGATAGAAACTAGAGTGCAGTAAGGAATCATTCTCACCAAACTTAGAGCCTCAAGCAACCCCCCATATCTGTCTTATTCTCTACCACTCGAATAGTACCACGATGAAGAAAGTGTGCTTAGAAGTCAAAACTTTGCTTCTATCCACATAATCTGAAACCTGATTTATAGTGCGGGATATTTTGTCCATCGACGGACGAATCCGAGTCCCGCCGGGCAAAATACATTATAGACCTAATCAGGACTAGCGCGTCTGCGTCGCGTCTTCCCCCACGCGTCAAGTCCCTCTATCAACCATCTAGACCAACCAACCAATTCAAGCAAATCAGATGGAGATAGCGCCATCTTAAAGTCCACTATCTCAATCTCTTTCTTCTCCTCCAGTGTACCCCATTGTCCCATCCTACAATAATCCAACCAACCAACCCAACTATCCCAATTAGATGACGACTTCCCCTCCACCGATCCCCTCCTCATTCGACCCAGCCATCCACCTTCACTCCGACCCCGACCTAGACTCCGACCCAGCCTTCCTCGAATTCGAACACCAACAACAACCCAACCATTACCACTACCAGCAACAACAGCAGCAGCAGCAGCAACAGCACCCACTCTCCCAAACCTTCTCCGACGACCTCGAGGCATTGCACCTGCAACGCCAGGACCAGGCGCGCAACAGGGTTGTCATCCAGCACCGCGCGTGGAATCTCTCGGATGTGTTCCGGAGCGACGAGGACATAAGGCCCGGTAATTACTTTCTTTTTTCTTTCTTCCTTGCCCTGCGACGCTGTTGCTTGAGCAATTGAGCGATATAGTTATTTTTTTGGTGGAAGAACGGTTGGGATTGATTCGTTTGCTAAAGACGAGCGTCTCGGAGATAATAGACACCCCCTCGAAGAAGAGAAGGTTGATCGATTCGCCTGCTTGGTTGCCCTCATCGCCGCCGACTGTTCATAGGATGCCGTTTATTTCGTCGCCCGCTGGGGCTGGAGCTGGGGGTGCTGGTGGTCAGGGTCATGGTGTTGGGGAGGGAGGGGTGGAGTCGCCTCCTCCTCATTCTGCGAGTGCGCTTGCGCGGGTGGAGATGCAGACGCAGAAGAGGAAGGTTGAGGATGGCGGGAATGCTGCTGCTGAGGTTAAGCGGCCGAGGATGATGGGTGGATTTTTGGATGAGGATGAGGAGGAGGATGATGCGGTCGATGATGATGAGATGGAGGCGTTTCGGGATGCGCAGATGGATGCCGGGGAGGGTCTTGGGGCTTGGGACGCCGCGCCTGCTGGGCCGTCGTCGGTGAAGCGGTTCGAGACGCAGTGGCAGGAGCAGCCAACCAAAACTGCCGAGTCCAAGGGGCCGAAAATCATGGGTGGGTTCTTGGATGATGACGACGACGACGATAATGACGAGGATGGGCTGGAAGCGCTACACGATGCGCAGTTCAAGTCTCAGTTCGAGATGCAGGAGCAGATCATCGAGCAGCCGCCTGTCGAATTACCTGCCATCCCGCGGCCGTCGCAGATTGCTCCGCAGCCGCAGCCGGAGCCGAGTAGCTCATTGCTGACGACGATGGCTCTGCCCTCGCGCCGACAAACAAGGTCGATCCAGATCAAGACCTGCTCCGGCAAGACGCATCATGTTGGTCTCAAGAAACCGGCAAGTAAGGTGTCTTACGAAAGATTGATAGCAGGCCGTTCAACTACTGCTCCTGGTCGAGCGCAGAAAGCTTACTATGGTATCGATATCCATCGGCTCCTTGACGAAGCTGCGAAAGAGGACATCGCTTCGCAGGAGGCCAGGTCGCGACCTACGCATACAGTACAGCCGTCGATCGAGCCCTCGCTTGATGCTGGCCACGGCAAGGCTAGTAAGCATGCCAAGGCGATGTGGACTGAGAAGTACCGCGCACGCAAATTCACGGAGTTGATTGGTGATGAGCGCACGCATCGACATGTTCTACGGTGGCTGAAGGGATGGGAGCCCATTGTCTTTCCCAACCTGGGCAGGTCGAAACCGAAGAAACCCATGCGAAACGATAAAGACGACGAAGAGCCGGCACACCGAAAAGTCCTGCTTCTGTGCGGCCCTCCTGGACTCGGAAAGACCACTCTCGCGCATGTCTGTGCTCGACAGGCGGGCTACGAGGTGCTCGAGATCAACGCTAGTGACGACCGGAGCAGAGATGTCGTCAAGGGTCGAATCAGGGACTCCCTCGGCACGGAGAACGTCAAGGGGATGAATGTCGAAGTCGGCGAGGACAAGGTACGCAAGGCTGGTCGGCCGGTTTGTGTGGTTGTGGATGAAGTGGACGGAGTCGTGAGCGGATCTGGTGGTAGTGGCGAGGGCGGCTTCATGAAGGCCTTGATTGACCTTGTGATGCTGGATCAAAAGAACTCCGCACGGAACGCCGAGAAGAACTCAAACCCTGGCAGGAAGAAGAAGGGTGACAACTTCCGCTTCTTACGTCCTCTTATCCTCGTCTGTAACGATGTCTACCACCCCAGTCTACGCCCGCTGAGAACAGCTTCCATTGCTGAGATTATTCATGTGCGTCAAGCACCGTTGGAAAATGTCGTTGCACGGATGAAAAAAGTGTTTACCATTGAAGGCATTCCAGCCGACAACGATGGCGTGAGACGTCTCTGTGAGGCATCCTGGGGCATTGCCAGGAGAAAGCAGATGGGCGTCAAAAGTAGTGGAACAGCTGAAGGTGACATCCGAAGTGTGCTCGTCGCGGCCGAGTGGGTGGCTCATAAGCTCCGGAGCGAATGTCCATCCACACTGAGGTTGACACGAAGCTGGCTGGAGCAGAAAGTCCTCAACGACAAGACAGGTGGTGGGTCGTTCTTCAAAGGCCTCAATCGCGGTGGAGTACGAGACCTCGTTGAGAGAGTCTTTACGGAAGGGGCTGGATTCGCCGACGCCCCCGTGGGTGTGGATTCCTTCCGAGACCCCTACGACGACTCTGCCAAAGTACCAGTCGGCGTTGCAGACTTGCGCAAGCGCCATGCAATCAACCGCCTTCGCGAGATGGTCGACGCCAGCGGCGAGCATGACCGCTGCGTGTCGGAGTGCTTTTCATCCTATCCCTTACAAACCTATCAAGACGACACCTTCCTCTCCAAACCCAACACAGCCTACGAATGGCTGCACTTCCACGACACCATCTCCTCTAAGGTCTTCTCTCACCAAGACTGGGAACTGAGCGCATACCTAAGCCAGCCCGTCCTGGCCTTCCACCATCTCTTCGCCTCGGCTCAGGGCAAAGCCAAAGCGCCCACGGACGCCGACAAAGACGCCACAGAAGAAGAGCACCCTTTCTCCGGGCCCATAGCCGACTTCGCCGCCTACGAAGCCCAGAAGCAGAACCGGGCCCTCCTCACCGAATTCCAATCTTCCTTCTCGGCACCGCTGAGCCGCCTCTTCCGCTCCACGGACTCCCTAGTCATCGACCTCATCCCCAACCTCATCAAGATGCTCTCCCCGGACGTGAAGCCCGTCGTCGTCCGCGGCAGCGGCGAGCAGAGGAGCGTGGCCAGCGTCCGCAAGGAGAGCGAGAGGGTCCTCGTGCAGGCCGCCGTGCGCGTCATGGCCGGTCTCGGCGTGCGATTCGAGAAAGTGCGCGTCGAGGGCGTAGGCGGTGCTCACGGTGGATGGGCCTATCGAATGGAACCGTACGTCCTTCTCTCCTTTCCAACCCTTCCCCCCCTCCTCCCTCTCCTCACAATAACTAACCTACCCCCAAAAAAAGACCCCTAGACACACTCATCACCTTCTCCCAACCCAAATCCGCCACCAACCCCAGCTCCTCCGCCGCCGCCCCCGTCCGCTACGCCGTCCGCCAAGTCCTCGACCAAGAATACCGCAAAGAGACCGCCCTCAAGAAATCCACCGACGGTCTCAAACTCGCCGGCAGCAAGACCACCCAGAAATCCTCCGCCGATACCGCGACATCCAAGAAATCCTTCAACGGCTTCAAGGATGGCGTTGCGGTCAAGCGCGACTTCTTTGGCCGGATCATTGAAGACAAGCCTGTCTCGCAAGCGGGCGAGGTCGACGAGGCGCAACGGAAGAACGCTGCCGCCGCGGCTCAGCAGACCGAGATGTCCATTAAGGCGGGGAGACGCGTTTGGGTGACGTATCATGATGGGTTTTCGAATGCGGTGCGGAAGCCGATTTCGATGGCGGAGTTGTTGGCTGATCTTTAGGTTTGAGCTTGCTTTGGGGGAGTAATGATTGTATGAAGGTTTTGAATTCGTGTATATATTGGTGTTAGTGGGTGGTTATATGTATGGGTAATGGTTGTAGTGGGATGGATGAATAGATCGAGCTAGATCTTACTTGTGCCCTTTATCTAGAAGTATTCCTTGGGGTGATGGTAGCTGAAACTATGCTGCTATTGGTATATACCTCGCCTAGCCACCACGTGCACATCTCATCTAATCACATCGTAAACCAGAAGAAGCATAAAACAAAGAAAAAAAAAAGGAATCATGATACAATGCCAAGCCAGACGTAATAAAAACAAACTCACAAACATATAAAATCCTCACCGACAACCCTAACTCAAGATCTAAACCTGCCCCTTCAACTTCTCCGTCAACTCCGGCACCTTCTCAAACAGATCCCCGATGAGCCCAACATCCGCAACCTGGAAGATCGGCGCATCGGCATCCTTATTGATCGCCGCGATGACCTTACTATCCTTCATACCAGCCAAATGCTGAATAGCCCCGGAGATACCGGCGCACAGGTACAGCTGGGGAGCAACGTTCTTGCCCGTCTGGCCGACCTGCAGACTGTTATCGGCGAAGCCGCTGTCGACGGCAGCGCGCGAGGCCCCGATGGCGGCGCCCAGCGTGTCGGCCAGCGGCACGATCACGCGGTCGAACTCCTCCTTCGACTTCAGGCCCCGTCCGCCCGACACCACCCGCGTCGCCGTCGCCAGGTCCGGCCGCTCCGACTTCGCCAGCTCCTCCGAGACCCATTCCGTTTGTGCCGGTGTCTTCGGGTCGCTGCCTTCGGTTACGGATGCGCTGCCGCCCGTGGTTTCCACGCCTTGGAACGAGGTGCCTCTCACCGTGAGGATCTTGATTGGGTCCGTGGATTGTACGGTTAGGATTGCGTTGCCGGCGTAGATGGGGCGGATGAAGGCTTTTTGTTTGGGGTTTGTTAGTTTTTTTTCTGTTGAAGGAAGGTTGGGGTGGTGGAGGGGATTTTTTTTTTTTTTTTCAGGTTGGCGCTCCGACACCGGAGTGATGATGATCAAGACAGGGAAGGAGGGAAACGTACTATCCTCGCTTTCAATCCCCGTGATATCCGACACTTGCTGCACATCCAACAGCGCAGCAACCCGCGGCAGCAGACTCTTGCCAAACGCAGAGTGGCCCGCGACCACGTGTGTGTATTCGCCTTTCTGGATGTTCTCGACCAGAAGAGGGGCGTAGTTCTCGGGGAGGCCCTGTCATAATCACATATAATTAGCCACAAACATTTCTTAGGCTCTTGGAATCGGTTGCAGGTGTGTGCTAATTCGTGGGCACTGAGGAGGGGAGGTATATGACTGCACCTACCTTCTCGTAGGCCTCGTTATCCACGGCCACGACCTTGTCCAGGCCCTTGATCTGAGCGGCCTCGGCTGCCGAGGTCGCCTTCACGTTGGCGCCGGCCACGAAGGCTGTGATGGGCCCGCCGAGTTTCTGGGCCGCGGCGATGGCGGACAGCGACGAGGCCTGGAGCTTGCCGTCGCGCTGTTCGAGCACGGCCAGGGTGGAGAGCAGGCGGGCGAGTGCCGAGGTGGTGATGGCTGTGCGGGAGGGGAGGATCTGGGCGCGCGCGGCGCGGAGCACCGAGTGTCTTGCTAGAGGGAGCATCTTGAAATAGTGGTCGAGTGAGTGGAGTGGAAATCAAAAGAGAGACACTTGAGGGAGGGGAAGATAGATGGAGGCGGAGGTGGGGAGGAAGTCTTTAAGGTAAGGCGGTGGATCAAATTGAAGGTTATCGTCGGACCGCCCAGTCACTTCTCTCACTCGCTCCGTCGCCGAACCCGACGGCTTCTTCGGCTACTTTGCTTGCTTCCTCGGTCGATCATATGCTAATTGATGGCAGACAAACTTGTACAGAACTTTTGCTTTTTATTTATTCGTCCAAGGGTATTTGAACAACACGCCCTGATATGATAGAAGAGAAAATAACTAGATATAAAGAATTGAACTAAGAGCAACAAGAAACGCAAGAAAAATAGAACACCGCCGGTAGACAAGAACAACCCATTGCTTATTCAGATACAAATCCGTTAGTTAAATCAAAACAACACCGTAGGTATAGACTTGATTGAGGTTCGAGCATAGGACGATTATGAAGTCGACTTTCTCTTCTTCTTGCCAGCACCGGCCTCGGCTTTCGTGGGCGCCGCTCCGTCTTCCAGCGCCTTGGCCTTCTGCTTCTGCAGCTTCTCTTTCCTTGCGGCCAGCGTCAAGGCGTCCTCGTCGTCCTCGGCGGCCTTGGCCTTCTTGGTCTTCTTGGGGGCCTCGATCTGCTTCTCCTCGTCGCCTGCGCTGATCTGCTTGCGCTTCTTGCCCGCAACGGCCTTGGTCGCCTCCTCAGCACCCTCCTCGAGAACATCACCCTCGTCAACCCAAAGCTCGCTGGCCAACCAGATGGGCATAGCCATGGTGTTGGCGCCCTTGATGTGCAGCGCCTTGATGTTGCGCCATCCCTTCGTCACGAACTTCTCCGTCATGCCCTTGACCACTGCGTCGACGTTCTCCGCCAGCTGCTCAGCGGTGAACTTGGACGAGCCGACCCGGATGGCGGCCGTGGTGGCCGGGGCCAGCTGCACGGGGGCGCAGTGCAGCGCCTTCTCAATCTCCTTGGCGACGATGGCCGGGGAGGCGAGGGAATTGGCGCCGTCCTCGACCTTCTTAGCCCGGGCGTTCTTCTTGACCTTCTTGCCGTCCTCCTTCTCGATGTTGGCGATGCGAACGGGGATGGGCCGCTTGCTGGACTTGTAGAAGATCTTGCCGAGGGTCTGGACCAGACGCATGACGATGCGGTCATCGGCCAGGAAGACATCGTGCTCTTGGAGCAGCTTCCGGCGGCTCTCGAAGCTCTTGTAGCGGGCCTGCAGCTTGGTGTATCCAATGACCCGGTCGATGCGCGAGCGCAGGCCCTCCGGGAAGGCAGGGTCGGCGACGGTGTTCTTGGCCGCGCGCTGCGGATCCGCGGTGATCAGGCAAATGCTGAGCGAGGGCGAGGCGTTCAGCGAGTGCGGGATGAGGATTTTGCCGGGCTTCAGGCGGTTCTTGTCCACGACGTGCTTCTTGGTCGTGAGAACGAGCCACACGGCCTCGTTGTTGAGCGGCGTGTCCTCCTCGCCATCCGAGTCCTCGTCGTTGTCGCCGATCAGCGTCTTCTTGGTCGCAGACTTCTCCTTCTCCACCTGCGTCGTCTTGATGTGCCGCAGGAGTGCGCTCGAGGCTTTCGAGACCTGTTACAACTTGAGCCGTTAGCTAAACCCCAGCCCCCCGTTGTGGTTGTTCGTAGCGTCGCGTGGGCTGTACGCACCTGGCTCTTGTCGAGCTGGTAAGGAGTTCCCTCAGTCACCTTGGTCGTCAATGCCGTCGAAGACCCCATTTTTGCAGTGTTGATATGGATTGTTGCGAAAATTCAATAGGGCTCGACTTCCGCGATAATCTAATGATAAAAAAAAATTCATGGGAAGGCGGTAGGCGTGTATTGCCGGTCTTGGCGTGGAGACTGCGCTTAGTCATTTCTATAATATCACACGGTCATGTGACCATTCATACTCGAACGGTAGATCCTCGTCCTCATTGCTCGTGACTCAGGAAAGAACACTAGATAAGCCTTCATTGTAGCAGGCCATGCTTTCTGAAGCAAGCGACTGAGATCTAATCTAATGATGAAGTTCACAGGTACTGGTTATACCCGGGTACCTTGCCTCATTTCCGTGACACCTGCGGGATGTGGAACAGACGCTTTGCAAGATGCGCTACGAGTTCCGCTATCTAGAATGACTATAGATGGCACACCTTGGCAATATACAGATAGCCTTGAGTATGAGTCGCTATTCAATGTTCCCGCATGCCCACTGCCTGATCATAAGCCACGAGGTGACGAAAACCCCTTAGGCGAAGACCAGCAGGGTTATTGCGGTATGAACGTGATGCCTCACAGGTTGGGCCTCACGACTTGTGACTGATCCCTTGCATGTTTCATAGTGAGAGCCTGAGAGCATTGTAAAGGGTTCCGGAAATGCACCCTCCCACCAGTGCACCGGCCAGGGATAGATAACTGCCGTCGTTCGTCGCAACTAGCGAGCACGTGAGGCAATTGAACCAGAGGCTAGGGGGGCCGAGTGTCTCTAAGTCTGTCGAGTTCCAACGTGATGCCTCGGTCAACTCCCAATGTGTCTTCTGCCTTTGAGGTACTCCAATAGACACCCGACTAGATTCACCGACCCCAGACTGAGTTGTCCAAAGCCAGCGTATGCACCGCGCAATTGTACAGGCGCCCCGGTCAGCGAAAGAGATCAGGGTAAGACAAGTCAGTGAGCGGTGACGACGGCCTTGACAAGTGACGCCATATTCTGGATATTGAATTAATCAACGGCGACAGGTCCAGACAATCTCGAGCAATCAATAGCAGCGAGGCTAGGAAGAGGGTAAGTCAACACCTGCGCATTGGCCATGTTGTTTATTGCAGAGAAACAAGCAGGGACTGGTCTCGGAGTGTTTCTTCAATCTGCGGACCGAATTGTTCAAGCAAAAAAAGGAGGCAGATTGCAGCACTTGGCATTGACCAGAACCGAAGCACAAGCCACAAGACCCTCTTTTCGAACTTGTCTGGCCATCAGTTCGGCTGATGTGACTGATAGATTCCTAGTGGTTTTGGGGGAAAGCAGAGCTGGTTCTTGTTCCCGTGTTCTACTTCCGATTACTAGATAGGCTATAAGACTCATAGACCCGCGATGGGGTGGGATAGCGTCACTTTTCCTGTGCTCATGGTTCTACGTTCGGGAATGATGGGCCCCGCGGTCTCCAGTAGGCGGCAATGAAATACGTGCTCGGACAGGCCAACAGTTTTGTCGCCGGCGCATGAGGCCGTCGGTGGAATAGGGGACAGAAGCTTGTAGATAGGAGAGGGTTGGTGGTTCAGGCACAGATGCACGATGATAGGGCCAGACGATGTCATCGGTGCCTGAAACAATAATGCATAATGCTACCGCGGATCAATTTTTTCCCCATCCGGTACGGGGTGGTGTAAATTGCAGCCTCTCTGTTTGTGCTTATATCTCAAGATCCAGGCAGACTCGATTCACCGTTCACAAATGATAGATGACTTCGAGCTTAAACTTCAATGCTAGTGCTCGCGGGTACATCAATAGGCTGAGAGCAACGGGGCCAGTCATTTCCCGTACCACAGTCTTCTGGGAGGTACACGTCAATAGCTGAGTTGTCGGATGATTCAATAGCTTACTTACCGGTGCTTTCCAAAATCTAATAGTCTAAGTAGTCCCCGCCTTGGACAAACGGGCAACGGACGACGAGTCAACAACTCAGCCCGGCAATTTCTGTTGATGGCACGAGAGAGCGAGAGCATGCGTGGAAATAAGTCCCGCGCCTGTGCCCCTCACAATATACCCCATTTGGTGTAGTGCGACCCCAATCCCCAAGTTAGGTTTGTTTTAGCGCTTCCTGCTGCCTGTTAGTGCGTTGGTTGAAGTAAGGTACTGGTTGCTAACTTGCTGTATCTGGGATGGAGAGATTGGACCCGCGCCGGGAAATCAAAGCTAAGCAAGTCTCGGATTCTCCTCTTCCTCCGGCTCCCATTGCCCATCAGCCCTCCCCCAAAAACCCCCACCCCGGGGGCTTACCCCTATACCTTAGCCTTCTGGCCCGGAGAGAGCAGGCCCAGAAATGTTCTTGTTAGCCAGTTCATCAACTCACGAACTCAAATGACAACACCTCTCTCCACTCAGGCTCCTATTGACTTTTGTCGGCTATAGTCCTCAGTAGATTGCGCGTAGACGAGACGACAAACAGCCCAAGGAAGAAATATGGGGGAGATGGATGAACCACGCGGTCACTTCTGCAGGCTGCTTGGCAACAGGCTGCCCACGTCAATCCCCAGGTGATGCCACGCAAGCTGGTCGTTGTTCTCAGAGAACGAACAAGAACCCTTAAGGCTCCCTACGAGACCAGACTCCGTGATAACCGACAACACACAATATAACCCCATGTATATAGCCCCCTAATGAGTCAATCTTGGCGTGGCTGAATGGTAGCCTCTAGTTGCCAAGCTTTGGGCTAAGGCGCCAGGAGATTGTACGAGGTGTACGGTACGGTACGGTCGGTATTGTTCACGGCTTATAAGCTGGGGGATGGGTATCAAACCCTCACAGCTGCAGTATGTAACAGGCAAGTTGGACTGTGTCGACCAGGGTTTTCAGGGTCCAGCTAAATCTTGTGCAGCCTCAAGTGATCTCGTCAGCTTGGACCCCTAGAGCGTGATATCCGTGGAGGTGTTGTGGTGTAGAAATGGCCTGGGGGGCAGAGGGGCTGAAAAAGAGGCTGGTCGGATTGTTAAACTCAAACAAGGCCGATTTGATAGGCTAGGGAATTCGTATCTGGCTGGCTCGGGAGCTTGTGCATCTTGGGTATGAAATCTGCCTTGTATGCAGGTACAGGCATGCGCCTTGAACCAGATAGATACTGATAACAGTGGTGTACAGTACAGTATCTAGACAGCTAGCATGGCGATATCTCATTCTCTCGAAATAGATGTCACTCGGTATTTCTATATGTGCCGACTATTCTGGGTCCAAGGAGCCTCGGGCGTGATATCACATATTTAGAGTTATATATATATCCATTGCTAAGCCTATATACGGGTCGGCCAAGCCAATGTGTCTGTGCTCTTTCAAACATATGCATAGTAGCTTTAGAAGTGGTCGTATTTGTAATAAGAGTGGTGGCCTACAGTTGTTGTGGCAGAGCAGACATGGCTCAAGTGGGTTGAAGACCCAGGAGTGCAACAAGACAGTCTCTGCACTACCCCGCACTCGTCAAGGATGTGATTCTTCATCATTTTTGCGAGAATAATTCGGGAGTTGGATGATATAGATGTATTACATCTACTGTTTCCTATGAAAATCTACCATGGCAATCGAGATCTGCAAGCTAGTTTATGTTATAGTGGACCAGCATTCATGGTCTCAGGTTGCCTACGGCTTGGATGACCATCTGCTGCTCTACGCCTTTCGGAGGAATGTTACAGATTTTGTTATGTCGTCCAGATGCATCAAGGAAGCCAGTGTATGAGCTGCTAGACATGAATATGTAGTCCCGGGCAAATTAATCAAGGCGAACTGTAGGAGTGCATCACATTTGATCCTAGCGGCAAGGCTGTCCTCAGGATCAGCCGACATGTCGAGCACTACTAAGTAGATCGGGGACACTAGCTTCAGAGCGCATACAGCCCATCTAACAGGGATTTGACAATATGGCCGATCACTGAGATGTCAAAGTTTTTGCGCTGACCAGGCGCCAGACTGACATGTAGTAGCGCCCAGTCATGTTGAAGAACTTCACTGACCTATGTTGGTACACCACGGAAAAATGAGCCAAGCACTGAGACCTGAGTTTGAAACAGTGCCGCACCGACAGATTGGCAATCATATCATAAGCACAACAAGCTTGCCTCCTTTACTGAATTTACTGAGTTAAATGAAGCCGCTTCCGCTTGCGCAATGTCAACCGTCGAAATGAGAAGTATAATTGAGGTCTTATAGCGACTCTAACAAGTATTCTTAACATAGTTTAGCACATATGAGGATTGATACTCATTCTCAGCCACTTGCTGTCGGTGAAGATCTTAACGTATGACATGTAAAGTGCCTCGGATCGGTTGCCAGGGTTCCTGATCATCTCACTTGCAGGTTGTTTAAAAACGGCTGCAGGGGCTCCGCAGTGGACTATAGCAGCGAGCATAAGGGCTTAAGGGCCGGCTGATAAGATTTAAAAATATCAAGGCCCCCTTATTTGGCCAGACTCGCGCAATGTGCAGATCCAAAAGTAGGTTTATCTGACTCTGCGCGCGAGAGAGAGGTAAGAAGATGGTCATGAGTAATGTGTTACAGAACCATTACTGAAGGTTGGGGTGCCTGAAAGCTGAAACAGTTGAAGATCCAAAATTCTGGAGAGGGGTTACATCACTACCCGAAGCGCTTGGTGCCTGCCAACGATGGAAGGATTTGATATATTGGACCCTTGTTATAGGTCGACAGCAACACTCATCATTACAGTAACTTAGGGTAAGCACCTAAGACAATTCAACTTGTTTTATCCGTGGGCGTTGTTATGGGCGTTGAGTTTGTTGTTGTTGTGTCTATGCCTCGCCCTTTTTTCCCGCCAGCCAGGCCCGACTGCGCCCACTAATGCAGGCAGGCCAACATTAAGATCGGACATGAGACATTTCCATGGTAAGCCAATTTGTGGCAATGGTTCGGCAGCGCCTCAGCCGTTGATTGGTGTTCCTGAATGGGGGCAAAGTCTGATTCCGACCGGTTGGTGGCCGAATTCGATTGTCAATTGGCTGGAGGTTTAAATTAATTTCGGCTACCGCCAAGCAGAGCGTGTCAGGAACAGGAAAGCTCCAAACATGGAAGAAAAAATAGGCAAGGATTTCATGAGTCTGCAACTCCCCTAAGTTCAGTTACTCACGCTGTTGGATTTGTTCCAGACAGTCTCCCCAAGTCTTGGCTCTCCAAAGAAACAGTACAGAAACACAGTGGTGGTGAGTGTCGGTATGGCACCTGGCCCCCTCTCTCTCCCCACTTTCTGGCGGCAATCCTGAGAGGTCCTCACGTTGCCTGCCTTGTGGATGGTCTTTCTTTGAGCGAGCTGATCCTGGCGGACTTGGCTCTGGGGAGGAGTCTTCTTGGTAGTTACCGCCCCCTATTCACTTGCCGGACCGCACTCGAGGTGTAGAATGTGAATTCTTGCACAAAAGCTCTTTGATCCCCTGTCATCCTGTCATCAGGGGGGGCCACATTACTGAGTGTGCCTTATACATTCTTGAGATCGCATCCCACCTTATCAGAAGTAGATGACTTTTGCATAAAGGAAACAACCATAGCTAAAGACAAATACAGGCAGGTTACTGGAAATGTAAATGTAAATGTAAATGTAAATGTAATCTCCAAATACTGAATCATGACCGGACACTAAGTTACTAACACCCCATCTATGTGGGCCCCCCTAATATTAATTATTATTTTTCCTCCCCAAATAATATTATCACCAACGATGGATGGCCAACTAGTGTAATATTATTGCCTTTCTTTTTGGTTTGCCCACTCATCCTCAGCCAAGTGCCACACACACTCTCTCTCTTCCCCCTGGAAAGGCCTGCGCACGCTTTAGTGTCTTGTCCCTCCTTTCCTTTTTCCTTCCCACCCCCTGGTCCGACTGGATCGACTAACCGCTTATTCTACTTTACTCTGCCCTTCATCTCCCCTTCAGGTTCCCTTTTCTCTCCTCTTCCTCCCTCTCTGCGACCCTCTCCAATCTCTTCGCCTTCCCTGAGCGTTTCATTTTTCCCCTCCGGCTTTCGCCTGTTACCCACGCGAGACTTCCTGTCCGACCAGAGGGACTAGCTTCTCTCTCGCACGCTCTTTTCGGGAACCTCCTTTTCTTCTCACTTACACTCATTGATCCTCTTGATCCTCTCATATCCGACTGCTGCTGCACCTTCGATTCGTGTACAGACTTGTTACTTTCTGTCAAGAACGCGCGACTGGCTTGCCGTGACGTTGGTGTAGGTACCACTCTTTGTTGATATACTTCCCTCTTCCATGACCCGCATGTTTATGAGTGCTTGCGCGACGTGAGCTGAATCCGCATGGATCTCCACTTGTGAAGTCGCATCGCGGGTCTTCACAACACCTAATATGCCCCGTGGACTGCGGGGATCAGGTCGATCTGTTCGCGTAACACAAGGGAACAGGCTGGAGGCGATCATCAATATCTTCGAAGCACATACTAATGAGTGTGTCCTTATGACATCTACAGATTCAATCATCTTTTAACACAATACCCCGCTGTGCACCCGTGCAACACACAAAACTACAACAATGAAGTTGAACACCGTTGCGGTCAGCTTGGCTACGGCCTCCCTGGTGGCTGCCCAGCACCACCACCAGCACCGTCACCACCACAAGCGCAACCCTGAATCCGAAGTGGTTACCGTCACTGGTCCTACCGTTGTCACTTATGTCCTTGACGGCAAGACCATCACTCTTGACGAAGTGTGCAAGGGTATCGTCGACGGCACCTTGACCTGGGCCTCTGGTCAGGAGGTCCCGGATGTCTGCAGCAGCACTAGCTCCTCTACTTCCGCCTCGACTGCCACCTCTACCACTGCGGCTCCTGCCCTCAGCTCTGTTGCCGAATTCGTTGAAATCGCTGTTGCTAAGACTACTTCCTCCAGCAGCTCCAAGAGCTCCAGCAGCGCTGCTCACTCGTCCACCGCCGCTGCCTCTAGCTCGGCTTCCAGCTCCAGCTCCTCTACTGCCACCGGATTGGATGCAGACTTCCCCGATGGAGAATTGGACTGCGATACCTTCCCCTCTGAATACGGTGCCATTGCCCTCGACTACCTCGGACTTGGCGGCTGGTCTGGTATCCAGTACGTGACTGTCTCTGGAAACTCCGTTACCGACATCGTCACTGGTGTTTCTGGCGATAGCTGCACCAACGGTGCCATGTGCTCTTACGCCTGTCCCGCGGGCTACCAGAAGTCCCAGTGGCCCCTAACTCAGGGATCTACCGGACAGTCTGTTGGTGGCATCCAGTGCAAGAACGGCAAGCTCTACCTTACCAACACCAGCCTGTCCAAGAAGCTTTGCATTGAGGGTGCTGGCGGTGTCCACGTCCAGAACACTCTCGGTGAGAGCGTTGCTGTTTGCCGTACTGACTACCCCGGTAAGTCTCTTCCTCGTACAGCCCTACCGCTCACAATGCAGCTTCTTATCATGAATCATAGGTACCGAGTCTGAGACCATTCCCCTTCACCTCGGTGACAACACCCTCCAGCCCTTGACTTGCCCTGACGGCCAGAACTACTACAAGTGGCAGGGCAAGGTTACCTCTGCTCAGTACTACGTGAACCCCAAGGGTGTTTCCACCGAGAAGGGCTGCCAGTGGGGTAACGGCTCCGAGGCTATCGGTAACTGGGCCCCTATCAACCTTGGTGTCGGTGTCAACAACGGCAAGTGGCTTTCCATCTTCCAGAACAGCCCGACCACCACCGAGAAGCTTGACTACAATGTGAAGATCGTGGGTGACAACCTGAGCGGCACCTGCAAGTACGAGAACGGCAAATTCTATTCCGAGTCTGGCTCCAACGACTCCGGCTGCACTGTAAGTGTTGCCCCGCCCCTTGCTTTCAAGGCCCTTCCCTTAAGATCCCCTGGCCTGGTTGTTAATTTTACGCGCAGGTCGAGGTCGTCTCCGGCTCCGCCACCTATGTCTTCTACTAGAGTAGAAGACAGTCCGTGGTAAACCTCGGTGGCCAAGTACCGTCTTTCGGCTTTCCGACGGCTTTCCCGTTCCCCGACAAAGGCACAATTGCAAATAGAAGACCTTTTTTTTTTTCATGCCTCTGTTCCGTCTTTGATCATGATTTCACCGTTCAGTGTGCTTGCTTCCTTCATGTATCTTAGTATCTCGTACTTATGTGACGTGGAAGAGCTTGCATCACCTGTCACATTTGTAACGTCACCCTTCTTTTGTTTGGGGGGCGGTTGTGGTTAGATTTTTACCTTTCTCTACACCCAAGTAACACTGATATTCCCTTTCGGTCACCGCAGAGTTTCATTTCATCTTGCAGTGGGGGGTGGGGATGTAATCCAGCGATATCCTGTACAGTAGTGCACTGCTTTTTTTTTCATCATGTTGTTCAGATCGAAATGACCGCCAATTCACTTTGATGATAAATTCGAAGTTATTGATTGCCAATGCGCACTTTCTTCACATTTCCCATACGTTGTAAAGCCGAGCGTCGCAAGGGGAGGAGAAAGGACGGAGTGACCTTGCCACTTCGGCTTCTGATCACTATATCCCCTACTGATTGCTTTGCTTTGCGGTGTGGTCTCCCTGGCGGGGAGAGAGAGGCGGGTATCGGCAGGGCATCTATTTCAATTCCCATCTGGGCCATGAAGTCCTCGTAGGTCTCCATTTCCCCACCGCAAGGAAACTTTGACGCCGTACACCATTTTCAAGTCCAGACTTCTAGACCCCTTCCCCCCGGTGGCACTTCGGCCGAACATTGAAGTCTCGAGAAAGTTTCTGTTGAAGACTTCCTACCGGGGTGGGATAGGCGAGACGAGACAGACAGACAGATTCTAACACATTCCTCGGCGGCTTCTCCACCTGCGTCATGCACGGTCTACTGTATCTAACAAAGTTTCTGGAATGTGCATGAGTGGATCCCGGTTCTTGGGTGGTTGGGGTGTGGTTGTCGGTGTGGTTTGTCCTATTTAAGTCTTTGCGAACTTTTCAGTTGTTCTGGTGATGCTGGTTTTTTTGGTTACTTGGTGAGGGGGAGGGAGTACTCCGTAGTTCGTGATAAACTGTCTACTTGTAATTGTGAACAGTAAGTAGATTGGGGTTAAAGGTCAATTGTGTGTGTGTGTGTGTGTGTGTGTGTGTGTGTGTGTGTGTGCTTTTAACGTGCTTAGGATGTACGGGTCTACTATGGGATTGCGATGGTGGGTGGATGTGTGTGTGTGCTGCTTGCAATTGCATTGCATGCGCTTATGCTTGGCTCGGGATGCAGGTGATGAGTGGACTTCGGAGTCAGGGCTGGAGAAGGATGGGGTGCTGGTGGTATTTGAGGATGTTCTGGAATGGGGGAGAAATAACAAGGTGTCTTTCGGGGTTCGCTTGTTGAAGATTGGACTGGGTGTTGTAAAGAGAAGGAGGCTGGGGAGGCGGCGAAGCGTGCGGTGGGTGATATGTCGGCAGTTATACGGAGTAAATATTCGTCATTGAAGGACTGTCGAGACTCGAAGCACCATCATGATCGTCATGATTTTACTAGAGTTGGGACAAGAGGCTGGTTGATGGGGAATCAATCAGGTTGCCAAGCAGGTTTTAATACATGTCAAAAGAAGGTGGACAAGACGTCAATGTGAAGGTCGAATGGGTCAGGTCAGGTATGCTTCAAGTTGACTTTGACAGACAGACAGTGAAACCTAGTGTTGAGGTCATCAGTGACAGCTCAGCCAATCCCCTACGCGGAAAGGACGAGTCAAAAATCCCTGCATCGTGCAGCGCCACACCACCGCGACACGTGACATCGCGAGTCACGCTTCTCGACCCAAGAAACGCGGGCACATGATTTGACGCGGGGACGCGACGTAACTTCTGCCTGGGGTGTCGAGGCTCAAACTTACTTACTCATTCAATGCTTTTACCACCCCCCTGCATGCCATGATCAACAGCAATATCTAAGATTAATTGACTGAATTAAAAACAAAAAAGAAAGAACAACAGTCACTCCAGAAATTAGAATTCTACCATGCGGTGTCAATGCAATTCGAGGCTGCTGTTGCTGCTGCGCGAAGCTCAGTGGTGGAGCTCTGCGACTCTCGACGGCGCCTATCGAACGCGTCTCGGACTGTAAGCGTGCATTTCCGCGCTGGAAGGACGAGACGCTCCGTTCCGGGCAGGCATTCCACCACACTACATCCTTTCACCCTTTTCTTCAATGTTTCTCGTTTTTCCCCTACGGTCCAACATTTCATACTCAACCCCCTCCTCTTACTCCTCCTCCTCCTCCTCCAAGCCGACCAACCTCCTGAAGGCCCTTTCGTCTTGGGGCAGGTGAACCCTCAGAGTTCCTTCCCTTCCTTTGTCCGTCCTTGACACGCTTCTGGCTTCTCGCCGTCTACCCTACTACTTTCCTTCTGTCCTGCACGGACAACTTGTCACCCAATTCCATTCTCCTCCCAATAGAAAATAGAGATCCCTCCCCGACTCATCCTCGACGCGACCAACTAGCTCCTCAATTGATCTGTTGGGCTTTTAACTCAATCCCTCTGCAGCTACTCGCGTGACATAATCTTAATTACTTTAGTTACGTGCCGGACGTGTACGACGCGAAGAATAACATTAACAACATGGAGTCTTCGCCTCCAAGGAGCAGTAGAGCTGCTTCTGTGGCAGGTATCAAGCGTCCGGCGTCCCTGCTACCTGCTTTCGAGCCATTGAGCTCGTCCCCGTCACTGCCTCGACCACAGAAGCGTGTAGCACGCGAGGACCATGCTCTCGTGTCCACCTATCCCACCCCGGTCCCGACCTCGTCGACCCATATCATGTCCTCCTCCCCTCCCCGAATGGCCCTACCACGCCCGGCCTCTCGACGGACCTTCACCTCCACCTCGGAGCGGACTCCTCTGTCCACGGTCCCCGAACTCATGCTTCCTGAGAGCGGTGAGCCGGTGTTGATGGGTAGATCCAGTGCCTCGTGCCATCACCAACTCGCTGCCAACCGGATGATCTCGAGGGTACACGTCAAGGCTCGGTATAAGCCGGCTCCTAACCCATTCGACCGTGATACGGTGGAGATTATGTGCTTGGGATGGAATGGTATCAAGTTGCACTGCCAGGGAAAAACGTATGACTTGGGCAAGGGCAAGACTTTCACCTCGGATATCAAGGACGCGGACATTATGATTGATGTCCACGAGGCTCGCGTGCTCGTGCAATGGCCTCGCAGCGACAAGAAGGATTACACGTCGACTGATTCGGAACAGACCTGGGAAGAAGAAGCTACGCCCAAACAACGCAAATCACAATCCATGCGCAGTATCCACGACAGCCCTGAGGTCGAGCGTCAACGCCTAGCCTCCCCGGTCTCTCCCTCGCCTGCCGTAAAGTCTCTGGTGACGCCATCCTCGCCTATGTATACCCCTACACGCTCGCGGAATGCTGTGGTGGTGTACGAAGACGAAGGGTCTCCTGTTCGCCGCCCCATATCTGAAGGGCCTTTGCTGGCCGACACCCAGACGTCTTCTTCCAGTGTAGAAGACCTTCTGCAGAGCTCACAGTCGAGTGATCTGAGTGACCTGAGTAGACACGATGACTTTTCGGACCATGATGAAGAGAATGATCCCATCATCCATTCGTTCGGACCTTTTGGTGAGAACCTCTTGCCTCGGATGGCCTCGTTCACCGCAGATGAGTCACCACTCCAGCCTGCCCGGCCACGCAACCAGCTCTCGTCCCAGCATCTTCAACACGCCAAGTCCCCGAAACAGCCAGCGAAGACTGCAGAATCTACTGTTGAGGACGAGCATGCGGATGATGTTACACCAGCCAAGCCTCAGCCTCTTGACGAAAGCGGAGAACGGGTGCAGAACCACGCTGTCAACCAATTGGCTTTCTCACGCCTCTCCTCGACGCCCTTCTCGACCATCTTGAACAATCTCCCTCCAGCTCTGTGGAAGCGGGACAGTCACTCGAGACAGGGACCGACGAGAGAGGAGATTCGTGTGATCCTTGATACGACTAAATGCATTGGCAAGGTCGCTCGTGAGGGCAAGGATGCCGCAGGGAAGGCTTTAGAGAGTGAATACTACTATATTCCGGACTTCGATGAGGACGATATGCGACGGGAGGCCGTTGTCCATGATCTCAGGAAACCTGGTCTCCGGAACTGCCGCAAACAGCACAAGGTATGACTTCTTGGGTTTCATTCTTCAAGGCAATTTGACTGACGGTCCTCTAGCAATACTTCTGGCGCAAGCCGAAATAAATATGAATCATATATTATTCAAGAACATCCTCCTTCTTTGATTTCCTGGTACATATTTTGCTACGCTTTTCCCCTACCTTTCCCCTACCTTTCCCCTACCTTTCCCCCCCTTTTGTTTTTGTACAAGGACTCGCATAGCGTTGGCGTGGGCATACCCTGTTTATTTTATGTTTGATGAAGGTGTATGATGACGGCGGTTTACTTTTTTTCTTTTGTCTTGTGTTCAAGGGTGATGTGGATGTGGGCGTGGACTCGAGTGTTTTGCTGGGCTGTCATGTCACAGACTATGATGGTCGTGGCGGCACCAGTATCTAAACGGCCTTGTCATTGCGGTGTCGATGAGCTACTCGGTCGTTAAATGATCCTCATCCGTTCACTGGACATCATCCCATCACCTAATGACTTGTATTTTACATTGAAGTTTCTCAGGGAACAAAAGCTTAGTTGATAATGAGTCACTCGGGTGTATTGTATGTATTGAAGAGATTCTTATGTTTCTCAATGGACTTTCTTCCATTTGATCGGAGTTCCGGACGACCAAGCAAGCTGAAACATGCCCTATGCATCCATCCAGAAGAACGGACCTGTCCCGCCTCCCCTCCCCATGGTATGAATAATCTTCCTACCCCCTAAGAATAATCATAATAAACCCGCTCCAACTCCTCGCACCGCGTCCGACACCGCTCCAAATTGAATCCTCCTGAATCTCCAAACACCGCCGCTCCAGCTGCTGAATCTGCATCACCGTCAGCGCAGACGAGCTCGTTCGGCGTCGCCTTTGTCGCACCTTCCCTTCTTCAGTGATGGTTGCCATCGGCCGCTGAGTCATAAGATGCGTCCAGAAAGCATGCAGCTGCATTTTAAATTTCCAGACATATTGTCGATAGCGAGGTTATCGCAAAGATCGGCGAGAGGGAATTGGTGTTCGAGTTGGAGGAGTTGGGTTGGGATATAGATGTTGGCGAAGGGGAGCATGCGTGTGGGGAATCTATGAACTGGTTCTTTTGTTGCTCGAGATGGTTAGTAGATGGTGATTTTTCCTTGTGGGCTTTTGGGAATGGGCTGGGTAGTTGGGCTCAGGTGGATGGTGCGTGTAGAGGTGTACGTACGTATGTGGATTGTTCATTTTCGCTGGGTTGTGGTGTTGTGATGTGGATGAGGTTGGGTGTGGTTGCTTGCTGCTTGTTGCTTGTTGCTTGTTGCTTGGTTGGACCTTGGAGAGGTCTTAGCTTTGTTTACTGGTACTATAAACAATTATTCGTATATAGGGTTTGGGATAATTATAGATATATACAGTATAGGCGGAGTAGGTATCTGCTGAGAAGCCGGTTACTGCTATACAGGTTATGTTGAGAATAAGGATAAGAAAGGAGAAAAAAAGGATTAAAAGATTGGGCTACAGAGGAAGTAGAATAAGGTTCTGGCATCAATGATTTAGTTAAGGGCTGTGCTCGGGTAGCAGAGGCGGTAGTTGGCAGAGATGAAGATATAGGTATACTTTTAGCAGTGGTCTGGTAGGTTTTTATACGAGGTGTTGGGTTAGTTGGGTTGGTTGGGGGATTGGGGCTTGGGAGAGAATTTAAGGAAAAACTAGAAGAAATAGGCGCATCATAAAGCCAGGTAGGAAAGTGGCTGCTGCGCTGCGAGCCAAGCAGTCATACCGCCCCCGTGGTAGTAGATTATAGCAGGGAGGTGGACGCTCGTTGGGTTGCGCGGTAGGTAGTAGTCCAGTTTGATGTCGTGGCCGTCTATTGTGGAGTAGACTAGGTTGCCGCCTTCGGGGAGTTGGATCTTCAGAGGAGGCATTTTGAGTACAATTAGTGGTTTTGTGTTGTGTTGTGGTGTTGTAGTTTGTACAGATAGGGAGACCGGGGGAGTTGGCGGTAGGCAGCAGCAGCAGTACATAAACTTACAGGCGTGCATAAGGTAATGGTCTAGAAGCCCGCATGTGGGGGGGATTCTGCCCCGCCGGGGATGAATTCATTGCCGCCTTCTCTATCTACAGTACCATTCTCTTCTCCACTCTTCTATTCCTGGTTCTCGAAAAAGACTAAACCTGATCATCTTCCATATTTATGGTTGCAAATCTTTAGGCCAAGGTGATGCTATTTCCAGCGACGACTAAAGTCTCCCCGCGCCCATCGTTCTCTGGTCTCTCTCAATATTTCACGCGGTGTTTCTCCTGCAAGGTTGGCTTGATCCATGGAGGCCCCAGCGCCCTGAAGAATGTCGATCATCTTCTCAAGCGCCTTAAACCTTCTTCAAGCGGAGTTTCTGCATGTTCACTGTTATCCATTTGTCGCCATCTCGGAAAGATACTCGCTCCAGCAGCTAAATGTAGCGGGGTATTTCCCATCTTATTGACTGCATTGACATTAGCACCCCGGCTGAGCAGTATACAGACTGCGTGGGCTTGAGGAAGTCTCCTTGCAATATAATGCAGTACGGTATCGCCGTTCACATCAGAATTGTTGATGTTGACCAGTGTCAGGATTTTCTCCAAGGCCTCAGCATCAATTAACCTGATATTACTGTCTCTCATGGCCAATCTGTACAACATGGTTCGACTAGACTCATCGCACATGCTCGGATCTGCCCCATGCATAACTAGAATAGCAAGCAGCTGTAAAAAGATTTCACACTTTACGCCGTCATCTGTGCGATGTGATACAGCGTAATGCAAAACAGTTGAGCCCGGTCTATCCGCGTCGATGTTCCGGGCGTTCAGGATATTCCGGTCGGGTTGGTACTCCAGAAGTAATTTCACTGCTGCGAGACAGTCGGCATCCCCCACACGACTGTTAACCGCATAGTGCAGTACTGTCTTGTTTACTTGATCCTTCACATTGACCATCGCTGGCCCAATATCAAGAAGCAGTTTCACAGTACGCAACAGGCGCGAGGTTACTTCCGAAGAAGTCAAGGTGGCTATTTCGTCCTTATCGCCCATTAACGCCCAATGGAGTGGTGGCCGTCCGTGGTCATCTCTTCTTGAAACCATCTCGGCCAGTCCGGTCTGACCCCTGTGGTCCAGTATCGCTTGTATCGCGTCCAGATTCCAGTATCTACTAGCAATATGCAGTGGCGTGACCCCGGCGCACCGCAAGCCACCGCTAAAGGCATAGGGATCGTACCATGTCTGCACAATATGCGTATCGGCGCCTGCCGCGATCAAGCGGGATACCATCATATAGCTAGCGCGGGTTACCATATTACCCAGCACAGTGTCCCCCAGTATCTCATGGTCGCCAGGCTGGGCTTGCCATCCGAGTTGATAGGGAAGCATGTATTGATCTGTCTCGCGGACCGAAGCACCACTGGCCAAACAGAACTCGATAAACTCGCCATAGCGAGCGTGGTGCACTCGCAACTTCTCCCGGATCCCCGCGGGACTTGTCTCCTTCATCTTTCTCTTCAAGGCCTGCACGTTACCCAGAAAAGCTTGTGCGGCACAGATCAGCGGTGTCGCCCCCTTGGCATCCCGATCCCGCCACGCGCCCAGGGGTGGTTGATGGTCGAGTAGAAACTGTGTCATTTTCCGATCAGCGTTACCACAGGCGAGATTAAGTATTCGAAAGTCAAGTCTCTGCAGATATTTTTCCAGCGGCTGTTGAGAATGCGTAGGGTCGGACTGGTAGAGATCGATCAAGGCGCGTAAAGTGTCAAGACTTCCATGATTCGCCGCGGAATAGAATGGCGGCAACGGGTAGTAGCCGTAAAGGCTTACTTTTACCCGGCTGAAAATATCCTCACCGTCCTCTTTTGCTTGCTGGTTGTAGCGGAGGAGAAGAGGCACGTCGTTTTGTTTGATGATCTCATCTAGAAAATCTCTACCTCCAGCATCGTAATCACCCTCAAGGTCTGAGTGTGGCTCGTGAGCCGCATGGTCTGGTATCATGGTCCAAGATTACTGCTGAAAAGCAAAGACATAGAGGAACAACAGATAAGTAGATAGGTAGGTAGGTAGGTAGACAGGTAAAGAGCGATGTAGATGGGTTTGTGTCCTGGACGCGGCACGTACAGGTGGATTATATGTTATTGACAGATTACATGATTCCTTAATGCTCGATCACTATATAAACGAAGATACCCGCTAGTGCATCCTCACTCAGCCAATCGAAGTTATCCGTAATTCGTATACCGTCAAATGACAGTAGTCTATGCCTAGAATAGCATAGCGCAATCTCCTATCCGGGGAAGACGGTGGAGGCGTTGCATACGGAATTTCTCTCGTATTAGCTCCCATCTCATTCATCTATCATTGTCCAAACCTATTTCTCTGAATGCCTATCAGTGTATCAATACCAGAGCCGTATGCCGCATCGACGTCCCCATCGAAAGTCACGGCATGGCTGTGCCGAGTGCAAGAAAAGACACATCAAGGGTATACTGACTCCCACATCCGCTGCCAGTGGGTCTTTCAGCCCTGTTCCTGGAGACCGCGTCTCTATCCTAGAAAGCAAAGAATGCTGACGACTTCTTCCAGTGTGATGAAGGGCTCCCAGCCTGTACGTTCTGCAGTGATCGTCGATTAGCCTGCCACTATGCCTGCAAACCGCGGGGAACCAATGCCCGATCAAGTAGTCACCACTCACTTCCTAAGGATCCAAATGGCGGAGTCTCTTCCTCCTCCTCTGCATCACTCCCAGCTCCACCAGTGACAACGACTCCTCTTTCTGCAGCGACAAAGAGTCTTCAGGTCGACACTCGACTTCTGGAAGCAAACCTCCTCCACCATTACTACACCCACACTCATCTGACAGTAGCCGACGACAACCACAGCCGAACTCAATGGCACAGCGTCTTATCCAAAGTGGCAACCGGGCACTCCTCCACAGTAGACAGTCTCCTAGCATTCACAGCCCTGCACCTGGCGGATCTTGAACCCAACCGGAGACAATTCTGGACGATCATCGCCTTCGACTACAGCGACAAAGCATGCTCCGCGCTCTCCAAGATTGTCATCCGGCTATCCGCCGCCACGGCCAACGGCGGCTCTGGTGTGCTCAATCTATATTGTCGTGTTGGCAATTGCACAACATCGATTAACAGATCCATCCGCGAATTACCTGGACGAGGTCCTGCGAATAGCAAAGTTGGTTCGCGGGTGTGTCTTGCTGGGACCCAAGACTAGTTCATTCAGCCAGATAGCGGAGGGAACAGACGATGGCAGGCCCGGAAGTCCTCAGGACAATCCGCAGAAACTGACCAGAAGCTATCATGCAGCCTCCAGAATACATAAGTGAGTTGCTATATCAGCCGCTTCTGACCGTTGATTTCAAAACCTAACCGGGAAACAAATTCTGCCTCTCAGCTTTGCTTCTCAAATCCTCTCCCAACTCTACCAGACACCCGCGGGCATCCCGGCACAGAACCATGCGGCAAATGTAGCCGCCACTCAACACGTACTGTCACAGATCGCCGAGAGGGACACGCCCCGGCGGCTGGACATGGGGGCCTTGCCCATTTGGCCTGTCTTCTTCTCGGAGGCTTTCGCCGACCTGCCTAAGGCGCGGGACTTCGTCGCCCGGCTCATCTTCCTGCTTTATCCGCTGGCATTGCACTTCTTCAGGGATGCCTGGTTTTGTTGGAGACATGGGGAAGAGTCTCAGCAAAGAGCTGATCTCGCGTGAGGAAGATCTCCCAGCTGCGTGGGGCGAGATTGTGGATGCGATGAGAAGGGAATTCGAGGAGCCACTCGATGCAGGATAGGCTTTGGTATAATCATTCTGGGGTCATGTTTGCAAGGCAGAACTGAAAACCCCGGCTGCAGAGACTCGTGAGGCTTTCAAAGCATTTTTTTCCGTAAAGTTAAGTAGCATGAGAGGATTTCTTTCGATCCTATCATTCGTGACGCATTCTGCGCCCTGTGAGATAGCAACAAGCCCCGAAATTTCGACCTAGACCTCATCCGACGAGTCCCCCGTTCTCTGAAATCCTGGACGTACAGAACAAACCCGCCAAGAGATTAGATTGCCCGCATCTGCATACAGTGTCACATAGCAGACACCAGCACTGCCATGAATATGACACACACCCATTCAGCCCACGAGCGTACCCAGAATCAAACGAGGGAATCAATTTTGCACAAGATATCGAAACATCTGAGAATCACACGATTAGAAATCCAAGCCTAAACTTCTAGACCCAAAGAAACTCGAAGAAGCAACCCCCCTCGGCGTTGACCAGCGGCATCGGAGTTAAAATCTCGAACCCTCGGAATGAACACGACACTCCTTCGGACTAAACTGACAGAAAGAAAAAAAGCCCAGCCCGCAAACCCAACGTCATAACCCAGGAATGATCTCAAAGAACTAGCTTGTAATTGTAATCGAGTCATCGTCACCGCACTGCATAGCCACCTCAACAATCAAGCACATGCTTTACCGATTCTTGTGGGATGTAGGACAAAGGCGGGATTGAAGCCTAGAACTTTAGTTATGACGGATTTGAGTCATCTGGGAGCGGGATACGCATGTGGACATGAAGAGCGGGAGAACCCACTCAACCTTAACGGAGGTTATTGTTTTCTTGATTATTCATGGCTGGAAGCAGGATCCGATCTGGACTTGGCGAACCTGGGACTTGACTTCAGGGTGTCGATCATGTAGTTACTTGGAAGCTGCACGGGGTTGTTGTTACACATTTCAGGGCCTATCTGTCGGTCATTGACCTGGGATGAGGGCTGAGCAGTTGACTCTGTCCTCCGTATAGTATCCCCTTCATAGTGGGGTGTTTTCTGTCGAATGAAAAGTATACCTCAACACCCCAACAAGTCTAGTATAATTCGAAGTAGGTATACCTCCAGGCAGACAAAGCAACAGGCAGAAACAACCATGCAACCAATGATTAACCCACTCATCAAGACTAAACCCTGCGTATACGAATCCCACCCAGGTCTTATCTACCTAATGTCTACATAGAATCTCTGCCATCCCCACTGACTCAACCCGACCTGGACTCCGATCCCGGCCTTCTATCTACAGTCGAAACTAAAGTTCATCACGCCTCGTGTTTCGGGTTTGGAGTTTCCTGCCTGACAAATGCGTCGTTGTTCCCACGCCCTTCGCGGCTTGGTATGTGATGCAAAGGGTGCAAAGGGTGCAAATGCCCCGTTCGGTGCCTCCACTGCACTTTATTGTATCTTTGATTCGAGACTACTGGTATTTTTGATGGGGTGGCTGGTTATTTCAAAGTAGGTGGTAGGTTGTCACTTATGCAAATGATGGACTCTACTTACTGGCCTCAGGGTCAGGATTCAAAAGTCCAGAGCCACTGCAGTTCTACAATAGTAAACAAAGGTAAACAGAAACCAACCATCCCACTAAGAAAAAAAAAAAAAAGAAAAAAAAAAAACTAAACCGCATCAGCACCCCGATACAAATCTCCCAAGCCAATGCCAATGATGGGTGGGCTTCCGGGAAACCTCCAATTCCCATTCGTGGCTGGGCCCCGGGGCTAACGCCAAGTCCCAGGGCTTGGTCCATGCATTTATTTTTATTTTTCTTTTTGTTGCTCGGGTTTATTCCGTGTTTCTCGGAGTAGATTCATGGGGGTGGGCTCGGATTCGGCGTTGTGTGAGTGTGACACTGCCAGTGGGTGACAAGAACAATGAAAATGACAGGTGAGTGAATGAGTGAGTAATTGGTTTTAGGTAGAGAGGACCGTGGGGGTGGGATTTATTTACATGCTTTACTTGGATTGGGGAAATTGTATATAAGGAATGTGGATTCTCCTTTGATTTTACTTGTTCATACTTCATACTTCATACTCCATACTTATACTTAATTGAGGACATACCTACTCAACAAGCTACCTACCTCCTCTCTATCTTATTCAATAAGCATCCAGCTATCTATCTGACACATCACATCGTTGACAACTACGGAGTACCCTGCACATATACATACACAAGCATACCTCCTACAACCACATACCCACTGAACAACATCAAACACAACCACCACCACGATATACCAACCACACCAAAACCCAAGACCAAACAAGATAAAGACGAAAATGCCCTCCCTAACCCCCACGCTCTCCACCACCTCAACCACAAAAACCTACCGCGACGACTCCGCCTCAGAAACATCCAGCCTCGCCTCCTCGACCTCCACCCTCCGCTCCCTCACGACCAAGTACCTAAGCAAGACGAAAGACCTGGGCACCACATCCCCTACCTCGCCTAAAGAAACCGGCACGAAGACCAAGACCAAGACCAAGAGAGAGATGAAGACTACGCCTTCGAAAAAGAGCAAGCATACCACTATGACGGCCTCTAGAGGATCGGGGTCGTCGGGCGCAGGGAAGAAGGTCGATTATGAGGTTTTGGGGACGTATCTTTCCCTACGGTGATCATTTTACAATTGTGGTTTGGGGTGAGGAGGGTTTAGAAGGGGGAAAAGATATAATGGTATAATTGGGAGGAAGGAATTGAAGATAATGATGAAGATGGGGGAAAAAAAGGTCTCGGGGTAATGATTATGATATATGCCTTGCTTTTCCCATTGGGATGGATTTGTTTGTTTTTGTTGACTGTCTTGGATAATTGATTGATTGATTGAGGGAAGTGAGTGATCCACTGGAGTTTTCGGTGTTGGATTTCTGCAAGAATCATAGATGTTGAGCTTAAATGATGACTACTTATTCCTACTACTTTCAATTTACATCATGTTTTGAACGGTAATTAAACCGTCAGATCAGCGATTGCCATTCTTATTTCCTAGCCTCTCCCTTCAACTTCCATCTGCTATCTTACCCTCGGATTATCTATCTCATTCTAAGATCGAATACAGCAAGATTTATCCACTTCGTCTCATCCGACCCTCGCCTAGAAGGCACAGCAGAAACCCGTTCTTCCAGATCTTGAACACCTCTTGCAAGGACCGAGGGGAGGGCTGCCACATACCCACTCTTTTCAACATGATGCAAACTGTGTTGAACAGACGCGTTGTTCATTGCGAATGAGCACGAGCATGGGGCCCAATTATCCAGTCCGACGGTCAGTCAGATCAGGCTGGCTCGAGGTCTCGTCATGGTAGTGGCTCAATGCTCCTTGCAGCCGAAACTGTGGCATGACAGCTAGAAAGGGACGTTCGATTAGGTTCTTCGGTTCGTCTTGAGAGAAGAGTCCCTCCCCACGCGGTATATCTGCCTGCATATTATTTGTCCACTTTGGTTGAGAAAACACCGCAGTGTAATACGAAGTTAACACCCCCGTCTACCAGTTCACGTCGCTCAGCTGAAGCTTCCGAGACCGGAAGGCCATTCTGTTACTGCCCGACTTGTCGAGGCGGGTATCACGATGGGGTGAGCGTTTCTCGGCCGCAGCTGCAACGGTCAGACTTGTTCCATGGCTCGTCTTCGAATAACATACCTTCGGCATTGGCATCGACTTCGTTGGTCATCTCATAATTCAAGACCAGGTTCTTGATCCGCTGTTGCTCCTCCCGGTCCGCTTGCTGCTGGCTTCTCATCGCCACCGCGAAGCTGGAATCGGACGGCAAGTCGATAGTGCGAGTCTGGACGGTTAGAATGATATACGCCACGCAGAAAATGGCAGAAGCTCACCTGTTGCTTGTTGCCCTTCTTCGTCATCAGCGAAAATGCCACGGTGTTGGTGGTAGGTTTGGGAGGCTCCGCGACGCTTTCCGCGGCAGCCTCACGACCAGACCGCTTCATGGGCAGAGGGATGTCGAACACGCCCTTGCGCTCGAACTTCCTCGATTCCATGCTCTCAGACATCATCTTTTCGAACTCGCGATCGAAGTCGGCCTCCGCCTCCGGGTCACGTTCCTCTTCCTGCCGGGTGACGAAGATCTGTTCATCCTCGGACTCGCTGTCGCCGGTGTTCTCAGCGTTCGCGCCGGACGCCTATACTCATTAGCATACTCTTGGTGATAATCTCAATAAGAACTTACCTCGGCTTCATCACTGGACTCCTGATCATCCTCCGCCTCGGGAATAGCATCCTCCTCCAAATCATCGTCAGAAGAGCTGCTTTCCGCATCCTCCTCCTCGGCTTCCGCAGGCCGCTCAGCATCCTGCATCTTGTAATTCTGCGCGACTGCGTCTCCGAACACTTGAGTGGCTTCGGTAAGGTCGGCCGCCAGCTTCCACTGAGGACGAGTCATCGAGTAGGTGTCTTGAACAAGGAACTCAACGTCCATAGGCAAGGGATCTTTGGTATGCATGTAGTACTGTTCAAATTAGTCGCTAGTCCAAATGCCCTCTATAAAAGCCATACCTGGAAGAAGGTGAGGAAGAAATCGAGCTTCTTCTTAGCGGACCCACGATCGAAGCAATGACCGCATGTATCGAGCAGCGTGCAGACCAGACGAATACGAAAGAAGTCATCGGGTAAATCCAACGGGTTGATCTTCCCCGCCATCGGCGTTCCGCCTTCTATAGACACATTAGAAATGCCCTTGGCAAGATTTGGGCCAGGACTTACCGTGGCCAAAGGTGACAATGCGATACAAGGTATCAAAGATCACAGGCGAGTCGATCATTTTATAGTTGTAGAGTTCTCCAAGGTACTTAACCTCAGCAACACGCTTCTGGTTGAACTTGAAGTCATTCTGCTCCAAACCCAAGGTGATCTGCTCGAGAACGTTGTCCACAACGCCGATCACAAACTCCTGGTGGTACCGGTAAAGAGCGCTGACCAAGATCGCGAGCAAATGGATGTTACCATACTTGACCTTGACTGGTTTGCTAAAGACTTTCTCAAGAATGTCGACCACCTCGCCCTCTTCCCAATGAAGCTTGCGGATCGACTTCAGGATCTTGGTGTAGTTGCGCTTGTTCATGTCCAGGTACACCAACCGACGGATATAAGCTTCGATGGGCGTGCGTTCCTTCTGCTGGATGGCAGGCCGCGGTGGCGGATCGACGTAGTAAACAGCATTCTCGATGATCATTCGCTCTTGTTGGCCAAGATGCTGCACCGCTTTCTTCCTTCCCAGCGTTTCCAGGAAAGAGGCCATCCGCGGTGAGGTCTCCGGGTTGCGGAGGAGGTAGCGACCGCAATTCTCCAGGAGATGGCCGATGATCTCGATGTTCATCCGTGAAAAATCGTCCAATGAAACCTTGAAGCAATGGAAGATGATGTGCTCCGGAACAACACCGAACTTCGTCAATTCCGCCAGATAGCGAACATTGCTCATCCGGACCTGCCCCAAGAACTCCTTCGACTTTCGGCGCTGAAGACTTCTGAACTCCTCATCAAGGTATGTAGTCAATCCCTGGGGGATGTCAGGCATATACTGCCCGAGCGTGGCGACCAGACGGGAGTACAGTGGCAAGAGATCAATACGCCCCTTGGGAACATCCGAAACCGCTTTGATAAGCCTGTTGCGCGACGCCTTCGAGTTGAGGAAGCAGAAATCCAAGGCCATCTGATCGACATGGTCTTTGGTCTGCAAGTCGGGTAACTTGGCAAGGAGCGCATCCACCTGAGCGCCCACGGTCTTGCTGACGAAAGCTGCAGATTGATCGTCGGCATCTGCACTCTTCTCCTCCGATGCTGGGGCCAGGGCAACAGCCTCAGGTTTCTCTGCGGTTGCTGCCTCTTCCCCTTCCCCTTTCTTCTTGGCTGCCTCGTCAGACTCGGGCTTCTTCTTCTTGCCATCCTCCAAGAGCACGGCCGGCACCTTGCCTTTGAGGTCAACTAGGTTCTCGTAGAAGCGCCGCTCCTCTTCATCTTCCCAGATGCCAGCACCTTCACCCTGACCACGCAGGTACTCAGTCGTCTTGACCAGCCCGATTCCACCAGCCGATGCCGCATCGGTGGTTTCCTTTTCGGCCAAGGCCGGCATTTCCGCCCCGAGACCCTCGCATAGAACCTGGGTATTGGCAACCAGCTTTTCCAGCGACTTGGTCTGCTTCTCGAAGTTGGCCTGGCGGTCCTCAAAGATCTCACCACTCTTCACGTACGCCTCGGCATTGCGCCGGCTCTGCGCCGCCAACGCTCTCTGATCACGAACAACATGCGCCTTGACGTCATCCAAGTACCGGTTCAAGATATGGCGGAAACGCAGCTGAAGCTTCTCGGGAATCAACGGGGGGTCATTCTCCTCCGCCTCACCATCAGCCCCATCATTCACCGCATCCCCGGAGGCTCCATTCGTGGTAGTAGTTGTCGTGGCGCCGTCCGCCTCGACGGTCTTCCGCCCTTCCTCCACCAACTTAGTCCCCAGCACATCCCAGCTAAAGCTCTTGACAAACAAGACCGCGAGAGGCAAGTTCAGATGCTCGCGATCATGACCCAGAAGATCCTTGAGGACTTCCATAGGGAACGGCTCGGACTCCTTCTCGCCGGCACCATCCTTGTTGGCCGCGGAAGGGGGCGCCTTGCTCTTCACGGGCCCGTCGGTCGCCTTGCCCACCACACCAGCATCCTTGCCGCCCTTGGTAGCCGCGGCGCCCAGATCATCCGGCCGATCGATATCGTCCAGCATTCGCAGCACGCCCACCAGCCAGAGCTCCGTGACGACGCGCAGCAGCACCCGGTGGCGCGACAGCCGCTCCTTCTCCTCGCGCTCGCGCACCTCCTGGCTCAGCGCCTTAAGCTGGCCCTTGTCCGGCGTGCTCAGGCCACGGCCCAACAGCCATCCGATCTGGCGCGTGAACTCGCCGGGGCCGAACCGCTGGTGCAGAGCGCTCGCGATCTCAACTCCCGTGGCGATCTCGCCGGGCGACTTGAGCTTGCAGAGCCCCTCGTAGCAGGCCGAGATGATCTCCGATAGGTACTTGTGGAGCGATAGGGTGCGGATGTCGGCGAGGAAGGTCTGTTGGGCGGAGGCATTGATCCCTGTGCGGAGACGCTTGATGAAGGCGGTGTTTTTCTTCAGGGCGGAATCGAGGTTTTTGCTGACGGGGAAGATGTCTGTTCATAGCAAGGTAACAAAATCAGTATAGTAACACTAGCAATCTTATAGAGGGAAAAAAGTGAGTGAGTGAGTAAGTGTGTGTGTGCGATGCAGTGAGAAAGAACACGCGGGGGTGAGCGTATGGTGCGTCATTATCGGGGAAGAAAAAGGGCGTTTTTTACCAGTCTCGCCAGCCCAGGCTTTCTCGTTGAAATTGCGGAGTTCCCCTGTAGTCAGAGTGCAGGGTTAGCCAATAAATAAATATTTTTTGTTCCCTAAGTGGGTGTAGGTATTCTGGAAAAGCGTACGCTTTCGGTGACGATCCATCACTTGGCCGGCGCTGCGATGTCCACTATTTAACGTGGGTGGGATGGATTTCGACTATCCAGAATTCCTTTCAGCGAATGGGAAAGGAGGGACGCATAAGTGACTTAAACGCCACATTTGGGAGAACGCTGGAACAGAGTAGCGCGCACTGTCTTAGGCGCCAAGGGAGGAGGAGTTTGAAGATTTACAAGAATGAAAGTGGCTGACGGAAGTTGCAGTGATGGCGGCGGCGGACGAACAGCCGAAGGCGGAGGGGACGATGATCTTACTCCACTGGCGGAGATGTTTATACTAACTTAGACTATACTTGTATACTAACCTTTTCTCTCAGGCAAATATTTTGTATTATATCCTTCTCTAGTGTTATCAATTCACACTCGTAGATGCGAAAGTGTATACCCTTAAAGAAATCATTCAGCAGTTAATCCCCGTGCTTCCCCGCACTAGACACTCTCAACAGTTTCACCTCCATGAACTATCCAATAATCTCAAGAAATAGTCACTTTATTAAACTGCACCAGCATTAACAGCAGACTTTCGCTCAGCACAATCTCCCTCACCTCCAATTTTACTCATTAAAGGAAAATCGATACGAACCCCCCACTCAACCGACTACACACACCCGTCAATCTTCAGAGCCATAATCATAATCATCATATAATCATCTCCCCTCTCCCCGATCCGATCCCCCCCAACTGAACCCCCAATTCAATCAATCACTGAACCCCAGCCGGCGCCTCCGAGAAACCAGGCTTCTCGCCCTCCTCCAACCCCAACAACCTCGCCTGCAACTCATGCTTCTGATCCTCGTTACTCCAGCTCTGCTGCCGCACCACGGGCGGCTTCCACGGCTTCTCTGTTGATGCGCTGCGACCCGCGGCCCCGAGCTCAGCGCTCAAGGAAGAGGAGGAGCCGCCGGAGCGGTCTGCCGTAGTCGCGTTTGTAGGGAGCTGGATGGCCTCCGACTCGGGGTGGGTGGCTCGGGTTTTGGTGGCGGACATTCTGATGTCTTTGCCTTTTGACGGGGGTGAATTGGTAGGGAGGTGTAGAGGTGGAGTTGATTTTCAGATTGTGTGTACGGTGAGGGTGGCTGGAAATTAGGCGTTCGTGGTGAGGGTTTATTATACTAGATCGAAGGTAGAATTGAGAGGGAGGGGAAATAAATGGTTAGGAGGGAGGGGAAGGGAAGCAGGACGAGAGCTTGGTGGTTATATGCAGTGGTTAGCTGTTCGGAAACTGGGATGACGTCTCTTGCGTGGCGATGGCTTTGCTTTTTTTGTCAAAGGACAAGAAGAATTGAGGCAATTGGCAGATGAAAAGACTAGGATAAAGAAGAGGGGAGAGAGAAAGAGGAGGGGGGAAAGGAACTGGCCACCACCGTCGGGGTCGGAATACAACGTCACTTTCGGGTCTAGAATGAGGGGAACGAGCAGAGGATGTATACTTCAACAACCACCTTATTTTGACTGCCAGAGCTTGTACTGCATCATGTTTTCGAGCTGTTCCTTACCGCGCCACCCTTGCAAATTATCTCATAAACCGTTCATAAACTTTACCCATTGTTCTGCCTACACCCTTCCATTTTCAACAAGAATACTCAATCAACCCTCACACAAACCTTCGAAAAATGCCTCTGCTCCTCCATATACCGATACGCCTCTCCGATCTCCGCAAACCCAAAGACCCTCTCATCGACCGCCGGCCGAATCTGATGCTCCTCAATGAACCGATTCATCTCCTCAAACTGCCGCCTCGTACCTAGCAAAACCCCCCGCACGGTACACAGATTCACAAGACAGTCGATCAACGTATTGAGATCCGAGTCCGGGGGAGGGCCGCCCAGCAGCCCCGTCATGGCAATGACACCCTCGGGCCGCACGGCCTTCAGCGACTGACTAGCCGTCGACAGCCCACCCACATCGACGACCAGATGCACGCCCTGACCGTCCGGGGTAAGCTGCTTGGCAGCCTCGCCCCATTTGGGATTACGGCGGTAATTGAGCACATGGTGCGCGCCGAGAGCGTGGAGTCGCTGCGCCTTGGTGTCGGAGCTGGTGGTTGCGATCACGGTGGCGCCGGCTGCCAACGCGAACTATTGCAAAATCCGATCCGGTGTTCAGTCAGTCAACCCGACTCCCAGATTCTCCGGGGGGGAAGTTAGCTTGGAACACAATACCTGCAAAGCAATAACCGACACCCCGCCGGTCCCCTGAACGAGCACGACATCGCCCTTCTTCGGCGCCCGCGACGCCAACCCGAACAGCGCATTCCAGGCCGTCAGCGCCGCGCACGTCAGCGTGCTGGCTTCCAGGAACGACAGGCCGGACGGCATCTTCACCAGCGCCGATTCATCGAAGATCGCCTGCCGGCGAAGCGTCCCGTCCACCTGCTGGCCCAGCCCACGGCTGATGTCCGCGAAAGTGACCGGTTCGTCGGCGGGCTTGTTCGGCACCATGTAGGTGCAGACTTGGTCGCCGGGCTGCAGGCCCTGTACTTGAGGCCCGACTCGTTCGACGATGCCGGCGCCGTCGGATGCGGCTACTACATGTGGGTGGATCACTAGGGAATGGGCGCCCTGGAGCATCGATCGCGGTTTAGCTTTCTGGTTTGGGAAGGGGAACGGGATGGTCGTACTTTTGCGATGGCTAGGTCGCGGTGGTTGAGCGAGGCGGCGTGAATGCGCACCAGAACATCGTGGTCGCCTAGGGAAGGGACGGGCTTTTTGTCCACGAGTTTGAGACTTTCCAGACCTTTTTGATCCTCGAGGATCCAGGCGGGGGAAGCTTGCATTTCGGCTATGAATCGGGTCAAGGATTAGTTATTCTCTGTGATTGGACTGTAGTAAAATCATGGTTTGACTTCGAATGGGGATACGATGGCTCTAATAACAGCTGGAAGACCCGCACACCCCATCAGGGCAGCCATTGCACTAAAGTCTCGAACCCAGAGAAACCCTGGATTCCAGTGGCAGTCGGTGGGTGGCTGCACCGTTCTGTGACTGCAATCCCGTATAGGTGTGGAGACCTTGAATCATGCTGATGTGCACGGCAGTTGACGACCTAAAACTTGCACAACTCAATGTATCGCCCGTCCAAAAATCTAGAGCTGCCATTGACCAATCTGAGGGCGGGCAGTGGGGGAAGATGAACGTTGTCCCGAAGTTTTGACGGATTCTATTAGGCGGGCTTGAAGCAGTCTGACCCACAACAGAAGGTCTTCTTGGACACTACACTGCGGGCAGATTTGCAGCTCATACTTCCCCAAGACCCGCGAGGGCACTTTCGATAAGAGCTCTACTAGTATGCTAAAACCTCAATCTCGTCTAAGTCTGCGTACATTATCTTATCTCCTGGTCAGAGTCTATATCCCAGTTCCCACCGTATATACAGACGACTCACGGCGCGCACAGATCGGGGTGATACTGTAACAAAATCCTGTACATGTAGGGAGGCCTATCACTCGGACAGGCAAAAAACGCAACGACGCCGCTCCAAAACAAAAGATATTGAACTCCTTATAATCATGGTCCCACGGGAGTAACCGGCAAAATGCAACAGAGAAGATAAGAGAAACATATAAGAAGCGAAAGGAGAAAAAGAAATCCACGAATTTGAGACTGCTATGGCTTTTTCTTCATGTGGCTGCCAGCTTCCGACGTGGTGGGCGTCCCTTCATCAGGGTCCACCAGCCGCCACAGCCGACGGATCGAGAAACCGCTGCCAAACAGGTAGATCACGACCAGCCAAGCAGCCAGTATATTAGTAAGATGGTGAAGCAGGTAGGCGTAAGAAACCCCGTACACTGCCGAGTAGACCGCAATGGCGAAGAGGATAACAGAGGTGATGTTTTTCAACCTGTAATTGTCAGTTTTCTCCGCAAGTGCCGCTTCATTGCAAAGAATCATACCGTGTAGTGACTCGAGGAATCATGGTTCCTGTAGTCATAGCCTCGACAAGCAGGATAAAGGGCATTATAGAGAGCACGTTATGGTGAGAAGAAAAGGGCATGAACCAGTGAACCACAAGATTGTGCGCCCAGACAAGCAAAACAAGGATGTTGATCGGAAGAATCCAGAGCATTAACAGGAAGATCGAGTAGGTGTAGTTGGCAAAGTTATAATGGGTCGTGGAATTCTGGCAAAACCATTAGCAAGGTTCGAAAGAAAAGTTAGAGGAGCCTTACGGTCTCTTTGGCATGCCATTGGGCGCGCACACAGGTAGCCAGTTGCACAATGCAGGCCACCATGTACGCAAATTGGTAAGGTACAACCGTGGAGACAAGGATCAATAGGATCGCCGTGTTGATCAGTCGCCGTCTGGGGGTAGGAGCACAGAACATGGAAAGATTTCTGCTACACTTAGTGTGAGTCTGAACAAAACAGGGCCAGAAAACTTACCCCTTGTCATCCCGCTTGATGTACCCTGACCGGCTGTTTAAGAGACCATAAATAAAGGCCAGCACCGAAAGCAGAGACAAAGCAATGTAGTTGATTAGGACACAAACACCCACACTGATCATACCAAAGATCGGTACTAGAAACCAGAAGAATGCATCCTGGGAGCCCAGAAGGAGGTCATTCTTGGTATAGTCCACTGGAGTTTCCGTAGCGTTCGTGCGCCAGTGGAACGGGTCGTCACGCTGAGGCAAGGTGCTAGATGTAGCCAGGGAGGAAGCCAGGAGTGACATAGCCAGCAGCAGAATGGGCAGGGATGACCGTATGGTGCTGTCAAGGCCCTCTAGGAAAGTGATGAAATAGCCTGTCTCGTTATACACCTGGAATTGCTTGCGGAGGACAAGTGCAATGACAAGAACCGGAAAGGCTGCAAAGACAGTCCGGTAACGCATGACAAGCTCACCCAAGCTACCCAGAATATCCACTGCCAAGGAGATGTCAACCGAAGACTCGCAAGTCGGGTCCGTCCACAGCTGGAAAGACACCCCGCCCAAGGCTGCCTGCTCGCGAAGGGGAGGAGGCATAAAGGGTGCAACGCCGTGCAGGTTGACATGGACATGTTGAACATTGACGAAGAATTTTGACTCGTGTGGATCCGGAATTGACTGGCGCAACAACGGTGCGAAAAGCTCTTGCTGATGCCGCGGACCCCGTCGCACAATCTTGAGCTTGTAGTTCAACAGACTGGAATGCAGAGCAGGAATCTTGACTTCTGTGAGCATCGGACGAGTGGCGGGCAGTCGCATCTTCACACCAGCGCTAAGCAGGCCTCCCAAGCCCACATGGGCTCGGATGACTGAATCCGAACTATCGGAGAACTCAGCCACGATCCAGCCGCGAACTGGCGAACGGGCCTTGTCAACAACCGCAACGAACTGGTGCTCTGCAAGGTCCTCCAGATCATACTGTAGGTAAGAGAATGGAGTGACCCTGTCGTAAGCATGCCTTGAAGAGTGCGTCGATGCCGGCAGATGAATCCCATCTTCAGCGGCATTCTTGCAAGCAAGACGGGTTGAGCCGGCACTACCACCAGAAAAGTCCATGTTCATCGAGAAGACGCCCGCAGATTTACCATTGTGCATAGGGAAGACGCTGCAGAACAGAACCTCCAGGGTCCCGTGTTCTCCGGGTTTGTCGAACTGCTGATTCGTAAGTAGTGTAAATTTCTTCCCTGCCACGCCTTGCGGAGGGACCGGCAGCAGGTGCACATTCGGACCGGACTCCTCGCCGAACTCGCGAAGAACAAGCCGCTGGCCTTGCGAGAGTATGGTATTGGTGCTGTCTTCTAACGTCAATAGTGTGCTGGGCTCTGCTCAAGCTGTCAGTACCATATGCAGTGAATAGCGCAATAGTGACAGTACCTTTTTGGGAGAGTGTTCTCTCCGCTACACTCTCCAAACCAGTCAAATACCATTTCTTGAAGATGCGCATGCGCTCAGCCCTCGGTTTTGTCTGGCTAGCCCGGCGAACGTCTACAACATCGAACAAAGATTTGATGATTGCCTTACGGAATTGGTCACACCATGTAATGGAAAGGTGATCCATCCCAATCCAAACATCGGGAATAGTGGAGGTGAAGACTGTGAAGCCGTGCGTTTCCGGAACGAGCGACGAGATACTGGCGTAGTCGGAGGGAACCACTGTATCGCGTGAACCACCAGCAATGGAGATCAGCGTCAGGTGCCACAGCGGGTTGTTGTTGGCCCATGTCTGCGAGTAGGCTTCACGCCAGTAATCATTGATTTGTTTGTAAGTGTGAACAATGTCCGATTCGAATGAGACAGGAGGCTTCGCATGCGGGGCTGACATGGTGATGATGGTGTTGACGGAATTCGCCTGGTAATTCGCCATGGTCAAAGCGGTGCGGGACACAATGCCTCCCATTGAGTGTCCGATCAGGATGACAGAGCTAGGGTCTGGCAGACTGGGGTCCCTCCGCGATCGTCGGGGATCATGGTAAAGCGACAGAATGTATGATATGGCTTCGTTCACATATTCCGCCTGGTCCAGCAGCGTTTGGCCATGGAAAGCTGCCATGTCCTCGTTGAAATCGATCATGAAGAAATCCAGACTTCGCGTTCCCGCCTTGAGACGTTCCTGGTCATGACGGACTACATCGGCGTAGTGTCGCGACGCTTCAGCGGCCAGGGATCGAACTTGTCGGTAACTGCCGGCATTTCCGGGCAAGAAGAGCACGGGAGCTCCGTTGAGCTATGGCCAGTGTTGAATATCAGTACGCGACGAAGGGCAATGGAGAACTTCGTAACAAGATGTGCGCCAAAAACTCACCCCGAGGTTTTCCTGGTTGTACGGGTCCACCCCTTCCTCCCGATAGAGAAACAGGTTATACTTGCTGGCAAACCGAGTATGCTCCGTATCGAATCCAACCATGCGGATGAACGTAGGGCTCATGACCGGGATACCACAACCATCGCCGCCGACTTGCCGCACGGTGAAAGACCGACAGATAAAAAACAAGAATATGGAGGCGAAGAGTGTGATGAGCGCAGCTAGAACGGAGATCGGCCAAGGACTGCGGAGGCGCGACGGGCGAAAGCGGTGGTGGCCATCGGGAGAGGCTTCCATGGGCAATCGCTGGGAGGCCAGCGGCGTCATGGCGGATGATGATCGGGATTCATGAGAGGAGGAAGGCGTGCGCCAGAGACTTGAGTTTCTAGAGCGAGGGTTCGAGGCACCCGTGGTGTCTCGCCGCAGATCGAAGCTGGTGCCGGTTCTGGCTGCCTGCGAGCGGGATTTTTCCGGCGGATCCAGAATATGGGGAACATGGCTGGGCTCTGTCGGAGTTCGAGAGACGGTGATCACGGAGTCTTCAGCATCGTCCTCGGCCGGCGAGCCAGACGAGCGTCTGTGCATTGGAAGTGGCCTCAGTCAAATTGATCATTCAGCACGTAGGAGAAACCGAGAGATGGTGGATTGGAGAAAGTGTGCGGTAATGGTGGACGGCGGCAAGGGGATCCGTCCCTAGAAGACGGAGGCTGGAATGCGACGATGGGCAAAGCGAGACACCGGCCAACGATCGGACAAGCACACGGATAGGCTACTCTGCTAGAAAGACTGGCTGAGCCGGTTTGCAAATTGCTGCCGTTCCTCCTCGTGCAATTGTTTGTGGTTGGTTCGAGACCGAATGGACCCCTAAAGGGAACGAGCTTGGGGTTCGCCGGAGGACAAACGAGCGACCGACGGAGGCGATAAGGAGGGGAATGAGGAGGAACGAAGAGATAGCAGGAGAGGTGGAAACCGGCGACGACGGAGGCAGGACGAGGGTCGAGAGACGCCGAGGCGAAGCGAAAGGGAGGGCGAGTCAAGCTGGGCAGGAATACCAGGAGAAGCAAAAGAAGCAGCAGACCGGAGAAGCGGAGCGAGGCGAGGCGATGGAGAAGAGAATCCCGACCGACCAAAGGTTGGTTGAGGTTCTTTTTTGGCACCGCAGACGGAACGGGCTTGGCGGATGCAAGTCGGCACGATCGAGGCACAATCGACATCGGCCTGTTCTTTCTTCCATATACTGAGCAGTTACAGTTATGTATTGTGTCGAGTGAGTGAAAATTTCAAGATGCGGCAGTGACTGCCCTCCTCACTTCTTTCCTTAACCCCAAGGAACTTTGCGGACTGGGTGTCATGAAGTCACCGTCGCATTGCCAGCCGACTTGGATTCAAGGGACGAAGGATGAGAGGTCCATGGATCCTGTCAGCCTGACAGCTATGAGGAAATTCTCTTTTACCCCGAGTTCTACTGCATGCTCAAGAAGAGAGCATGCAGTAGACTCACTACATTTTACTTCATCAATTACAAGCTCATGCGAAGAACCATCTCTCCTGCAGCTGCTCTATACTTTACTGCTGTATGGAGTCGTCCACAGTCTGGACTCTCCGTGAGACCCTGAGAGAGAGATTCGAGGCTCCACCACCAGCCCGTAGCTGAGTAAGTGATGGAGAACGGGCAAACTACGGAGTACATACAGTACATTATGTACATGAGTTGTTCTGCATCAACGGGAAAAAAAAAAAAAAAAAAAACTCCTGCAAGTCCTGCTTCGCAGTCCTTATTTTCGAGGGGCAAACACATTCACCCCTGAGTGCCATCAGACCACGCACGCAGTTCATCCTGCAGGTGAGAGTTCCAGGCAACAGCAGCTCAGTGAGTGCGGGGTCAACCAACACATCCGACTTAAGTATAAATGCGCCCCCTTCTCTCGGGGGGAACTTCGGACATTTCAGTTGAACCTCCACACTGTCTGTTCACCTGCAGACCCGTCCCCACAGGCAAGTGCAGGTCGATGATTCCCACTGATCACTACAGGCAAGTTTTTTTCGTCTTCTTCTCATGTCAAAGTACTGGCAATGCAAATGAAGAGACTTCAACCCTGTGATCGTCTTCAAACTGAGGACAATGAGCCCATTACAATTAAGCAGATGCCGATGCCCCCTTGAGATTTTAGGAGCCTGGACTATCTCTTGTTGTGTCTCGTGTCCTTGACTGACTCGATAGACTGCTAAGATTTAGAGGAACGCATGATCGCACTGCTTCAATCCAATCTAACAGATTGATGTGACACTGCCGACCTGTTCACTATCTTCATGTTTTTAACTGTTTGTTATATTCTATTCACATCCGGAACGTCATCTTGAATATTACTCACTACCCGAAATCCCCTTTGTTACTTCTTGAAGACTATTCTCTATGCCTGGTCTTTGGGTCTGCTGTAACTGCGGTTCGGGCGTCTCCCAGATCGACAGCTGCTCGGAATGTGTTCAATGCGGCAAGCCACGCTGCCCGAACTCCATCTACTTCGCACACCTAATCTGCGCCCATGCATAAGCCCATAATTTTTCCCTACATGTTCTACAGGCGACCTCGTCCTACCAACGAAGGCATGGGTCTCTTGGGAAATAGAGCATCATGGAATCTGATTAATATGTCTTGTCATACCCTGCCAAGCCTTAGAAATTGTCTAAGTCACCCCATTCAATGCAGACGTAGATTCCATATCTCGTGCAGTGCAATAAGCTCTGACGCTAAATCATGACTTCGTAGATCTTATTTCGTAAATCAAAGTATCTTCAACACGTACTTCAACCCTCCAGGGTCCGCACGGCGCCCTTCTCGGGATCACTCTCAATGCCCTCGCCGGCCATGCCGCGATGGGCGGTCACTTCTGCCAGGTCCGCATCGTGTGCCACGTCGAACTGGCGTCCCAACCGCTCCGGACCAAAGAATGTCACCAGGATCACATAAACGTAAACGCATGCCATGAAGATACAGATTACCTTTCCGTACTCATACCGCTTGGCCCCTGTGGCCGAAGGTGGTAGGGGAAACCGTTCTCCGATCGTTGACTCGATCGTGGAACTGGCCGAGGACACCAGGTTACCTAGCTGATAGGCTGTACCCACGGCAAAAGTGCGAATTGAGCCCGGGGACAGCTCCATCAGATGGATAGGAATCACCCCCCACGCGCCCTGCACGCAAAATTGCTCGAAGAAGGCGGCCGCCATAACATTGGTCGAGGTCACGAAAGTGTACGGGTAGAGGAGAGCACCGCCGATAATGCTGACCACAATGATCGAGAATCGTCGTCCGAAGATCTGACTTGCCCACCCGCACAGGGTACCTCCTGTCAATGCGCCTAGGTTGGCGACGACTTGGGTGACGGTGACGGCATCAGCCGAGAAGCCAAACTGGCTCTTAAGCATGGTCGGATACAGATCTTGCGAGCCGTGAGACTGCTATAGTCAGTGGATTGCTGACGAAGGGGAGGGAGCAGTGGGGATATTTACCATGAAATTGAAGCCCGCCATGAGCAAGACGAGATAAATCAGGAGCAACCAGTGTCGCTTTAAGGCTGTCTTACCCTCCGACATGAACGTCGATGCCACTCCGCCTCGAACAGAGTTTCGCGTCCTTTGGCGCTCAATGAAGGCGTCTGTCTCAGGCAAACAGAGTCGGTAGATAATGATCAAGACTGGAGGGCATGCACCAAACCAGAACAACGGTCTCCACCCGTGCGGAGTCGTGTCGACCAGTCCACGCGCAAAAGCAGTCGCCAGCAGGTAACCGAACGCATATCCTTGTTGTAGTAGACCTGAAACGATACCACGCGCCTCCATTGGACAGTCCTCAAGCGCAGTAGCTGCTGCATTGCCATATAGCCCGCCCATGGCAATTCCAAACAGAGCACGACAAGCCAGGAACTCACGATATGTCTGACAGAAACCGGTTCCCAGCTCCAGCACAATGAACATGACGTTGTTGACGATGAAAGGCCATTTCCGGCCCCATCGATCGGCTGCTATGCCAAAGGCGATCGCTCCCACGGACCGGAGCATCAGGACGAGGGTTATGCCCCAGGTGATATCTGTGACTGATTTGTCAAAAGCTTTTGCGAGCTCAGTGGTGGTCAAGGAGACGGTGAAAAAGTCGAAGGCATCCCACGTCCAGCCAAAGAAGGCGACCTAAAGATACGGCTTAGCAGTGATCAATTGCTGTGGACGATCGAGGGTAACTTACGCCAAAGAAGAGCCATTGCTTGCCACTGAGCAAAGTAAGAGCCTTGATCGGATTAGGAGCAGGATTCATAGGGGGCACCAGAGTTGGAAGTCTAGTCGCCAGGTATTTTCCGATGCTCATCGATGGCAAATCATCCTCATCCGGAGCATGTTGCCGGACGACCCGCGATGGCCCGTCCTCTTTGACGCGAGACATGCTGGAAAGAAGAGCAGACGACAAGGTTGGGGCAGAAAAGAGACAGGAAGGGGGAAGAAAATAGGAAGCAGAGTCTTGTGTGATGTGTCAAAAGAGCAAAAGGAAATAAACCGAAATTCGAGACTCGGCCGCGGTTTTAAAAAGCCCGACTTCGGGCAGGCGCACACATTCACCGACGCCATGAGGATGACAGACCCCGCGATTCATCCTCGGGTCTAACACTAGCATCTTCTCAGCGAGGACCAGGCTTTAGTTAGCCTTTCGGACTCTTGCCGATCGCCCACATGAGGTAAGAGAGGCTGACACCTGGACCGAATCAGAACCATGCGGGGATAGGGTGGAAGGGCTTACTTTGAAAGGCAGATAGGGGGTGGGAGGAGTATCTGAGTCAGAAAAGAGGCAGCTGCAGCTCTGCCCAGACCATTTTTCCTCTTTGTCTATTTCTTCCCTACCCTCCATCTCTATTCCTCCACTGCAACCTACTATCTCAGATGATCAAGAATTGGTGGTCATTGACTCTGTTCTCCTCCATCGCCAAGCTTTTCCCCGGACGGAGCCCTCCAGCCAAGAGTCTCTCCACATTTTCTTGTTCTGCCATAGTTCCATGTCTTTCCCGAACTCTCGAGTCTGGCAGGCCATGACGTCTTCTCTCAGAATGCATCAAGCGCTCTTTGCTGACTGTTATCTTGTCTTAGACTGTGATCACCTTCTCAGCCGTTCATACCATTCACCCTGGCTACCAATGTTTTCTGATTCTCCCCAAGTTGTGTGTCAACGCGGGGTAACCGTGCGAGCGAACCCCTAGCAACATAAAGCTGCCTCACGACTGCCCAGTGCCCGGTGCGCGTCCACTGAAAGTCAACCACACTAAGGTTGAATCTTTTACTTTTTCCACTCCTGCTCTCCCCACGAGGTGTCCACTTTTGTTTTTTTCCGGTCATGTGGTGCCACGCGAGCCGGTCCTAACGCCGAACATTCCTACCCACTCACTCCTCCTTCCCGCCGAGTCCATGCAACATCACCTCCTTGTCCGACTGGCCAGCCGACTCACTAAGCCAGGAATGTCTCGCCTAGTTATAGAAGGTAATCCGCCAAGCCAGCCGGAGCGCACATTTGCTTGTCTTCTATGTGCTTTTCCAGATGGCCGTCGGGCTTAGGGAGCATCGGTACGGTATGTTTGCGTCGTGGGGTTGTCTGTCAAGATATAGGAGCGACTGCGAATTATTCTAATACCTAGCCTAAGCGTCTAGATAACCAGGTCGGGTAAGTGGTATCATGCCGTGAGTCTACAACCACTCTAACCGTCCAACGCGTCGGGAACCCTTTCCCGCTGAACTCTTTCCCCGCGCCAATTGCACATCCCTCGTGCTGCATTTTGAGTCACTGTCAATCAGCTCACTATTTCCGAATTCGGAGAGATCATTCTGCCCCTTCCCATCCAATCGACTCATGAATCGTCTCTCAGTGTGGAGTGAGGTTGCATTTGAGCTTCCTCGAGTGAGTTCGAGGGCTGAAAGGCTCCAATGGCTCAAATACTAATTCGGCAATTCTCGCTCTCCATGACTAGATCTCCACAATCTAGTTAGGAAGGACTTGCTCTTCATTCATAGTGATGAATAGCCACAAGGTTTGCTCTTTTCAAGGCAGGCTCAGTCCGGCTCGCTGCCAAGCCCTCGATTTGTTTTGTGGAAGCTTCAACTGCCAAGCAGGTGCTTGAAAGAATATGTGTTCTTGGCATGTGCTCGGCACCAGCAGCACATCCTTCGGACGATATCATGTAGAGGCGTGTAAAGAAGCAATATATACTCACTTTGGATAAAATTCAGAGTGACCGGAAGGGAGATCGTGAGCTCGAACGGTAAGTATTCTCAAGCCTAATACAAGCATTCTGAGAGAATAGTTCTCGAAGCGCTAAGCTCCGGATCCTATAAACCCTCTGGTGATTATCCTGACATGGTGGAGGCAGCGCGATGGTGCATGGCAATTGCGTCGAACTCGTTGGCTGGTAATCAGTCATGGTCCTCTATAGGTCATTCAAACGGCGCACAGAAAGCTACTTTTAAGGTGAAGGATTTACCATTCGTATGCCGTTGAGTGGGTTTCTATCAGGCTGTCTTCTATCACAATGAGAACTAAGCAATATTAACCAGAGACGCAAATATATACAAGAAAGTATAGTACAGGGGTTACCCAATCACCTCATCGTTTCCGGAGCCGCTTGGACATCCGCCTGGTTGTCGTAGTCTGCGATGCCTGCAGCACGGCTTTAGTGTCCGTGTCATTCTCGGCCTTGGCCTCGACATCGTCTTCGCTTGCCGACCTCTTCACGGGAATAGCTGTGGCCGTAGTAACCTCCGTCTTGACCTCAACTCCCTCGTCCGTGCGCTCCTCATCCTTCACCTCAACCTTGACGTCCACTTTAGAAGTAGTCGCCACCAACCGATCCGAGAACGTCCTCAGATTAGCCGTAAACAGGACACTCTGCGCCCAGCCGGCCTCCTTCCCCCAGAGCTTTCGGAAATGGTTCCCGACGGCATCGTACAGCACCTTGGTGAGCGACTTATGCGAGCCTTTGCCGAACTTATAGTCCCTCTGCGCGATCTGCCAGACTGTATGAGACTTTATCAGCACCGCCCCTTCAATTCAGTCCACAGACCTATTGAATGCAAGACTCACCATGCGTATCAACCGGCACGGCCTCCCCCCACCCCAGCCCCATCAAGCAAACACAATCCGCAACCTTCGGCCCGACGCCCTGCAACTCCAACAACTTCTCATGAGCAAGCCGATACCCCTCCCTCCCTTCCTCCCTCATCTCCTCCTCCACAGCACCACCACCATCACCACGACAACCCGCCCCCGAAACCTCCGGATTCCGCAACCCCTCCAACCACCCGACCTCCCGCTCCAGCGCCACCACCCGCGCCGTCTGAGCAATATACTTCGCCCGGTACCCGAAGCCCAGCTCACGCAGCGTGGCCTCGACGTCGTCCGCGACCAGCGCCTCCGGGCGAGGGAAGTCGTGGTACGCGCGGCCGTCGACGGAGGCGACGAACGGCCCGTACCGCAGACACAGCTTCTCGACCATCTGCGAGATGCGCGCGATGTTGTTGTTGCTGCTGCAGATGAAGCCCACCAGCGCTTCCCAGGCGTCCTGGCGCAGGATCCGGATCCCCGTGAACTGCGGCGCCTTCTTCCGGAAGTTCGCGTCGTGGCGTGACCAGCCTTCGTACAGCGCTGTGAGGTTGGCGGGGAGGTTGAAGTAGGCTGTTAGGAGGGGGAGGATGGGGTCTGCGTTCTTGTCATGGTTTTCGGCGGTGGTGAGGGTATCATTTTTGGTTGCTTGGGGTTTGGGTTTGGTATTTGGGGGGTGTTCGTGGGCTTGCGTGGGTGTGGCGTTTGGGGTTAAACGGGGAGGAGGGAGAGGTGGGATTGTTTTTGAGGAGTGCGGAGGGAGGTAGGTTCGATAGTAGAGGTGGGTTGGATCTTGCTTCAGGGAGAGAAGTCGGCCGTAGAGAACGCAGCGCCATTCATCGCTGTCGGGGACATTGTGCCATCTGTTGGAGAGTTCGATTTAGTATGCACTGTACATACAGTACATGGCTGAGCGGCGGAGGGGGAGAGCTTGGGGAAGAGTCTGGTACCGGAATGTTTGGCCGCAGCGCAAGGTGGTGTTGATGCACAGCTCACTCAGGCTCACAGGCAACTTGCGCCACTCAGAAAAATTACCCACTGTCATGATGGCAACAATTGGCCTAGTAGAGCATCATGTTAGTATTCACAGGCGCGCGTTTGCATGGAAGATTAATCGGTCCCAAGATACCGATTCTGCCGCTCTCTTGGGGTCCGATAAAGAAGGCGGTCCGGACCGCGCTAACCGTTTTGGCGCCGGGCGGCTGCTTGGTCGCCGACAGCGAGTTTTCCCTTCCAGCGACAGCTCTACCCACTCCTTCATCAGACGTCTTTGCTTCCATCTTGTCCGTGCGCTTGAGGTCGCACCTTTGAAAAACTCTCTTATTGATTAGGTCCCTCCTGAGCTTGCTCGCTGTCAAGCTATTTTGCGATCCACGGACGGGAAGAAAGGAGCGAAAAGGGAATTAATCAATCGATTTGCCAGAGTTGTCACAATGAACGGCGATACGTATTCTGCCAGACGTGAGTGCTCCCGAATCATCTAGCTTTGTTGGTCTCATTTTCTAACGTCTACAAAGCGGACGCGGGCCGCCCTAGGGATTACTACGTGAGTGTTTTTGAATGGACAATGGTTGTCATGTCCAGCTGCAGCTAACCGATCGATGTACAGCGCGAAGAGCGTCGCGAACGTGTTGTCGAGAGACCGGAAAGACCAGAGAGGGCGGACAGAGGTGATCGACCGGAGAGGGCAGAGAGGGGCGAACGAGGCGAGCGCGGAGACAGAAGACGGTCCAGATCGCCCCATTACAGCTCTCGGGGCGGTTCCCGACGCGAATTCGAGGCCGACTCGTACTCGTCGAGCCGGGACTACCGCGCCAGAGAGCGCGAGGATCGCTACTCCAGCCGCAGAGAAGACCGCGAATGGGATCGGGACCGAGGCGACCGCCGCCGCAGAGAATACGAAGACAGACCCTCTCGCCGCGAGAGGGACCGAGACCTGTTCGAAGACAGACCCCGACGGGAAGGAAGGGACAGGGAGCGTGAGCGCGGAGAACGCGCCGACCGTGGCGCTGACCGCGAGCGCGAGCGTGGAGCCGACAGAAAAGAGCGGAAGAGGAGTGCTTCGCCTCCACGGAAGAGGGAGCCTACACCCGATCTGACAGATGTTCTGTCGGTTCTGGATCGCAAGCGCCGCTTGACGCAGTGGGATATCAAGCCCCCGGGTTACGAGAATGTCACCGCCGAGCAGGCCAAGCTATCAGGTAAGAAGCACGGTTGTTGGTTTCATGACTGAGTCGAAACTCACGCATACAGGCATGTTCCCTCTCCCCGGTGCACCTCGCCAACAGCCCATGGACCCCAGCCGTCTCCAAGCCTTCATGAACCAGCCCGGTGGCAGCAACACCGAGACCTCCACTCTCAAGCCTGCCAACTCCCGTCAGTCGAAGCGCCTTTTCGTCTACAACCTGCCTCCCAATGTCAATGGGGAGGCGCTTCTGGCCTTCTTCAACCTCCAGCTCAATGGCCTTAACGTCGTCGAGAGTGTGGACCCTTGTATCTCGGCTCAGGTGTCTACCGACCGCTCCTATGCACTTCTTGAGTTCAAGACACCTGGCGACGCCACGGTTGCCCTTGCGTTCGACGGCATTACAATGGACGAGCACGAGGCCGCCGGAAATGGCGCTGCCAACGGTTCTCCACAAGGGCTGGAAGTGCGCCGACCCAAGGATTACATCGTTCCCAGCGGGGTTGAGCAGGAGTACCAGGAGGGAGTGTTGCTGAACGAGGTTCCTGATTCGCCCAACAAGATCTGTGTGTCGAACATCCCCAACTATATCCCCGAGGAGCCGGTCACCATGCTTCTCAAGTCGTTCGGCGAGCTCAAGTCTTTTGTTCTGGTCAAGGACAACTCCACAGAAGAGTCCAGGGTAAGTCTCTATGTGACTCCGTTGATCTCCGTTTCTGACTTTTTCCAGGGAATCGCGTTCTGCGAGTACGCCGATCCCTCTGCTACGAGCATTGCCGTTGAAGGGTTGAACGGGATGGAGTTGGGTGACAGGCACCTTAAGGTTGTGCGTGCCAGTATCGGAATGACCCAGGCCGCCGGTCTTGACATGGGCGTCAATGCGATGTCCATGTTTGCCAAGACGACGTCTCAGGACTTGGAGACCAGCCGTGTGTTGCAGCTGTTGAACATGGTGACTCCTGAGGAGCTCATCGATAGCGATGACTACGAAGGTTGGCTAGATTGCCCCTCGTTCAATTGTTTACTCACTAACTCTGCTAGAAATTTGCGACGACGTGCGCGAGGAGTGCTCGAAGTACGGACAAATCCTCGAGTTGAAGGTTCCTCGCCCCTCCGGCGGTAGCAGACAGTCCCCTGGCGTCGGCAAGATCTTCGTCAAGTTCGACTCGGTAGAGTCGGCCACGAATGCTTTGAAGGCGCTTGCGGGCAGGAAGTTCTCCGACCGGACCGTCGTGACGACGTATTTCTCCGAGGTGAGCACCTTCCCGATAAACCTTTCTGGATTTACTTTTGACACGTCATCTAGGAAAACTTCGATGTCAACGCTTGGTAGTTCCGATCAGTTCTGTATTGCGCTCCCAAAGTCTTCATGATGCTTAATTGATTCCAAGGCCTGTGCCCAGGGCCCGGGGCAGGCGATGCTCAATCTGTACTGGGGGGATTTATAATAGTGACTTTCAACCTAGTACTGGGTTACGATGTATCATAGCGAGAAACGATTACTTGGATGTGATTGTTGCTGTAGATTTGTAGATTGCTGGTGTATAATCTAGGGTCTGAGAAGGTTACCTGCCATCACAGGTCATGGTAATCGGCTCTGCAACCGGAATGTATCATAGACAGACTGAATCACAAGACTAGAGTATTCCATGCGCGATATTCGTGCTGTGACATCCATCTCGCACCTAAGTAACAAGGTAGCACCAAAGCCACAAGACATCCTGAATCAACACCAAAACTTCCCATTCAGAAATCAAACCCCTGTGAAGTCTACCCATAAACCGACGCGTCACCCAGCTAGCCGAAGCCGAAGCCACGCGTGCATGCCTGCTGCATCCTCCTCGGCAAGAGCCATCATACAACATCAACATCCTCCCACCGAAAGTAACAGCGACAGCGACAGCAACGTCCAAAAAAAACGTTAGAAGTATGCATTTACCTCAACCACAGGGACAAAGTAACCCTTTTTACAACCCGAATGCAAAGCCCACGACAAAGTCAACCCCATATAAACTGTACCGACCCTTCCAAATCACCCAGTAGCCTAAATATATTCCCAAAAGGTAGGTCGTTCCGCCGCCTTCTCACATAAACACTTTTGAAAATGAACCTTCGGCGAGCCTCGAACCTACGTCCTACACCTATGACTCAAGTATAGAAGTAGTATACAATTACCCGAGAAGTACCGCAAAACCACACCCAGGAGTCCATCCCCAGAACCAAAGCAGCGAGAGTGAGGGAGAAGTAAAGCCCACCTCACTCGCACGACACCTAAGCTCAAAAAAACCTAGCGCAGCACGAATGAATCCCCGGTAATCCCGTTCCCAAATTAAACACTTACTACCTAGTAGGCTAGGCTAGTGCCTACGGAAAAATGCCACGCGAGGATGAAACCTCCGTTTCGCGATCCCCTACCCCTCCGGAGAATAATCGGGAAGGTCCTTTAGGTCCGCCCGGACTCGCAAGAGGTATCTACTACCTATCTAGTCTAGGTGGCAAGAAGAAGAGATTAGACTAGATTGCCCTTGGGCTTGGGCTTGCTTGGCTGAAGTGGACTACTAGCCTAGGTTGGCTGGAATGGCGGGCAGGTGTGCGGCTTAGAATTGTCTAGGGTTGGGCTGGGCTGAGCTGGGCTTAGGTTGAGGGGAGGGGGAAATTAGATTGCGGATGGAGGGGACGGGGCGACGGGGGGAACGGGGGGAATACGGGTTGGGCGTGGAGATTATTCTGGTCTGGTCTGTCTGGTTTTCCCATTTTGGGTAAGGATGTGGAAGCTGAAGGGTTGAGGTAGAAGGTTTACTTATGATGGGATTCTTATGGGTCGTGATTATAGCGGGCTCTGGTGATGGGTGCTGAGTTTGATAAATTACCTATCATGTAGGAGTGAGTGTTGTGTTGCAGAGGGGTATAAGGACATATCTATTACTTCTAACCAGATACAATCACTTACATCATAGATCAATTGACTATGCTATTCCATGATTTATCCAGCGCAATCCATGAATTGCAATTGCAATATACCTCTGCTGCAGTTTTCAAGTAATGCCTCGGCTGCGAACAGCACCATCCATACCCCAGACAGCCTAGAACAAGAAACATCAAAACTAGAACACCAAAGACCCCATCCTCTTCCCAAATCCCCATCGGAGAACCCCACACCCCTCAAACCGTAGTAAACACTACTCCGTACTATTCCATGAAAACCCAAAGCAAACAAACAACACCAGAAAGTTAATGCACGCATGCTAAAACACCGCACCCTGCACTTCCACCTGCAACGGTCGTACCACACTACGAATACGTACAGGGGTCTAGAACTCTAACCGGGCAGTTCACCGGAGATTCTACCACCAAGGACCAAGGGGAAAACCAATCAAGGCCAAGCATAGTAAGCGATTCTACCACTGAGGACCAAGGGAAAAGAGAGCCAAGCATGGGAAGCGATTCCTGCAACGCGGAGTGAGAACCCCCATTCTCGTCTCGCACCCGAGAATCTCCTCGCACCATTAATTAAAGTTTGGGGGTTTTCTTTGCTGAGGGAAAGAAAGCGAGATTTTGTATGTATGTACGTAGCTAATTAGAAGGAAGGATTCCGGGGCTGGTCGAAGTCTGAGTGCTGCTGTCAGCACTGTTTTAGCTTGCAGCGTCTCCGGCGTGCTTGGCTGGCTGGCTGGCTCGCTTATTTCGGCGGCCGTCGGACGGAGGAAGAATTGGAAGAGCAGGTCTCCTTCCGTCGAATTGTTTAAGGTGGAATGATGTACTGTACCGATGATGTTCAACTAAAAGAAATGAAAGGGATTTGAAGGTATGATGTTCTCATATAGTGATGCAGATACATTCAAAATGATAAAATCAGAACAATAACCAGGGTATAAGTACAGTCGTGAACATAAAACATATGCAAGTTCTCATACAGTGTACACCAACACTTGTTTTCCCTTTTGGTCGTCGCGAGACACTCCGTGTAAAAATCCGAAACATAAATCAAAAAGATGGAAAAGCGAAGAAAGACCGTCCTGGAAAATGCCCCATGCCCATGCTCCATGCTCCATGCTCCATGCCCGTTGCTCCAATGCTCAAACCCCACCGAACCCAGATTAACGTCATTGCGATCCGTCACGTGGGTGCCCTGGCGCAAAGGTCGCTTGGGGATCCCACTCGCGGCCATGTCCCTGCGACGCACTGGGCGGGCGTGGCGATGAGAAACTCATCGTGGGGCTCACGTAGCGCGCCTCGCGGCCATAGCTGTCGGTATCGGGGCTGCGGGCGCCGGACGTCCGAGCGGGACTGGGCGATCGGATCACAGGCTCGGGGGTCTTGAAGGGCGGCGCGCCGGAGCTGTCGAGCATCTCGTAGGCGCGCGAGTCCGGCGTGCGGCGTGCGTCTGCCGAGACGAACTCGTTGGGGCGGGTGTATTTCGTCCTGAAGAGGTCGGACCAGCCCAGGAACATCGAGGGGCGCGCAAAGAGAATGAAGTTCCAGAAGCCGACCAACGACAGCAGGACGATGACGGCTAAAAGAGTGGCCTGATTGGGGATCACGCCCTCCAGCTTAGAGAAGCACTTTTGCTTGTCGCCCTCCGTGGCGACCAGACACCCCACCCATGGAAGAGTCAATTCGACGTTGGCGGGCGTCACGGCCAGTTTGTTGTCCATCTTGATAAAGACCACGGCGAAGAAGATCACGTTTCCGATGATGATCAGGTTCAGAGTGATGCTTCGCCATTGGAGCTGGATGACGCGGCGGATGCGGCGGTAGGCCTGGCGCGCGGTCATGGTGCGCACGCTGGACGAGTACGACGGGAGGCCCGAGCTGTTGGTCGTGGGGTTCTTGTCGAAGATCGATTTGACGTAGACGTGAATGCAGTACAGCATTGTGCCCAGCTGCAGGACCAGAGCCGCCGCCGCAAACGCCACCACTGGGGCCCAGTAAACCCGGTTGCTGTTGTGCACATTGATATGGCACGTCCCACCGAATCGGTAGGACACCCCCGTCAAGCACAGCATGACCGTCAATCCAATGATCGGAATGCCCCAGCCGAAAACGAAGGCGCCCCACATGAATTTCGTCCCCAGCATCACCTCCCAACATACTTGCAGGTGGAAAGCCAACGTACGGATAAAGCCTGAGCGACTCAGTCAGTTCATAGCAGACAACAATAAACCGCGACGAACATACTCCACGTTACAGCTACCCAGCCTCCAAACAAGAGTAACGAACCGGTAAAGGCGCACGCAATGTCCGAGTACATATCGTTAGGTGTGATCTGGTTATGACATTGCTGGGGATTGATCCCGAGCGGGATGATGAAGGCGATCTGTAGAGATGGGGGTCAATCGTCCCGTTTCCGTAACTGCTCGCGTGCATTGCGCTCTCACCTCGATGCAGCAGATTCCCAGTGTGAAGCAGATGCTCAGATAATGCCGATTCGTCAACTTGGCAGGAAGTACCGCGTACGATACCAGGAGGAAGATACAAAGAGGCAGGATTGCGACCCCGATCCAGCCGGCGGCCTGGGTTTTGTTGATCAGATCTACAGAGACCGTCCGTCTGCGATCAGCCATTGATTCCTCAAAAACCCAATGCGAAAAGCATACCGTCACCATATGTCCATGAAGCTAACGGGCACGGCAGGCAGCAAGAAACCTTGCCCTGCGGCGTTGTTATTGTTTCACAGTAACGTCCGTCGATGACTGGGTGGAAGCATAACATCAGAGCGCCGCACACAGCAGAATTGACCATAGAATTACATACAGCCGCCGGTAGACGGGAAGAATGACTCCTGATAGAAGGGTGTCGGACATAATCCGTGCAATGCTGAATTGTTCATGATGTGCGTATGGCTGAATGTCAAGTATACTCGTCAATTTCAATGGCAGGCGATTGCGGTGGCGAGACTGTCATGTCCTCAGAATGGGCGAAAATGAGGAGGGTTGCCAGCAACTCCGGACGTGACACCTCCCTGTAAGAGATACACGGCCGTGGTTCCACGGAGAAGGAATGAACAATTATAAGGCTCGAGTTACTGCCTGTGGACGCAGGGCAGGCCGGAAAAGAGCAGGTGGGAGCGAACGGACATGGGGGGGAGGGGGGAAGGAGGGGAAAGACGATCAGATATACTACCACCATCGATAATCGATGTGCATTGGGAGACTACCTAGAGTATGGGACCGTCCCGGGGTGCCACTCTAGGATCCAGAGATTCGGTTGGGGCACACTCTCTTGGACCTCATCTGGGTTACATGAGTGCTTCTGAAAAGGGTCCGTGTGGAATTCCCACTTTTCACAGATTTCCCTCATTGCGCCGAGCTTAACCTCAGGGGCACGATGGATGGTGGAGCCGGTGCAATGCAATGCACCGACAGGCTTGATGAGACGACGCCATCGAAGAAGTAAAGTTCCACGCTCCGTCGGGGTTTTCCAATTGACTGGGAGAAGGTGCATCATTATTGCTGGAAAGTATTAGGCGAAGAAGGAATCAGTCTAGCCATTCAGTATCGATAGGGCAAACTCAGAGCGGGGAAGGAGGCACAGTACAATCAGTATGTAATATGCCCTGGCATTGAGGCTGGACGTTTGTGAGTCGAAGCCTGGAGGGGGGAAAACGATGTTGTCGGAAAGCCCTAACCCGTTCAGGTAAATTTACCTGCATGAATAGAGACCCTTTCTATGCCATCATTGGACAGGCCAAGTATCGACTGAAGTCTACAGACCCACTGACACCCAAGGATCGGGATTCTGCTTACTTACAGAGAACGTGGGCTGTACTGTCAATAAAATACACATGGCTGCTAGCGAGTTTCAAGCCGTGCGTGAGAACTTGAACCATTCCAGGTTGTTCACTCCATTTTTCGGTCTCTTCCCTAAACGAGCCCTGCAACTCCGTAGTGGCAAGTAGTGTGACAAGCAGCCTTGTTCACTATTTTCATCACCATCTGATTCAGCTAGATCAAGTAACTTAGTTGAGGGCGGACTCTACCCGGTTCCATCTATCCAACCATCCAAAGGTGAGTTTCTCGCTACGGTTCCCAAACCAAAGAATGGTAGCCGACATGAGCAGGTCCGGGCACCAGGCCAGACAGACAGGCAGATAGACATTTGTGCGACTCAGTTGCCTCCGGCTAACCAGGTAAGTGACTAAGACCGACCGCGTACCTTACAGGCCTCGTGTGTCGGCACTGGCAGGGGTTGTCAGCGTTGCAGCATGGCGATAAACTTTGACCTGGAGGAAGACTATCCCTGGACAGGCAGCCTTCCCTGACGCTAACGCAACCAAGACTGCCTTCCTGCTCTTTCCTTTCCCATGATAGGAGGGGCTGATCAGCAATCCTAGTCGGGTTGTCGGTCGCTCTTGAGTTTGGCCGTCTTTGCCTGACTTTTGACTTTGCCCCTGTGCATTCTAACTCTAAACAGATGGTGGCCGCTGTCAGGTTACAGCATACTGTACTCTTACTCGTAGATAGCACGACTACTGTACATCTCGTGTGGTGTCGGCCATCCGCTCATGTAATACAGCAAATACCCAGCAATCGATGTTCTTGCTTGACAAAAGCTGACTGTGTAATGTCCGGGAATTTTCCCTGAGGCATTGAAGGTCTCTTTCGATGTAGCTAGTAGAGCCACTTACATTCTTCGACGGGAAACCAGAACAAGTAGAGTAAGAGGCGTAACGCTAGCCTGGATCCATCCCTCTTGCACGCCTCAATAAGCAAGACTAAAATTAATGACAATAATGGCTCTATGCTCGCTAGCGGCCTAGTGCCGACCTCCCCCATTGTGGAATCTAGATCTTTCCCCATCACAATGTGCATTGACCATTGCTGACAAGGCTCTCGCGTACGACTCTGCAGCTGCGCACCTTTCTCTCAACGATTGACCCCTCCTACGTAATCGCCTCAAGGCACTTCTCGTGAAAATGGAGCCATACGGTCGCAGGTACAAGACATGGAATGCATGCTGACTGTAGTCGTTGGAGTGTAGCCTGGATATCGCCCGTTGAGCCGCCCTTCTCGGTACTCGCCGCGTCTATACCTGCCGCGCGCCGCTGATCGACACTGAACTCGGTGCCAGTTTCCACGGAACCAACCTTCATCCTCGACAAGCTCACACCTGAACCTAGTCTCGAGTTTTTCTCTTCGCTCCGACAACCGGAAGAGGTCAGCACTGGCATTTTAGCTCAGACGAGCTTTTGCGTGATTGAGTATTGATTGACAGAGCCCGTGTCGGTTTAGGTGCAGAGAGTGGATGCGAATAGTTGGCGATCATCTTCAGGTGTTGAGAAACCGGTAGATAGATCGTGGCCCTACGAATGATGGGTTTTTGAGTTCCCTGCCGAAGCTGGAGAAGACAAACTCATCAACCTTATTGCTTAGTAGTGCTGTCGACGACCCTTTTTGTTTTTTTTCGCTCGCGGTTTCATAGCGTGTCACTCTGCTTCCTCGTGCGGTGGTGGTTCGTCACGGTCGATTTTCTCTCCCCCTTGCCAGTCCCCGGGGTTCTTGGTTGGGGGATCTTGCGACAATGGGTTCACGCATCATGTAATAGTCACCACACTATACCTACTAGAGCACGTCCGGCTTGAGACCTGACACGCAGACTGTCGCAGTCCTTAAGCACGTGGGGACCTACTACTATAATTGGCGACAGCATCAGCAGATAGATGGCAGCTTGCTTCGGAGTTCTCGGAGAGGAAGAAGTGAGTGACTAGGTCAAAACTGCACAGCACTGACTGACCACGTTCCCTCGCCAAATTCCACATCCACATCCACCTTCAATTTCCCTCCCGTGTAGTTAAGGTTAAGAACATGTCCACCATTCTTCGCCAGCCGAGCAGAACCAGCCAGAAGTGTCGTCATTCCGGACAACGCATGGATCTTTCCGTTCGGTTGTGGACGGCGGTACACCCTAGACGCCATTGACGCCCGTTCGTGGAAGTTTCCATCGAAGTCCGGAATTGAGGTTGATCGGTTATCCTTGTCGGCTGCGCCTGATCTTCTCTACTCCCTTCCCCCTTTTCCTTTCCAAAAAATCGCATGCATTGTCAATTTACGTCGCCCACCACGCGCTCTCCTTGGAACACAGAATGAACTAGTTTCTTGCTGGCGATATGCACAGCGCGCAGCCCCTAGTAGGCTAGTATACGGAGTGGCAGACGCTAACAGGATCTGCAACAACCAGAAAAGACAAGACCTTTAAAATAAAGACGATCGCCATCCTTGAAAGCAAACTATGCGGCCACTGCAGTAGTCTGTGGCAATGACATCGCTGCTGATGCGCTGGACGCGCTAGGCGAGGCAAATCCTGTAGTAATGATAATAGCAGTGTGCAAGTTGCGCAAGGCCAAACAAAAGGTTTGTTTTTCGAGGCCTTGGACTCTCTACCAGGGACAATTCCTCGTATTCTGAAATCCTTATTGTGGACAAACTTCTTACTGAGCATTTCATGCCTGGTCTTAAACCAAATGGTTCATCATCGACCCGAAAGGGTGCAAAGGGACGCAAATTAATGCCAGTATCTCTGGTAAATTTCGGGTGGAGGTTAAGAACCATAACACCTAGACCAGGTACAGGGTATATGATATATTGGAAGGATTCCTTTTCTTCTTTTCACACTCTGCTTACCCTTCATTTATTATTCGTGTCTTACGGAGCCAATAAATGTCAATCAATAGATTGGCGGACAGAAATAAGAATACGCGGGGGGCAAAAGTGCATTTTCCGACGATGACCGGCCGCGAGGCATTTCTTGCCATCATCGAGTCCCATCCCCCTGTGCTCGTTTGCGACTCTTCCCCGGTTCCAAGTTGGTATCTTCTGTTCTCAATTGGCCACATGATCCTCTGGAAGGGATTGCGTGCCCCAATGCCCGTCACTTGACCATCGCCAAAGCCCGTGAAATGACATGGGAATGGTTCAACGGACAGCGTCTCACCCCATACGATCATGCAATGAGAGCGAGAAGAGCTGAGCGCAACGATGCTAGGGGCCGCCTTGTGCATCCCTTTGGATTCTGCCCAGCAAGTCTCCATTTCAGACCGGCCAGCTTCCTCTCAGCATACAAACGGTCAAATGGCATCGTTCAAACCAATCAATGAGGGCGAGTCGGGGCTTTGCGTGATTGCGACAGGAACAGGTTCGACGACAGGCAAACCCCGGCTAGCCATAGGCTCTAGGCTCGTGCGTGTGCGCCCGCGGAACTCGGACTTCCATCCTTCCCTTCCACCCGCGATCTCCCTGGTCCGATCTCACCTTGTCGGTGGGTGCCATCGTGCTATATCAATCCTTATTATAGATTGATTCATTTTTTTTTCAGCTCAGCTTTGCTCCCCCTCCCCCCCGCTTCTGTGCTGGCCCTCTTTCCTTTGGCCCTGATTTGGTGAGCCCCTCCGCGTTCAGACGTTTCTCCTAGCTACTCCAGCATCAAATCACCTTCCACGATGCGCTTGTAATTGTGCCAACCATGGCCGCCTGATGCTATATGATCATCGTGATCCCTGATATCGATTCCTCCGGCCTGGGTCTGGGTCTGGATCCTCCGCAGCTTCCAGCTACTTAAGCGCGGTAGAACACGAAGGTTGGATGGCCGGTGAGATCCTGCACGGTTTCTCTCTCCTTCTGCCCTCTTCCTATACCTCATACCCACTTCATGGCTGCCACGAATGAGGGGTCTGGCTGTGGTTCCGACTGTGACCTTCCAAGAATTGTCGGGATCTAGTGCGCGATGGCTTTGTGACACATCACGACAACCCCCACAACGTGCACTGCACTGGACTCTGTACCTGGCTTGGAGTACGGATTAGAGGGGGTCGATCGATCGACGTGACTCACTCTACAGACCTGAATGTGTTGAGGTTGTCGCTGTATATGACGTGCACGAGATTCTCGTAGTGCGATCGCTACCTGCTAACACCACACATTTCTTTTGAGGCTCGACTAAAACTCGCAGAGATTTAGTTCAAGACGATGGAAAATGCCTTTCTTCCGCTTTTCCTCTACTCAGGCTACGCGGCCATCAATTCCCTCGACACGGGGCAAGGATGACTACTCTGCAACCTCGACCATGGGGTAGTCAGTCCGGATAATAGTGGAAATGTGATAGTGCGCGATACGGGACTTCCATGCCAGGATGAGGGCTCGTCCAGTATTGTCTCACAGTATGCAGCACTTGCTGTCAGGAGCACATTGCAATCTGACCTGTCTTCTTCCACTTGGAAATTCACCATGACGCAACGAACTCGCTCCGTACCTGCATACTGTGTAGAAAGGCACATCCAGGCCTGTGTTCTGGCTCATCAGCTCTCGCGCTCGCTAATAGGAAGCTGGGCTTGGGTGTCTTACAAGCACCCGAACCTACGAGAAGCATGATGGAGACCTGCAAACACGATCTCAACACGAGCTCGGTTACATCTAGCAGTGGGATTGACGGGGTTACATGTAAAGGGACAACCTTAGGCGAGGTAAATATGTGATTAGGACTACGAGGAGTGCGGCAAGGAGTACAGTCAATTCCAGAGACATTGTAGAAAACAGTTCTTGTGATTCAATTCCAGCTAAGCTAAACATTCGGTATTCCGGCATGTCTTGTGAGAGCAGTAACCTATCTGAAATGAGAATTAGCACATCGTGTCCGAATTCCCATAACGGCAGAGAATGCAAGGTATGTGAATATTGAGATCAGAAGTCCAGTTAGATCATCGAGATAGACCCAAGACCGGGTAAGGTCCCAGATCTACCTCTGACATAAGAGGTACCAGAAAATAAAAAAGTAAGGTGTGTTTCATCATATGAAGGAAGGAGTTGGGGAGAGTTTTGGAGGGGTACTAACCTGATGAGCAAAATCCGAGAACAGTCGTTTTGCTGAAATCACAGTGAAAGTGTGTCCTCGGAATTCAGAGAGTGTAAAAAAGCACATAAGCTTGGATCCCTCTTCAAAATATCGTTATCGACTCAGACGTACAACCAAAAGTTGCAGCCAAATTGCGCAAAAAGACAACAACACCTCCGAAAAAGAGAAGGAAGAAAAAAGTCCAGCCGACGGAGCCAAGATAAAGCGAGAAAAATAAGCGAACTTTGCTTGGGCCAGTCACATGACTATACCCACAAATCCCGAATTCAAGATCATGTGACCCACGAGAAAAGAGAATTCCCAAACCCACTTACTTACATCGAATTTGAATCTTCCGACAACACCACCAGCTTCGTCGACCAGAACAACCACCCTTCGACAACCTTTTTTCCTCCCTCATAATCCAAAAATGGGTCGTCTTCACTCCAAGGGAAAGGGCATTGCGTCCTCCGCTCTCCCCTACAGCCGCGCTCCCCCGGCCTGGTTCAAGGCTTCCTCCGAGCAGGTTGTTGAGCAGATCTGCAAGCTCGCCAAGAAGGGTGCTACCCCCTCCCAGATCGGTGTTGTTCTCCGTGACAGCCACGGTGTTGCCCAGGTTAAGCACGTCACTGGTATGTTTTTCTCTCTTGGTATATGGGTGGAGATGGGAGGATTGCGTGGCTAATGAAGAGGGATACAGGTAACAAGATCCTCCGTATCTTGAAGTCCAACGGTACGACATCACCATTATCATGCGCTTTGCACACCCCAGTCGCACCAGTACATTGAGATCGTCATTCGTCGGAACTCGAAAAGGATGAAGGTCTGGGAAATGCGAACCAGGATCGAGGAATCGCCTGCTGCGCCGGGATTGAAACCATATCCTTGGCTTCGACTGCGTGGAGATGGAACTGGCATCCTATGCTGTATACCCTATAAACGGGTAGATGGCATCAGGAAAGGAAGAGGGACGCAGGTTGAGACTATACCGCATCGTCCTAGGATGAAGAGGAAAATCTTCTCTCCAGCCAGTCAACCGTCTTCATCGCTATCGTCGATCTCGCATCCTGAACCGATTTCTCTCGTCATCGGCAACCCGACATGTTTCGACATCTCAAAAAACTGGAGGGAGGAAATGAAACCTGGAGAAGCGCGAGAAGACGAATCCCTGGTCCAATTAGTTTTGCGCACTTGGGATTTGAATTCTCTCGTTTCTCTGGGACATTCCCAAACCCGTATTGCCTCTGCTTGGTCCAAACCTAGGCTGACAGAGTGATCTTCAAACAGGTCTTGCCCCCGAGCTCCCCGAGGACCTGTACCACCTCATCAAGAAGGTAAGAACCATTCCCTAGCATATCCCAAACAAAGAAAGAAGTTGCTAACAATAACTCATCTTTAGGCCGTCGCCGTCCGCAAGCACCTTGAGCGTAACCGCAAGGACAAGGACAGCAAGTTCCGCCTGATTCTCATCGAGTCCCGTATCCACCGTCTGTCCCGCTACTACAAGTCCGTCGGTGTCCTCCCCCCCACCTGGCGCTACGAGTCCGCCACCGCCTCCACCCTCGTCGCTTAAGCGTATCACAACTACGTTGCGAAAGCTGTCGTTGTTCCCGTCGGGTTGGTTTGGTGTCTGGTGCCACTACCGCTACGTCGTGGCTTGGTTCTGTGTTCCCTTGCTATCTGCCTGAGAAGGTTGGGAGGTTAGGGTATATGTTCTGGTTGCGATGAAGTCCTAAAATTGAAAAACCTTTTACGACCTCCTATCAAATCTTCTTAGCGTAAATGTGTAGATTGTTCTCTATCATACTGTAGTTCTATTGTCTGGTGACACTGCACCGGCTTCTTATCTATGTACCAGCCAACCACCAATACATCACCCAAACTCTTTCCAGATGTGTCCCCAAACCTTGTATAGATCCATCCACGCTATTCATTTCCACCACGCTCCAAATTCCAACCCTAACCCAATAATCAAGACCCAGCAACCCTCACCTCCCTCGCAACCGCATTACACAACTCCACCCTCACCCCCGCCCCAGAGAGCACATGAATCCACAACCGCTGCGTATCACTCAAGCGATCATTCTCCGACTTGACCTCGACGAACATAACCTCCCCAAAGCCACTCCCCTCCTTTTTTTTCTCCCAACGCCTCATACTTTATCTCTCCTTCACCCTCCTCCTTATCCCTACAACCATCGACAGCATCGCCACCACCAAAAACCCTCCAAACCAACAAATCCGGCACCCCGCCACCACGAACAGAGTACTCCTGCGCCAACACCTTGCAGATACACGCCAGGGCCTCACCGGGGAAGCAACGGACGACCTCGACGAGATCCTCCAGGGCGAAGGACCAGTCCAGACCGACGGCGCAGGTCTGGGTCGGGCTCTCGCGGGCGTGGACGGCGCGCAGGATGCGCTCGGCGGCGCCGTTGGTGATCTCCACGAGGCGGTGGTTGATCTCGCTGGCGCGGGTCGGGTAGAAGGCGTCGGTGTGAAGGTCGAGCGGGGAGGTCTGGAACGGGGTCTGGAAGACGTTGGGCACGTAGGTCGTGAAGAGGATGTCGTAGAAGAGGTAGCCGAACTTTTTTTTTGTTTTGGTTCTGTCGTTAGTTTTGATGATCGGGGAAAAAGTTTTGCAATCAGATTTGAGGGAAGGGGATGGGCGAGGAGGATGGAGGAAACATACTAGAGTACGCACAATCCCGCCTTCGGAGTGATACCCTTTCCACCCCTGCTCGCGATACCAGTTCAGACACATCGTCTCGACGCGGCATTCGCCGCCTTCGCGCTCGTCTACCCACACCGTGGGACGGCCGCGTCTGGTACTACTACTACCACTGCTACTAGTATTGTTCCCATTGCCAGAAGGTGACTCCGTGTTTTCGGACAGAGATTCCGGCTCGACGATCTGGATGCCCTCGATGGTGCGCTCCGCAGGCTTGGCCAGCCGCACGTGTCCGAAATCGTGCTGCTCGCGCTTGACGATCTTCAGCGCTCTTTCGAGCTTCATGATGCGTTTCTGCAGATCGTAATGGAAGATCAGGTGGCAGTTGGGGTCCTCGAGACCCGTTTCGCACGTCCGCAGCGCAACCCGCCGCCAGTGTTTGCGCTGGACTTCCTCGCTGCGCCCTTCGTACGGACTCAGGGCCCACATGTAGTGTTCCTCCAGCAGAGCCTTGCGCTGGTACCACGCGCCGCGGCGCGCGGCGTGGAATAGCCGCTGGTCAAGGAGCTCGGTCAGGAGTCGATGTTCCTCCTGGTGTTCCTTGAACCGTCCGAGCGGGTGAAGACCCTTGTGGATGATCCGTGTATAGACCCATGCCGGCGAAAACCGGCGCAGGTACGCCCCTTCGCCGTACTCGTAGATGGTATCCTCTTTGCGCTGTTCCTGCGCCACGAGGACTTTCCAACGCGGGTAGACCTTGTACGCTAGATCTTTGATGTTGGTCAGATGTTCTACCGTGGGGGTGCCGCTGAACTCGAGGATATTGTCGATCTGGAATTGGGTGCGCAGAGCGGTTTCGAACTCAAGGAGAATCTCTCGGGAAGGGAAGATGGAACTGGAGCGGCATACGACGTAGTCCGGGAACGTCTTGCGGGAGATCTTCGCGAGGATGATGGTGGTTAGGGACTTTTCAGTCCATTCCGTGGAGCGGTAGAAGACCAGGTGGACGCGTTCGAATAGAGCGAGTGGACCAGCTGATAGTCTTATGCAATCACCTGTGTGGTCGAAGATCTTCTGCATGAAGTGGATGTCCCGGTTAGGGCCGGTTGATCCTGTGTTGCTAGGTTTACTGTTCCAGCCTAGACCGGTCTGCTTTTGACTGGACCGGTGCAGGGCGGCAATGAGCTCGTTCTTACTCTTGCCCTGCACCTTGGCTTCTTTGGCTAGTGTTTTGAGCTCGTCAAGAAGTAGCAAGGACGACGCTTCTTCTAGAGTGGTTATCTGATTCATGTGTTCAGCGAATCTGAACTCGCCGGCCAGACGTAAAGACGGGGCCGGGTCGATATCCGCGGGGTTTTCGCCCGTGGACACCGAGCACGACGAAAGGGGAAGACTGCGTGGACGTCGCAGCAAGGCGACCACCCGGGACATGTCTGCGATATCCGAGTAGTAACTAAGTCGGTTGATGCGGTGCCAGGCGGAAGTTTTCCGGAGGAAGAGGCGTACGTATCTAAGCCGTTAGGCTAGGGCTTCCGGGCAAACATGTACCAAGCAAAAGAGTAGACTCACAGATACTGAGCCTCGTAGTCCAGCTCCCGCCATTGTTTGAAGACTTCCATTTCCACCTCATCAAAGAGATGCGCTTCCTCGTCCAGCACAGTTTCCAGCGCTAGATTGAACGCATCAACATAGATGGAGCTCCGTCCTTTGCGCCATTTGCCATCCTGTAGTCTCTGATGTATATCCGGCTCGTCCTGGCTTGCCAGCCTGGCTGCTTCGTATTCCTCGATCGCCTGGCTATCATCCTGGATGGCTGGCAAAGACGATTCCAGTTCCGTTTGACTGTTCGACGGCGGGAAGTCGGCTTCATGTTCCGCTCCAGGCTCGGCTAAGACAGGATATGAGTCCACTCGATCTAGTACTGGCACCCCGACGTCTTTCGACAGCGCGGCTTCAAATGAGTCAGGGGTGTCCGTGTCACCGAGGGAAATAGTAGGGGTGGCGGGCATGTCATCCGTGGCGGTTTTTCTGCGCTTCGCGTTCGGACGCTGGGTGTCCCAGTAGTCCAACAGGGACATGCTGCCGGAGAAGCACAAGCATCGATCTAGCTGCCTTAACGCATGGCCTGTTGGCCGTTTATCCAAAGCAAAAGTCTGGTTTGATCTGCTTCGTCCAGGGAAGGAAAAAGCGTGACGCGAGCCGACACGAAGTCACCTGATCCATTTGCCCCAGAACGGAAATAGATGAGTTTGTCCTGTTTGCAAGACAGTTACTTACTGACTTGCTCAACTGGAACTGAGGACCAACCATCTTATCCCCTCCAGCATCTCAGCTGCATCAACTAGGCCTTCATATCTTGCCTGAATACCTACCTATCTGCCTACCTACCCACAATAGAATAAAATCAAGAACACATAGACACGCCCACTGCCCGGCTCCCTTACATCAAATACCTCATGATGACCGACCCCAACCCAGTAAGGAACTCACCTCCGTGGCGGAACTATGGAATGATGATGGCAACGCGAACCCCACCGGCGGAGCCCTGATGGGAGGAGTATCCAAGCTCAGTAGCTCCGCTTTTTTTCTGTCTCCCTCTTGCTCTATCAATTGCGCTCTATTGTACATCTCTACCCATTGCGACCCTCCTCCAATTGACCTACCACCCACACCTCCATCTGAGAGAACAAACCAAATCCCCTAACCTACTTCATCCCCACCAGCCTTCCGCAAACGGTTCCGCGGCCAATCCTCCTCCCCCGACCACCGACCCAGACCCTTCAGCGCCAACTCCAACAGCAGCAGAAACAGCTCCTCCCCAAGCACCAGAACAACAACAAGAAGAAAACCAAACCCAACAACCCGGAACATCGACTCCCCTCCCAACAACAACCGCAATCCCCGCAACAACAACAACAACAACAACAACAACAATGGCCCCCGACTCCACCTCCGCCAACACCCCGACCGCAGACTCGACCGCCGCCCCAACGCCCCCCAACACCACCACCGCCGCAGCGACGGCAAACGGCTCGCAGATCCGACCGGGCGGTGCTCCCGCGCGAGTCTACATGAACGAGAAGATCGTGCCGTATCTCCTGGAGGGGATGAAGGGCATTGCGAAGGAGCAGTACGTATTCTACCTTCCATCTTCCTCTTGCCCCGAGTTCGAGCTCCCCCAATATGCACTTAAAGGATGGGCCATTTCATTGTAAAGTCATGGCATCATCATCTCAAAAACCCATGGAATCTTGAACTCGACCCAAAGAGCGAGAAACGATCCAAACCAGAAACAATATTGAACCCCGCAAGCTAACGAAAGATTTCCGCATCAACAAACAGACCCTCGAACCCTCTCCGTGTGCTCGGTGAATTTCTCATCCAGAAAAGCAACGAGATCGAGCAGGGCGGCACTGCTTCTGCGGCAGCAACGGCGATAGCGAAGACGCCGGAGTAAGAAACGGGTCAATGGCTCCCTATAATGGCGGTACGGATAATGCGCGCATTGAGAGATTTTCTTTACGCTATATAGACGGTGTTTCGGCGCGTTGTGATGCGAATATCATCCGATGCGGTGCGGGAACTGGGTGCGCCATGATGCCCATAAGCTTGGTTGCTGTGCTGGCCTACTTGGGTGGGCACAATAAGGCTTTGATGGGAAGCTCTTGCTGTCCTTTGCCGGAACGGCGAAAAAGACCACAAGGAGTTGGCGGTAGTGACTACTATAAAGGTGCTAGGTGCTAAGGTAACGCAAGGATGATTCAGGTAGGAGGTACCATTCATCGCCGTCCTAGACTAGAACCGTGAGCTTGCTTGTGGTGAACACTCTTGTTTGAGACAAGACGCCACTGCTACAAGGGCTGTGTGGCGGGTGGAACCGTTGAGTCTGCTCCGCGGCGCTCTTGGAACGATATTAAGTCTCTGGGATCCCTGTTATGGATGTACACATAAATTGCTTGTCTTGAATTTAGATGATTCGACAGAGCGATCTAAGTATGGTCACCGGGTTATGTTTTTGTATTTTGGCCAGGTTGCACAAGGATTGGACTGGCACGACAAATGCGACCAAAAACTCCAGAATTACTCCAGTGTGCAAGAGAATTACATTCAGAGCTCTATCACCATGACAACCTGTATTTCCAATAGTATCAAGCTACATAGATGTATGTTTCTGGCTGGAGCTGTGCCATATGACCTGCGTTAGCAAAAAGGGTCGAAATCTTCAGCAATCATAATGCTCTCCATTTTCCACCGCGATGCAAGGAGTTCGGTCGGTCGGTCAACCCAGCCAGGCAAGGTAGGTGGACCAGTCAGGTCAAAGATTCCCCTTTGGATCAGTTCTGTGCCCTCCAGGACAATAACAACAACCAGAACAAGGGAAAAGAACCTACCGTTCCGCATTTCGACAGATTCGCCGTTGCAGTGGTAGCGCTGTGGATTGGTCGCATTTACAGGAATCACCTCACTGATCGAACAAAGTTCTGGTTTGTTTGCTGTGTTCCGTGGCCATACTACAACGCACAGCAGCAGCAACAACAACAGCAGCAAACGGCGGTGCGAAAGTGCCACTGCAAGGCTGCTTCAGCACTTCTGCGCTGCGAATGTTGCTCGGTCGCGATCCAGAGGAAACCATTCTTAGGGCGCAATGAACATCTTGGAGCATAGCATTTAACGGTAGAAGTTTTTCTCTGGCCGCATACATTCGAAAGAGTCGTTACGTGTAAAGAGAGTTGTATAAGACGCAATAGACGCAAAATAGGCGAACAGCTGACTGAAGACTGAAGACTGACTGACTGACTAGGAGCGAGATAACGACCAAGTTTCCGGAAGAGCTGAGGGGTGAAATGTAGCAGTGCTGATCCATCTGACAATCCGAGGAATTACAACGTTATTGTGTGTAAAGATCTTGTTCTGTTCTCTTCTTTCCCTTGCCGCCAATTTTTTCTCCGGTAGTTGCGCGAGCGAATTAACAAAAGAAAACATCAGTATGTGTGACCGAGGAGCGACGAAACCACAGGGAATTCTCTTTTTTTTTCTGTCCACGAAATTATTTTTTTTGTTCTTTTTCATTCTTTTCTCCTCACGCACTTTGATTGACAGTCGAATGGGCCGATGCTTGCTGGCGTGCCGATTTTGCCCGAGGCTGACATGTGAACGTAATGAGGACTCCCTTGGTTTGGATTGCTTTTCGGCATAAGACAACACAGAAAGGTCCCTATCGTAGTCCTTCGAGCTCATTTCCATTCATCCGGGGGTATTAGAAGAAGAAAAAAAGGGGGAAACCATTTCAAGAAACATGAAAAGTGAAGGGGATGGTCACGGTAACAGGGGAAGTTGAGGGAAGTATGGTGAAAGGAAACGAGGGAGAAGACCTAAACGGACCTGAGGCGGAAAATCATGGCATGACCTTGATTCAACCGCCCCTGTCTGGTCAGTCCACCTACCTGGTGCTGTAACGGTCATCACCACGGGGTTCGTAGGAGCGGCCGCTGCCACCACCACTGCCACCGCCGCCGGCATAAGGCTCGCGAGCAGGGGGGGCGGATCCGTAGCTAGCGGCGTTAGCATCGCGGTCATAGTAGCCACGGCGCTCTTCGCCACCACCACCGCCACCAGCACGACGTTCTTCACCACCACCACCACCGCCGCCGCGGCGCTCATCGCGGTTGTAACGGTCCTCACGACCACCGCCAGAGGCATAGCGGTCGATGCCACCGCCACCACCACCGCCCCCACCACGGTAACCATAGTCATCACGGTAATCGCGGCGACCGTAATCGCGGTAGTCACGGCCACCACCATAGTCGCGACGGTCGCTGTAGGAGTCGTAGCGGCCATAGCGGTAGTCATCGCCGCCACGACGCCAGTTACCACCGTAACCACCGCCACGGCGATCGTCATAACGGTCGCCACGGCCACGGTGACCTCCACGGAAGTCTTCTAAGATCAGCATTAGATGTTAATTCAGTCACTCAGGGGAAAGGGGGACCAAATCATACCGCGCTTGGGAGGACCGAAGTATTTGCCAGGGGTAGGGGTTCTGGGACGGCTGCGACGAGCCTTCTCGATGCTCAAGGTACGGCCTTCAATGACCTCACCCTGGAGACCCTCCTTGGCAGCATCGGCCTGCTCGGCAGTGACCATCTTGACGAAGCCAAAGCCACGAGACTCCTTGGTGTGGGGGTCGACCATGATCGAGCAGTTCTCGACGTCACCATACTTCTCGAAGAGACGCGAAATGTCCGACTCAGTCAGACGGGGGTGGATGCCAGTGACGAAGAGGTTAGAGCCAGTGTTGAGGGCGCCTTCCTCATCGTCATCAATAGGAGGCTTGCGAGTATCAACAGGGGGGCTAGCATGTGATGGTCAAGGTCAGCTGGTTGGCCGAGGAAGATATCGCCACCCATGGTGGTGATGATGCTTGATCTAAGCTCTTTTCCGGGGTAACGTACCGGTCATCGACGCGTCCGTTGGGCGAACGGCTACGGGTGCGGTCGCCGCGCGGTTCATCGCGAGGAGATGCGCTGCGATCGCGGGCAAAACGAGGTTCGTCTATCAAGTTGCGAAGAGAAAAAAGTTCCACGTATTAGTCGTGTTCTTGCGTAGTTACCCGGGCGATGAGCAGGCCGGGCTGGGATGGCGATAGCTTGACATACCGTCGTAGCGACCGTTTTCGTGATCGTACTCTGTGGCCATGATGATGGTTTCTGTGAAGAAATTGAAAGGGAAATCGACAGAGGTTGATTGAGTCGAGAAGAGCGCGCGCGACGCTGAGAGTTAGTGATGAGAAGCTGAAAAATTCAACGACCGATCACGACTGCTTTTACACCCAAATAGTAGAAACTCAAGCAATGAGTTTAACTCTGGAATCCGTAAAGAATATTGTGAGTGAAGGAAGAGAGAGCAGGAACAAGGGAGAAGAGAAGGGAGGGAAGAAAGGAGGATGAAGAATTCCAGAGGTGATGATGAAAGAAGGAAGGGGGAAACCGGAAAAGCGAGAGCGAGAGAGAGAAGAGCTGAGAGAGCACGGGACGGAGGTTCGTCTTTCCAATGATCCAGCCGCCAGCGGCTCTGCGCCAAGACTGGCATCTTTCCATTCATTCACTTTTTCCCCCCCAGCGTTTACAGGCGTCGTTGGACCAAGCAAACAAATTGAGGATGACAAACAGATCACGGAAAGATTCATCCATTCAATAAAGAGAAGGAAAAACTAGAAATCCCCATACAGTCAACGCCCACTAATCAAGTGATGCTGGCTATCTACGGCCCAAAAATGCCATTCCTCGTGGTCATGAAAACGCCATCCCTTCAGATGGCTGAACAACTGTTGACAAAAAGCAAACATACGGAAACAAGAAGAGGCGAATTAGTGACAATGGAGGGAAGAAAAAAAAGAAGAAGCAGAAGAAGAAGAAGAAAAGAGAAAAGCAAGAATATCCACATTAGACAATCCCCTGCACCTTGCTTGTACTACTTGAACCCACGCCAACGTCGTCGCGTTCGGTGTGTCTTGACATGCTGCTGAGGAGGAGCACTTCTGTCCGAGGTCTCCAGCGACGCGTTGACCACCTGCCCTTCCAGATCATCCTCCTCAACCAAATCCTTGAGCTCGTCCTCGTCTAGTTCGCTCAATTCCTCGCTCATGCCCCGCATAACATCCCGTCCCGTCCAGCGCTCCTCATGAATAGTCGTTCCCACAGGGTCAAATGGTTGCATATACCATTGAATCCCACCGAGCGACAAGGGATTTTGCTGGTCACCTGTGAAGCTTTGAGATGGTGTGAGGGGGTCTTTTTGAGCGTCTGTCGGTGGATGGGCTGGTTGCGAGCTGTCTATGTCGGTCTTTTCGACCGATTCACTTACAGCTGGTTCGATTCCTTCCATGGTAGTTTGTGAAGTTGTAGGGGCATCCTCATTCATCTGTGGCTCTGATCCCTGTACCGTAGTAGTAGGCGTTGGCACCGAGTCGGGGGCTGTCTGAACATGCGAATCTGTAGACTCTTCAACAGTCTGTAAATTATCTGCATTCGGCTCAACACCTGCATCGGCCTTTTCAGGTACTGCAGCAATGTCGGTTCCTTCGTCGAGTTCCGCTTTAGCAGTAATCTCTTCGATTTTCTGCTCCACGGCCTGACTCGGACCTTGGGGTTGGTCTGCATTGTCAGTTCCGGGTCGCTCTACAGGGTCGGCCTCGGACCCTCTTCGGGACATGACACTGTTCTCCAGCATGAGATCAAGCTCTTTCAACTCTTGCTCAAAAGGCTTGCGGTTAAGTTCACTCTCCTTCCTGATCGCATCTTCCAATGCTGGTTGAATAGCTTTGATGATGCGCTTAGCTAATTTTCTCTTCTCACGCTGTTCGAGGCTGAGTTCTGGAGCACGGCCACTGATCTGCATCTGCAGCTCTGCAGTGTCTCCAGCTGGTTGAACACCAATCTCGGTGGTGAATTCCCTGGCAAGGTCGGCAGAGAACCCTGCCACCGATGAGTAGTAGCGCTCTTGCAGCTTTGCGCGAATGGACGACAATCCCTGCTTGAAAATACCTTTGCCATCAAGCCTGCGAGAACATTAGTGAGAGACGAGATATCAGGACCGGTGCAGCTGCTTACCCTTGAGCTTTTTCGAATATAGGCCACAGCAAAGGGAAGATGGGAAAGTAGACGTTGTCCACGACGCTCCGCAGAGTTTCCACGTCCTTCAGCTTCTCCCTTTCCCTCTTTTTGACTTCCTCACACAGCATTCTCAGCCTATCCAGATCGTAGCAGAGCCTCTGGCCGAATTCGATGCGCCGCTGAAGTCGCTTGCTGCCAGTTACTCCCATGGCGACATAATCTCTCCTAGTCATCTCCATCGACGAGAAGGTTTCCAGCTGCAACTGTAACCGTTTCAGGAGCGCAGCACCACGTCTCGCTTCACGTTTGAGAGTCCAGTATTTGCAGGCATCTTCTGCGAATTGCTTTCTCTGCCGCACTCCAAAACGTTGAAGCGAGGCTACAACCGAGTTCAAGACGACCTGGGGGATCACCGGAGCTCCAGACGGCAGCTTCCAAATCGTCTTCGGCGCGGCCATCCGCTTGCGCTTGTTGCCACCGACAGTAAGTGTTATTCGTGGGGTATGTGTCCGGTACCCCTCGTCATCTCCATGTTCACCGATATGAGAGTGGGCTGGTTCCAGCGACAACGCTGCTGCCTGACTATCTCCCCACCGGCGACCCTGCATGGTGTTACGGTAATACTCGATCGCGTCCGCCGTAGCAGCGTCAGTACCGTGCTCTCTGCGCCATTCGGGTGGTACATGCTTATCACAGAAGGCCTTGAGGAGATGTGAGTCCATCACGGCCGGGGTTCCGTGGCCTGACTTCATTTTCAAATATAGCTGGGCCCGCCGCGCACATGTTACGTGGAATGCCACAAAGCAATTCTTGTTGCTGCACTGGATGGATGCGCCCATTCTCTGGCGACAAATGTAGCAGTGAAGTTTCCAGCGACTTCGAGGCACCTTCTCCACGTCAGTAATCGGCTCCATCAGAGACGGATTGCCAATCGACACCTCCGGGATCCAAATCGCACAGAGAAGGTGAGACCATTTAGAGGTGGTGGTCTGTTTGAAGGCGCCCTCAGTGTTCGGGCAGAATATACAGTTGACTGACCCTCTGCCTATGAGCTGACACTTGCGGCAAAGCCACTGCCCCTCGGGAATGAAAGGCACACCATAGCACTCTTGGTGCACTGCTAGGTCACATCCATCGCAGAACACAATGGCATTCGAGTTTTCACAGTCGCCATCGTCACAAATGGCACACTTGCTGTCCTGCTCTTCTCCGGGCGCGGTTTCCCCATTGACCGCGGCGGCGGAGCTTGAACGAGGACGCTGCGTCTGAGGAGGTTTTGGGTTTGGTTTGGGAATGCGCTTCTCCAGGGCATACCACTCCTTTTCGATTTTGGTCATTGTAATTTCGAAGACCGCCGGCTTGATTGGCTCCACTTCATCTTCCCTCCGTTTCGCATTATAGTCTTCCAGCCACTTCTCATCCTGTTCGTCCATATCATATTCCACCCGACCAACAGCCGCATTGACCTCTCCCTCTGAGCCAACAGGGTTGGTCAGATCCAGGTCATCTTCCTGTGTACCTTCTGACATTCGAACCAAGCGGCGGTCATGCCGCAGGAACAGGTCGCTCTCCTGATAGCCTACACTCGCCATGGTACGGTCGACATAATTCTGCTGGCCAACCCCAGGCTGATCATAGAAGGTAAACGGATCCCGTAGTCGGAATGTGGGCTTCGGCAGCGTCAATCTTTCGCGAGGATTGGGACCGGGAGGAGGAACAGCTTTCGGTTGCGGCGAGATACCCAGAGCATGGAGGATAGCTTCGGGGCGACGCGGAGGACGCCCAGGACGACGCTTCATCGGCGATGGCGAAGTGCCATTTGTGTGCGCTCGAATGAGTTCCGCAATCGGGTCTTTCTCACTACTATTATCCAGGCCGTTAGGCGACAGGATCTGGGCTATCGACGCCGACGGTGGAGGCCCATCCACGTCTTCTGCGCTGAAAACCGTAAACTTGGTGTCGATGTCCAAGTCCGGATGGAACTCCTCCCATCCTCGTTCCTCCCGTGGTTTGTACCCATCTCCTTGTTGAAGCGCAAGGGCAGCCGCCGTTGAGGAACCGAATCGGCCACGGTTCTGGCTTTTCTCTCGTCTAAGGCGTGCAGAAGGCGGCGTGGAGGGTACAGGAGGAGGTGGCGGCGGAGGAGGGAGCTGAACGGGCTGAACGGGCTGAACGGGCTGAGGAGGCTCTGGGTCCGGAACAGGGCGACTCCGGGAGCTCGAGGAGTTTCGTCGAGCTGCTGGACTAGGCTTTTGCCTCGGAGCGGGCTCCTTAACCTCAAGTTCGATATACCTCCCTCCTCCACCGGGGCCACCGGGAACATACTTCCGTTTCTTGAGGGGTGGGCCTTCCGAGGTGGTCGGATCCGAGCTCCGCGATGTCTTCAAGGTGACCTTGGTCTGGTTTCTCGACGATCTCCCCGGGGAGGAACGATATTTCGATGACGAGAGCGGCGCCATTTTCTTTGTTGCAAGCGCAGACGAAAGCGGCGTGGGTGTTTGTTGATGGACCGTCGCCGAGCTGGGCGCTCAGCCTCACTGTTTGAGGGGGTGTGAATGTGGGAATTGACGTGCGAAATCACAACCAACTAGACTGCGCCGTAGAACAAAATATCACCACATCAGATAAGCCAGCTAGGTATAGCATGACTTATCGGAGGACACGCTCTCCTACTGGTAAGCAGGCCAGGATGGGGAGGGCGACAAGCGAGAGGAAGACGCGCAAGGACCGCGAAAGCAACGGAGTGAGTGCTGAGTGAATGTCGGGCTTATCAAGCCAAAGGCGGAGAGGCACAAACAACCCGCACGCAACTTACCCGCAACCCGCAACCCGCGCTTCCTCTCCCGCCATTGGGAATCTCCGCCCGCCGACCCTTCCAGCTCCATCAACTCTGTCCCTCAGAACCACGGCGAGTTTACACGGTCAACCCGTGCTGGCAAAACCTCCTACTTCAGCTGTGACTGGAAATAAATTGGATGCAAGGATGAGTGGTCCCGGCGACGACCGGTGAGTTCGCTCTTTTTTTTTGCTGTCTCCAACTTCCCAATCCACTCCCCTCTCCGCCCTAATTACCATTTCCCGATGGTTCTGTCCCCTCGTGCCAGTAGCATTCCTGGTGGCTGACCGTCCCAATTGTCTTAGCAGTAGCTGGCGCGGAGGTCGTCCGTACGAGCAGAACCGCCACGCCGCATCATCGCAGCGACATTCCTCCTCCCGAACAATGAGCGCCCATGGCAGCTCTCGAGGGGGGCAGCAGCAGAACACATGGAGCGATCCCTCTCGCGAACAACCCTCCTCTGGACCTCGGCAGGAACAGCACGTCCCCGTGCGAGGCTTCAATGCCTCTGAGTCGAAGGCGGCTCTTAAGAGAGGTATGTTAGATTTCCTGACTCGGTTGTCTTCCAGTAGCTCTCCTCGACCGTGGCTTACACTTTGCTTTCCTTGATCTCGCAGGGCCCGGAGGTACGAACCTAGTCACCGAATTACCCCGACCTGAACAGAAAGAATAAACTGACCGTACCTCTATCTCAGAATCACGGCCCTTCTATTACAAACCGCAAGGCAAGGACACCAACAACCGGGCCAGCGGGCCCTGGGGTGCTAAACGTACGTTACAATCAATCATTCCCACCCGCGAGATAATTTGCGCCAGCTTGTTAAACGCGACGAATGTCTAACTCGGTGAATAGCCAACCAGATGGCCAACGGCAAGGACTTCTTCCTCGAACTGCGCAAACAGGTGACGGCCCTGCGGCAGGGTAGCCCTGTTGCCGGTGGATGATGGAACTTTCACTGCTGGGAAACCTGCACTCGGGACACAAGCACCATTGTATAAACCCCAGGGGTGCTTAGTCCGCGGGCATGGCAGTCACAAGAATAGCACGGGCTCAAAATGGCTTGTCACAGCTTATATGAAGGGAAGCCCTACTTCTCCAGCCGTGACTTGAACTTGACGCCACTTTTAAACCCCGGTTTGGATAGTAGACTGGGTTGACAGCTATTGACGCCGATTGTTAGAGGCCGTGCTGGCCCGTAGAAGCGGAGAGCATTAATTATTCTACAAGCGATGCAGTGTTCAGCTAGACCGTTCGACCTAAATACCCAATCATGACGGAATGACCTCTTTCTAGAAGGCCGTACCACCGCTCACAGTATGCTAAAATATAATAAGCCGTAGTAATGACATTCGCTTCGATATACCTGCATGAACCTCGAATCCAGGCGTCCAAGACATACTATACATAACCATTGACTAGTGTACAACGGTGCAGCGTAATCCTCTCAAACAGGTACGGCGCATTCCGTCCTTCAATCATCTCGAACCCACCCGCCAGGACCCCAGAAGCCGCCATCCACCGCCTCAGAATCATCAGCAAGAGACCACTTCCTGAGGGCACGAGCAGAGAGATCCGTACGCCATCCAGCCTCATACATCTCCATGCCAGCCCACGCAATCATAGCGGCATTATCCGTGCACAGGTACGGCGGCGGTGCATAAATCTCCATGTGTCCAAAGCCACGCACATCGAGAAACGCGCGGAGCACGGTCTTCAAAAACTGATTCGCCGCGACACCGCCGCTGATAACCAGAGACCGGATGGGCTTCTCGTCGGGTTTGTCCTCGAGCGCGATGATCAAGCGCGACGCGATATGCTCGAAGCTGGTGCGCATGGCCTCGCGCGCCAGGGCCACGCGCTCACCGTCCGCCCAACCCGCGCCGCCGGCCTGTTCCTTACGCGCGACGATCCGGCCGACGGCCGTTTCGATAGAAGAGAAGCTGAACTGCAGGTCCCGCGTCTTGGCGAAGGGGGTCGTCAGCGCCCAGCCCCATTCGTTGGGCGGAGGTTTCTGGACCTCCTCGCCGCGAGAGGCCGGGGCGCGATAGTTGACGTAGTCGGCGCGGCCGTTGGGAAACGCAAACTGGTCCAGCAGTTTTGCGTACATGGTGCTCTTAGAAGTTGCGATCAGGGAGTCTGGGAGGATGAGCCGTGCGGCTTTGTCGAGCGCGTCCCCGGCGGCGACGTCCGCCGTCGAGGCGAGGACTTCGTGGTTGGTGATCGACGTCGACTTCACCAGCATCGTGTGGCCGCCTGAGGCCAGGATTGACATGAACGGGAACGCGGGCTGGACCTCCCCCAGTTGTTGGCGGGGCGTTTCATCGCGATGGGTGGTGGCGTTCTCCGGGTTGTTCGCTAGATTTTGTTCCAGATAGTGTTGAAGGCGTGGAGTCAACAGATGAGCCTGCATGTGGTGCACCCCGATGAATGGAACCTGCCATGCCACGGAAAGTGCCTTCCCCGTATCTAATCCGACGAAAAGGTTGGACCTCATTCCTGGGCCCCGCGTGGCGCACACGATGTCCGGTTTGCGTCGGGATCCATCGCCATTCGACAACGTGACTAGCTTATGACTGGGAGTATCGGGTGAGGTAGCGGGCGGTAATTTCGTGAGGGCCTTGTTGACGAGATTCGCAAGGTTTTCTTGATGCGACTCGAGGGCGACGACCGGATGGATGCCTTTGTATGCCGTGGAGTCGCACGTTACTTTATCAAGGAAGTGAAGTGTCGCATAGCCGCCTTCCTTTTCGACAATCGAGACCGACGTGTCATCGCTACATTCAGGCTTCTATTAGTCCATTTCTCCTGCGGTGCGGCATGGTAGGGATCTTGAACTAACCAAGACGTCTCGATGGCAAGAGTAAGCAACCCACGCGCATGCGGTACGAAGCATCGCTTAGCAGCGACTCCCGCGCTTCGCCGGAATGCAATATGTGATATCGTCGAAGCTGTTAACATAAGGAGAATTGTGAGCAGCACAATGGACCAGATAAGATTCTATCGCCCATCGGCGGCGAAAGAAGCGGACCGGAGGTTTCCTCGCACGGGCCGCAGGAGCCCTGGAATGCTGCCCTAACATAACTAAAAGGGAAATATGTTAGACAGCTCAGCTTGAGAGTACTATTCATTATAGTACTGTATATTCATACCCCCTTGCCCCAACATTGTGGCTCTTTGACAGGCTATCATGGTTTCTAAGTTGCCGCCCTTTCAATCTCAAGTATATGTTCTGCAAATCAAGCCTATCTGTATAGTAGTATAGTTATTCAAGAACTAGTCTATTCCAATGGAAGTCTGAATTCCATATCACCGGAAAGTCCGAGGTTATATGACCTTACCTTAGCTGCTCAGCGATTCTCAAAATTGCGCCAGAAGCATACCAGTGCCGAAACGATGTCTAGTCTAGTGTATAGGAGACATAGCAATGCCAATTCCGGTCTGAAAGAGAGAGAAGTGGCCTGACCTCTGCAGAAACCCCCTTTAGTGAATTTACCATCGCAACCATACAAGCAGGTCTGCTTTACCAAACACGAACAAGAAGAGTGAGTAGAGCCTGAACGAGTGTAATTGGAATACTCCAGGATATGCCCGTATGCTAAATACTTGGACGCCAAATCACATCATCACGTCATTATCATAACAGAAGTCATATACACGGTGAGAACCTGCTCTCTAAACCATTCTTTCGAATGCATCCAAATCCATATACCGTACCAGCCCAGACAGAGATCTAGCGCTTGAGAACGATAGTCTGAGCCAGCACGGTAGTCCTCGCCCTCTATGTGCAGGATTGACACGTCAAAGCTGTGTTGGAGTAGGATATCGGCAGGTGGTATTGCAACTCAACCGGTACACACCATTGAGGCTGAAGACTTGCCCTTGCTTTGACCCATCTCGATGAGCAATTGCATGGGTACGCTCACCACAGCGACACTCATCTTGAGATTTGAGAAGCCCAATTCGACTCTCGCCCAGTTCATTCTCGTACAATCCAGCGTCGCTCCTCGCGCGACAGTTTGGTGTAGGTGCCATAATACTCCTCCGGATTCTCAATTGGCGTCACACAGTGAACAGTTGGGGTGCCCTTGAATTGAATCCGTTTCTCGGAATTGGTGGAAGCACTTGATGCGGAATGCTTCTTGAGGATGCTTTTGGAGGTGCACGAGTTGCTGTACCCAAAGGACGGCACCTGTAGCGTCGAAAAGCGCTTTGCACCTGGACTCGCCGGGGAGATTGGAGTTCGGGGAACAGCACCGGGAGACTTGAGAGGGAATGACGAGCGAGAGGCATTCTGTGCCGCAGAGATGCTTAAAGAAAGCTTTGGTCGAGCATACATTTTGACGATGATTGTTTCAACACGAGGAATAGAGGACGGTTATATCGGCGTGGATACAGAGGATGATCCAAAATTCAAATATGACGAGTGCAAAAAATCGATTGGCAGCAGGACTTTGATCAACAAAGTTTCCACAGAGGCAGGCGTGTAAATGATACTATTATTATTTATTGACGTCAAGGAATAAGAAGTGAAAAACAGATAGCTTGCTTGGGCCAGCCAAACGAACTAGACAGAGACAAAAATAGAACGGAAAGAAAAAACTGCACAACCTCAAACCGACGGCGTGTCAGAAAAGAGGAAGGGTCCAAATGCAGGGCGACTACTGAGCGGCTATATAGCTGTTCAATGCCCTCCAGAGCAGACCAGAGGAGGAGAGAAAGTCTTGGGGCAAGAGGGGGTCGAGGTGGAGGCGGGACCAATCACTGCCGCTCATCACACTTTAAGCGCCCAAGAGCTGCACAACTGCACAATTAAGCACACACCAAACCTCCATCACACACTGATGGACAAATCATTGCCACCAACTCAGCAGTGTGACCAGCCCATGGTCTGTGCAAGGTTCCTATTTTTGGGTCAAGTCCGTCAAATCGTCAGGCCAACCAGCCGGAGTCCTGATATTCGTACAGGACATCGAGAAAAGTCAATTCTGCAGAAGCAAAAAGAACGAATAGGATTATCTCTTATCTTAGAGGGTTTGTGAGATGGATGGTTGCTGAGTCCCTTGCACCTGCAGACGCACACAGGGCACATCAATATCACACCCTCATGCGATGGTTGGTGCTTGCCACCCAGCACTTGGCCTTCCCTTTCAATCTCCACGCATAATCAATCAAAAGCCGGCATATCGGCAAAATCGGTGTGACTATCATGCGCTAGGTTGACTTGCGTGTTGATCGAACGATATCCTGAAGTCATGAGTGTGTCTGTATCACACAGCTTGTCCCACGTACCGCGAAGATGACTGGCTCTACGCCTTGTAGCGTACAGGATCACTGTTTCTCCGAGATCTCCATACTGCATTATAGACGGGCACAGCTCTCACTTCAGATAGAGCAATCGGCAGATGCTGGTCCTAGCACGGGAGGCCGGTGTGCCTCGCAGTGAGCAGAAGCCATCCACTGAAGGTCAAGTCGCCGCGGAAATCAATATGAGCCTTTCAAGCTGTGCCCTGGAACACAGATTTGATGCCAATGATTAACTTAATCATCCGTGCTGGTTCTCATCTGAGGATTCGGAAGTTGTCCGCCTGAATAATACCCGAAGCCGAATTTTCGAGGTGCTTTTTGGCTCTGGCTCCTCTAAAATCGAATCACCATCGCCGCTCACTGCCCTGTCTTCATCCAGAATGAACTTCCACTTCCCATCTAGCGTCTCCATTCTGTCGAGTTTATACCTTTTGTCAAGATCAGCGAAGTGCTTCCGTCGCTCGTCATCACTCCATGCATATGTGCCTTTAAAATCATCTAAGATCCGGCTTTGAGTAACCCAGGGCATGACAGAACCAATGGATCGAGGAATCCGTGGAAACTTGAAGCGATACCTCCTAGTAATAAAAACTGAGGCCACAATGCATGCGTCAAATACCACGACTAACATGACACAAATGAATGACAGAAAAGATGGAACGACGGCCCACGACATATGGTATATGATGCCATCTTTTATTTGGGCAGGAGCATCGAGGTAGCGAAAATAGGCGTCTCTCTTGAGCGAAAGATCAGTGGCGAACATGGATCGATAAACCGAGCGGGAAGCGGTCTTCAGCGCACCGAAGGCGATGTGTGATGTATTGGAGTTCATTATCTCGTATAGACTGACCGTCAGACTGCCAAAGTAGTCGACCTGAGCCGAAACGTTCTGACCCTGGGACGCGTTATGAAGAGCGACAGGGCTAGAAAGTCTGCGGTTGTAATTGTCCAGGTTCAAAGTCCCGTTCTGGAGAATTGGACCTTCACTGATGGCGGTATTGTTGAGTGGGACATGGTTTTGTATGAATCCCTGCGAGTTGAAAGCCACTGAAAAATTCTGTATGACAATGAAAGACTCGCAAATCATAGCCACTGTGCTGGCACTAGTTATGTGGGTGTGATCGCTGCCGCTGGGTTGAGCCACGACCAATACAGTTGGCTTATGGCAGCCGTCAGCTGCTTCAGAAGGTGTCGAGGCGAAGAAATTGACAGTCATACCCTCATTTTCAGTAGCCTTTGTGTTTTGCATTGCATTTATTTCGCAGGTAGTATTCGACTCGTTAGATGGAGTATACTTCCAACGACCGCCATTTGAACCAGGATCTTGGGTGAAGCTATCCTGGACCGAAAGTTCGTGGCATATTATGTCAGCGCCAACACCCAGCAAGGAGCCCCCAACGAGCCAATCTGAAGAGTTGTCTGTCCAAGCGGGGAGAAAGGAATGACTCGAGGTTGTCCATGGAAGCAGCGAGACGCCACTGTAAATGCTAGTCCGCATAACATCAAGCTCCGGAAGCACTGATGACGGCTGTCGAATGGCAAATGTCTCATAGCTATACAATGTCTTCATATCCGCATCAACAGTTGTAGGGCCAAGTTCATGCTGAAACAGACCGTTAACCAGAATACTGAGACCGGTATTGATGATACATGCCACTCCTACCAGCCCGAGTAGGATATGGTTGTAGTTGAACCAGTTGAAGAGTGAGGCAAATGGATTCAAGGACCCATATTCAAGCAGTAAAGAAGAAGCAGCGGACGCTCCTCCCATTTGAAGCACTGACCATGGTTCCAGGACACTCATATACCGATAAATTGAAAGGCAGATCGTACGTATGATAGATGCGATTGACGATGGAATAAGGGAGAATAGAACCGCTATGCTGCCCGAACTGATAAACGTCAGTGGCTTCACGTATCCATCCTTCACGCACAACGAGATGATAGCTGCGAGACCAGCAATAGCCGCGGCAAAGATTAGAATCTCAAGGCCGAAGATTGGGATCAGGAGGAAGTGGGGTTTTGGATCAGTCCGGGCTTTCGAAGCCCTTTCTGCGGAGCGAGGCACTATCCGAAGTCAGGAGCTTTTTCTTCACAGGTGCTTTCAAAACTCTAAGAGTGTGGGACATATGACGTACCATGAGATGGCTCGATGCAGATACAGGGTGGTTCTCTATTCTGTTGCCAGCGGCAGTTGTAGTTTCGAAGAATAGATCTTAATTGCCTTGTCGATAAATGATCAAAATTTAAATGCGAGATATGCGTTGTATCGATAATGTCTGCCATAATGCCACACATCGATGCGATAGATGCAGGGTCTCCTCGAAGCAGGTTTGGGCGGCGTGGGTAAGCATAGGCTAGGTACAATGCCACCACAACACCCAAAGCAAGTATCGCCTCAGACATGAGAGATTGCCACGGCCCAACGATAATGGCCATTTGATGTGTCACATGGGAGGCTTTGACATAGTTGGATTGAGCACCGAGATCGAATATGCGGTTCATCAACGGCACGAAAGCCTTTCGAATATCTCGATCAAGTCTAGCCGTTAGGTGGTTTTGAGGGGCACTCTGTCCGGTCGTCTTCGTAGTCCAGGAAGAGGTGCCGTTTGTTGCAAGCACTTCTGATAGAATAAGATTTTTGAAATGTGTCGTATTCAAGGATGACTCTGAAACATTGCTTATGGAATCTGGATCCAATGCCGCAACGGAGAGTGAGCCGTTGACCTGCAGTGAGATGCTGGCCTCTGACGTCCGGTAGAGAATCTGGCAGCCAAAGCCACTGGCATTCTGGGAGGACGCAGAGCCCCGTAGATTCGACCAAGTACTGTTAACACTTTCACTGGTTTGATTCAAGCTGATATCAAGGACGACACCAACAAGATCAAAAGCAGCGCACTCGCCTTCAGAGCCCGGCGCAGATACAAGTGGCTGCCAATGCGATATCTGCAGCGATTCATTTGTTGGTGGCATGACAATTGTCTCACTCAATTGCATTGAGCACCGCTCGGAGACCGACGGTGCAATTTCCATGTCCCAGATCGCCGATCTGTCAGATAAAAAGGCAGCTTCTGATGTAGACTTGTTAGACTCAATATCAATCGTCAAACCATCCTTCACCGCCAAGTCGGTACAAGACAGCTGTGCCCAGTAAACAGTTTGGGTGAGTTCCCACATCTTTGTATCATACTGGATATCCCAAGGAATGTCCACCGGTGCCATCGCATATTTATTAGAATCTGGTTCGTCATAACTTAGGTATCGGTGATCCCGATTGGCTGTGTGATTGACTGTCGAGTTGTATAACATTGACGCTTGCCCTTCCATATTGATCAACTCAGGCCATATCTCAAGATGTTGGCTATTATAGACTGTGGCATCGTCCATTTTGAATAGGCTGCTCTGCAATGTGGGAAACACTAATTGCAGGAGGATACTCAATATCGAGATAGAAACCGCCATCCAGTGGCGATTTTTTAATGCAAAAATTGGGGCGGTGGTAAAATGGCCGAATTCATAATTTAGCAAAAGCACCTCAGCCGACACCCCTTGTGGCTTAGAAAGTTGAAAGTACGGCTCAAGACGCAGAGCATCGAATTCCACGACAGACCATAGGATGGCTATAATCATGCTCAAGATGGACGGGACATAGGTGAACACGAATCTTCGCGCGATTGTGATCTCATCAGAGGAACTAAACACGTCAAGACCGCCAGTGTCGTTACCCCACTGGCGAAGGACTTCGGTGACAATGCCTATGGCCGCCAATAGGCCAGCCAAGGGAAATAAGTACCGCCCACGCAGAGTCTGAGGTAGCCATCCTGAATTCCGGATCTGAGGAACATGCCCAATAGTGTGTAACATTCTCCAACTTATCCGTCAAGTTCAGAGTGGCATCAGTATGCGCAGTTGTGGTGGGCATGGAGAACTAGTCAATTCGTACTCAGACCCAAATTAGCATGGCTGACTGTCGGAAAGGGTCAAAATCAGACTTCGAAAAGCATGAATAATGTGATAGCCATCTCAGATGTCCAGTCGATCAACTTCTCGCGACAACCACTGCCAGATCTTGATTGTAATGGGATTTAAGACAGGCTTCTGTAGACAAGTCCCATGCCAGCATACAAGGTGAAGTTAATGCAACGAGATAGGGCCGACCCGGGCTATGTCCTGAGACATCTGGCCAAGCGCCGCTGAAGACACTTTAAGAATCAAGGCCGGCAGGTGGACTGCTTGACTCCTCTGGGATTTCATTGGTGCAATACGTGGATCCCGCTGGGGCTAGTGATGCGTATGTGTATCTAATTGTGAACTTAAAGTGATGAGGACGGGACGGTTGGCACCTTTGAGTGGTGGGATTAGACAATCAGTCTTCATCTTAGCACAGAGATATGGCATCAATATGCTGAGGTCATAAGGCTGCTGGATCGAATTGATAAATGCCCTAGACAATCCGGCTTGAGGAACCTTGATCTCTTCAAGGTTTCCACACGTTTGAAAAGGGGTTGTGGACCCGGTCACCGGAGGTTAAATCGGTACGTAACAAACCGCCCGAGCAAGAAGAAACAACTTGGAAGCATTGTGAAGTGAAGCAAGATGGGAGCAAAGACTGTGTGATAGGTCTGATTCCCCGATAGCCAGTGCTGATCAGCCTATACGTGCCTCGACTCACCGAGACAGCCAAAGCTCCTTCCGAGGCGCTCCCACTTCACGGTGATCACGATATATTCAACATCCGTCATAGCCTCTCAGAATAGTCCCAAGGCCGACCAACAGTCAACAGTCTCAAGAAGGTCTGGATCCTCGTGGTCAGCCTTGTGTTCAGCCTTCAAGTTCCACTGGCTGGAAAAATCGGCTTGATGACCACAAGCCCGATCGTCAGAATGCTTGAAGCTTGTCCTAGCTTAAATGGCGAAAAGGTCCACTCCAAGTGGCCATTGGATTGGAATGCGTTCTCAGCCCAGCTCCAGTCCCTGCCATGAAAAGCCGGCAGGGTGCTGCAATGTTAATCGAGGCGAGCAAAATTTGTCTCGGTAAGCCACGATACATGGATGGCTTGTGTTCATTGATTCGACCGTACTTTTTAGTGACCCTGAAAGCTGTTGAGTGGGGTAAGGTCACAGACCTTCAGTCAACAATGATGTTACTCTCTTTTTCCGGTTTTGACATTGGACGGCCAGCCATGCAAACAGGTCAAAATCCATGCATCAGGCGTCCAGAATGGCAGCGAACGGCAGCCACGCTTTGAAGCGACTCCCTCAGAGCCTCAAAGATCATCCGGCTACAATGTTTTCTCTTCGCATTTCCAAGGCCATGACTTGCATCCTGTGAGGGCTAATATATTGTACATCACATCCTAAATTCATGTTTTCGAGTTGTTCAAAAGCTTCGATCGCGAACCAAACAAGGTTGGGACGTGGTGACGTCAACAATTCCCATTAGTGTCCCCAGACATCCGGCCAAGTCGATTGTTGAAATTGAACCACTTCGGAGCCTCGTGCATTATTACAACCTATATCTCTGCTCGCAACTGTCGGTCTACTATCACAATGGGCGGCCTACAGAATTTTCTGGAGCCGGGAGGTAAATCAATCGAATACTTCGCAGAATCCGAGCGGTAACTGATCCCTATTCTACGGATACAGCGATCGTCGCGGTTTTCACCACAGGAACCCTGATCAACAGACGCAAGCATGCCCGATTGCTAGAATCTCCCAGTGCTGAGTCGCCGCTGCTCGAGGATGGCCTTGAGGATGCTAAGCCGAACACATACGACGAACGTTCGATCCGCAACCGCCGCACAATTCAGTCTCGCATCCTAGCATACTTCCCTTTTCTGTTGGAAATCCTGTATTGGCTGCTCACATATTGGGTATGATACTCTCACCTATCTTGCTGCATGTAAGAGCATAATCTGACTTGGGATTCAAGATTTACCAAGGGTTGCGAGCGTTCTCCGCCCGGATGATCGCCGGCAACAAGGAAATCTTCGACACAGCCGAGCGCCATGCTATCTCAATCCTCCGCCTTGAGCACTTCTTCCACCTTGACGTCGAACTCTCTGTTCAGAAGTATATACTCAACGAGATTCCGTGGCTCATGCCCTTCTTGGCGCGTGTATACTACTCGCATATCGTTCTTGGCGTGGTATTTGTGGTCTATTGCTATACCTTTGTGCAGCGCGACAAATACCAGGCGCTCCGGCGCACTCTGGCATTCGAGAATGTCATTGCCTTCACCATCCTGACTCTGTGGAGGTGCATGCCCCCGCGTCTTCTTCCTGAGGAGTATGGGTTTGTCGATGTCTTGCATAGCAACAAGGGCGGCTCGGCCTGGACACAAAACAAGTTCCAGCTCACAATTGCGGCAATGCCTTCGCTTCACTTTGGAAATTCCATGTTCATCGCGTTGTGTCTGCTCAAGTTCAGTCCTCATTGGTACCTGCGGGCGATCGCACCGTTGTGGCCGATGATGATGGGACTAACGATCGTCGCGACTGCCAATCACTTCATTTTGGATGCTGTCGTCGGTGCATGTGTGGTGCTCACGGCGTTCAGGTTCAACCACATCATGTTGAATCTGCTGCCGGTGGAGAGGGCGGTGTTCAGGTTGCTTCGCCTAGAGAAGCCTTGAACCAACGAGGAGGAGTTGGTGGTATTGGGTCATTCATTGGACTTAAAATCAATATATATTCTTAGGAATGCCTCGTCCAGAATAGATTTGATCATCCATATTCCGTGAGGGTTGCGCTCACGGGCAACTTTCTGTGTGAACAAGCCGTGTATGATAGGAAGGTGCGCGAGGATGCGTATTTGGTAGATGGAGTAGCTTTGCAGTCGGTAGCATAGTCTCTATGGCTAAAAACACTAGTTGGAGTCAAGCAGTGTCACCAACCTTGCGAGCTACGCAAATGTGCATGGGAGGGACGTAATAAATGCGACAAGAAGCTGAACGTGGATTGTAGCAGCTCTTGTCTTCGTCGGACAGATCATCCGCAACTTGGTCATGAAGCCTTGCTTCCTTTGGGCGCTGCTTTGTTGATCTAGTAATAGTGACCTGAGACGGCCTCTCTATTCTCCGATCATAAGTCATGAGTAAGTCGGCGCCGGTAAGTCTCAGCGAAAGGTATAGATCCAGAATCCGACGCTGGCGTTTCAACTGCTTGCTAATTCAATCGAACCCGCCCATGAATGAGAATCATATCTCGGAACCCCTTTCATCTCGAGGACGAGAATAGTATTCCGAGCCAAAAGGTTGGCTCTCTCGAAAATGCCTGGATTGAGAGCGAGAACAGTAGGTTGTCGCGTGGCTTTTCCCGAAGAGGAAAGCCGATGACACGCAAAGCTACAGACGAGATTGAGCTGCAGCCCGGCACTTTTAGTCCTGACTCCTAGGGTGTCGTGAGCAGGGACCCCCTCCTTCTTTCTCCGCAAAAGCCCGGCATTGATAGACTACTCTGTAGATAGTGTCGTTAATTACACTGATTTGAGCCAGGTGAGTAAATGGAATTGCGTAAGTGCTGAAGACCTCGGGGCTACTCCGTAGTAAGCTTTAAACCACCCCTGGCTGGGCGCGATCACAATTGCAATTGATAGCAGCCTTAGTAGCTCCGGAGCAAAAGTGTCTCCGCATGCCTTGGCGGTTGGCTTCAAGAGCTTCGAGACTCTCAAATTGCATTGCTCGGATTGAATTCGACAAACTGCTTCTTCCTCTGCTACAGCCAGCCAACCCTGGAGGAAATTGGCCATTGCCAGCTGGAGCCTGACGGAGCGGACCCGATATAGAACATGACCCGGACTCAACCCCGGAATAAATCGCGAACAAACTTTGAGCCCAGCTGGCACCGACTTACGGGGTAAAAGGCAATTTCTTAGGTAAGAGGAACCCGCCTTGCACTTCGACTCTCGTCCAAGTCTCGTCCCGACTCCACCGACTCCGGACCCTCTTTCTCTGGTGGGCAATCACTTCTCATTCGCGGGTCCCTCGAAAAACAATCGGGCCGAGATGGGAGATAGGTGGGGTTTGGTCAAAACTTGCCTATTATGTGGTGTGAATTGTGTCAGACGAAAATGTCATGTGAAATGGCGAAGAAATTGAAGGGCTGAATGAAGTCTTGATCTCTTACGGGGTACGGAGTAGATTAGACGGTCAGATTAGCCTAGGAGCGCCCTACCGTGCGGCTGCCGATCCACGCCTGGAATTTCGAATCGGAACATTGGCCACCTTCGCCGAGATCGGGTACTGGCTATGGCCTCATACCACTCATGCTTCTCTGCACCAAGCGCATATCCGTACTTTGGGCTATACGTTGTACCGCAATGAGTAGGGTGCTGAGGTCAATGACTGGAGATTGCAGTATGCCTCTCAATGAGAGGTAGGGCTCATTGTCATTCAGATAGCGCGGGTTTGAGAATGCATGCATTCTGACCACCCTCCTCCGTCTTTGATAAAGCATCGTCTTCCCCGTTGAGGAGTTTCTGCTGTTGGGTTGCCTCTGCTTTATCGGGTAGTCCCCGGGGCCCCAGGGGTCGATGGACAATCGTGTCGCGGGTGGCCAGTGTTCCGGTGTTACCGTGTGGGTGTCCATGGCGAATTCCGTGAGGGGCGCTTGGCTCGTCCCTTGGGTCAATTCGCCTCCGTCCATTGTTTCGAGTCACTTTGTTCGTCAGGTTGGAAGGCAAAGATGAAGATTCTGACAATTGATCTGTGCTTAAATTGGAACCCATCGAGGAGAAAGCCACAAAGAAGCCCGATGGAACAGTACCTTACAGTCACAGTTGGATCTGAAGAGTTGGATGGGGGCTCGAATTGCCGCCAGAGATAAGCCAGTGCAATCGCCTGCGAGAGAAAACCCCCAGCTGACCTGCGCTCGGCCTCAACTCCGATGGTACAAATCCTCCTTCACTAAAGGAGGGAAAAGGCCTCATCGGCCCGGTTAATTACTAGATAACACGCGTTAAGCCAGAGGCGGTGAAGACTGCTGATGGGCGGCGATTCGTCCCTGCATGTCAATCGTTGAGTGGGCAACACAAAGTAAGCAGAGTCTTTTATCCGATAGTCAGTAATAAAAGCATGCATGAACAAAAAAGAAAGAAAAGGAACTACTGGGGAGGGGAGGAGAAAAGGCGCAATGGATCAACTGTAAACACTGGACAGTAGACAGTAATCGACTTACTTTTTCTACAATTTCTCAATGAGCAGTTTGCAGCAGTCACATTCATGATTCACACTCCAGCATAACTGATCAATCAACCGCTGTTAACTGTTTGGAGCCTTTTCTCCCCCCATTATTTTTGTCTTGTTCCCCCCGTCTCCACTCACCTTTCTTATCCCCAGCCCCTTCTTCCTCCGACTTCTCCCGCCACTCCCTGGGTTGATTACCCTTCTGCCGTTCAGTTTCCTTATTGTTGTCGCAGTCGGCGCATTCATTTTGTTGGGATTTAGATCGATTGTTTTTGGTTTTGTCTCCGTCTATTTTATATCACAATGGCCAGTGTAAAGGACGCAGTCAAGGAGTCCTTGGTCGGTAGCTCCTCGGAGCCCCAACCGTCGCATCAGATCAAAAGCAATTTCCTGCGCCATGCACGCAAAGATGAGGCATCAGGAGATCTTTACATGACGGAAGATGACTTTGTCGACGCCATCGCCCCCAAGCACGAGGACTATGTAAGTGATTCGACTCCCTTCGCGTATTGTGTTTTCTTTGCGCTGTATGCGTCATACGATTAGCCGTGACTCGAGCTTCCAGCTAATATACGGACTTTTCTCGCGAAACTGCAGCACAAGATCAAACGTGAACACTATGGAATTCTCTTCCTCGTGGCCGACAGACGGCGAACCGGAAAGCTTAGCCTCGCCGATTGGACTACTTTTGAGAACCTCCTAGGCAAACCGGACGCCGAGTATGAGATTGCCTTCCGCCTCTTTGACACAGAAGGAACCGGCTCGGTGAAGTGGGAGAACTTTCAGCAACTGTACAACCTGAACAAGACCAGCGATAGTATACCTTTTGAATGGAACTCAGAATGGGCCTCCCTGTACACCGGACGGACCAAGACCCGGCATGATATGACGTATCCTCAGTTTGCTCAAATGCTTCGTGGTCTGCAGGGTGAGCGCATCAGACAAGCTTTCCATGTGTTTGACAAGGACGGTGATGGTTATATTGAGCCCGAGGACTTCCAGCGTATCATTCTCGAGACATCGAAACACAAGCTGTCCGATTATGTCCTCGAGAACCTTCCCAGTCTGTGCAACATCTCGACTGGGACAAAGATCTCCTATGCTACTGTCCGTGCCTTCCAGAATATCATGCGCGAGATGGATATGATCGACGTTATTGTCCGCGAAGCGACCAAGAAGAGCCTTGACGGTAAAATCACGCGCGCGGATTTCCTGAACGAGGCCGCCCGTGTCACTCGCTTCTCTCTGTTCACCCCGATGGAAGCCGATATCTTGTTCCACTTTGCCGGACTTGATGCGCCTTCTGGTCGACTCTCACAAAAGGACTTTGCCAAGGTCATTGATGCTTCATGGCGCACACCCTTTGTGGTTGCTGGGCAGGCGGTCTCAGCCGCATCGGACAAGGCTCACCAGGTGGCTGACAAGACCAAGTCCGTACTCTACGGCGTTCTCGAGTCTGTACACCACTTTGCACTTGGTAGTCTTGCGGGTGCCTTCGGTGCTTTTATGGTTTATCCCATTGATTTGGTGAAGACTCGAATGCAAAACCAGCGGTCAACGCGGGTAGGAGAGAGGTTGTACAACAACTCGATCGATTGTGCCAGGAAAGTGATCCGGAACGAGGGATTCCTCGGTCTGTACTCGGGTGTCATTCCTCAATTGATCGGAGTTGCTCCGGAAAAGGCTATCAAGCTCACAGTCAACGACCTTGTTCGTAGACACTTCACCAACAAGGAGAATGGAAAGATCTGGACCGGCCACGAGGTCATTGCCGGTGGTACTGCAGGAGCTTGTCAAGTCGTAAGTTTGCGCTTCACCAATTACACATTTTTCAGCAGCGCTCTAACCTGGAATTCTGCTAGATCTTCACCAACCCCCTCGAAATTGTCAAGATTCGTCTCCAGGTTCAGGGTGAAATCGCTAAGTCCGTTGAGGGAGCGCCGCGTCGCTCTGCTCTTTGGATCGTTAAGAACCTGGGTCTGGTTGGTCTGTACAAGGGTGCAAGTGCTTGCTTGCTTCGTGATGGTAAGTGGACTTTCCTCCGTCTATCTCCTGATTTACCGGTGCTGACCACAATCCCTCAGTCCCCTTCTCCGCGATCTACTTCCCAACATACGCTCATCTCAAGTCCGACTTCTTTGGGGAAACTGCCACCCACAAGCTTGGTGTCGTGCAACTGTTGACCGCAGGTGCCATTGCTGGTATGCCTGCTGCTTATCTCACCACGCCTTGCGATGTTATCAAGACCCGCTTGCAGGTTGAAGCTCGTAAGGGTGAAGTCGGCTACACCGGTCTGCGTCATTGCGCGGCCACTGTTTGGAAGGAAGAAGGTTTCAAGGCTTTCTTCAAGGGTGGTCCTGCGCGCATCCTTCGTTCATCCCCCCAATTCGGTTTCACATTGGCTGCCTATGAGGTTCTCCAAAAGTTGCTTCCCATGCCCGGTGGCCACGAGGATGTTTCCCCTATTGGACACGTCGAACCCGGCGTTGGCCTTACCACTGCCACGGCGCCTCTCCCTTACCTCAGATCCAGAAACGCCCTGAAATTGATCCTGGACATCGACGAGAACATTGGCCGCGTTCGAATCCCCGCCGCCGAGCGCTGGCCCAAGTTTCTGCAACCCTCCCAGCAATAGACACACACGACCTTTGTTTCCATAGCGATGATTTGGCTTCTCGTCTTAATTTTTTCCCACTTTCGTCCTGAATGAAAATAGTCTTTGTTTCTCATCCCATTGAAGCCCTTTATTCGCCATCACTGGAATTCTCTTCTTGGCCTGCTTGGAGCTAAGGCCGCTTCTTGTCGTGTTTCCGAGCTTATGTCCGCACCATCACATGTAACAAAAGCAGATAGACTTGGGAGGAGTCCCTTGTTACTAGACCGCTGTTTGGGTATCTAGACTTGATTCATACTGATCCCACGAATAGCCTCCGCAGTCCTTCGGTGATTCCTGCATCTGTTGCCTTCCCCTCCCTTCACATACAAATGTGGGCGTCACATATCGGTGTACAGGTACCTGATTTGTTTATCTTCCATAGCAGTTGGATTGACTAGAGTTTCGAATATACACTTTTTCATACTGCCTCTGGGATATATTCAATATTGTTAATACTTCACTCTCATAGCCCGCTCGGTTTCACCTGTGAAGGGGACTGAGGAAGTATGAGGCAGGTACATATTGTACAGGTCAATCATAGCGACGACAGAACTATAGGTACAAAAAACATTGCATTATATCATGCATCTCGTTGGCCTCTCCATGAAGGGACATATGACGATACCCGGAGCAATAAGCCGTGGGGTGCTGATGATTTGAGAATCATATCGCAAGGTAAAGCTGATACAAGCGTGTGAGGACCCCTCTCGTAAGCCTCTGTATATACATGTGTCTTGCGGGATTGACCTTGGTAAGAGAGGGGTGTAAGTCCAGGTGAAGACGTCAGATGTTAACGGAGAAACGAATTAAGCTAGCCCGTATTGCAATCGTGAGCCATATTCTCTAGCGTGAGAATCTTATGCATCAAGATATGTCTTCGAGAAGCTGCGAGTAGTTCGGAACAGGCTCTTATGTCGGGAAGAATGCAGCAGGACAGCCACGTCTCCGTTATGAATTGTTGGGCGATTTTGCCTTGCATCGGTCCTCCTCGTGGCAACAACTGTTTCTAGAAGAAGTTGACTCTCCGTTTCGTCTTCCCATCGGCCGGCGGCTCCGCATTCGTAGGCGTCTCAGCGGGTATAACAGGATCCTTTGCGACAGTCTTCGCCGTCTCTTCCTTCACCTCCTCCTGGGGTTGTTGTGGTGCGGAGTCGCGTGTGCTGGATCTGCGGTGCCACAGGGAGTCCTCCTCCTCGATCTCGCGAAGCACTACAGGACGAAAACAAGGTTAGCAAGGAACCGCACCGAACGACGTCCAACAAGCAAGCAACGGACCTTCCTCCCACTCTCTCTCCTTGGACTCATTGCCCGTCCCGAGAAGTTTCTCCACATCCACCACCTCCCCTTTATTAACCTTCTCTATTACTTCCCGCAGGAGTCGGATCTTCGCGTCCGTTGAGCGGGTGTAGTCGGCGTAGTCGTTCTTAAGCGCGATCATCCGGATCGCTTGCGAACCGATGAGGATGAAGATGATGATGTAGAAGCTGGCGGGGTTCCATTCTTTCGACTTCGGCGTGTAGGGCTTGGTTCCTCTGGTGAAGCGAATGCGGATGAACGCCGGAATAAACGTCGTCCATACATCTGCCTCCAGGAATCGGGGCATAAATCGGGATCCGTTGGAATAAGGGCGGGTGGTGCGTAATGGTTGAGTTGACGGTGCCGTGAATTGCGCAGCAGCTGTACTGCGTATGGGATGGACTCTGGTTAACATTCGGAGGGAAGGCCGGAGAGACGACATTGTGATGGAGGCCATGACCGATGAGCAGAGTGTGCCTTGTGAGAGCGAAAGTTTGACGTTTCCAAAGAGCCCCGATTCGGTGCGATCGCAACTGGAATTCTACTAGAGACGACGGCACAAGCCATGAGCTGCCTCAGGCCACAAGCCCGTCGGGCAGGCAGAAGCCCCGCTAGTCCAGGTTGGGAATGGTTGCGGGCTTGTTGCTGCGACAACGCGGCTTTGCTTGGCCCTGCCCGTTCGGATGTCATAACCACATCGGAGGCGGCCAGGCTCGATCTTCCATCTGCGACTGACAGACGACAAAGGTTCGCAGACGGCACGGTCTGCAGAGCTTCTTATACCTCCGCCAACCATGACGGTTGCAACACTCCTCCCCGATTCCTCTCTGGAATCGGTGAAGCTGGCCGTCCGCTCCACCTCGACATGCTCGGCGGCCACCGTGCTATCTCTCCAAACACTCTTCCGCGGGTCGACGAAAGCGCCCATGGACACCGAACCCACGACAGTAAGACGAGCGGGGCGAACAACAAAAGCCACAACTACTCCGTTAACAAGAACGAAATCAACAAGAGGCACGAGGACGAAGGTCTCCGCGGCGGAAGCGGCTCTCAACACCGTGATGGAACAAGACGCTGCGCGTGTATCAAACCAAGAGAAGCTTGTTCTTGCGACGGAAGTCTTCAACACGACACTCAGGACCCTCTCGGAGGCTATGAAACTCACTTCTAGCACGAAACGGGACGATTCTCGCGCGTCAACACCACGCAATCCTGCATCACCAAGCCGCGTCACAAAATCGCCCCGCAAAACGAATGCGGCCGCGCTCGAAAATGGGATTCCTGCTGTGGCCGAGTGCGCACGGCTCTCGCTGTCCTGCTTAAGGACACTCAAGAGCGAGCAGGAAGTTGGGGGTTTGAATCTGCAACTTGAACAGGGCGCTTGCGTACTGGCTGGAAGGCTCCTGTCGTTGGGATTGAACGACATGGCATACAAAGAGTTGAGGGCACTGAAGAAGAGGATACAACAGCATTTGGATAGTCAAGCCTCGAGTGCGAAGAAAACTTCCAGCAGGAGGCCAAGCCCCGCGGAGCCCGAGGAAGAAGCAGTCAAGGAAAAGATGTCTGATCTGCTTAGCTTCCCCGACCCTGGCTCAGTGCGACCGTTGCTTGGCTTGCTGGTGACATTCCAGTCCAATGCCCTACGACTTATCTCGTCCGAAAAGAAAGCTGCGACCATCCAGAACATGATTTCATCCCTCCAGCTATCAGATCTGAGCAGCCCAGCGAACGTCATCCTAGCCGCCCTCGAATCAGGAGCGCTGAATCCCGAAAAAGCCGCGATGCAACTTCAATTACTATCTAATACCGTCTTGTCCCTATCTTCCATCGCCCACCAGACATCCACCAAGCTGAAGCCGATGACCTCGTTGACTCTGCAACTGCTATCGTTAGAAATTCGCTGCATGTCCTGGAAAACTTCGGGGCATGTCTGTGACGACGCAAGAGAGATGTGGGACCCAATGGCTCGATACCTGGCTAGCTTCGTTCACCAAAGCAAAGGAGTGACTAAATCGGAGTTTGCTGCCCTGTACAAAAACATCGTACGGCTCCAGTCAGCTTTCACCAACGTCCAGAAACGCTCGACTGCCAGCGTCAAAGACAATGTATCTGTGGCAAGGATAGCAGCTATCTTGGGGCAGCTTGCCCAGGATGCGGGGTGCTTTGAGGAAGCACTAAAGCTTTTCACGGAGTCTATAACCCCGCTGTTTAATGGACAGTGCCTTGCCCTCGCAACTGTTCGCTGCAAGATCGCTTCTCTTCACTTTCAAGCTGTCAAGCATTCGACTAAATTTTCGACTGCTTCCCTGCCTGCTGTAGTCACGGATGCTACGAATGTCTTATGTCTACCCCTCAAAGGCAGTTCGAACGACCTGGATGAGCTTTTGGTTGAAGCTGCAAGGCTCAAGAAGTCGGCAATGAGCTGGTTCGGTGAGGCTATGTCAAAGGAACAGGATAAGAATGAGGCTCAGGACGATGTTTGTGCGAAAATCTCTGAGTATCTCAACGGCTTCATACGGTTTCTGCGGCGGTATATTGGGCGAAAGCCGACAGAAGAAGAACCGAAGGAGTCGGAGTCCTTCGAGAGGCGTGTCGCAGGATCCCAGAACATTGCATTTGCCGCTGTGGATTCTGTCATCGCGGTTGGACGGTTGGCTATCACATCTGGAAGACCCTCCTGGGAGGAAATACAACCGACTTTACTTGATTGTCAGCGACTAGTGATGACAATCGAACCTCACGGCGAGAAGCACCTCGGCTCTCCAATCGTCGAAAGTGTCGGTAATGCATTCGTCAAACTGTCAAATCTGTTCTGGTCTCGTTATATCAAAGAGAAAGAATCTGGAAAGGGTTATCGTGATCTCTTGCCTATCTTGAAGCAATCTGCAACCTTATTGTCGAATTGCTCACCTTCGCAACGTGTCGCCGGATTCGCGCCCCTCAAATATGAACGACTAGCACATACGTACATGGAAGGGGGATATGCTCGGGAATCAGAACATGCATTCTATAAGTCGATCTTTGAACACATACAAACCGGCACGCTCGATCAAGTCATTCCATCCACTGTGGGCTGCTTTCCTCACAAAATGTGTCAAGATCCCAAGAGCAATGGATTCATGCTTGGGCGCGTTCTTTATGCCCTTCTGAAATTGAATCTCAGATCCAGAAAGTCGAAGTCGAACGGCATCTTTGATGACGACAGCCTAGACCTGAGTCAGAGAGGCCACCTGATGGAGTGGCAGTTGGGGTTGCTGGCTGAATTTCCCGCCAGCGCTTGCTCAGATGAAGCATTTCGATCTACTTTTACCCTGCTTACCACTCAAATACTCACCTTGTATACTTCCGACACCCATCCCGTTCGTCTTCTACGCGTTGTTCTTACCATATTACGTTTTTCTTTGGAGCATCCGGGCTCGATGGATCCGAGCTTGCTGTCGAGCGTTATTGGCGCAGGTTTTCAATGCATCGACCAGGATGAGACCGGCGAAGACTCCGACCTTGCTACACTATCACCACACCTTCACAACTCGGTTCGACTGACACTCGGACTCCATGAGGGAAATCTCTCACCCTCCACTCTAGAGACAGTCCTGTTATCGTGGAATGCCATGCTAAGAGATTGCGGCGATCTGGAATCTCTTCTCATGAAGATAGGCGATCTTGATCATTATCTACTACAAATGAGGGCAATTGTTGACTATACCGAGATCCACGGGCTCTGGAAGCTGCAGCTTTCAGCACTTGAACTGGTACTGAGAACTACGGAGCTTCAAGAATCGGGTAACTTTTCGGAAGCAATCATCGTTCTATCACGTTTGGTACTGCAATATAGCCGACTTGGATTCTGCACAAAAGCCAGCGCTCTCCTCAAGCGTGCGGAGCGTTATCTTACTCACTCGAACACCACTTGCTTGGCAATTCTGTCTTACCACCTAGCTAATGTGGGCTATCTCCTCGAGACTGGAGATATTCAACAAGCGGCGACCGGACTCACCAAAGCCAGAGCTCTCTATGAGAAATATCAGAAGAAGGAAGACCTGAATAACTGCTCCACTCTAACCAAAATTCTGTGGGAGAGACTGGTCGCTGATGCAGCCTTCATGAGTTCTCGGCTATCTTTCGCCCAGGGATTAGTCAACGATGCTCTGTTCTTTGCCAAACTTTCTGTTCGCTTGAATTGCAGAATCTGGGCCAAGATAGAGAGGCTTTCTCAGAAGAAACAGGATAAGATGATCCAGTCCAGCGACAACTCCGAATTAGAGACAGTGGTTGAAGGGATGGCAAAACTCGAGGTTGCGCAAGCAGCTCCCGTGTCGAATCCTGTCTTTTCTCAGGGTGCCCCTTTCTGGCCTCATATTGGCTCGCACCATACCGCGCTGCTCAATCTTGCAAGTCTCTCGGCTCATCATGGTCTATTCCAAGATGCTATCTACTATGGGGAACAAGCTCTTAAGATTAACAAGTCTCTGAATGCGAATGTCCGTCTCATAGCGTCTCAAGCACAGCTTGGGTCCCATTGGATCTTCGGTGGCCATCTTTCAGAGGGCCAGGAATTGCTCAAAGCGGCAGAATCTCTTTCTCAACAGCTCGAGAGCAGTGTCGAGTTGGTTTCGCTTCAGGTCGGCCTTGCTTCTCTTTACAGGGCTCAAGGCCGTTATTCCGACGAGCAACGTGCTCTTCTCGAGGCTGATCGCATTATGACTCAAGTGGCTGGCCCTAATGGATTGGATGCCTCCGCAGCGATACCAGAACTTGAAGACGAGATGAAGAAGCTACAACTCCAGGGAACGGCTCGGAAGACGCGCCAACGTGCCGCCACGACAACAACACGCAGAACTCGCGCAACCACAGTGTCCGCTTCGACTACATTCAGGGCGACAGACACTTCCTCGACTGCGAACCAGTCCGAGTCTACATCCCTTTCACACTTGAGAAGCGAGATCCTTCGACAGCAAGCTGCCTGTTTGCGCACGCTGCGCGAGTTTGAGAAAGCGTCGGTGACACTTCATGATGCGCGCAAGTTCGCGACGTCTCGAGACAGCCAGATATCTTTGCAGATCGGTGAAAGCGAGCATCTACTTGCGGATGCCATTCGGCACTTTGCAACACATGCTGTCTACTGCGTTCTCCCGGAATCGACCATCTCCCTGCCATCACTCCAGTCACCGAGCAAGGGCTCTAGTAAAGCAAGTACTAGCAGACAAACAACCACGCGGAAGACAAGAGCCCCGACCCGGACGCCAGCACGGAGCACGAGGGCTAAATCTGCTAAGCCGACAGAGGACTTTTCCGTGATGCTATCCAAGGCCGGTGAGAGCCTGAGCGCCATCTTCCCGACGGCTACGACATTGGGATCGACTCTTGATAGTCACGCCGCCTCCCGATTGATGAGCCGGATTTCCATGCTCTCCCATGTTACTGTACCGGAAAGCTCGGGCTCATTGACTCAGTCTCCGGCAAACATGAACGAAGTTGGCCGAATTGGTGCGTTTACGCGTGAGCGAGCTGCTATTGATCTGGACAAGCAGCTAGCAGACTACTGCGATCCTCTGCTTTGGCCAAGCGCCGAAACAAAAGCCAAGCTGGAGGAGAACCTCTACTCGCGGTTCACAGAGGACTATATTGAGATTCTGCCGGAGAATTGGAACGTCCTTTCTTTGTCTCTTAGTGCCGACTGTACTGAATTCGTTGTTTCAAGGCTGCACAAGGGTCGCTCGCCCTTCCTCTTACGACTCCCCCTTAAGCGTGGCTCCGAGGACGATGAAGAAGATCAATTTACTTTCGATGATGGAAAGGAGGAGATGAAGGAGCTTATCAAGCTGACGAACGAGAGTGCGCACGCAGCCAGACACCAGAATGATCGGCAATCGAAGAAAGAATGGTGGAAGAACCGCGAAGCCCTTGACCGACGTATGGAGAACCTGCTACAGAACATCGAAAATGTATGGTTCGGTGGCTTCCGTGGAATCTTCTCTCCCATGCCTCACGAAGCTGAATCCCTGGAGAGGTTTGCTGCTCTTTTCCAAAATGTCTTGGACAAACACCTACCTTCTCGCCAGAAAGGTAGACGTGCCGAGGGTCCGCACTTGACCTTGCATCCGAACGTGCTGGAATTATTCCTCGGTGTCAAAGACCTAGAAAGCCAAGAAGACCCCGAGGAAACATTGATGGATTTGCTTTACTTTGTCGTGGATATTCTGCAATTCCAAGGCGAGCGCAACGCGTATGATGAGATTGACTTCGATATGATGGTCGTGGAAACGCTCGATGCCCTAAGGGGACATCACGATACAATACGCAACGACCACGAAAGTCGAACAGTGAACAGCACGGTCCTGGTTCTCGATAAGTCACTACACATGTTCCCTTGGGAATCTCTTCCGTGCCTTCAGGGCCTTCCCGTATGCCGAGTGCCGTCGTTGGAATGCCTTCGTGATCGCATTTTGCAATTCCAGACCGAACGCGCAGATCGCAAGCATGACTTCGGCGTTGATAGCAAGAACGGCACCTATATCCTGAACCCTACTGGCGACTTGCAAACGACCCAGGGCACCTTCGAGAAAGAACTTTTGGGCTTGGAACATTGGAAGGGAATCTCAAAGCGGGAACCAACCGAGGAGGAGTTCAGACAAGGACTGGAGTCTAAGAGTCTATTCCTTTACTTCGGACACGGTAGTGGTGCGCAGTACATCCGAGGCCGAACGATCAAACGGCTGGAAAGATGCGCCATTACCTTCCTCATGGGCTGCAGTAGTGGAGCTCTGACGGAAGCAGGGGAGTATGAGCCGTACGGGACGCCGATGAATTACCTGCATGCGGGGAGTCCGGCGTTGGTGGCTACCTTGTGGGACGTGACAGACAAGGATATTGATCGATTCGCTAAGAGTACGTTTGACAAGTGGGGCCTCTTTGGTGGCGAAGCTGAAGCTGTGGCCTTGGATGAAGCCGTCTGTCAGTCACGACAGGCGTGCGTTTTGAAGTATTTGAATGGTGCCGCGCCAGTGATTTATGGCATCCCCTCGGTGTTCTTGGAGTAACAAGCGAGGCATTTTTTTATGGACTGAGGTGTTTATGGTGCTCCAAGGTGCTGAGTACCTCCATTGCACTGTTATTGATTGCGTTTTCATACAGCATATGATATCATTGTCTTTCTGGATTCTCCTTTTGTATTGGCAGTAGAGTAGTAGTAGTAACTAATGGATTGTTGGCTTATCAACAGCCGGGAAACTATGTCATGAAACCATGTCACAACCGCAAAGGGGAAAATTTCCCGAAGCTCCACCGCCCCTCATTTTCCCCTCACCCGCGGAATTCCCCTCATCGTCGTTTCCGCGTTCCTGTCTCTTATAGCTCTTCTTCTTCTCAGTTCCCTTCTTTTCCGGGAAGCTTCTCAACAGTCCCGAGTCAATTCCACCATCCATCACCATCACCATGTCCGTCACCACCAAAGCCACCATCGCGTCCTTCGGCGGCAAGCTGCTGAAGCTGAGCCATGCGGCCACTTCCACCAAATGCGAGATGTCCTTCAACCTTTACCTGCCGCCGCAGGCCTTCCAGAACCCCTCCCAGAAGATCCCGGTGCTGCTGTACCTGTCCGGTCTGACCTGCACAGCGGACAACTGCTCAGAGAAGGGCTTCTTCCAGCACGGCGCCAGCAAGAAGGGTATCGCCGTGCTGTACCCGGACACCAGCCCTCGTGCGTTACCTACCTACCCTCCACGCACCCTTTCATCATGCCCCCGGTCTCAAGAATTCCCTCTTCCTTTCCTCCCCCCAATCCACAAGCACAATTAATCACATTCAAAACTAACAACCATGCCAAAAAGGCGGCCTCAACATCCCCGGCGAAGACGAGGCATGGGACTTCGGCACAGGCGCCGGCTTCTACATCGACGCCACCAAAGCCCCCTACAACAACGGCTACAACATGTACACCTACATCACAGAGGAGCTGCCGAAGACGGTGTTTCAGGCGTTCCCACAGCTGGATAGCTCGCGGGTGAGCATCACGGGCCACAGTATGGGCGGACACGGGGCCTTGACGCTGGTACGTCCCCCCCCCCCCGTCCCTTTACCTACCTTTTCTTTCTCAAATTCTCCACCGGAATTTTGAACCTGATGTGTTGGGATATAGTTCCTCCGCAACCCCGGCAAATACAAGTCCGTGTCGGCGTTCGCGCCGATCTCGAACCCCGTCAACTGTGCGTGGGGCCAGAAGGCGTTTGGCGGGTATTTCGGTGAGGAGCAGGTGGAGAAGTGGAAGGAGCATGATGCCACGGAGTTGGTGCGGAAGTGGAAGGGTCCGTTGGATGTGTTGATTGATGTGGTAAGTTTTTTTTCCCCCGGGATGTTCTGTCTTGGCTGTGCTTCTGTGGCTGTTCTGCTTGGGGATTAAGGGTGTGATTGTGCTGTGCTGCCGCTGACCGTCTTGCTACAGGGTACCGGCGACAACTTTTACAAGCAGGGCCAGTTGCTGCCCGAGAACTTCGAGAAAGCTGCCAAGGAAGCTGGCGTGGAGGGCGTCCGTGTGCGCTATCAGCCCGATTACGATCACAGCTATTATACTATGGCTACGTTCTCGGATGATCATGTCGAGCATGCGGCTAAGTATTTGTTTGCTTAGTGGGTTTTCCCTCCTCTCCTTTTTCCTTTTACTGTGGTTGTTTGTCTGGGGTTGTATATGGTTGGGATGGTTGATGGGAGGATTTGAGTTTGTTGTGTTAATGGACTGTTCTGATAGGTTGAAGTGATCGTCAGGCGAGGTCGTCTCTTTGAGTATTGGTTTGGATATATGTGTGGATCTCTAGGGTGCTGTATGCTTTGGAGAAAATACTCGTATATGAGTCAAGCGAAGGCATCGAATTGCATGCATGATATATATAGAGATGAAACACAGAACTCATTCCATACACCACTACACCATAACTCCGCTAAAAAAAACAGATCATCCCTACCCAACCGAAACCCCATTGCCGACACACCCCGCTACAGAACTGTCGACAAACAGACACACTACTCCACCCTCGTCACCACCCGATCCACCCCATGCATCTCCTCAGGAAACCGACACTCCTCAAGCATATGATCGTCTCTCTCCTCGAACGGACACTGATGCCCGCACACGCACTTCCGGTTCGCGCACCACAGCCCCTCCGCGCACACGCTCGTCCGCGAGATGCACCGTAGGTCATGGAGGTTCTGGGCGCGCAGCCGTCGCCCGTGCCGATAGTTGCAGCCATCTCCGAATGGGCAGTCGTCCTGGAGGTGGTACTGGTTGCAGTACTTGGCGGTGCGGAGGCGCTCGTAGTTCTCTTTGCTGCTGGGGCGTCGGAGGGGTGGGTCGATCCGTTGGTCTCGGGCGTTGTAGTGGAGTTTTTTGTCTGGCGACTTGGGGGTGGGGGAGATGTCGAATATGAGGGTTGGCGGTGAGGCTGTGGAGGATAGTGATGATGATGACGATGATGATGTGGGGCTTGGAGTTTGGGATGTGGTCGGCGAGGAAGAGGAGGGTGTGCTGCTGCTGCTGCTGCTGCTGCTGGTGATGAGGGAAGTGGAGGAGGGGAGCGGGAGGTTTGCCTTGGCAATGGTGGCATAGTCCCGTGGAGGCGACGAGGGTGGTGTGCTGGTGCTTGAGGATCTAGCTGTCATGCTGATGTTGGCTGAGGCGGTGGCGACGGCGCTGAAGGAGGAGGCGCGTGCGGGCAGCTTCAGAGACCGGAATACCGCAGGGAACGAGGTGGTCCGGAATTCACTGGAGAGCTGCTCAATTTCCCAGGCGAATGGCGCGCCCTCGACGAGGGTGATCCGCTTGCTCCCGCGGTGGGAGCCGAGGATGCGGGCGTACCCATTGTCTGTTGCGGCGCAGAAGATGATGTGGTGGCAGTGGACGTCGAGGATGTCTCGCTCGAAGGTTGCTGTGTGAGTGTTAGGGTGTCAGAGAGACGGTTCTAACACGCTTAGAAGAGAATTAGGGCATACCTCGGATCTTGACATCGGAACATTCTTTGCCGTTGCCTGCGTCGATGAAATCGCACTGGCTACTTTCCATGTTGAAGCCTCGAATGAACGGGTCGAGGGTCTCGTTGGAACGCAGCACCTTTGCTTCGCGATATGCCTTCTCCAGACCGGGTGTATTCGCATAGACGCACACTTTGTACTGGAGACTTGGGCTGGCTTGAGCGTCGATGTCCCGGATGTAGCGCTCGACAGACTGGCGCAGAAGAAGTGCAGCTTTGCGGCCACCGTCGTGGCCTTCTTTGATGAATGCATCATTGAACTGTGCTATTAGTCAAGACTGCTGGTGCGAGGACAATTGGCTGACGTACATTCATACAGTCACCATCCACCAGTATAGACACGTAGCTTAATTTGGCCTGGTTCATCATCAGTCGTAGACTCGCAGCGTGAATGACAATCAAAGTACCTGATTATGCTTCAAGTCCCCAATCTCCGACTTATACGCATCCAGTTCTCGGTTGAGAAAGTGGGCTCTGTGTTCAAATTTGGCGCATTCGTTGTGGAGGACGAATTGCAGAGTCTCAACCTCGAAGAATAGGTCCTATTCATACGCACGGTTAGCGGCTGCACCTTGGCTTCTCCACAGGTCAGCTCACTTGAATCAGTCTGTCTTTGCATTCTTCGACTGCGAGTACACCTCCATATCGCTTTCTCAGCTCCAGGAGGTTCATTGCGACTTGTGATGGACAAGGGGGGCTGGCCCAGATGGCATCCATTGTGATTGTAGTCTGGTAGACACTCTCTGTACCCACGCATCCAGAGTCTTCTTGACCCCATATTTATAGCCCGAGTTAGGGGAAGCATTCAAGTATACGGAAAGTAACATGTTGGATGTATCCTGAAGAGCGTATCGAAGCGGTCGTTGGCACAGGTGGCGGAGCGTGACGCAGAAGAAGGTCACATCCAACCATTCTTCAAGCGATTTTAGAACTCTGGCCTTGACTAGTGCCAGCTGCAGCTCTTGTCCGTGTGATAAGCATTTAGCGGCAAGGTGCAGAGGTGGGTTGGTCTCTGTTAACTAACGGGTGACGAAGGGTAAGCGCCAGCGGGGCGGGGAAACGGTCAAGATCCCTACCCTTCCATGCAGCCTGGCCGTGCCGTTGTGATTGCCGCTGAGAGTTGGTGGTCTGCCTCAATCACACTCTTAGGCGCTACGAATGTGCGCGAGCGTTCAATCTGGCGCATCTGCTTTTCCAGAAATGCGCTTGCCGTCGACCATTTCTCAGAATCTCTCAGCTTGTATCTCATCTGGTCTCCAGCCATCAACATTGAAGATCTAAACTCTTCGTTTGTGCCATGTACAATCCTGAGTTATCGAACGCAAGGCGATTCGCCATGGTACTGGATTTGGGGATGACGGCAAAGACTTCACTAACGACACGGATTCAAAGCATCCATAGCCAACTACCTATTTCTGCCTGGCCATTTCAGCTCGCCAGTATGAGTCCACCTCTTCCTCAACCTTCTTTCGCGCGTCCGCCCCAACTTCACCCCCGACCATCTCTCCAGCCGAGCGCATCGCCTCACAATCCCAACAGAAGCAAACCCCATAAATCTCCCCTGTTGCAGCCTCGAATAACTCCCCGGTCGTTTCAAAGGCCCCAGTCAATACCTCCTCTCCGAGTTTATCATCATGATTGATATAACGCCCAGTCCGCTCAAGCATCGACTTCTCGTATAGCTCTGCGCTACACAGATGCGTGTGCCAGACTAGATCTACATCCAAGGTCGGAACAAGGATTTTGTCTGGGTGCAAGCGGAACAACGTAACAAAATGTTCGTAGCGCGCGAGTGCCCGGGCGAGGGTCCCTTGGAGCGCGGGACTACAGATCCAAAGCAAATTGTGCATTTTGTCGATGAAGATGCCTTGTCGGAGGATGTTGTCGATCAGCGGGGTGTTCTCTGCTGAGACTGTAGTAGCAATGTCCTTGGCGGTCATGGCTTCGTTGCGTTGGAGTGCCATGATTAGGTCTGGGGCGATGTTGAGCTCGTCGAAGAGCCAGGTTGCCGTGCGGTCGGGCAGAGTGTAGTTCCAGTTTTCTTGGGATAGTGCTTGATGCTGGAACTGAGTTAGATGTGGGAAGCATCTTGACATGGTTGCAAGCGTAGAGTGGGCTTACTACTGCTGTCCAGGGGAACGAGAGATCCCGAATGTGGTTGAGATGATTCGAGATGCAATATCCAGAAAAGTCGTGTGGATTGAGCAGAAAGGCATGCCATACCATTAGAATGTCTGACATTATTAGAGTTGAGACTGAAACGGACGTGCAGTAGAGATTGGGGACACACCAAGCGGAGGTAGAACAATAGGGTCATTCATCTCTGGCTGTTTAGCTCTCAGATGATGATCCGTCGCGCGAATCCACTTCTGGAACCTGACTACCGCGATCGATAGAAATCGGTACCATGTGTCGGAGAGTTCTCGATCTTTGTGAGCCTTCCCATGGCTCTTTTTGATATGTATACGGATAAGAGCTTTCGCCAGCTTCCTCGAGGCAGTAACCCGCTTCCGAAGGGCGTAAAATGCTTCCAACATTTCAAAGTGGATGGCACATTGTTGTATGGAAGGGAGATCTGCTTTATCTTCTGCTTGCTTTTGGGACTCTTCAACTACGCTGAGAACAGGCCTGACTAGCTCTTGGGAGAGATCTGATGAATGAAGATGCAGCCTGGTCAGTAAGGAAGATATCGAAGGTGGCATTTTTAAAAGTCTGTGATGTTGGATATTGTTGAGATTCTGAATGATACGTGCTTTTGAGATGACTGACTCCCGTTTGTATATGTGGGACAAAGCAATGCACCCCGCCAAGATCGACAAGGCTGAGCATCATGGCTGACGGTCAGATGATTCCATCACTCAACAGCTTCAGCTTATCGCTCATATACCAGGTCGTTCTGCTTCTATCTTTCGTTGGTTTATAGAATGGTCGAAGAAGAGACGCAGGAAATCAGGTAGCAATGACCGGAGACACGTTTAGAGGAACATATTACTACTGACGCTTCGTTGGCTCTGTGCGGAGTACTCATACTGCAACCTTGGACGCCCACAATCTCATCATTTCCCTACGCCTAGCATCAGGCTTCTGCTTCTCGTGCAAGCCTGGACCGTCTCCATCCGCTCTGTCATATTAGTTTCCGCATCATGTCCGCCACAAGGCTCACAGTCGGAAGAACACCCACCTTCCTCAAATACTTGCATCACCTGCAATTTTAATGCAGGTGCGGCCCTGAGAACCGAACTGGGTCGCCACAGGCACGGCTCCAGGCTCCCTTCTACGTCCTAGTCGACCCATGGCACCGGTATGGCCAGGTCTAGTGAAATTGGAGGCAACGTGAGTGTGGCCAGCTGGCCCATCGTCTGGACACCATAGAACTGGGAAGCAGCGTAGACGACTGAGACCCTGAGGCCCTTGCGCCAAGTGAAGCAGAAAGACATTTAACACCTAATCCACAATAATCGCGTTCATGATGTTGATTTCACTGGTAGAGTCTCTCGCGGCTCGATAAACACGAGCCCCGCCCGGGTGTCCAAAACCTGTATATATGGGCCGGGATCCTTTCTATGGCGTATTTGGCTTGGGCGTAGGATCAGATTCAGCTCACTCTCGCAAAAGATGTTGTCTGTGCTGAGTAGGTGGCTGATTCCAGCGACCACCTCGTCTAGTGGCAAGCTGTTGGCCTAGACATAAACACCTGGGAAAGAGCGGCAAGCATTAGAAGCTCAATGTAGATCCGGCTCAAGGCAGCGGGACAGTTATTTTTGACAGAACCACGAACGTCTGCTATGAAGGATGCATTTGCCGTTGTCTCGAGGACGATGGTCGCTTCCCTTAAAGAATGACTAGATGCCTCGCTCATCCGGCCTCTTATTTACGGCAGTGGTGTCTCCTTGAGCGTCTGCCACATCACCTTTGCCAGAGGCCATGGGCACGGCCATGTTATGCACAGCTTTGTGATGGCGACTTCCTCGGGGTTTCTGGGGAAGAGCAAGCTTTGCTTGACTGGTACCTAAAGCACGTTCATCATAATTGGAAAGGTACAAAGACCAGCTCTTCGATTCGCCAGCGGGGTCTGTTCGATTCACCCTGCAATGACCAATGGCTTCTCTGCCGTTGCGTTGCTGGTCACAAGCCAACACTATGGCTGTTTCATCTACCATCCATCTGGATATATGAGTTCGCCTTGGTACAGTCCGGGCTTGATATAGAATATCCACCAATGCTCTGATAGCACGCGCGTCCGGCAGGGTTCCTGGAGAGGATTCATCATCGCCAAGAAGCCAAGGCGGATACTGGGTAGATGATCAACGGGCTCAGTTCCGAGATGGCTCTAGAGAGGTTAGTGATTGCGAGTCGAAGCTGGGCGTGAAACCGAAATGGCGAAGACCAGGTCCATTCATCATGGTGGAGCCGTTCGCAACGTGATTCTGTTCAGTATCAAGGTGGTTGATGTTTGGCTGTCGCAGCCGTGCCAAGGCCGGGTGCTGTAGTGTTGGGCGGTCAGCGGCACGATCTCTCGGACTCTCGGGAGCATTGTGACAATCAAAAGCTTAGATCTCCAGCCCGCTCTTTAGATAACAAATTCCAAACAACCCGGTACGGATCTTTACATTCACTGTCTCATAATTGGTTTGCGGCACAAGCTGCCCGATGTTAGGCCGGAGCAATGGTTTTCCGCTGACGAGTCAATGGCATTCCGTGGATTAGAGAACATTGTACAGACAGTGGATCGGGCTGTTCGTCAGCGTATGATGTCGGCTTCGCCTCAGCCGGGGCAGAAATGATGACTGATGGAACTGGCGTTTGCCTTGGCTGACTGGCTGGCTGTCCATCCATCCTTCTAATCCCCTCTACGGATCCAACAACACCATGGAGCTGTGGTTGATGCTTGGCCAAGAAAGAAGCAATTCCTCCCTTCTCGCGAGTGCACCAAATTTTCCAAATCCAGTCGTTACAGTGCCATAATATTAGACGGCTGCTAAGCGTTTCGACCGACGAGGATGCTGACGCAGCCCCTGCGGTGCAGGGCCCATCCTCCACCTTCTCCTCCATCCCTCTTTCGCCGCGGTCCGTCCGGCTTTGTTCGTCTCCCCCGGGCTTATTATTATCATCACCATCTGCGAAATTTGAACACCTCCTCCTCCTCCTTCTCCTCTGCCCCTCCTTCCTCGTCGGGATCGCTTCACCACAAGAGCCCCCGCACTGCCTCTGGTCTTTCATCGATCTTTCCCTCCTCTCCTGTCGCGTGCCCCAATGCCCCTCTTCGTCCGAACTCTCGCCCGACTCTGATTCCATCCCTCACTGCTACCACCTCCTATATTAAGCAACCAATCTCAATCACCTTGCCCCCAATGGCCATTCAAACACGGGAACACGGTGGCCACCACCACCACCACCACCATCATGGCAGTAATGTCTACCTTACATCAACCGATAAGCACGATGCTGGAGTGCGGATCACGCGGATCGGCCTCGTCGCCAACCTTGGTATGGCCATCGGCAAGTTTATTGGTGGCTACATGTTTCATTCTCAGGCCCTCATTGCCGACGCCTACCACGCCCTCACCGATCTGGTCTCAGATATCTTGACCTTAGCCACAGTAGCCTGGTCGCTGAAACCCCCGTCGGAACGGTTCCCCAACGGCTACGGAAAGATAGAGAGTATTGGCGCTTTGGGTGTGAGCGGCCTGTTGCTCTGCGGCGGTGTCTTCATGGGTCTCAACTCCGGGCAGGTCCTTCTGCATCAATTCTATCCGGAAATCGCTGAAGCAATTGCGCACTTGGGGGCTTTGGGACACGGTCATTCGCATAGCCACGGGGTAGAAGCGTTCGGTCCAAACATCCATGCTGCATGGCTGGCTGCTGGGTCGATCGTGGTCAAGGAATGGCTTTACCATGCAAGTGAGTTTCCTCCATTAGCTTTCATCTCCAAGCGCGACAGGTGATACTGACTTTCCACGTGTCAAACAGCCATGAAGGTTGCCACGGAACGCAAGTCGTCAGTCTTGGCGTCCAATGCCGTTCACCACCGAATCGACTCCCTTACCAGCGTTGTCGCCCTTTTTACGATCGGCGGTTCTTATATGTTTCAAGACGCTTCCTGGCTGGATCCCGTGGGAGGACTCCTCATCTCACTGATGGTTATCAAGGCTGGGTGGGGCAATACAAAGACTTCCCTTTTGGAGTTGGCGGATACTACGGTGGATGATGATGTGAAGGTTTCGGTGCACAAAGCGGCTAGTAAGGCGCTGGCTCTCCTGGAGAAGGGCGAGGCGCTTAAGGTCCGAGATGTTCAGGGTATGAAGTCAGGCCAAAATTATCTCATGGATGTTGAGATCGCAATGCCAGGCGCATGGCCTATCAACCGTGCTCGTCAGGCGGAAGAGGCGTTGCGCACTGCTATCGGAGAAAAGGTCCGCGGGGTTAAGCGAGTCAAGGTCCGGTTCATTCCCCTTGAGCATGAGGAGTTGACCTTCTCTGAAGAATTCATCCCGGCCGATGTGACCTCACGGGCGCGTCCGGAGCCGGAAGATGGAGACGAGCATGAGCACGAGCACGAGCACGAGCACGAGCATGAGCATGAAGCTCGCAAAAATCGGTAGATAGCGAAGACTTGCTTCTGAATATTTTGCTATTTTCTGCGATCTTGTACATGGCCGGCGAGTTCGTTCACCGCGCTTTCACTGGTGATAAAGACCTCTTTGTGGTTTTGGCCTCCATGCTCCTTTGATACCCACACTTTTCCCTGCTTTGGAGTACGGGTAGAGTTGATAGAGCTCAATCAGGATGAACATAGGAAGGACAAGAAGGGAACGAATGAACAAAAGAAAAGCTATTAGCACGTAATGTATGACTCGAAATAGGTTCTTGTGTATGTGGATGTGCAAGCACAAACATGGTCGTTTGGTGAAGATCATCCTCGGCAGTAGAATGAACCCCCTCCAGAACTGATCGCGGGGATCCCTAAGCCCAGGTGACAACAAGACATGGATTAATTCAACACCTAATGGGCCCTAGAATCATCTGTCGAAGCCCAATCCCTACTAGTGCGGGGCTTAACTTGGTCATGATGTTCCTCGCAGGCCGATATGATCTCGGATGAATATGATCTAGACCCCCTCTCACTCACTGTTGACTGCAATGAGGATCAACCGGGTAAATTCCCGGCGGCGGTGGAACCCGGGATAAATCTGAGCTCAATGTTACAGGGAGACCTGAGGGAATCCAACTTCGAGAAGAGCCGCGTTCGGTAAAATAGACGACGTTTCGGCAATATCGTGTCATAATGATGGACTCTATTGGGATGTAGAAAAAGGGGGAAGTCTCGCCAGAATTGACGGTGTTGATCGAACAAACTTTGAATGAATTTCTTCCCCGCTGCACCACACATAAACAAGTAGCCGGAAGTGGAAGGGTAGTAAGTAAGCGTCCCCGGCCATTGCATCAGCGGTGTTTGTCGGATCACTCTTTGCCACACGGTAGTTGCATACATGTACATGCACTTCCCCTCCACCACTTGCTTTTTCTATTTTGCTTATGCGTAACAGTCTTTTCTACCTTTTTTTCTACACAATCCTCCCGTGACATTCCACTATCGCATCTGTGGCATCTGATCCCGCATTCAGCCCACGGCACCTACGTCATTTCCCCGGACCGCAGCAGTTCAGGAGCCATGGCCCAACCCGCCAGCCCGCTTTACATCGGCTTCGACCTGTCCACCCAGCAACTCAAGGGTCTAGTCGTCAACTCCGACCTCAAGGTTGTCTACGTGTCCAAGTTCGACTTTGACGCTGATTCGCACGGCTTCCCTATCAAGAAAGGCGTTCTCACCAACGAGGCCGAGCATGAGGTCTTCGCGCCCGTCGCGCTCTGGCTGCAGGCCCTCGACGGGGTGTTGAGTGGACTACGCGAGCAGGGGCTGGATTTCCGCCGTGTGAAAGGTATCAGCGGCGCCGGCCAGCAGCACGGAAGCGTCTACTGGGGGGAGAATGCAGAGAAGCTGCTGAAGAGCCTGGATGCGAAGAAGACACTAGAAGAGCAATTGGAGGGTGCGTTCTCGCACCCGTACAGTCCTAACTGGCAGGATTCCAGTACCCAGAAGGAATGCGACGAATTCGATGCATACCTTGGCGGACAAGAAGAGCTGGCTGCTGCTACAGGCAGCAAGGCGCATCATGTAAGAATTCTCTTTCCAACTCTCTTGGTCGATTGTGTAGAAGATTTACTAACAGTCTCACTTTGGCTGTAGAGATTTACCGGGCCCCAGATCCTACGATTCCAACGCAAGTATCCCGAGGTGTATAAGAAGACGTCGCGGATCTCGCTGGTATCTTCGTTCCTGGCGTCGCTGTTCCTGGGACATATTGCGCCGTTCGATATCTCCGATGTCTGTGGTATGAATCTGTGGAATATCAAGAAGGGAGCCTACGATGAGAAGCTTTTGCAGCTGTGTGCGGGACCTTCCGGTGTGGAAGACCTGAAGCGGAAGCTGGGCGATGTCCCTGAAGATGGAGGCATCCAGCTGGGAACCATCGACCGGTACTACATCGAGCGCTACGGATTCAGTCCCGACTGCACCATCATCCCCGCCACGGGCGACAACCCGGCTACCATCCTCGCGCTTCCGTTGCGGCCGTCTGACGCTATGGTCTCACTTGGAACCTCGACTACCTTCCTCATGTCCACCCCCAACTACAAGCCCGACCCCGCTACGCACTTCTTCAATCATCCCACCACCCCCGGTCTGTACATGTTTATGTTGTGCTACAAGAATGGAGGTCTCGCACGTGAGCAGGTCCGCGATGCGATCAATGAGAAACTTGGAGAATCCGCTACTTCATCGTGGGCGAATTTCGACAAGATCACTCTCGAAACTCCACCTATGGGACAAAAAGCAGACTCGGATCCCATGAAGCTGGGTCTGTTCTTTCCTCGCCCGGAAATCGTGCCTAACCTGCGTGCGGGGCAGTGGAGGTTTGACTACGACCCGAAGAATGGCCGTTTGCACCAGACAGAAGAGGGCTGGAATAAGCCTTTGGATGAGGCTCGCGCCATCGTCGAAAGTCAGATGCTCTCTCTGCGCCTGCGGTCGCGCGGACTGACTCAGAGTCCCGGTGGAGGCCTCCCGGCTCAGCCACGCCGAGTATATTTGGTAGGTGGTGGGTCGAAGAATAAGGCCATTGCTCAGGTCGCCGGAGAGATCCTGGGTGGTAGTGACGGGGTGTATAAGCTGGAGATCGGGGATAATGCTTGTGCGCTCGGAGCTGCATACAAGGCTGTTTGGGCGTTGGAGAGGACGGCTGACCAGACCTTTGAGGACCTCATCGGGCAGCGGTGGAGGGAGGAGGATTTCATCGAGAAGATTGCAGATGGGTATCAGTCAGGGGTGTATGAGCGATACGGCCAGGCTGTAGAGGGATTCGAGAAGATGGAGCTGGAGGTCCTCCGGCAAGAAGGGAAGCAGTGATATATTTGAAAGAGCAATAGAGTAGACTATGCCGAATATTCTGTGGCAACGGCCTGCTTACTTGATGATCTTACATAGGATGCATCACAGCGATGACCAAGTGATAATATGAGTGGACCCGAGTTTTATAGAAGAAAGAAAGACATACATTGATACACCAGTCGAGAGCCTTGTGGTCATAAAAAAGACCAACCGAGCGTAATAGTCTTTCTGCGTTCAGCGACATGTGCAACTTTGATGACTTGAGTACTATAGCGCATATCGCTTGAGAAATCCGTTACTCACGCATACTAAGAGGTTGTTGTAAGCTTGAAAGGATAGATTGCGAACCTAAAAACCGATCAAGGAGGTGTGCAGTATTCTCATCAACTGACAACAATAACAGCTTTGGTTTCAAGAGATCCCGCGACGTCGTATGCTTTCACATGTTTAAACTGAACCGATGTTCGCAGAGCAGCTGCCTCCCCTTCGACAACCTCAAATTGGTTCTGACCTACTCGTTCTCTACTTTCGTAAAGGCCGTTTAAGCCGTAGTAGCCTTTCTAGCAGAGAGTTTCCAATCGCTTGCGTAGAGTTTCCAAAGTCGTCTTGTGTTCCTCCCACCTGCCCATAGCTTCCTCGTAATCGTCATGCGAAACCCAGCCATCTTCCCCAAGAAGTTCCGCACGCAAACACTTAAAGTCACCGAATGCGGCTGCCCAAGCTTCGATTTGACGCCGACTCTCATCGATCTCCTGTCTCGAAAAGGAGATGGGACATGGTTCTCTGGAACCTCGTCGTTCCGTGATCTGGTCCCATTTTTCAAACACCTGTATTAGGAGTTCCGTTAATGGGAGGGGACCGTCCTCGAAGGACTGACCGACAATGTAAAAGATAAAAGTGGTAGGATCATTCTCGTTTCTCATCTGGTCCATGGCATGAATAAGAGCGGGGTTGAATGTTCGTGAGGCCAGCTCGTAGAACTTTTTCAGCCGGAGCCTATCAACCTTGTCTTCGGCTTGCTTTTTTGCTTCCTGCGAGAGGGAATCGTAATCGTTGGGGAGTTGGGGCTGCACCGCACCCCAAGGGTATATGTCGTCGCAGTTGAAGATCGAAGGGAATTTCGTCTGCATGAACAATGGGGCGGCGTGGACTGCTTGCCAATCGATTATACTCGATATTTGAGTAGGATCGGACGCATCAACGAAAATGTTGTCCGAATGAAGATCAGGGTGCAGTAGGACCGGAGAAAGGATTTCTGCTGGTGGTAGGATATGAGGAAGCACCGCTAGGAATTGCCCGAGGAGCTTTATATGATTATCGCGCTTTTGTTGTGTTTTGCCTGGGGGCACAGTGACATTACGGAGTCCGCTATGTGCATTCTGTATACGTGCTATTTCACGGCTTGCGACGGCTGCAAGGTACTCCTGTGCCGTTGCCCCTGATGCTCCAAATTAGTGTTCAACTTTCTTGGTAAAAAGATTATATCAGCTGTGCACTTACAAGGGCCCCTGTCAATCTCCATGGCTTGCATTTCGTTCTCCCAGAAGGACCGCTGTGTCGTTGGACCGAGAACACATTTCGATTGACCTTCTAGATTTGCTCCTTCCATGGCGACAATACTTCTTCCTTGTGGAAATGTACTTCGGTAGTATAAGCTGCCATGTAAAGGGAAGTTTGCTTTTACCAATTTTCGTTCAACATTTACTTAGCTCTTCACGAGTCCAAAGCGTTGAGCTTCGGACATATCATCCCAGATCTCGCCGAGCTGCCGCCCTTCTACCCTCTCCATTAGGATATATTCAGCACCGACGGGGTTTGGTTGCGACGAAGAGCTCCACGCGAGTACACGGGGAACCGGTATTTCGAGAACATTTCGCAGCTATAAGATGATTTTACCGATATTAGGATATTGCAATGCAGCACTAGAACTGAATCCCACATACAAAGTCAAGTGATGCGACTTCACTGGCCACCATATAATGCGGATGGCCGGCATTCGGGTTCGGAATTCTCGCCAAGATCTCCTTGCCAGTCTCCATGTGCAAGGAAAACACCTTGTTGAAAAGCCCTTCTGGTATCTTGTACATTCGAACACATCGACTTCCGATCAATTGGCCAGCAATGCCCTGCAGCGCTGGAACGTCAAACCTGATGTGGCGCCTTTCGAGTTGGTGCGCCTCAATGATAAGCCAGCAACCAGATGTGTAATTGAAGTCGTGACTGTGTGTTGGCCTACTACTTATGGACTGGGCCTGCTGAGATAGATGAAAGTGTCTTTTCGAGCTCAGAGTCAAGCTTGATAAAATGCAGGATTTGACGTGAGGTCGTTGGAGGCCCCACATGACTTCTTTGACGGTTGTGACACCGTGATGTGGAAGTGTGCGTTAGAGATGTTCGAGTTATATCTAGCAGCATGGGTTCGTTCTTTCTACATGACTAAAGCTCTGAGTAGATTGAGTGTTCTGATCTCGAAGAACTTTCACTTGAAGCTTTAATCGTTGGGTCCAGCTAGACAGACTTCGCGAAAATTGGGGTTACTGATTTGCTTGGGAGACGACTCTCTGGTTATCGTATATCAAGCCCGATGGATTGTTGTTTCATACACTGGAGTGGATTAGCTAACTAACTTACTTCGTCCACGGAGTGAAGATCCGGTGCTAGTCACGTGGAGGATTCCACTCAGTGAGCCGATCAGAGTGTGCTGCCGTCGCCGTGGACAAAAGCGGCGGCACCTGCATTGCAATGATCTGACTGTATATTCAGCTGCAGAAACGATGTCATTCTTGCGGTTCGATGCCTGAAGTGTCAGGCCGACACGCACGCCAACCCTTGCCGTTTTTGGGCGAACCAGCTTTGGGCCACACAATCAGGAACAACCTGCAATTTCCACCCTTTCCTTTCCTTTCATGTGTCTTTTCGAGGAGAGGAGTGACCGGTGGACGATAAGAGTTTCTTTGAGAGAATGCACTGCACCCATTGAATTTTTCCAGAACCATCTATCTTTTGCAACAGCAATCGTCGTCTTTATTGATTCTGCGTTGTCATTCTTCTCTACCTCGTGACCCGTCCGAGTAACTGGGTCTGACTACCAAGTCCAGACTACTAGACCCAACCGTTCCCTAAAGACGCACTAGTCGGTCATGGCTCGATAGAGTCTCCAGGCTATGACTACTCGCCGCCGCATCATTCTGTCCTAAACCACTACCTCCATTGATTTCTGAACTCCATCCCCCTCCCCCTCCCCCTCCCCTCTCTCCCCTCCATTGCTTTCTGAGTCTGCCGACTCCGAAGGCAGCCAGGCTGGTCGAAGATGGAAGAACAGGTAAGCGAATTCTCATCACTTCAACGTTACCCTCGCACGTTGCAACCTGCTCTTGGCCTTTTTTCATCGTATCCGTTTTTCTTTTTTTTTTGAATATCCACCCCACCATTTCTTCCCCTCCCCCTCCGTACCTCCCCGCCCCTTTTTCGCTCTACCTTTCCTTCTTCCAAATTGAAGTTCAGGTTCCTTGTGCATCGTCAGGTTGACCTCCGATCAGGTAGCAAATGCCATTGAGATCGCCTGGAATCCGTCCTCAGACCAAGCCCTCAAGAGTCAGGCCTACGACTACCTGAACCAACTCCGCGCCGACCCCTCCGGATGGCAGGTCTGCCTTGCTCTCTTCACCAAAACCCCACAACACTCCGAAATCATACGCCATGTGTCTTTGGAAGTGGTCAACAGTGCGGCTCAGGCCGGCCTCATCGATATACAGGCCCTGGGATACGTTCGGGACGGCCTGATGGCATACCTACGACAAGTCTACGGCCAAGAAAATGCCACTCCGGATCCGCCCAACATTCAAAACAAGATTGCTCAGACTATCACCTTCCTGTTCTCGGCCCTCTACGCGAACGGGTGGGAGTCCTGTTTCGACGACCTCCTCAGCCTCACCTTCAAGAGCCCCGCGAGCACGAGCCGTGACAACCCACTCGGGATTATATTCTACCTCCGTGTCGTCAATTCGATTCACGATGAGATCGGAGATGTCCTCGTATCCCGGTCCCGCGCAGAGCAGGACAAAGCCAACCTCCTCAAGGATCTGATCCGCGAGCGCGATATGCAGAAGATTGCCAGCTCCTGGCAAGAGATCTTGTCCGAGTGGCGGGACGGCAACGACCTGATTGTGGAGATGTCCCTTAAGGCGGTGGGCAGCTGGGTGAGCTGGATCGATATCGGCCTCGTGGTGAACCAGACTATGATGGATCTGCTGTTCCAGCAACTCGGCCGTGCGCAGAAGGCAGAACTCAGGTCCGGAGAAGAGAAGGTGCGCGATGCGGCGGTTGATGTCTTCACGGAAATCATCGGCAAGAAGATGAAGCCCGAGGATAAGATTGATATGATTATTTTCCTGAATCTCGACACTATTGTTACCCAGCTCTCCAATAGCCCCCCTCTCAACGAGAATAGGTTTACGTTTAAGTACGATACTGATCTGGCGGAAACGGTGGCCAAGTTAGTCAATATTACAGTCATTGATATTGTACGGGTCTTGGAGCAGGATATCATCATGGCTGACTGCAAGGAGAAAGCCACTGGCCTGCTGCAGGCCTTCCTTCCGCATATCCTGAGATTTTTCTCTGACGAATACGACGAGGTCTGCTCGACCGTTATTCCCTGCGTCAGCGACCTCCTGGCTTATCTCAGGAAGATGGCCAAGGTCAACCCCGCATTGGCTGTTCAACACTCCTCCGTCTTGCTGCCGATCTTGAAGGCTATTATCGCCAAGATGCGCTACGACGAGACATCCTCGTGGGGAGACGAAGACGACCAGACAGATGAAGCAGAGTTCCAGGACCTCCGCAAGCGGTTGGGGGTCCTTCAGCAGGTTATCGCCTCCGTGAACGAACAACTATACATCGACGCAGTTTCGGAGGTAGTAGGGACGACCTTCGAGAATCTGAGGCAGTCGGGCGCCCAATTGGATTGGCGGGACTTGGACTTGGCTCTCCACGAGATGTTCCTCTTTGGAGATATTGCCGTCAAAGCAGGCAGTCTGTACACTAAGGGATCTCCCAACAATCCTGCTGCAGAGCGACTCATTGAGATGATGTTGAAAATGGTCGAGTCCGACATCCGCTCCTTCACTCACCCCGCTACGCAACTGCAGTACATGGAAATCTGCGTCCGCTACAGCTCATTCTTCCAGCACCACACTCACCTCATTCCGAGCGTTTTCGAGAGCTTTCTCCAATTAGTTCACCACCCGATCAAAAAGGTCAAGACTCGCTCATGGTATCTGTTCCAGCGCATCGTCAAGCAGTTGCGAAACAACGTTGGCAACGTTGCTCAGAACGTCGTTGCTGCTCTGGGCGACCTCCTGGTGATTAATGCGGAATTGCCATCGGAAGGGTCCGATGGAGACGAAATGTCGTCTGAGGATCACGAGGGTTCCGCAGATGCTGTGTTCGCCAGTCAATTGTATCTTTTTGAGGCAGTGGGCATCATTTGCTCCACCCCCACTATACCCGCTGATAAGCAAGTCCTATACGCGCAGTCCGTGTTGACCCCCATCTTCATGGACATGGAGAAGAATTTGGCGCCAGCCAAGGCCAACGATGAGAGAGCTATTTTGCAGATCCATCATGATATCTCGGCTCTGGGCACGTTGGCACGCGGCTTTTCCGATTGGATGCCTGGAACCAGCTCCCCTGCTGCACTCCCTGCGCCGGAAGTCTCCGATGCATTCATGCAGGTATCGGAAGCCACTTTGGTGGCTTTAGAGTCGCTCAAGTCTTCGTTCAATGTGCGCACCGCGGCACGATTCGCCTTCTCCCGACTCATCGGCGTTCTGGGGGCGCGCATTCTTCCTCAACTTCCACGCTGGATTGATGGCCTCCTTACGCAGACATCATCGCGTGATGAGATGGCTCTGTTCCTCCGGCTGTTGGATCAGGTCATCTTCGGCTTCAAGACCGAAATCTATGGTATTCTGGACACTCTCTTGACACCTTTCCTCCAGCGGGTGTTCTCCGGCATTGCGGATCCGACTACGGGTACAGACGATGAGATCCACTTGGCGGAATTAAAGCGCGAATACCTCAACTTCCTCCTGGCTGTTTTGAATAACGATCTCGGCGCTGTCATCATCAGTGAAAGTGAGTTATACGTCCTAGTCTTTGACATACCCAGGCTAACAATTTCAGGAAACCAACCCATGTTCGACACTGTGATCACGACGATTGAGCATTTCGCCAAGGACATTGAAGATTTCACCACAGCCAAGATGGCATTCTCTGTTTTATCCAAGATGGGCAGCTCGTGGGGTGGTCCAGACATTGCACCGGAGGGTGTGAACGGCGCGGCGGGCCAGCAGGTAGCTCTGCCCGGCTTCGGCCAGTTCATGATCAGCCGGCTGTCGCCGCTGTGCTGGGCACTACCCGCGACGCCGTCATTCAACTCGAAGGATGCACAAGCCAGACAAGTCCTCGCGGAAGCCGGTGGGCTTCAGCGGACTATTTACGCCAAGACGGGAATGGAATACCTTGAGTATCTCCGGACCCAAGAACTGCCAGGCATGGGCATGGGAGGGGACCTGGTGGAAGAATTCGTGGGGGCATTGAGCCGGCTGGACTTGAAGGGGTTCCGGCAGTTCTTCCCGGTACATACCCTCTCCCGCTTTATCTCTTCATTGAAATGATCATTTTTACTAACTCTCTTGCAGACGTTTATCCAGCGATTGAGCGCATGATATGTGTTCTTTCTGGTTATTATATTCCGTCTTATCAATGCCCCTGTTTCTCGACCCTTTTGACCTCCCCCCCCCTCGATCCTTCTGTTTCAGTCCTAGATTCCCCCATGGTTTGGTTTGATGACTGATGTTCTCATGTGATCATTTACATCGAAACTCTCTTCCTCTTCCCCTCTCATATTATTACCTACTATCATACACACACAAGCCCGTCATCAATCGATCATTCGAAAGCTTCCATCATATGAAAGCCAAGAGCAAGCACACGCACATCTCCCGAATGTATTGATGTCAAGTGTGAGAAACGAAAAAGCTAAATCGAAGAAAACAGACGAACCCGGTATATAGTCAGTTTGGTTCGGCATCAGCATGAGCGGGCGTTTCATTATATTCCTACTTTGCCTATTGTTGCGAGGAACGGGCGGTGGACTGCATGCAGTATGCGATAGTTAGAATAGCATGAAAGATGATTGAGATATGGAGGAGATTCCCAGTTCCTAGTTGTTCCATTTTGGTAGCAGGTTTGTGTTCGGTCCGGTGTAGAACATTGTGTAGGTGAGTAGACATTACACCACAGCGCTCTTCTGCTATAGTATTGCGTCATCAGTCTTCATTCATAGATGTTCTAGCTAAGTTAGGTGTTGTCGCCGCTCACTTGGGCTATACTTCACGCCAAACCGAAGTAGACATGACATGGTTGTTGCTCACCACCCCCACTAACCTACCTGCCTATATCTTTCCGTCATTCAAGCAGAAACCGACCCCATGAGCTGCACCAACTGATCCTGCATATCACAAAAGATATTCACAGCCTAGAAGCAACGAACAATAGGAATCAGCAATTCTTCTCCCCTCTCCTTCCCTCTTCCCCCTCAACCAGCGCAGACCAGAAGAAAAGACAATACTCACCTGCGTCAACTTCCCCTCACTTTCCCCCCGCGCATCCCTGGTAAAAGCAAGCCGATACCCCGCCTCATCATTCACGAACGACAAGGCCCGTTCGGGGAGTCCCGCGGCGACGGGGTCCGGGTCCCGACTATCGAACAACGAGGCCGGCACGCTCCCGTCCGTCATGGTGCCGGGCTGGTGCGCGAGCTCCTGCAGTAGGCCTGGCGCGATGGTGATGTGGTGCACGCCGGCTAGAGCGAGGATCTCGGTCGTGGAGGTCAGGCTTGCCGGCAGGACTTGCGTGCGGCTGCCGATTCGCTGGTAGTATTTTTGGATGAGGGGACAGAGGGGGAGGAGTTTGTTTGGGTCGGTGAATCTTTTTTTTTTCATCATCATCATTAGTTCTTAGTGGGGTTTTGGGGGTGGAGGTGGGGGGTGTTGGGAACTTGGGATGGGGTTGGGTTTGAGGGGCGACCGGGGACTCACCCCGGCTCGAAGTGGACTTTCAGTTGGTTCACGTAGGGGGCTATGTATGTGCAGTTGACTTCGGCGGCCAGCGCCGCTTGCGTTAGGGTGAAAAGGGTCGTGGCTAGGGTGCGCACGCCTGCTTGTTCGAGCGCGCGACAGGCTAGTAGCCCTTCCCAGGTGCTGGGGATCTTGATGCAGATGCGCGACTGTGGGAAGCCTGGTTGGAGGTGTTGCGCGAGTTGGATTATTCCTGTGTTGGGGTTTGGGGGTTTTAGTCGGATTGTTGTTCTCTGGGTTAACTATGTGTTTGTGTATGGCCGGGGAGGGGTTGCACTGCGTGGAGATACATACTCAGGGCGTTGACGAGGGTCTTCTCGGTGGAGTAGGAGTAGTATGGGTTGGTCTGGATGTGGATGTAACCACGGATATGGGGCGCGATCTTCAGAGCCAGTTTGATCATCTGGTTCGATGTGGACGAATCCGTTCAGTCACTTGCGTACAGCAAATGTAGGCGTTGCGGACATACTGCGATCTCGACGGCCAGTTCCTCTACGCTGAGTTCGGGGAACTTGGTGACCAGCTCTTTGGCTTCTGAGACGGATTCGGTGATCACTTTGGCGTTCTCTGGCTTGGATAGCTCGCCGAATGCGATGGCCTGTGGTGGTAGAGTTGGTGAGTAGGGTTCTTGGTTGTGACGGGCTACAGCAGACGGAGATACCTGGTTGGAAGTGCAGTCTTGGAAAGGGCCATAGGTTTTGGCGACTGTTTGCAACAGCCTGATTAGATGTGATCCGAATCTATGATAGCGATAAAAAGGCCGTGCTTGCCTTGCTCATCCATAGTATCGCAGTCTACAATGGTCCTCTCGCGGAGAGCTTCTAGTGCGGTTTGAGGAGTAGCCATGTTGGTGAGTATACGAAGTGTCTTGATATCAGCTGTAGGTCAAATCGATGAGCCAGATGAAAGCAAGTAGAATACAGCAGAATGGCCTGACGAGCTTGCAGGCATAGCCATTGTTAAACAAAGAGGGGGCTTTGATCTGATAAGCCCCGGCCCCATACTTCCCTTTCCCCTCATCCATCAATTGATCAATCATCACTCCGCACCATTTAGCCTAAATTGCTTCCATGTCCATCTGGCAGTATTCTTCCTCTTCGGCCCGACAGCTCTCTCGCCTTTGACGTCCAACCGTGCTGAATGGTCTTCGGCAAGAGGATAGAATGGTGGTGGGTATCGGACATGCTGGATCGGCAGTGGACTTGCATTCAGTTATTGCAGAGATATCTGATTTCAGTGTCCGGCTAAGATTTCCACGCGCAACCACGGGATCGACATGCCAAACATGCATTACTCAATTGACTGGACTTAGTTAGACTACTGGTTGAGTAACGCTGCGATTATGCCTCACGTGTCCTGCTGACTGGCGATTTGGTCATTTATTCAGTCCAGGCATTATGCTGAGGGCGCAGATGTGCATCCAGTAGCACGTAATAGCAGGCGTGTACTTGGCTCATGAGACCGGTTGTCGAGCACAATTGAGCATCGAAGGTGTGACATCGAAAGCTAACAAATGATGCTTGACAAGCACCAATTCAGAAAGCAAAGGAAAAGAAGGCGCATCGAGACTACAATAGGCGTGATCCACGCTAACCTACAATCTCCCCTATTCACACCTTCAAGCTACAGACTACAGTATGTAACCCTGATATGAAACCCTTTCATCTCATTGACGAGAGACAAATGGGCGATTAACGACGGGACAAGTCCTTCTCAGGTATCTCATTGACCTCTGCGGTAACGACAGAATGCCGAACCAGTGAGGCCCTGCATAACACGTCAACATCATCCCAGATGGTAGACAACGTGCGCGGAGACCCTTGGAGAAGAAAGAGAAAGAAGAAGAGGAAGAAACACACAATGCAAAAGAAAACTTAAGGTGCTCGAATCGGAACAGCCGCGGGCGGTGAAGGAATGGAAGATGAATCTTCCGACTGGTAATGCAGCAGTGCTCATTGGCCAAGATTCCCCCTCCGGATGCAGTCCCGTGACCTGGAGTCGAACCCGAGGTTGTCCGTCCCGTGATTCCGAACCGTTACGAGAGTCGGGAGTTCGAGGCTACTTTCTTTCCTCGTCGACCACAACGACGACATTCCCTTTTCTGTCGGATCTTCAGCCTCTGTCACTACTCGTTTGGTCTCACTACGCGTCACAATGCTCTCCCAGAAGGTTGCCCAGCAGTCGCTGCGACGGCGTACGTTCTTACATCTCGACCCTGCAGCCATGGGGCTCCGCTAACCGATTCGTTTGCAGTCGCCGTCCAGCAGCCCTACGCTCTGCGCTGGTCTTTGATGAACTCGGTCTCGCCTGCCGCCGTTGCTCTCGGAAGAAACGTTCAGATGAGGTGAGCTGCTGCGCCCAAGGATGACTCGATCTTGCGACTGGCTTCGCGATTGGGTGGAGTTCGCGATTTCGATTCTACCGCATGAGACGAAGACCATGATAGATTAGACATGTGGGGATATAGCAAACGGGCTCACTGACCTCGACAATCAGACAAGCTACCACCAGCACGACCACTTCCGACCCCAACAAGCTCCTTGCTGAGCAGCGTCTGCGCCGCCCCGTTTCTCCCCACCTTTCCATCTACAAGCCCCAAATCACCTGGATCGGCAGTAGTTTGCACCGTATCACCGGTATCGCTCTGTCCGGCGGTCTCTACCTCTATGCGACTGCCTATCTCGCCTCTCCCATGCTGGGCTTGGATCTCGGCTCTGCCTCCGCCGTTGCCGCTTTCGGTGCTCTCCCTGTCCTCGCCAAGGTCGCCCTCAAGTTCACTATGGCCATGCCCTTCACCTACCACTGCATGAACGGTCTTCGCCACTTGATCTGGGATACTGGCCGCGGTCTCACCAACCCCCAGGTCATCAAGACCGGCTGGACTGTGGTTGGCCTGAGTACGATTAGCGCTCTTGTTCTTGCTTTCCTGTGATTCGATTGTGCCATACCTTTTGATTCCTGTTCTTTCTAAAATGTTCTTCTTGCAATATATTCAATAGCCAGTCAATGGATGACTGATTCGTTTTCTTTTGGACAACCTTGGTGTTCTACCGCGTGTCATGGAGGCCTGGAAAGCCTGCAAACTGGAGGCGGCGGTGGTACCCTATCGTAGGGCAATGTTTCTAGGGGAACTATTCCCTGGGACTCCAGAGTGCGAACAGCACTTGCATTGAGTTCCTTTCCATCAGAGTTGAGACCGGGCGAAACAGATTTCACAGTAGCTAAACACAAGGCATATCCAATTGCTCTTCTCACTAACAAGGTAACATGACTGATTTCATTTTCTAGAACATTTGCTGCAAGAACTCCAGAAACCCCATAGCCCGTCCACTCTATGCCAATTTTTCCCATCACAGATTCACGCAACATTCTCGAGACACGAATTTTGTGCCGATATTATCCTTGCCGCTGCTGATGCTTGGGCAGCCACAATGCTTGCCACAACACTATCACGCGCCATATCTTCGTCTGTCATGTGGTCAGTACCAAGATCCCGTGTCTCTGGCTTTCAAGGCGTGCGCCAGTATGCCACCTCGCAAGCATTTTTGCAGACAGATGCGGGAAAACAGTTCTCACCTATACTGAAAGTACTTCTCTGCCCAACCGTTATCGGTGGAATCATCTGTGAATTCAAGCCGGACTCGGCGGTGGGTTCGGAGGGAAAGGCTGAGGTGAAGGCGGATCATGAACAGAACAGTTACTCAAAGGAACACCCTCTCTGTTGATCTCGACGGGATGGAGGTCCAATTCTGAACAGATCTCGGAACGGAAGTTGCACATTGTCCAGAGTGTCATGTTGCTCTGAAGACCGAAACGGATGTATAGACCGCGGATAGCTTCGGGGTATTTCGTAGACCGGTAAGAAAAGCGTCTTGCTTGACACCGCTGACTTTTCGGGAACAAAATTGACTTTTGATCTGCTTGAGGGTATAAGAGAAAATCGAGATACACGAGAGTATGATGAGAAGATACTACAAAGCGAGCCACAACAGGCCCTTTAAATAATGCCATTCTGAGGCCGAAGACCGGGTCGAAATAGCTCTGGGTCGTACACCGCTATACCGTTCGACTTCCGCTCCACGGCAAGAGACCGCGTGGGAGATGGCATTTCCATTGGCCTGGGGGTGATCATCGTGACCGTTGACGGATCTCGCTGGCTCTCCCGTCCTGACTGCAAGGGACCGACGGAAGTGAGTCGTCGAAGATGTCGGACAGTGTGCTTGCATCCGCGTGTCTCAGTCCATAATCACAGCCGGTACCTTTCGACACCAAAGAACGGAAGAATGACAGTCAAATATGCCAGCAGATTATCTCAACCATTGCATCGCTATAATTCTTTTGGTTTGCACTCGATTGAAACCTCTAACGTCATTGGTTGTATAAATTAAGATTCTCCTCGTCTCCTTAGGTCTCGTTGCATGGGTCAATCCTCTCCCACAATATGGGCAGATATCAATTTGCACAGTAGTAATCAGATCCCTGAACATAGACGTCAGATGAACGTTTACGGTTTCCCGCCCCTAAGGTCATTCCGGCAGCTGTGCCCGAACTGTGGCTTCAGAAATCCCGGGGAACTGGGGTGTGCGTTTGCCTTTGCATAGACGGGACCCGAAAGTTTGCTTACTTTACAGGGATTTCGAGAGCTTCATATCGGCAGACAAACGGTTTATCTAGTCGTACCCAGCAAGACTACGTTCATGACTGCTTGCAGTATTATGTCGAATCCGAAGCGCCTGGCAAGCCATTGAGGTGACTTTATCTTCTGAGCTTTATCCATTTTTACCCCCGCTCTCCTCTACTGCAACGCTTGTTCTAGCATAACCTGCACCAGGTCTTTGCCGAAGTATCCAGGACAACCTTAGATCCTCGAAGCGGTCTGAAAATGGGATAATAGCAGTTTCCAGTACATGGGTACTTTTGTACAACACAGGCCCCTAATAGCAATTTCCATTGCCCGGAGACACGTGGATGGATTCCTGAGCTCGAATCTAAAGCAGCCCGAGCCAGAGCAGCTCTGGGCTCGGGTATCAGCAATTGCCTGTCCATACCCTTGCTTTGTATGGTGGCTGCATCAGACCGTGTCCAAGAAGGCTCAAGTCGGATTCCTGACGGTTTCTTATGCGATAGCTGCCGACAACCGGGCTGAGGGTAGGCAGAGGGTGTCTTCCTTTCGCCAAATGAAGGTACCTTCCGGTGGCCGGCTTTTCTTGAGTCTGTACACTACCGAGAAGTGCAGTTGGATGTTTGTCCCTTGTGGTTGTCGTTGAGGGCCGGGTTTCAAAGCAGAGGAAAGCCCAGGGCTTTGAGCAATCCTCGTTCTGGTTTAGCTCATCAGGGCTCTCTAAGGCTCTGGTCTCGTCTATTCTTCGCCTCGCTTTTCTCAAATCTCGTCAACCGTACTGGCCAGTGCGACACTGCCCCATCCGAAGAGAGAAATCCCCGGCCGACACTGCAATCGTGGCTTCGAAATGTTTCGTTCGAGACGGACGCTTGGTATCACCTTAATTGTCGAGCTTCCGGGCCTTGAGATATGTGATACTCTTACCGCTAATCTGTTTGCGTCGGCTGCGGTCATTTAAATTGATACATCAGTACTTTGAGGCGCAAGTGTATGCAAAGAATTTGAGTGGGCTCGATTCCGACTCGCTCACTAAAGAATACTTGACTGCTCCCTGCACGTTGGATATGCACCAGGAAACCGACCGACAGGGGTGACACGGAAACTGCACCGAAGTTCCGTCACCCGAAATCTCGGCTCTCTCTCGTTACACTTACAGCCGCGGTGGGAAATGATATGCCCTGTCAGGCCATATTGCGGTGTAGAGTGTCATGCAGGAGCTCAAGGCCTCTGGGCTCGGCTGTTTTCTTTCTAGGCTCCAAGCCCATCCTGCAAGCGACCAGCAGCTACGCTGTACTGTACAAACATGACTCGTTTATTCTAAAGATGGCGCTTGATATCTTGGAGAGGTTCATTGATTGGTTGTTTTTCCTTCGCATTATTTGTCTTTTTGGCTTCCGAAGCTATTCACCAATTCCTGAGCTTGCGGGTTCTTGCGCCTAGATCTACCTTAGATCTCGTCCCCATTGTCGGGGGAAGAGGGAGGTAATTCATGGGGAAGTACGTAGCCTTCCGTGGGTTTATAGTACTGCATAAGTCGGCATGCAGCGTACCTCGCGAAAGAGGAGAAAACTATAGAGAATGAATATACCAGCCTCGGTGGTATAGTTGTGAAATATATAGGGCCGATGCCGGGTTCCGACCGCGCGGAGATGTTTTGGGGCACGGCATTGTTGAAGAGCTACCCAAGATAGATACACCGACCTTTTCCGTCAGGACTTGAAGGCTATTCACTAGGCCAATGGCATAGTTACAATTGTCGTCGTTGTGGGAAGAAGAGGTATAGTGCAGTGGTATACAGAATGCGATTCTCCGCTCAAAGGCCAAATTGACGCGCCGGAGTCTGGAGAAACTAGTACCGATTTGGACTAGTGTCTCCAGACTCCGAATTCTTCGTATTGTTGCTTGTTGCCATCATCGACCGTGCAAAAAAAAAAGCCCGGCCTGGCGACTCCCCTATACTCATCTCCTCCACCACCCCGGAATCCGGATTTTCGCATTTCCAATGGCTTCGAAACTTTCCACCCGCGCGGTCACGACGCTCTCCGGCCCCGCGTGCCGCACCGTCGTCCGTTCCAGCGCGATTGAATCCGCTCTCCTTCCGCGGCGAGCCTTGTCGACATCAACGGAGGAGGCGCCCGTTGACAACAGGCCCCGGTGGTCCTACACTCCTGAGCGTGCAAAGGCTCCCTTCAGTCTTCGTCTCGATTCCAAGCGCCCTCCTTTTAGCGTCAACTCCGACCCCAAGATCCTCGACCAATTCTACATCCGCCTGCTCGGCCCCGACGGGGACAAGGTGCTATCAGATGAAGTCAAATGGCTTGCGGTGACGCACAAGAGTTTCGATCAGGGACGGAGAGGTTATAACGATCGCATCGCTTTCCTGGGTACGTTAAGAGAGGCGGAGGTGGAAGGCATTTGATGGCCCCCCCTCCCCGATACAAATGACCATGACTGACCCAATGTCTGGCCTATAGGCAAGCGTATTGTCAAACTTCAGGCTTCGCTGGCCTTGGTGGGCCACTCCGCTGCTCCCCCCTCTCGAGATGCCTTTGGCCGCAAGCCCTTCCGGCATCCCGCCCTGGAAGGCCTGAACAACCTCTCCTTCAACACCAAGAACTTCATGACACACAAGTCGAAGCTGGCGGATTTGGCACAGAAGTATCAACTGCAGAAGGTCCTGAGATGGGCTCCTCGGATGGTGAGTGGCTGTTCTGGTTCTTTCGAAACGGAGGCTATTTTTTTTCTTCCGTTGCCCTCTCTCTGGCTGCAGCAAATAAGCCCGCAAGCGAGTCGGTGGATTAGGCCCTTTGCTAACCGGTACACTTTCTCTAGCCCCTCAACCTCGAAAGCTCCGGATTGGAGCTCATCCTCGCTCACACGATGTACGCCATCGTTGGCGCCATTGCGCTGGAGAAGGGCGGCAACGTTGCCAACCAGGTGGCACGTGAGCGGATACTAAAACCCCTGGGCTTCCGCATCTAGACATGAGGTCGGGGAGGCAAAAGAACCGATTGAATTCTTAGGGCTGCAGGAGCATATCAAGGCGTTATTTTCCTTTTCTTTCATCATGTCTTCCGACTTTTTCAAGGATGTCCACTGTACGTGCTGGGGGGATTATCACTTTTTTGTTCGACCGTATATTATGTATTTTTACACTAAGACCTGTGCTATATGGAACTGCAAATACCACCCGCAAGATTTCTTCGCTCCTCTGGATATCCGAGTCATGGAAATATAGACAGATCTTGTAGAAATATATATACGATTCGAAAGCAAGAAAAAGGAATGTGCGGTTTCTCTGACACCGCCCGAGTAACAGTAAGCAAAATACTCGGCCAGCTCTTATGAAACCCTCGAAGATACGATTCATAGTCTTCGCACCTTGGTATCGCAAGATCAGCAATGGAAAACCGAGAACCACCAACAGAATGTCGATCTGGACTCAGAAATCGCATGGATGCAATTTACACTGGCTTGCACTGTCTAGAAAGGGCGTATGGTACAAAGAAGAAAAGAAAAAAAAAAGAAGAGAAAGTGCAGCATCGGCGCGCGTTATAAATTCTCTTTGTCTCAGATGCACTAGGCTACTTTGAGAGTTAGTGTGGGTTTGAATTACTTAGTGGCTCCTGAGACAGGCTTAGCGGCACGTGTCCTGATGCCTGAGGCGGAGTTACATCTCCTTACGGCAGTATCGTAAGGAATGGCCAAGATGTGGGCGGGTCTGGTGTAAATTATGTATCAAGCCAGACGGACAGCCGCAATCCAGCCATTATCATCATCCGCAGCCAAGAGACATCATCATCTTTCCATCCCCAAAGGATTCCCCCTCAATTCTCGATCACGTCGGTCAGGACGTGGTTTTGCTTGGTAGATGATTTCCCGTCTCGTTAAAAGGCAGTCTGCGCTTCTTCTCATTCTGATCTGGCTAACATCGTCTCTCTCTCAGTTCAATAATTCCCAGTCCGAGTTCCAGCATGTCGACTAGTGTCTCCCGTTGAAACTGGCCAGCACCTCTCCCGCTCCGATCCCCTTCCATCTCTCCTCGCCCTCCTAAACGCCTGCGCCCTTGAACACACCTTCTTGCTCCCCCGGCGTCCGATACTCCTCTATACTCTTCGCCATGGCGTCGGCTATTTTCTTCCTGGATCTCAAGGGCAAGGTAAACCCAGCTGTGCAGTTCCTCCGCATCCCTCCCGCCTGGTACCTGACCGACTTAGTAGACCCTTCTAGCCCGGAACTATCGCGGAGACATTCCTATGTCCGCAGTCGAGAAATTCCCCATCCTGCTCAGCGACGCCGAAGAAGAGAGCTCCGCCGTGGCCCCCTGCTTCTCTCATGAAGGAATTAATGTACGTATGGGTCTCCGCCGCGGCGGCTGCTGCTGCTGCCGCTGCGCGCGCACAATATGCACCTCCCTATTTCCTCCCCCCGCTGTTCCCCGCAGCCCGCTCCAGTACTGGCTTCGCACCACCAACTCTCATACCACATCGACACATACCTTCCTGAATATATGCGACTACGTTGGCCTCATTAGTGACTGACTAATTGATTGATCATGGCTTTTAGTACCTCTACATCCGTCACAGCAACCTCTACATCCTGGCCCTGACCAAGAAGAACACCAATGCCACCGAGATCCTCCTCTTCCTACATAAGATCGTTGAGGTGTTTACGGAGTACTTCAAGGTGTTGGAGGAAGAAAGTATTCGGGACAACTTCGTCATCATCTATGAATTGCTCGATGAGATGATGGACTTCGGGTACCCGCAGACCACGGAGAGCAAGATATTGCAAGAGTAAGTCTAGCCGGGCCGGGCAGCCACCTCTACAAGGACAGGCGGCATCCTCCAGCAGCGGTACTGACATTGGCTTTTTCTCTCTGGCCAGATACATCACCCAAGAATCTCACAAGCTCGAAGTCCAAGCCCGACCACCCATTGCGGTCACGAATGCCGTCTCCTGGCGAAGCGAGGGGATCCGCTACCGCAAGAACGAAGTCTTCCTCGACGTCGTCGAGTCCCTGAATCTCCTCGTCTCCGCGTCTGGTAACGTGCTGCGATCGGAGATTCTGGGCGCCATTAAAATGAAGTGCTACCTGAGTGGGATGCCGGAGCTGCGGCTGGGTCTGAACGACAAGGTCATGTTCGAGACGACGGGGCGCGCCACGCGCGGCAAGGCTGTCGAGATGGAAGATGTTAAGTTCCACCAGTGTGTCCGACTTTCGCGGTTCGAAAATGACCGCACGATCAGCTTCATCCCGCCGGACGGAGAGTTCGAGCTCATGAGCTACCGTTTGAACACGCAGGTCAAGCCGTTGATCTGGGTGGAGTGTCTCGTAGAGTCGCACTCCGGTTCTCGGATGGAGTACATGTTGAAGGTGAGTTCAGATGCAGCTGCAACCCATATTTGACTTGGAACATCGACTAACGTGCCATCGTAATTCACAAAATCACAGGCCAAAGCACAATTCAAGCGCCGCAGCACAGCCAACAACGTCGAGATCCTCGTCCCCGTGCCCGAAGATGCCGATTCGCCGCGTTTCCGCACCAACATCGGAACCGTCCACTACGCTCCCGAGAAATCCGCGATCATCTGGAAGATCAAGCAGTTCGGTGGCGGGAAGGAGTTCCTGATGCGCGCCGAGCTGGGTCTTCCGTCCGTCAAAGGCGACGACGAGCACGGCGGTGGCATGACGGGTGGCTTTGGAGGCAGCATGGGTGGTACCGGCCAAGGCAAGGCCAAGCGGCCGATCAACGTCAAGTTCGAAATCCCCTACTTCACCACCAGTGGGATTCAAGTACGTTACTTGAAGATCACGGAACCAAAGGTCAGTCAATTTTTGCAGTTATCAATCTGGACCCAATCAAGCCACTAGCCCACGTTATCGAACTCCCTTCGTTGTGGAAAAAGACTAACCCATCCGTTAATAGCTGCAATACCCCTCTCTTCCCTGGGTACGATATATAACCCAGTCGGGCGACATCGCCGTCCGCATGCCAGATGTACAATGATGTATAGCGTTTTCTTTTATCCCGCCTCCCGCATCCTTTCTTTTTCTCTACTACACTACTAGCTCAAATCAGATCTATTATACTTCTCTCTGCAGGGGATGAGATACCAGCTCTCGCTGTTGTTGTTACTGTTGTATCTTCACGTTCCATTCAAGTCCCTGTAGCCTATACCCGTCCTGGTTGGTGTAATCAGAGCATTTCGTGGAACTTGGATAGTATACAGATAGATGTATAACTTGATTGCTTTTGTGCCCTGCTCTGAAGCTAGTGTGCACTTGACTGTTCCTGTATTTTGTTCGGGCAGATTGGTCATGCTATAGTAGTGATACACATCATATTCCTCCGCGATCCCTTTGCACCAGCCGAGTAGATTATACATAGAGAGTGGTGGATGACAACCTCTCCAAATGAGTTATGCATAAAGTCAAATATCCCGAGCATACTCCCGAAACCATACACTAAAGACTATCACGTACTCGCACCAGCTCTGCAAAAGACCCAGGCCCGACAGACCTCGTGCATACAAATCAATCGGCTGCTTCGTGATAATATAGAATGCCGGTGGGGATGAATGAGAAGGGCTTTATAACCGGAGAAATAGGTGCGAGTACATACATACATATATACATGCACACAGCCAGATATCCTTACATATAGAATAACGATGATATTGATGATTGCGGCGCATGCTAATCTAGCTGGAGATAATAGAGGGTATCTTAAACTGGGATTGATGGGTTCGGGGGATGATGGATTTGCAGGTCATGGACTGGATGATTCACCGGCATAACCGGCAAGTCCCTTGTGCACAGGAACTGTGGGGTGCAATACCTGCTAATATACTTTGTGGGGTTTTGCTTGGATGGTGTTTCGATGAAGACCCAGGGAAAAACATGCCGGCTCTCATGGGTTTCCCTGCTATGCCTTGTCTCGGGGGGAAGGAAGCAGGGCAGCGTGCTCCTTCTCTTTATAATTGTGGTCTGCGCGAGGGCGTGTGCCATGCACTTCAGTTACTCAAGGTCAATCGATCGATTCATCGACGGATCAATCGTGGTTGCCGTTGGTGCCGTCGGGTGATTCGACGGTAGGAAGCGGGAACCCGTCGCCATGGCCGGTTGCCGCGGCCTTGGCGAATCCCTCGCGGGCGAGCATGGTGTTGAGGACGGCGCAGTTATACGCGGCTTCGCCGGGCGGGACAGCCAAGAAGATGTAGGTGTTGTCCGTGAACCGGCCGAGGAAGACGTTGAATACCGGCGTCTTGATGTGCATGACGACGAAGCCCGCAGAGGCCGGAGTCGTGTGGGTGTTGCGGGCGGCGCAGTGCTTGAAGGCCTTCATGATGTTGGAGAGCCGCTCGTGGCGGTCGTAGAACGGGTTCGCGTCCCCGACCTCTGACGACACGGAGGTGACGGTGAGGAAGGTCGAGCGCTCGAAGAGGATGACTTCCTCGGCATCGACGCGTTTGGCAAATGCGTGCAGGAAGCGCTCGATGACCGTCAGATTCGGGATGAGTTTGTGGACGATGCCGGCCCATGCTTTGTACAGGGACTGGTCCCAGATGCTGCTGCCAAAGGTGTCGATCGAGAGGTTCTCCGACCGGCTGCGGATTAGCGCGGAGCGCTCTTCGTAAATCCGCTGACGGTGCTCGGCTTGGATGAGATCCAGCTTGTGAACAAGGCAGAAAACATGGGCGTTGGGGCTATATTCCTTCAGCGCATTGATGATGGCGTTGTAGGTGTCGAGGTCGCGCTCGACCTCGCGGGATTCGATATCGAAGACGTAGATTAGGACCGCAACGTCGGAGAAGATGTTGCCACGTTGGGACGCGAGGTAGGTCTCCATGAACGCATCTTGCCTAGAAATTGAAGAGACTTGGTCAATGGATAGCTCGCTGGGCGATGGCCAAGATGTTGAACCTACCCTCCGCAATCCCAGAGATTCAGCGTGAGGTTCCCCATGAACTTGACATGGCTATGCTCGACATCAATGGTAGCACCCAGACGGCGAACATCCTTGGCGACATAATTGCTAAAGATAATTGATCGCATAGAAGATTTCCCCGAGCCACTCTTGCCCATTAGAAGGACCTTTCTCTTCTTCTTGCGGAGATCCATACTGCGGTCTATCCGGTAACCGTACCCCGCACTCAGAAGACAGACAGTATCTCAACGGGGGGAAATTGGATGGGATGGGGGGAAATTCAATGGAGGAATAGGGGTTGTGTACCCATTTGCAAGTGGATCTTGCTAGGGGAGAGGAGTGGCAGGCGGAGAGATTACTGCACGCCCAGGAGACAGAGTGGTAGACACAACTTCGAACCAACCTCCTCAGCGTCATTGCATTGCATGGAGCTTCGTTTGGGATAACAATGTTCCGGTTGGCTTATCACGTGCTGTGCACGGATCGGCCTGTTTTTCGGCCGGTTCCAAGTTTGGCACGTGAGCTTCACCCACCACCTTCCTACTAAGTAGTAGTTCCTGCTTTACCCTCCTTTACCGGTCACCTTGATTGATTGATGCTTCAAGTTTCCATCTGGGACTTCCTCTCAATTCATTCACCTGTAATGATTGTAGCAGAATGTACAGACCAGATATCCATGTAGACAAGAAAGTATCATAATCCCTGCAGAAACAAATGTACAGCAGAAGCCAATTAGGTATAACAAGTCAGGCGATCCAGCCCACAATCGGCCCGAAGAGGTTCACGGAGAGGAACAAGAAGTATGTAACAAGGCGAAGAAGGAATATCCGGTCATCAAAGTCATAAGCACTTCCACCAGCGGTTGTACAGAAACCGCGGAACTGGCGGAGTCAGGTATCCAAAATATCAATGAAGGTATGCGATCATTAGAAAACAGTGCCGTCCGAGCGTATCATGATGGGGGGCTCCTTGGTGTTGGGCCTGGAGACCTCGGCAATTTCGCGACCGCCCTGATATTGTATGTCAGCATGCTTCTTCGGTAGGGCCAAGTGATAAAACGCTGCGAAGCTTACCTTCCATGAGCCTGCCTCCAGCATCTGTGCAAGTGTCAACTGGTCTTCTCCTACCAGTCCCAGCTGGCCGTTTACTTCCGACAACAATTCGTCGAGGAAGCCCACGGTGACGGCTCGCCATTCTACCACCACATCATCATCCGTCGAGAAAAGGGGCACAACCTCGACATTGGGCTGTCCTTTGATTTGCGCATTCTCCTTGTAAGCCGTAATCCCGCGCTCGAGGTCTTTCTCCTTCAGACTCAGCAGCCCCATATCGATCAGGAGACCGCCATTGCGATATTCCGGGAGACCCGTCAACAGCTCACTGCCCGCAAAGTGGATTTTCATCAGTTTGGACATGGGAACCATGATAGAGTAGCAGAGCCATTGGGTTAACTTGTGGAAAGGGACGATGTTCTCCCAAGGCTGCGCGGGCGGCGACTTGGGTAGATCCGAGCATGGCCATGCGTCTCCGATAGACAGACCGTCGATCTGCGTTCTCGATGGGGGCCAGATCGGAGTGAGTCCATCCATAAGCACGCTCCACAGGGTGGTGATAGGAACGATTGGAACAGACGAGGCGAGTGTGGACGGATGGGAAAGTAGGTAATCTGAATATCGTAGGTTAGCTGCTGCCAACGGGGAAAGAGACCGGTCGGTCTTGGCTTACCAAGCAAGTTTCCAGGTCGCGCATCGACGCCGAAAAAATCTTGGTTGTTTAGAGCCTCAGAGAGTCGAATCAAGAGTCCGGCGCGACCTTCGATGCCTGCAAGGGGGTTCTGCTCCGAGTGTTGCATTCCCTTCGCAAGCACCTCCACTGTAATCTTCTTCAGTCCGGCGCCGTCCACTTGGCAGGGTTCTGTAGGGTCACTGCTGAACAAGCCACTCTTGAACATCTCCAACGTAGCTACTGCCAAGCCTTCACTGCGTGCAAAGATCTTGCCCGATTCCTTCGATTTGTAGGACCATTTGTTTCCTGCGCCAGCGTCAAGAAGGACAGAGACAACGAACAAATCGATCAGCCGACGGGTTCGTTCTTGCGCATCGATAGTACTAGGCCAGGACTGGAGCAATTGGTTGACGCGGGGTCGTCCACCGGCGTCGAAGTGCTGCCAGCGTCCATGCGGGGGGATCGAGTCGTAGTCGGGAGCATAGTCTCTCTGGAAGGTCCCAGCCCAGTTAGCGCCAACCTTGGCCAACACGTCGGAATCGCAGGGTGCACAGGTTCCCCTTACCTTGATGATAGACACAATGTAAGATGCAGTGGCTATAAATTTGCTCATATCAACATCGAAGTGGTTGAGTCGATTTCTCTTTGCTTTGTTGAGCACGTATGAGCACCGTTCGCGTACCGCGTGGATGCTCCGCAGATAAGCTGCGGGATCCAGGGCTGGATCGGGCGGTTTGGCAATCGGCATCTCTGGTATGGAGGCAGGCAGCCCACTTCCCTTATACCCTGGGGATCTCAACGAAGCACTCGAGGTACGGGCACTGTTGGCGGAAGCAAAAGATTCTTGCTCATCTCGTTCACTCTGGATCGAGTTCTTCGAGTCCTTGCGCTTGAAAAGACCCATTTTGGGAGAAGAGTGTGTCAGAGTGGGCGGCGGATATGAGCGGCAAGATACGAGAGGGAGAGCGTCCACAGCGCGCGTTCGGGGGAAAAGTAAAGAGTCCGAAGTCGCCTGCGAAGAGGTTGAAGTTGGTAGAACTCTGGAAAGAAAGAACGATAGAGTTCAGAGGCTAGACTGGACGTCCGGTGCCAGGAGAAATGCCGAACGCAAAATTGGGCACCGAGAAGAGGAAAAGGTCATAAACAGGACCAAAGATCTGCAGTGATTGCTTCTTGCGGGAGAAGGAGGAGAGGAGAGTAGAGGAGAGGGGGGGGAAAAGAGAGAGAGTAGAGGGACTGGTCGACGGAAGGGAGAAAAAAGGACAGGCCCTTAGTTTTACATATGAGTTTACTTTTAGGATCTGGCTAGCTGTCTAGATTTTGCTTCTCTTCTTCTCTTCTGAATTTGAATTTTTATTTTTGGGGGGGGGTCCTTCGATTATTCTTACATGAAATTACCATGTTTTCCTGTCATCGCTGGGCTACAATTATTTTGTATTCATGTTGTAATTTTTTCCGATTTTTATTTTTAAACCATTTAGATCCAGGTTACCAATATGGAGGGGACGAGTCAACCTGCTAAGAATAAGGAGGGGAAGGAAGGAAGAATCACTAACAACAACAATAATAATAACAGCAACAACAGCATCCGCAGTGTAATACAGAGCGGGGGCGGTCGAGGGAGTCGAGCTTAGAGAGTAATAGGAAAGGTTAGGAACCTTAGCAAGGCAACTAAGACGCCCCCCATTGGCACGAAGGGCCTGGATAAATGAGCCACGGCCCTTCTACGGAGCAGAACCAGTAAACTAGTCGAGTCTCGGAGTCGGGAGGTGGAGAGCTTAGGAGGGGGAGGATGTTTAAACCGGCTGCATGGCGGATTTTAGTCTCTGATATGGACAGATTGGATTTGGATCCTCTAGTCAGGGGGGGCCACACACCAACTGTCAAGTGTTAACAACCTAACAGGAGACAGCAGCCGGCAGTCCACGGAGCTGAATACTGATAGGTGCCTTTTCAGTCAATAGTCACTAGTTTCTCACTGCAGTCAGTCAAATCCCTTCAACTGGACCCGCAAACCAAACCAACCGGTGCCTTTTGGAGAGCTGAGCAGTTTTGAGGGGTCAATGAGTTTATAGTGTGCTCGACGGTCCAGCAAGGCGATCTGTCCGAGGTTAGTGACGAGGTCAGAGCCCCGGAAATGTGAGCCTGGTCTTGATCTAAAACTGTATATAAGTTGGTAGTAAGGTACAGTGTACAGTGCAGCATGTAGTAGTAGTGTGTGCCCTAAATCTCCTGCGATGCATGGCAGCTGCACTGCACCACTGCAATCTATCCCAGTTACCGCATACAGCTGCAATACCGGACTTGGCCGTATGATACGGTACCTGGCTCTTCTGGTACCATACCATACTGGATAGTACCATCTCGTGGCTACTACTCCAAGTCATTAATTACAGCTTACATTTTCAGAAGTACGATCGCCCCCTCCCTCCCCCTCGAGGCAGCTACCGAGCAAGCCACGGAGCCAAGTGCCAATTTCCCAGTATGGGGCATTTGCAGACTGCAACGGATCCAAGATGGATCCAAGAGGGGGACCTCGAGATTGGGAGTCCGCGGACCACCTTCAAACACGCACACCCCGTTCTACGGCCGACAGGAGAGTCGGGTTGTTCATGACCCAGATTGATGGAACCAATGAAAAATAGGTTTCACTAGCGAGGATCAGAAAAAAATAAGTCAAAAAGTAGCAGGGTGAGCACGGACAGACTCGCGCACAAGGCTGCTCCGGGTCTTGAGTCTTGTCTCCTGCGCCGCTCTCCCCCCCTCGCCCCAGTAATGCGGATCCAGCGTTTTGCCGGCACTGCAGGCATTTTCTTTCCACCCAATGCAAATCGAGGACCTCGCTTACTTGGTGCTATCGTCTATCTTAACTTGATTAGGAATTACTTCAGTTGTACCCTGAAAGGATCAGAGGCCCCCCAAATCACAAGAATGGAGGGCGGGGCAGAAGGAGGGGTGAACGGGTCAGCAACACTTTTGAAGTAGTTGTTTTCGTTGTTGCTCACTTGGGAGGAGTGTTGAAGGGGCTTTGTTGATGCCGAGAGAGCATCCGGTGGATCTTCAACACATGCCCAATGGTAAACCAGTATCGTTCTCAAATTACCTTGCTGAGTGCTCACAACCTTGATCTAACCCAAATCAACTTCAGAAGCTATCCGCGCGGATAACAGCCGAGCCCACCCCAATCGGGTTTCTACCCTATCGGTTGGTTTCCCCTCCCCTCGAAGACGACACAACCAAGGGCGTGCGTCCAGGGTTTCGCACTGAGCAGGATTAGAGAAGACACCAAGGTGGTACGCTGACTGATTCGAATTGATTGGTCAATTGGGGGTCTCCTACAAGTCTGCAGTGGAGCTAGATTAGCTCTACCTTACTCGACTCAGTTGGTAAGTTAGTGAAGATGAGACGGGATATCCTGACAATTGCCAGATATTCGCGTTTTCATCTCATAAGAGATTGGCACACTACTCCAGCTTTGCCAGCGCTAGGTGCCCCTAGCGACGGTGACCAAGCTTTAGATCCACCACCAGTGGCAAATCAATCCCAGTCACCGAGACATGGTGGTTGGAGGCAGCATCGAGCGTCTGTTTATCAATAACAATGCCTCCTAATTCTGGTGAGTTTTCTCGCTAGTACACATACGAGCGGACAGCTATCTGGACATTTGCCACCTTAACATCCACGCATATTGCGCTAATACTATCTACTTGTCACCTAAGCCGCGATCCTAAAACCGAACAAGCTAGCTTTGAGGTTTCGAGCGCTGCAAATAGATGATCTGCTCATGTGACTCCGGTGGCACAATATCGAAAGTCTAGCGCTTCTCACCTTTCACCCTTTCGCAGAATTCCCTCAAAGCAGGACCTCGGTAGCTATAGTAGGGAAAAGCGAGTCAGTGACCAGAGCCATTATAGAGAAAGAGGAAAATAGTGTGCAGCTGCGGGGCACTTGTTCCACATGATCTCGATGATCATGGGGAAAGAACCATATGACCTTCGAGTATTATTGAGCATTGACTACTGACTAGCCAAGGATCTAAGGCCCCTGCTTTCGACTATGAGCCGTTTGGCCTTGGCCCGCCTCAGAGTACGCCATACTGTCTACTGAAATCATTACATCATCTGCGCCGATTACCGCGTTCTGCATAGGGGACAGAGCCGTCATGCTTACAAGTATTGTGGTACCTTCTTCCTCTCGTGAGGGAGGATTGGGGCTAGCTCAGCACTAGCCTCCCAACAAGATCGGCAACTCTATTTGCATCACGAATTGCGCGCTCTCCGAAACGGGGGGCGATGCGCCGATGCGCGCGGCTATAGCTTGGAGTGAACCTTAATGACTCACCCATCGGCCGTAACCTCCACTATCGTCGATCCTATCTCCGTTGATAAACTTGGTTGTGCTGTGATGTCGAATAATTACCACCGATATTGGCGCCCAATTTGAACGGCCGACTGACATGATTTTCGTTGGTGTGGTGCAGATTGTTCGTGGGCTTTGCGCGTTAGTACGTGGGTCGTCGCGTATCTGAACCATGGAACACAAACTGTCCAAGCGCCATCAAAGTAGGGAATGGGGATCTGCCTGGGGCAACACCGAGTACAGCTCTTGACCGTGCTCGTTCGTGTCTGTGGGAACACCTATCCACTTGCAGTGGATACGGGATGTCAGTGCCCGTGTGAGGCTGGCCCGCCGTAGATGAGCCTCCCACAGAGGAGGCCAGCTATGCGTCAAGGGTCTCATCGGTTGAAGGAGGCAGAGCAGAAAGTTCGTGTCGCCGCAGTGCTAAAAGCAGAGTACTCAAAGCGCAAGTCCATCACTGGATTGCGATTCAATAGATGTCGGCATTTCAGTGCTACGAGCCGGTGATGCAGAGAGGTATTCGAGCTCGCTTGAAGCTATTGTGACAAGATATACCACGATATGTCGTGTGCTGGCATGAGGTGCTTCCCCACATATCGCATTACAATGTGATAGGCTACCTACATGGTGACTGCCGGTTGATCTGACGATCATCGGTACAACCATGCTCGGGAATGTGGTCAACATGTCACTTCAACGCTCAAGCCACCGACGTGAGCCTTAGCCAGGAGCTTGCTTTTCCGATAAGCATCCCCGCACCCTGATCTTTGTTAGGGATATCTCTGGTGGCCTGATGTTGGATGGGTAGAACTCTAGGACTTTCCCGCCGTCAACCTTCCGGCTTTCTGTATGACAGGGAGAATGGTCTGCAGGGGTCCATGGAAATAGCGCCTATCCATGACCTTAGCCATTTGTTCATTCAAAGACACTCGTATATAACAGATAAAGTTGAAGTCGTAGTATCCTTTGAGCTCTCTTCGAGGGCTGAATGCACGTGTGCTCAGACACGTCCTATAACCTGCTTTGCGTCCGATACGAGTATCATACAATCCCGACAAATCCTTTACAGTTCCGTACTATACCTTGCCTAGAGAAGATGGTTTCTACTAAGCACAGAAGGGCAAGTTCATTAGCCGATAAACTTTTCAGACGAACTACCATCGAGTACAGAAAGTGCACTTCAGTCATGATTCACCCACACTGTCCGCAATTGCTGTTGTCTTGTGCAGCCATAAGTACCCTTTTGTCGTTCCGATTCCCTCATCGGGGATTTCAATCAATCCTACTGTGCTAGTGGACCCACCTGAAGGAATCTCAGGCTCCCGGCTTTAGAGAGGCGTAGGACCGCACACAACTTGTGGCTTCCTGGCTATACCAATTGCGCCCTGGTACCCAATCTCTCTCTACCTTGGCCAAACCAAAGGGCTTGCATCGTACGACACACCAACAGCACCTTAGATTGACGCACCCTTAGCCGGATGACTCCGATCAGAGACATATGCACTCGGCTTCTTCGAGCACAGTACTTTTCCCTATCCCGCATAAGCATGGATGTATATTTCACCACGCGCCGGCGTGCCGCTAACGCGGAGGGACACGGTCCTGGCCGTCCTGCTGGGTCTGCCGGATTACATGCTTAAGGTTTATCCGATTCGCATGTTAGAATACGGACGGGTACTTACCACGGAACAAGTAGATACGGTATGTCTTGAAGATGCGCACCAGCCACGCTGCTCCAGACTAGAAACCTGTCACTGCCGCGAACCAGAATGCATTCCATTTAATGTGGCCATTCCGGAACCAGGGTTTCTCCAAAGGTCCCCGATCGATGGACCTTGGTCGGCTTCTTTCCAGCGGCAGCCACACCATCAAAGTTTGCTCTCACACTAACATCCTCAGCTGCTCCGGCTCAGCAAGCTTGAACAGCCTCATACCCATCCATACAGGGCCGAAGAAAAAAGATCGAAGCAAAAAATGATCGACAGCGCTGGGATTCGAACCCAGGCACCCGAGGGTATGAGATTACTTCAGTAGCGAATGGCACACTGAAATTCAAGTCTCACGCGTTAACCACTCCGCCACACTGCCATAACTTTATAAAAGTGGGCCCCAGATAAACGCCATACACTAGCAACCTGACTGTCATATCACGTGATACAAAATGGGGCCACAATACGCGAGCAAATCCTTGTTTGTTGGTCACACCTCCTCGAAGGGTGGTTCCAATTGGTAGCGCAGCTACGGAGTAATCCGTCGATAACCTAGTATAGTGTGGCAGGTCGTCCCTACGCATCGAAGGAGTGGCTTGCCGCCATTCTCGGAATGATTGCCGTCGGCGAGACTCAACGCCATCAACAATGCGTGTCTCTCATCTACTTGACTCCTGTCAACCTGGATTGTGGGCGGTTCGGTACCTTGGATCTTAGCTGGTACGCTCTACTTGTCTGCTCGATCGTCAAGATTGTCGTTTCGAGACAACTATTTCTCCAGCCAAGATCATCATTGCTTGGCAGATATTGACCGCAGCCTTCTCGCCTACCTAAACTCTCGAAACCCTACGTTATCACTGACTGCAGCTCTATTACTCCAGAACGGCCAGTCAATTCTTGGTGTAATCTCCTCAACCAGATATAATCCTCCCGAGATCAGGCTTTAAAGGTAGCCTGAATATCTCGAAGCTCTTCTAAGATCTACCTCTTGCACAATGATAACTACGGACGGTAATATGATATGGTAATTCTCTCAAGTACCAAGAACTTAGAATGTCCGTAGGATTTTCATACCCTTACTAGTTCTAAGAGAATCAAGCAAGAATAGAGAAGAACAGTACATTTATACTGGTCAGGGCTCAGTTCAAATGGAGTGTATAATAGTTTCTATATTCTAGCTATTTTGTTATTTCTTTCTGTCTTCTCCAATTCGAACACTCTTGTCTATAAAAAACCAGATGATATAGATAATGAACTGATACAAACTTTTCAACAAAGCCGTCAGGAACTCGGGAAGAGCCTTAAAGATAAGACTGTATTCAAGGACAAGGCATTAATCAAACAAACAGTCGGTCAGTCGACCAGTCGATCAACCAGTCCAGGCTCCACACCACAATACACCACTGATCATGAAAGCGAGCTGCTGGCCGTGTGACACGAGAACAAGATCTCGGTAAGTAATGTTAGAAGTCGGCAATATCACCTTGGGACTCTTCCAGCCCTGAGTAGGACTCAAACTCGGACTCGGACTCGGACTCGGACTTGGAGCTTGACTCGGAGGAGCTCTCATCTTTACTGGAAGATAAAGACCGGAGAAAGAGTCTGACTCAGAACCAGAGGAAGATGAAGCCTCGGCAGAAGATAGATTGGTCTTCTGGAAGCTGATGAGGTGTCACATGTGCCCGGGAAGATTAACTGAATAAGAACCAGCCATGATTCTGCTTTCTATAAAGGGCCTCTTCCAATTCGGACTCGGACGCAGATTCGGAGGAGCTAGACTCAGCCTTGTACTTGGTGTCCTGGGACTTAGCAGCAGGGGCAGCGGTAGCCTCTTTCTTCTTATGTCGATATTTCTGTCGGAGTTGGACCAAAAAAAAAGAAGAAAAAAAAGAAAAAAAAAAGGGCAAGAACAAAAAGCTTCTAGACTGCTTCTTCTGCGTCTTGGAAGTGTCATCCATCTCGACGTCGGAATCGCTGGAATTATCAGAGCTGCTGTTGCTGTGTGAAGAGGAGGAGCTAGGGTCATCCGGACTGTCAAATTGTCGAACTGTCGAACTGTCGAACTGTCGAACTGTCGAACTGTCGAACTGTCGAACTGTCGAACTGTCGAACTGTCGAATTGTCGAATTGTCGGGCTCCGAGGACTGGGGCTGCTCCCAGGTCTTGAAAAGCGCTAACAAGGAAGGCATGTACTTAATCAGGCCTCTATAGAGGTACCAGAAAATAGGGTGCGTGCATTCTCCGTTGTTTAGTAAGGAGCACGGATGTTCATGACGATGACTTGTATCGGCGATTCCCAAGATCTGTGATCTTTGGATGATACACAGTGGGAGGAAAGTGCCTATTGGCACCCCGGACAGCAGTCGCACGTCCACATTGGATGCCTCAGGGGTAAAAATATTCTACTCCCACAACCTTAATCGTGATCTTGTCTAAACCGCGACATCCATAGTCCCACCCCTGGCCGATTCGGGAGCCACCAAACAGACCCAGTGCTCAATACATACCGCCTTAAGCGCTATACAGTCACTCAGCAGCTCGCCAGTGGGGATCACACCTTTTATCCGTGTCCTCTAAGATTGGTTCAGAAGATGGCATTGCCGAGCCCTTATCGTATGAGCAATTCCTCGAGGTTTTCCGCATAGGCAGCGGCCCGCCCAGCGCCTGCGGCATCCAGTCTCGCGAAAATGTAATTGTATAGAAGAACAACCCCAGAGTTTTGTTGAAGAAATCGACTTGATCAACGGTATTCTGCACTCAGCATGCAGATTGTTTGGATGCCCAGGTGAAGAGACCCACTGACGGGAACACACGGGCTCTCCATGTCGGCACGCATCTACTTCCTCCGCAGAACATACCATTAGCTGACAATTGAGATTCAGACATCCTATAACTTGACCACCTTCGCATCCCGGCTCTGACACTCAGCGACCTCCTAAGCTCGCAGTGAGTCTTCTTTGCTCCGAGCCACAAAACCCTGAGATGGGTTGTTTCTTCCATTCTAGGCAGCCCAGGTTCCTTCTCGACTCTGTTCTTGTCTTTCTGAATAGGAGCGAGCAACATTACTACTACCCGGGAACAGTGACATGGCTAGCGAGGGAATAACCCGTACCTGCTATACAGGTCCCTCACCATCACGCGACGGTATCGCCTCCCTTCCAAATATGATTTATTTCGCATTGTGGGGTCACTCTCTTGCTCCGAGCTTTCACAGAATAGTCGTCGAACATCCCCCGAGCTTACTATCACATCCGAAGGCTCGAGTATACATTGGGCGAAGCTGAGAGTGGCTTTCTTCCACTTCGGATCTTCAACATCCATTCCCACCCCAAGGTCTAGCCATTTGGTGAGAATCACTGCCTTACCATCCTTACCACAGTCGCAGAGGGCGATCTGAAACTCAACACCACAAAGCGAGCACTGCAGAAACTTTGCAGCGGCCGGCACCTCCAAACAGAAACCCTGCTGCCGAATACCAGAGCGTATACTGTTCTCTACCTCCGCAGAACCCAGGGTGTGCTTACAGCAGATGCTCAGATACTTAATCCTTGAAATGAGGACATCAAGGCTCCTGCCAGAGACGATATCTATATCATGAAATAACACCCACTGCTGCATCTGCAGGACGAGCGATGGGGTTGGGTGAGCTCCAACAGGCGTGCAAATCCGTCCTTCCACTGACAACAAAGTCGTTCTTGCGGGATCTTCTGGATAGTCAACTACCTCGGTGTAGGCCAAAGAGTCGGCGTTGATTCCGTAGCGGCCTCCGCCACGATCGTGATTCTGCATCACGGCAGCTAGGTGGCAGTGGTGGAAGGTATATTTGCTGGGCAGACAGTGGACAGATACACGCTGTATCAGCGAAGGTGGTAATGACATCCTCCGGTACAGTCTCCACTTCAGGTCCGAGCACTCATAGCGGATAGCATTCGAGGAACGTGCTGGATGAAGGACGTCGGTGATAGGATGCAGTTTCCCGCAACGGTGGCAGCAGAACATCCGAGGAAGGTCTCGGACTAGTCTGATGAGGACGGAAAGAGCCAGCGGTTTATCGTATATTGGTTTGTTGAGGTTATAGAGACTTGTCGTGAAATTGTTCAGTGTTCGGCTGCATAGGCTTAAACAGATGATGTCGGCGGTTTCCAGGAAGGTTGTAATAAGGAGCAATAGTTCAAGCGGCAGCGGCTCCAGGCGAGAGATTTGTTGCTTTTCGCGGCTGCTGCGTAGGAACAGTTGCAACTGTCGCGGAATCCAATCTTTGAAATCTATCTTGATTAAACAGGTTGGACGATATAGAGATTGGATGCTGCGGGGTTGATACTAAGTCGCTGAAGTATTTGTTGGTTCGGAACGCCATTCCATATTCCTGTGGCATTACCGGTAGATTAGCTTGTCATCTTTACCTATACCCGTCCCTAGGCCATGGGATTCTTTCTACGAAAACTTTGGGGGCTTTGTGCTATCGAAGCACCCTGATGCTAGAGATTATAGATAGTAACCGAACGCACCTTTTCAGCGCGTGTATGGGTTCCGCACTATTCAACCGGAACATGCAGTTGGAATACCATGCCAAATACGGAGTACCTGCCCAATATCTGACCCTGTCATCTCTTGACCGGGTAGAAGCTCTTTTATCCTCTATTCTCAGAGGTCCATGAGCTTGTAGACATCCTCTGTGAGCCCAACTTCCAGCCAACAGTCCAGACTGAGTCTCGTGATCTAGATGATGAAACTAGTAAGCGGTTGCTAAAGCTCGCAATTAGGTTGAAGGTCACGTGTCACTTAGCATAGCCACATCACACCAGCCACATAAGCCACAGTGACGATCGCGGCCCTCCAAATGTCCAGGGGAAGCTGGCGACAGCCGCGGACAAGACCATCATTCTTAACCCCCCTGACTCTGATTTTACACACAAATTTGGACTATCGCTTTATGATCTCACCCTGACCTTACAGTGAGGCTCAGCTCTACGAATTTGTCCTATCTCCGACCCAGTCAACCCAATCCGCACCCCGCGTATACTACATTGATGGTGAGATCACTCAGCTGCGAGTTACCTCTCCGATTCTAACTTCAAGTCTCTAGGCACCGGCCCATTGATCCCTCATACTCCATCAAAATGGATGATCTGAGCGGTCTCAACTGGGCATCCGGTTCGTCGAATAACGACACCCGCAAGCCTCCTCCGATGAGCGCGGGTTCTCTATTTCAGAATGTCCGCCACAATGAACTATCTGGCCGGTCTACGCCGCTATCTGCATCCTCGGGCCCCTCCAATCCTCCGTCTAAGTCCGCCACACCGGACAAAGACAGCTTTGCAAATCTAGTCTCTTTTAATCCAGCTTCAGCGAACAAGAATCTCTCGCTCCTCGAACAACAGAAGCAGTTGGAGGCGCAAAGGGCTAGAAAGGAGGCGGAGAGAAGATCCCGGTTTGAAACTCAATATGGGGGACAGAACAACCAATTCTGGGACAGTCTCGAGAAGGGCGGAAACAGCCAAGCTTCCGTACCTGCCACTACCGCGGGGCAGCAGAGCGCGGTACCTGCCGACGACGACGATATCCTTGCCGCCTTCAATGCTTCCGCACCCGTCGATGCATCGACGCACTTCCCTGTACCTAGTTCGAGTCCTGCGCCGCGGGTCGGAGCGGGCTCCTCCCAGGCTATTCATAACGGAGCAGAGTCGCCGCCGCGCGGAGGCAGCAGCTTGTCGTTTCCGGCAGACGATGACGATCCGTTCGGCCTCAATCAGTTGAAGTCCAAGCCTGCGCAGTCATCGCACCCCTCTCAAAGTGCCGATGACGACGACTTTCTCGGTCTGCTGGGTAAGCCGGTTTCTGAACTTCCTCGGCCAGAGCCCCCTGCCAAACCACCCACGCCCCTGGAGACTGAACATCATGCTCCATCGCCGAGACCTACAAGCGGGGTTGACCGCGCCATTGCGGAGCTGGTCGATATGGGATTCCCCGCAGATAAAGCCAGCCAGGCTCTACGTATGACGTCATCTGGTACAGATGTGCAGGCGGCCGTGGGCTTGCTTCTCACCCAGGCGCACGAAGAGTCCCGCCAGAAGTCCAGGAATAGGCCATCGGGAGCTGACCGAGTCGCCGCTCATCCGGAGAGAAGCCGAGAACGCAGTGAGGGATCTAGCCGTGATGTGCCTTCCTGGATGCAACAAGAGCGGTCTCGTAGCAATAATCGCTCGCCTCTGTCCGCGGATAAAGACCCGTCACAGCTCGCAGCCACATTTGGAAATAACCTACTGAAGACAGCCAACTCATTATGGAAGACTGGTAACAAGAAACTTCAACAGGTCGTTCAGGAATTCAATGCGGACCATGATCCCAGTCAGCCACGATGGATGAGGGAAGCGTCTGCTCGGGAAGAATCACCAAGTGATCGTCCTCTTGGTGATCGTCCTCTTGGTGATCGTCCGCGTGGTGATCGTCCGCGAGCGCCTATGCAGCCCCAGACACGTTCTGAGAATATGACTGATGAAGCGTTATTGCTCGAATCAGGAGGACCGGTCCGTTCGTCACGCAATCCTGCGCGGTCGAATGATGGCCCCGAGCCTCGCACTGCGAGCAACAATGTCAGACAACACCCGTCTCCAGCAAGAGAGCGGCCTGTGCAGCAACCAGCTTTCATGCGGCAGGCACCGAAAGTAGATGCCAGGGATCCTAGATCACGTTTGACAAAGTCTGCTGTGGAGGAGCAATCGGCACAAGCTTACGTTAGCCCTGCAAGAAGGAAACGCCCTGTCGCTCAGTCTCCGGCCCCAGAAGCCCAAGTCGACCTGTTTGAAGCCTCTGCCTCAGCACTACCAAGGTCGAAACCCTCGCCTTCACCTGCCCAGCCCTCACGATCTTCTACGCCCTCTACGACTCTACCTACACGACCCAAGGCTCCGCCACGATCGATACCTTCAGTGTCTCCACAAGCGCTTTCCTCAACCCACCGTCAACGAGAAATCGCAGCGGAAGCTTACAAGCGGGGTGACTATGGTGCTGCACACGAAGCCTTCTCTGCGGCTCTTACGCCTTTACCGGACAAGCATCCCATAACCATCCTTATCCGCAGTAATCGTGCCATGACGGCTCTCAAGGTTGGCGAGCCAAAGGTGGCGATCGGAGACGCGGATACCATACTGGAATTGATAGGACCCATGAAAGGCGAAGGCGAGAGCATTGACCTTTGCAATGGTGAAGCTGCTAAGCCAATGAAGGACTTCTTCGGCAAGGCTTTGATGCGCAAGGCCGAAGCATTAGAGCAGCTCGAGCGATGGGCAGATGCTGCACAAAACTGGAAGCTGGCGGTTGAAAGTGGGCATGGCGGCAGCACCAGTATTCAAGGACGCAATCGTTGTGAAAAGGCAGCTGGTATAAGCAAGCCCCCGGCTAAGCCCGCAGCGCCTGCACGACGCCCTCCTGCACCTGCACTAAAGAAAGTATCTGCTCTGGATGACCTGCAGGGTTCATCTGGCGCCTCGTCAGAGGCTGTCACTCGCTTGCGAGCAGCCAATCAGGCCGCAGAACGTGCTGACGAGGAGAAATTCGCACTTTCGGAGAGCGTCGATGCCAGACTCGCTGCATGGAAGGGTGGAAAGCAGGACAATCTCCGTGCTTTGTTGGGTAGTCTGGATACCGTCCTCTGGCCCGAAGCTGGTTGGAAGAAGGTCAATATGTCTGAACTTATCTTGCCTAACAAGGTCAAGATCCAGTACATGAAGGGAATCGCCAAAGTGCATCCAGACAAGGTACGTTTCACTCTACTTGTGCTTATGGTAGTCTCCAGTACTGACCTTATCATCTAGATCCCAACAAGTGCCACTACAGAGCAGCGGATGATCGCCGGCGCAGTCTTCGGCACTCTGAACGAGGCATGGGACAAGTTCAAGAAGGAAAATAATCTGTAAATCCGGGTGTTCTCGAACAATCCCTTGATCTCGTCATATACTCCAATCTTCTGATAGTTAGCATCTCATCTCTCTTGTCGTCCTGGCCTCAGAACCGTTCCAACCTCGCGTGGCCAATCATGCCGTGCCTTTTCACAAATCATATTTACTTCGCTTTCTTTTCTGTTTTGATGCTGATGACGTCCAAGAACGAGCCCATGAAATTCACATTAGCCATTTATTTGTATATAGATAGACTAGACAGGTTGTTGGTCATGCTGAGCGCCATTCTTCTGATACAGAATGCAGGGCCACATCGGTCCCACTCAGCCAAGAACATGGCATCTCTTATAATCTATAACGCACCCGAGAAAATAATACTACATAGGAATATTGATACAAGTCTGACGCTTGGTATTGATCAAGTTTGGGATATCTAAGCTTCTTCGAGCTTCTTCAGGGGCATTCGCTGTTTCCTCTCTTGCATCACCCAGTTATTGTTGTTGTTGTTGCTGCTGCTGCTGCTGCTTCTCCTCAGCCTCCTCCTTCTGTAGCTGCTCACGCTTGAGCTGCTTTCTTCCCTTAGGCTTCTCAGTCTGCATTGGCTGATCGACCTGGTGAGGGGGCCACTTTTCCCGACATTTCTGCTCGTCTTCCTCCGTCCAGTCACGCGGTAGGACGGCAAAGACAAGGTAGGAGGTGTGCGTTTTCAGATTGTCTTCCGTGCGATGGACCAGGCGGCCTTGTTGGTACAACGGGACACTTGAAGTCTGCGTCAAGTCCGACACAGCCACCGGAGTCTCACTTTCGGGGACAGCCTTCGCCTGCGCCGGCGCCTTTTCTTCCTTTCCTTGCTTATCTCCCGACGCCGGAAGCGGGGTTCCGTCCTCCTCTTCCTGCTGCTGCTGCAACTCGCGGTATTTCCGGGAATGCTCCTCGACGTGGCGCATCTTGGAGACAGCCTCCTCAACCGACTTGGGGAACACGACCGCACCGCGAACCTTCTCGAACTCCAACCCCACCTTCTCCCGCTTCACGTCGATCCGGTGGTTGTTGACCTCCACCATGGAGATATCCAGCCACGACAGCTGTCTCAACACGCTAACGGTCCGCTGCACCTGCTCCAGGCAGGGGGAGAACGTACACAGATACACAGGCGAGGTGGGGTCGAGAGGCGACTCCGCTCCAGACGGGGGATGCCGCACGAGATGTCTCAACGCAAGCCAGGGGGCAGGCAGATCCAGGAACACCGCGTTGGCCTTGGGAGACGTGCCTGTCTTGGAGTCTCCAACCAGGAACCCATCCTGGTAGACGTCACGATGCGTGACGTGAACCAGCCCCTCCAGCCCGTGTTCCCTCAGCTCCTGTCGAACCTTGCCCACACGCTGCTCGTGGAATTCAAAACTAGATACCTGGCCGAGTCGTCGGTTTTTGGGTGAGGGGCCCGCGTCCACGCCCTCGCGCTCGCCTGTCGTCGTCGTCGTCGTCGTGGGGTATCCGTTGAAGACCGCGCGCACGGCTGCATGTGTGAACGACCCACTACCCGCGCCGGCTTCGATGATCGAGCTCCCGGGGCGCGCGCGCAGTCGGTGCAGAATGTAGCTGTAGTCGGGTGTATAGACGACCTGGGTACGGTGCGGCAGGGACATGGTCCACAGCTCCGGGGTCGGGTAGACGAGGTGGAGGAATCCGCTGGACGCGGCAACGGCGGCTTGCGGTGACGACTGATTCTCCCCCTCGGCGGGTGTGGTGGTGGCGGAATCCAGGTCGTCCGCTTTGCGCTTTAACTGTCGGTTCTTCTTCTGCGGGCCCCGGCCGCGGCGAGAGCCCGTGTCGACTTTCGAGGCGATGATCTGGGAGCCCCATGGTTGCCCCGTAAGGGTAGTGTGCGGGAAAGAACCAAAGCGGGTGGTCGTTACTTTACCCTCCTTGTAGCCTGCATTGTCTTCGTCTTGGAGTTGAAGGACTGTCGGGATGGCTTGGTCTCTGCGGAGGTGAAGAAGGGCAAGCTGGTCGAGCTGCGAGTGCGATCCGGGGGTCAGAAATGGTGATGACATCTTAAAGGTATATGCAATCCCGTGTGCTGCGAGGATTGGGCTTGATATGTGGTGGAAGTGCCCCCGTCGCAAAATCGAAGGCTTCGGAGCTTCAACTTCAACTTTCTTTGCGATTGCGGCATCACTTGCAGAAGATCCTCCGCTCTAAGCTTGATTGGGACAGTCCGTCAGGGCTTAGGGCTGAATTTGTCAAGGCGGTGTAGAACTGTGGCGGAAGCGGCGTTAATTGGTCGGCCGCCTTGTCGGCTGTTTCTACAGCAGTTTCACTGTCATGAATGCCCGGACGTTGCAAGTTTACCAACTCTATACGAAAGGAGTGGGCTCGATCTTCAATTCCTCACAGGTTCTGAGACTGGCTCTACTCTATACGTTAGAGTGTAAGAAACGAGGTTGAAGGATCACGCTCTGAAATCTGACAATCACCTCAATCATCTGATGCGTCCATCACGAACTCGCTGCGATCACATGCTACGGACACCTGCAAAGGGTTGACAACGGGGTGAAATAATGGAACCAAAACATCCAGGAAACAACGTGCCGAATAATTCCCACGGCGAGAAGGCTTGGGATGACTATCAATTTGCTTCTTCTCTAAACACTGATAGAATCCCCTTCTGAGCCCTGTTGCCTCTTCCTATTACTGATCATTAACCTCGGGGCGTTGAACCTCGGCAACTCTGCTCTTCCCCACAAGGGGGTCTCCGGACGTCTTAACGCCGCCTTCCCCAGACTGTCTCCAAACCCAACCAACGCTATTAGACCTGAATAATTCTAAGTTCTAGAAATTTGTGATACCAGCTTGCTCTTGGATCAACGACTCGACTTTAAAATCGTCTTACCTTGCCTTCGCCCAAGTATCAGTGCGGCCGGTCCAGTGGTCCACCAGTCAATATGCCTTTCAACACCCTTCTCACGAGGAAGCTAGGCATCACAGGTACGTCCAGAACCACAGTGTAACGGCTACATGTACTGATTAGACCAAGTCCCTATCGTTCAGGGAGGTATGCAATGGGTCGGATACGCTGAGCTTGCTGCCGCAGTCAGCAATGCAGGCGGCCTGGGAATCGTATGTTTTCACTTCAAGCAGTTACTTATCAGACCCAGAAATAACTGTTAAATTGCTCAGCTCACTGCTCTCACTCAACCCACCCCCGAAGACCTCCGTAAGGAAATTCGCAAATGTCGATCCATGACCAAGAACCCCTTTGGCGTCAACCTGACCCTGCTTCCCGCCCTCGTTCCTCCCGACTACGCGGCCTACGCACAAGTGATCATTGACGAGGGTATCAAGATCGTCGAGACGGCCGGAAACAACCCAGGGCCCGTCATCCAGCAGCTTAAGAAAGCCAACATCATCATCCTCCACAAGTGCACTACCATTCGCCACGCGAAATCTGCCATCAAGTTGGGCGTGGACTTTTTGTCCATCGACGGGTTCGAATGTGCTGGACACGTCGGTGAGAACGACATCACCAACTTCATTCTCCTCAGCCGGGCACGGCAGGAACTCAAGGTACCGTTCATCGCGTCCGGTGGGTTTGCCGACGGACAGGGGTTGGCGGCGGCGATGGCCCTCGGCGCCGAAGGCATCAACATGGGAACCCGCTTCATGTGCACGGTCGAGGCGCCCATCCATCGCAACGTGAAGGAAGCGATCGTCAAGGCGGACGAGACGGATACGGCTCTGGTGATGCGCCGCTGGAAGAACACGACCCGTCTGTACGGGAACAAGGTCTCCCAGGAGGCGCTGAAGGTGGAGCGCGAAAGCAAGACGGGTGAATTCAGCGAGATCGCTCCCTTTGTCAGTGGCAAACGGGGCCGCGAGGTGTTCCTGACTGGTGATGTTGAATTCGGTGTATGTTTTTCTGTCCTCTCCCCTTGGCGCGTTCAGAACCCCCTCCGGCTAATTGATTCATAGGTGTGGACTGCCGGTCAGGTCATCGGTATGATTCATGATATCCCGACTTGTGCTCAACTTCTCGAGCGGATCGAGAAGGAAGCTGTGCAGGCGCTGGATCGTGTGAGGTCGTTGCACACGGCAACAGCGCAAAGCAAGCTGTAGAACTGCTCACTGTTGACTGGTCGAATTGAGAGCTTACATGCGGGATATGTATTACAGTTTATGCAAGGAATAGACATCATCCTCCAATCTACTTCCGCCGTAGTGACTCCGTCAAATGCACTCGCAGGAAACCCTTGCAGCACGATGCTCCCTGTCAAGGGATAATGGGATAAAGAGGAACACGAAACCACAGTCTCGCCTCCTAGACTCTGATTTAGCACGATTAACCACAAACGTTCTCCTAATCCGCCGAGCACATCGTGTTGAGCTCATCGCATGATGATACCCCGCCATGCATCTGGTCGCCTCCTTGCGCGCATCTCAGCACCCCGGAGAATTGCGATCGCCAGAGTACTCCAAATCATCATCTCCTGGCTTTGAAGACCATCTTAGCAGAGGGCTCTGGTGTCTCTGTCAGGTATACCAGGCAACGGGGTTGCAGAGCACACCCATATAGTCATAACCACCAGGGATGCGCCTACCCCTGCAACAGATCGTGCCCGGAGGTGGCCTCACGCCCTCCTTGCAGCAACAAAACCCTGGGTCTAGAACTGAAGGTCGCTACAGAGTGTTCTGCGTTGCTGACCAGAAGCTCATCTAACCCTGAGTGGGGACTACACAGACAATCGCCCGCTGCATAGTGGCACACACGCAGGCATACATCACCGCAATATCACCAGCAGCAAGGGCCCTACCTCACTATCATCCCTCCATACAACTGATGTGTACCTCGTCCATCGCAATAGCCACAGCTACCGACAGCCGCAGCATCTTATGCCTCAAACACTCTACCGCGCGTCCGTAATCTAAACGAACTCAATAAATCCCCCCACCGCATCAAAAAAAAGTCCGTCAACTCGAACTCTATTGCATCCCGATCCCCATCCTGTGCCACCCCGTGTCCATCTCCCCGACGACGAAGAAAGCCAAAAGACGGGATCTCAAGCGTCGTACCAAGCCCGGTAGGGACAAGGAAAAAAGGAAAACGTGACAAGTCACAGCACAGCTATAAAGTGGCAACCGACTCTTTCACTATCATGACATCAAGATCAAGCGTGAACTCGAACCTCATGCGTCGTCCACGAGCCATGGGGGTTCTTTCCACGCTATTATTGCCTTGTATCCAGGTGCGCAAGCTGAGACGGTCCAGACGCGCACGGGATCATCATTCCTCGTGGTCTTGCGCAGGGATTGCTGAGCTGGAGCAGCAGCAGCAGCACGACTCAAACTTGTCTGCTTCTGTTGGGGATGAGAAGCAGGGTCGTCAGGGTGAAGCCTCTGACGAGGCGACGGAGTTGTCTGCCTTTTCGGAGAAAGAAACGAGACCACCACCTGCAGCAGCGACAACGATCACTCAGACCACGTCTATTCGTCTGGTGAGTTGCGCTGACTCGGAGTGTTCGACGCTGGGACCGGACGATGCGCCGATTCTGGAAGAAGAGGAGGAGAGAGATATGGATCTCGCTGTGGCAAAGAGTCCTGATTTGTTGTCCGATGAGGAAACGGATGTCGAACAGTCGAGTCCGGTGCTGGTACAGAAGGTCATTGCCATGGAGGTGGTGTCTTCTCGGCCTCCGTCACGGGCTGGTGGAGGCGGCGGTGAGAACTGCTTCCTCGCAGCCGCTGCTGTGAAGGCTAAGGCTCAGAGTAAAGATGATCTCGACCTGGAGCTGGCCAGTCGTCGTATTCCCAGGAATTCCGATAGGCGGCCTAGACCGGCGAGCATGGAGGTCCAGACCACCGGCGCCTTGAAGCTCCCGGAGATCAAGAGCCGGATCATCGAGGATATTCCGGAGGGAGTGGAGGATGACGAGGGGAGACAAGATGATGGCGTTAACGTTCGTCCGTTGAAACAGGCGGTCGCCTCGAAGAGGGCGACGCTGAAGGCGGAGACGGCCGTTGAGGGCGAAGAAGATGACAACACCAACAAGAATCAGAAACGGTCCTCGACATGGCGACTCAGTCAACGCAAGTCAATGGTCGAGCTCTTCAACCTGCTCCAGTCCACAGCAGCAGCCGTCGCAGCGGCACCGAAGCTGTCGAATCTCAAAGTGCCCCTCGCGCCGAAGTCGTCGCCCTACCGTTCGTCAACCACTGCTGTGGTTGATTCGCCTTCATCCGTATACTCCAGACCATGTTCCTCGGCGCCACCTCCTCCGACGACACCGAGGAAGCGGACCAAGCTACCTTCACCACCCCCTCCGACCCCTCCTCCCAAGTCCCCAAACCAGATCATCCGACGGCCGCTCCCCCAGACGCCCCAGCGCAAGCACAACAGCGTGCAATACCCAGCAGAGCACGTCTCCACGACGCCATCCAGCCCGAGCCCAAGTCCCACCAAGAAACAACGCCGAATGGGCACCGTCCTCTTTCCTCTGGGCTCCCTACACCACAGCGGCACAGGCGCAGGCGCGCCGACAAGCCCTCACCACCCTCACCCTCCCTCTCACTCTCACTCTCATCCTCAATCTCAATCTCATATCCATTCTCCAAACAATGCACAGACTCTTTTTTGCTAGCCACGGAGTTCGGGGTACCGGCACAGGGGTTATCTTTTGTTGGTGTCTATGGTCCATTTCGGGGGGGTTGGTAGCCATGTTGAGATCGTTCTTCTTGTGAGAGAAGATCCGTCGATTTCGTTCTCGTCCTGTAAACAACCACCCTTTCCCCCCAACCATCTCCCCCCTTTGTCTCACTTCTCTTCTTCATGTGTATTCTTCTTTGCAGTCATCTCTCCCTTCGTGCGTAGGGGGTAGATTGGCTTTGTTTTCGGCTTGATCTGGAATCTGGGATTTCGCTTTTGGGATTGTTTTCGCTGTGGGGATTTTCAGGTTCTTTCTTTTGTGTGGGAGTGTGATCCGGGGATGAGAATTAATGTACTAAATTACTAACTAACTAACTATCACACTACAGCTATCTTCCCTCGGTGTCAATGTGTGTGTGAGCTGGGACGATCCGCGAGGAAGGAAGAGAGTGGGGAGGAAGAGGGCTTGGGTATAATTCTAGCTTTTCTTGTATACTTACATCTTTACCGGAGAAACAAGTTCTTCTCAGAAACATTGTATCAGAAGATATTCTATTCTAACGTGCTACTCACCTCTCACCTTGGATCCTCCTCGTTAGTTAGTAGGGGTAAGCTTTGCGCAGTACAGAACAGAGTTGATTTCCTCCAAGGATTTCAAGGCTATGTCAAGAAATTCAGCCCTCTTCTATCGAGTGCGCTGGGGAGAGAGTCGAATCCGAGGTAGCCAGATAAAGAAGCTCCTTCTGGCTGACGGTCCGGTCGGGGTATACCTCGGTTCTTGTTGAATCAAATGGGCTGGCTGTATCGTTCGCTTGAGGCGGATCGAGGAGGACTTTTCCGTTAGATGCTTCTGACAAGTTTTGTTTTCTCGGAGAGGGGGTATGTGTGAGTGTGTGTTCGACTAGGGGGTTGTATTATCACCACTAATTTGATGTGTATAAGATATTCAGGCGGATTAGAAAGAAGGCTTCCTTCCTGGGTGGTGGAATGAGGTCAACCGTGGATTGCTTGAGTTACTTGCGGCCCTTATTTTTTTGTCTGGAGGTTGGGCAGGGTGATGGGAGGGAAAAATAAGGGATAAGGTGGGGAGGATCATAGGATATTGGGAATGCAGAGAGGTTATCGGGAGGAGTTTCCGTCGAGAGTTTTAGCTCTGTGAGGTCAACCCAGGGGTTCTGGAAATTTTAAAGATGTTGACTATGCTGAACTGAACTGGGAAGGTTGATGCTGCAAGATAGGATGTGCGGCCAGGCTATTAGCCCTTATAATTGAGGATGGCTAGTGAATATATGATTGGGGTAAATGAGTGTACTGAATGAGGTACTGGGGAGAATCGATCTGTGTTCAATAAGAAGGTAGATTCATAATGCCAAAGCAAGAGCTACTATTTAAATCCATCCATAGAGAAGATGGTAATAGAAAGTCAAGGTAATCAAGTCTAATGCATTGAGACTATATGCCACGACACCAGCGCTGGAGCACCGGGAAATGCACAACTAATGATCAGATAGAGTCCAAAAAAGCAAAACAATCTTCTCCGAGAGTGCCACAGAAGCACAATTAATGGTACATCATCTGCCAACAGGAATGTCTATAATCCTCCCGAAAAAGTGACCACAGTGTGACCTGTTCCTAGCCCCTGTCCATAGCCCAGAAGGGCTTGACGAATAGCGGCCATAAGCAAAGACTGAACCCGTTTACAGGATGGAGCCGAGAGCAATGCAGGGCAGGGCAACACCGATGAGGCTGCCGCTCTATTGAGGGGGTCAGTGGATTTGATGCAGACTCGAAAATTATTTGGGAGACTTACGGCGTCCGAGGGGGAGGCCTGGCAACAAGCGATGTTCTGCTTGCACTGCTGGTTGACGAGATCCTGGAGGGCAATACCGATGATGGGGACTGTGGCGATTGTCAGAGATGAGCTGGGAAAGCACCAGGAAGGAGAACGTACTCTGGAGATCGAGCTTGGAGCACTGGTCGAAGAGACCGAGACCCTCAGAGCCGGAGCCAGCACCAAGGAGGTTACCGAGGGTACCAGCGAGGATACCGTCGTTAATGCTGGTGGTGTCACCGGCGTAGGTGGCCTTGTTGCAGCAAGACAGCTGAGCCTGATCACCGCACTTGGCGGAGGCCTGCTTGACGGTCACATCGTCAGGGACGGGGAAGCGGACATCGCTGTTACCCTTGTTGCCGACGCCGTTACCGGTACCAACGTTGCCATCGGCGGAGGGCTGGCTGGGCAAGGCAGCGACGGTGGCAGCGAGGGCCAGAACAGCGGTGGTGATGGAGAACTTCATTGTGACTGTGGGGTTGGATTTGAACGAGAGATTGAACTCGGATAATTTGTATGTATAGAGAACGGTAAAACGACTGGAAGGTCTGTAGAAGACTGGAGAGAGAGAATGCTCAAGAGAGTGATTGTGTGATGATGAGAAAAACAGATTGGAGCGCAACTTTTCCCAGTCTTATATAGACTTCGGTGGAGGTCTCGAGCTCGCTGGTCACCACGCTGGCGAGCCTAGCAAACAGGCTGTGGTACTGCGCTGCGTGCGCCCAAACATGCCCCCCTTGTGGAATGCAGTATGCAAGGACCGTTCGCCGTTCTCGTCCCTGAGGATCCATACTATGCTCGTTGTTCCATCTCCCTTGGCCAAGAAAGCTCCTCCGCCCCCCAGCGGACGGTATGGATCTACCTTAACCATCGCCTGTGATTGCTTGCAGCCAATTAGTGTTGCAGCAAGTTTCTCCAACTCGGTGCCTTTGCAGGACGGCCGGGGTACATTGCAGCGAGGCTGAATTGTCTCATTCCTCCTAGCTATTCAGTAGATCCTCACGCAGTCTCTTGCTGCTGGCCTCTCTGCAAGGCCAGCACACGTTTGAAGCTGCATGCTTATGCGTCTCGTTCATTCAAGATCCTTCACGCTTAGTTGAGTCACGAGCAGCATCAAAGCCCGGTTCGAGATCACTCTCTTCGCAGCCCGCTTTCAGCCACCGTCCGCCACCGTCCGCCACCGTCCAGTCGTGTGCCCTTGTGCTTGAGCCCTACAACCAATTAACCCCTTTCTCACAACCCTCACGCCTGACTCCGAAGGCGCTCGTGCGGTATGCGGGTGGCGTGGTAAGCATTGTTGGGCTGACCGAGCCCTCGAGTAAGGTTGCAGGACATATGCAATAGCATGCCTCGACCTGCAAGGGATCCCGAAGATCGAGGTCTGTCAATCAATGGGTAGGCTTCTCACCTCTCTTCTCTAACACGTAGATAGATACTTGGGACTCCACGTTCATGTGGGCGGGGAGAGGTCTGTAGCGGTCGGCCAGCAAGGAGACAAACAAGAGTAGTTGCCCGATTAATTTCCGATTGCAAGGACGAACAACGCAAGCAAACCCTGTTCGCGGAATTACAACGTTGCCCGTGCTTTCCTGGATAATCATATTTTGGTAGATCTCGGAAGAAGAAAGTGGTCGGTCCCTTGGAAAGCAAAACATTTGTGCGTATCCTTGGAATTTTGGGTTTCGTTCACCTTGTCCTGATCAAAGGCTGGACTGGTTGTCATGGGCAGCGACTCGTTTTCGCTCATGGATTTGAGACACATGACGAGGCGTAAGGAGATCCTTGTTGCGGTGTCTCGCCGCTGGTGTTGACCGCAGGATGGATGCTTTCATACCAGGGCCGGATCGATAAATGTACGGCTGGATTCGTTGTTACAGCGGTGTATCCGATCTTGGTTGTGCTGCAGATGCTGTGCTGTTGTTGTTGAATGTGGTTGGGAAAGCATGTGATTCATCAGAGGACTCTGCCTTGGTGCCTTGGTGCCTTTCTGCCTCGATATGCTTCTGAGTTCTGAGGCATCAACTTTGAGAGTGTGGTTGAATAGAAGATATGCCATTACGAGTATACAGGATGTGAATGTCCTAGTTAGTGATTTCGCACATCATAAATAGTCACTTCTGCCGGATTGTTATAGCAGACAAACTCGCGTCATACGTCAAATGATTTGGACTCAGCTGCATGTATCTGGAAGAATACTAGTAGATTGGGTGAAATATATATATATTGTCATCTGTGTACCCCGATCACAACATTCGAATCGCTGCGAGCCTCTGGTCTGTCAAGTGTCATCATGAATGGCTTCGGCTTTAAAATATATTCTTCAACTCGATCTTAAATTCTGTTGTCCCCTAGTATATTTCAATCTTAGTACCAGCAAAACCACTATATTCTAAGAGAATTCATCCGTCTAGACACATGACAGGTATAAATAAGCATCCACAACTAACTACATAAACAATGATATTCCTTATCCAGCCTACAGAAGCCACACCTGGGAACGACGCAAAAGTTACAAGAAACGGTAGTCCGCTTCACCATTCTATACATGAAAGCTAGATAGAGCTCTTCCACTGGGCCCAGACTCTCTAAAAGGTACCTGTAGTAAACACTCACAATCCAGTAATGTACACTTAGGAGCTGGTCGGGACTCCGTCTTTGCTGATGATTAAGCCTACTCATTGAGAGCAAGGGATGGAAGCAAGCAGTTGTTCTCCTCTCATTGAGCATAGCACAAAGCTGCTATACCTGCTTATGTGATCTATTTTTTCCAGCGACATATCCGCTAGTAACCAGTCTGATCTCAGACTATAAGCCATAGTATGTACTGATCATCTAGAGGCCATAGGTCCATATGTGAACTTGTTACCTGTTGGCACAAAAGAGAATCGCCTCTACTATCCAACTTCTCTGAATTTCATTGATACCTGGTCATTGTTCATGTGGTTAGTAGAATGATCAACACCATCGAATGAAAGTGTGTTGTTTCACTGATGCAGAGATATATCTCTTTCACATCCCGTCATCTGGAGCTTTATACCGAGGGGACTAAGCTTTCCAGAGGCGATGTTCCCGGATAACCAAGCCCAGAATAGCCAAAAAACAATAACCTATATTTGAATCGTATGAAGAAAGCCCCCAAAAAGATAGTCACCCCATCCACTCTTAAGACTATCTTTGTGGCAGACCTCTATATAAAACGATCCCGCCAACCAGAAGCCCAGAATATCGAATCAACGGCAGCACCAACTAAGCCAAATCCAGCCTAGCGCCTCAATTTACCCGGGGGGCGCGCTAGCCCGGCGACGAGGAAGCCAGCTCCGGCCACTGACTGCAGTTAGTTAAGTTCCTTTCATCATCCTATTCTTCCAGGCAGCTCCAGACATCAGAGAAGAACGCAGTCGAGGTATTGCATGCATCCGAAGGGCTGCTGACGCTCTCTGATTGGAGCTTTTCTACGACAGTGATTATCACGTGCATTTGCACAGCGACAAAAAAAGCAGAAGGAAAGGCAAAAAAGAAAAGAGAGAAAGAAGAGGGTGAGAGCTAATCCCAGCATGTCCGCGGCTCCGCAAGACGTCACGGGCAGCGGCGCGGTGGATGCGCCTGAGTCCCGCACGCGCGATCCGATCCAAGAGCAGGTTTCTTCGGATGTAAGGACGGAAAATACAGAAGAGAAGGAAGCGGAGGAGGTACAAGCACCACAGCCGGGGAAGGACCGAGGCGCGTCCGAGGCGCGGCAAGAGGAGGAGAAGGAGGAGGAGGAGGAGGAGGAGGAGGAAGACGACGGGCCCGACAGCAACAAGGAAGAGATGGAAGAAGGGGAGACGGAGGCAGATTCAGACGCAGAATCGCGATCTGAACAGGACGATGCAAAGAAAGAAGAAGAAGAAGACCAACCAGACACATCAGCTTCGGCGCCACCATTACCAGACGAAGTGCCCCCTCCGCTCCCCAACGAAGTACCACCCAGCGAGGACGACGGATGGGAGCCCGTCTGGGATGCCAACGCCCAAGCCTACTACTTCTACAACCGCCTCACCGGGGTCTCGCAGTGGGAGAACCCGCGGGTACCGGATGCCTCCCCCGCCGCTGCCGCCGCGGAAAAGCCCGCGCCCGTCGCGGCCGGCTACAATCCCGCCATCCACGGCGACTACGATCCCACGGCGCCGTACGCTCAGCAATACGAGCGACAGGAGGATGCGGCGGCGGCCGCCGCGATGGACCCGAACCAGGCGTACGAGGCGGTGGGCGCCTTCAACCGGTTCACGGGCCGGTGGCAGGAGGCCTCGCAGAACCCGGAGTACCACAATGATGAGAACAAGTCCCGGCGGCAGATGTATGCGTTCTTCGACGTGGACGCGGCGGCCAACAGCCATGATGGCCGCAGTCTGCGGGCGGAACGGAGCGCCAAGAAGCTTACCAAGGCGGAGTTGAAGGCGTTCAAAGAGAAGCGACGGGAGAAGAAGGAGGAGAAGCGCCGTGCGTGGTTGAGGGATTGATTGGTTTCTTTCCCCTCCCATCTTCCAGCGCAATCATACCCTTATTCTTATCTTGTCTTGTTGTTGTGTGCTGAGATACCTTCCCTCTGGGATTTCCCCCATTCTGATATGTGCATGTTTTATGGTGGCTAGCTAGGGCGTTTTTATGTAGTTTACAAGATGCATCATAGAGCCACAATGGTATATATGGGTGATTTGAATCGTAACTTGTAGATGAGGTTGAGTATGTGCAGATACATACTTAGTAGTAAAAGAGAGAGAGTATGCTGCGTGGGGAGGCGGGATTGATTGTGAAGATAAGATCCACACCGGGATGGCAGTCACCTGACCGGGCCTCAAAGTTCTCCCCATCAGAAGAACAATTGGAATAGCTTCACATGATTCTCAAGAGTCAGAGCATCACTTGCATAATTTAAAGGTAAAAATTTCCTGGAGGTATTGCACCTCACTTGCTATATATATCAGATTTCCCCAACCACCAGTTTGTGCGGCACTGCAAGCATCGAAACCCAAGGTGAGGGGGAGGGGTATACCAATCATCAGAAAAAAAAATTCCGAAAAGGGTAATACCGGGGAACGCAGCGAAGAACGTGGACGATGTTTCGATGAACCAATGCTTCGATTCGAAACTACCCAACATTAGACACCTCTGCATAATTTATTTCTCCTTGGTTATATACCCCTTCGCCCCTCCAATGCTGTATACTCCATACACATACACCCCGAGACCCGCAACATCTGCACACCTCTATACATGAACGATCACAACCAAGAGATGATAGCCTGCTAACACCAACCCAGATACCTCCTACATTCTCCCAGCAGAGCGAGAACCAGGCTTCATCAACTCAGAGGCCCACCGAAATCTGACACATCCACACTACCCGTCTGAATCTAGCATAACGAACCCAAGCATCAGCACCAGCATCACCATCAAAATGGCCACCACCGTAACCCTCCCAGCGGAGACGATCGACGACCTCATCTACGACGCCCGCTCCGGCGACCTCGCCGCCCTGCAGGAGGATCTCGCCGCCTGCAGCGCGCAATTCGCCAACGCATCGCAGGGTAGCATTGTGGCCGCGGTCATCGACGCCGCCCCGGAAGCCGAGGGCGGCAGCGGCTCCAGCCTGTTGCATTTCCCGGCTGCGAATGGGAATTTTGGTGCGTATTTCACCTTTCCATGGCTTCCCTGGAAGGTCGAAAGTCCCCGGAAAAGAGAAAGGGAAAGCTAACATCGCGCAGAAATCCTAAACTACCTCCTCGGCCTCCTCGCCGCCGAGGACGAGGTTACGCGCCGCCGAATCGTCAACCACCGGAACCACTCCGGCAACACGCCGCTGCACTGGGCGGCGCTGAACACGCATCTGGAGTGCGTGAAGGCGCTGGTTGAGGCCGGCGCGGACAGCTCGATCAAGAACGAGGCCGGGCTCGATCCGGTGTTTTTGGCTGAGCGTGCGGACTGGTCGGCGCAGGAGGAGGATGGTGCGGCTTCGTCAGCGTCGGCAGAGGGTGCGGGTGAGCAGGATGCTGATGCCGCCGCCGCGGCGGATCCCGGCAAGATGTCCAAGGGGAGACAGGTGGTTGAGTGGATGCTGAGCGCTGAGGTGGCGGCTGCTGGCGGCGATTCTGAGACGGTGGTTGCCTCCGCTGGGGTGCCGGTTACTGGCAATGGGGATGGGGAGACGAACTGATTTCTGTAGACAAAAATCCTCTTTCTTTTCTGATGAAGTTCTTATGATATTTCCTTGTTTGGTATCGTGTTTCTTTAGGGTGCTTTTGTCCTGGTTATGCTGCAATAGATCGCTTTTTATTTGGTTATGATATTTTGTGTATGATATAGGTTCTTATACAAGACGGGAACTATGTTCATTCGTCACGCTGTCTATAATATGATTCGGAAGCATTTTTGTCTGGTCTATCGTCTTAGGGAGGTGATCTTCAATACCATCGAGATAGGTAGGTAGGCGGGTAGGTAGGCAGGAATGTGCGCAATCATGTCTGGTGTTCAGATGGTCATCCGTCAATCTCGTCGTGCCTTGTTTCGATCCTGCGAGGAGCCCAGCGCACTGGACCGTGACGACGAAAGACCTGGGATCGTGCTCGCCATGTTCCCACCATCAACAATCTCGCGCACCTTCATGTCAAGGCCAACTCGGAACCGGCGGTCTCGCCAGGTCACGGTGACTCCGCCGTAAAAAGCCCAGACCCAGATAGGCAAAGCCAACATTTCACGACCCAGCCAAGCGGCAAGCCAATGCAGGAAAGGGCGGCGAGTGACACTTCGGGTTGGAGGGCGTGCGAAGAACGGGGTATCGTCGTCGAGCTCGACGGTCTGGCCCGAATGCAGCATGATATAGACCATCCAGTCCACCAGGATCCAGCCGGCCATACTCAAACCGAAGAACGTCCAGAAGGCAGTCCAGGTAGACAGTATCTCCGCAAACCCATACCCCTTCTTCGCCAGCAACTGAGCCAGCGCCGTTGTGACGCCCCATGCCCCGTAGCACGAGCACACGATCGACTCCGTACCGGGCTCGACCAGCGTCGCCAGCAGCACGGTGAACTTGCGGACTCGTAACCACCGCACCCGGCGTGCCACATATGACTGCACGCTCATGTTGGCAACCGGCTGGAAGGCGAGGTCGCCAAACACCATCGCATGCTTGCCCCACCGCTCTCCTAGCTCTTTCTCCTCGCGCACCCGACTCTTCCACAGCAGATCCCCAATTAGATGATCCTCGCAGATATTATCGGAGAAATAGTCAATTCCTGGATTGCGTCGACGGTGAGGCGGATCCGCGGCCGACGGTGCAGTCAGGTAGTCGAGATGCGATCGGCGGAACATGTTGGACTTGCCCACGATACAGGGGGCGATGAGCACGGTATTGATGGCAGTGTACATCTTCGCGTGCGACGAGGACAGGAACAGTTCCTCCAAACGTCCACCCCCGGTCGCCAGAGGCCCGGTCCCGTGCTCCAAGACCGTTGCTGTGGCGTCACCGCGTTCCCAGCTGGCATCATCCCCGTTCGTGTAGGACTCTAGCAGTGTCTCTTGTTCCCCCCTCAAGCTTTCGGAGCCCGTCATGTCCACAGCCACGGGTAAATGATGGACGAATTTGTACCGTCTGCCTGGCGTCGCGCCCGTCCCACACAGTTTGTCCACCATGCGGCCACACACGCCCTTGCCGACCCAGACGTTGCAGTCGATGATCCAAACGATATCCCCCTTGGCTTCGCGGTAGGCACGACTCATATTCCGGATCTTCGGATTGGGGCCCAGCGCGTAGGCGGGAACATGGTCGGGTTGAAGGAGCGGGTCGTCGTCCTCAACATAGACGCGTGCGTCGGCGTGCGGGAAATCAGCGACTAGTTTCTGGAGGGTGGGATAGGCAGGGTCGTTCTTTGTCGAGATGCAGAAATAGACGGTCAGCCGGTCGCGCGGGTAGTCCTGGCGGAATGTCGAGGCCAGACACTCGTAAAGATGAGGCTCGAGGCCCTTGACCGGTCGGATTGCGGTGATGTGAGGGGCATCTGGTGTAGTGGCGGATGTGGATTTACGGGGTCTTTGGAGGCAGTGCTTCCATCTAAAGACGGCGGAATGCGGAATATATGGTTAGCTCTTGTATGCCGGGGCAGAGTTGACTGTGCATCTTGTTGTTTACATTTGGTAAGTCCCCAGCGAGCAGACCAGTGTCACGGTCGTATACCAGACCAGACCAACCCAGCCCGCGACGACTGGCCATTGGATGTCGCCATGGCGAGAGGCCAGTCCAAGCTCTGAGGCAAGCGAACGCAAGTGAAGCGTCAACATAGGCGGAGGTGGGCAGCAACAGAGTGGTCCGACGAGGAAATCATTCTATGGAAGAAGGAACAAGGTAGCGAGTGACAAGTAGTGGTGATGACTTTGAAGCGCGAAAGTAGCACAGAAAGGAACACTAAGACCTCAATGCGGTCAGGACAGACTGCAGGAAGGCAAGAGCTGAAACTCGTGACAGTCAGGCCAACCTGACCAGCAGCAGCAGCAGTAGGTAGCAGCAACCTTAGCAGTAAGCTCCAATTTGCTTAACGCGAGCTAAGAGCGGCGGCGTCGGAGTGCGTTCCATTCGGATCTCACGGATTCCGCGTTCGGCGCGATGGGTGGGTTTTCCCGCCCGTCGGGCGCCTTCCTTTGATCGTCTCGCAGCTGAGCCACAATCCACCTTTCGAGTTTCACAGTTACATATCGTACAGGGGCTGGATATGTACTTTGAAAAGTTGTTTGATTAAGTAGTATGTCAGATGGCTTGTCGCCCGTTCCGTGGCTCGGATATTCAGTTCCACGTCTGATGAACTCGGCGTCCAAAGCCTTCAAATCCAGCTAAGACAAATGCGATGCGATAATGAAAAGTGATAAAATCCCAGTATGCAAGCCCCATAGAAGCAAAGAAAAGATAAGAAAACAGAAAGGAAAGAAATACAATCAAGCCGTGCCGATTATCCCCGTGTCCTTCATTCTACTGTACAGAACCAATGGCCGAATAAAGCAAGCCAACCCTGAGCTACGTCTTTTTCTTCTTCCGGATGAGATTGGCTTGTAGAACATTGATCCCAGAAGCCGGCTCAGGTATCGAGGTGGACACTGTCGCGTCCGCAGTGGGTGCAGCGGCGTCTTTCTCGGCCTCATCAGCAGTCTTGTCGCTCTCTGGTGTTTGGACAGGTTCATCCTCGACCTTCTTGCGCTTCCGGACCAGCGTGCTGCTGATGAGAGTGTTCACCTCCGTACTCTTCTGAGAAGGATTGTCTGTTGTGCCTCGCCCCAAGACCTGTTGCCCGACCCAGAGTTGGTCAGCAAGTGAGGCAACTTTCTCGCCCCACGCTTTTGTGCTGGCAAGGGCTACCTCTTTGTCGAAGAAATCCTGCTCGATCAAGAAGTCAATCGCTGCTTTGTAGTCAGCTTCGCAGAGCACAGCGTGGCCCCGGCCCGCTTCAGGCCAGAAGAACGCGCTGGCATCTGTAGTAGGCTGCGCCGTAGATGTGGGTACAGGCAAGTTCTCAGCGTGTGCGGGGGCTGAAACGGTCGCTGAGCTGCCGAGAGAACCTATCGGCTGTGTAACAGTCGGATCTTCTGAGGTAACGTGTGGCTCCGACGATGTAGATATAGGGGCGTCGGCCTGTAATCCAGGAACTCTACGCGCACGGGCTGCGGCATGTCCCACATCACCCGAAAGCGCTTTGCTATCACCGAGAACAGACCGCGAGCTGGTCATCTGGACCGAATTGACCAGTCCTGGCGGGTTGATCACGAGCCAGAGAAATCCGACTAATCGTCCCGACGAGCACTCCTGGCGGAAGGACATCATTTCCCAAAACTGATCCAGAGACTTGACACTCCACCACTGGCCGGGCGCCACGGAGGACTTGTCACCCTCATCTTGCCCGGGCAGTTCGTCATCCAAGTCGACCAGGAAGCGAGTCTTCGGGTCGTCAGGGAAGCGGGGAATCAGACAGCGCGGAGGAGCCCTGGGATCATCGCAGAGCTGATGAAGGGGGTAGCTATTCAACCATCTGGGGCGGTCCTTGCCGTCCAGTCTGGCCGCACTGGGGAAGAAGCCCCGGGTTTCGAACTTGTCACACCCGGGAACGATCAGGAACGCGGTGGCCGAGCTCTGCGCCGACTCGGTCTGTCGATCCAGGGCGTTCTTCGCATGCGAGCCCGACTCGGGCTCGTACTCGCGGAGAATCGGATCGAACACGCGACACCACCATTTGATTAGACCTCGGTCGTCGAGGACATGCTTGCTCTCGTTCTCGATGCTCCCGGGGAACAGGTACTGGTTCTGCGCGCGCGCGAACAAGGACACCACGAGGCGGACGCCCGGTCGCTGATGCGTGCGAACCAGGAAGGAGAGGAAGGTCTGCGAGATGCGTCGCAGAAGCGAGACCTTGGGGGCGTCCTTGAGGAGATGTAAGAACCCCGTCGAGTCGGCCTTGGAGACGAATATCGTCGTCAGGTGCGCCGTGCTGTAGACTAACACCTCGACCCCGAGCACGATGATCTCCGCGCCATCTTTCCCATCCGCGTCCACCGATGCGGTCAGAAAGTGATTTTCACAAAAGGTGGGCTCTGAAGTTTCGCCGGGCGGTGCGGCGAAGAGAGCAGCGCAGGGAGTGGGAGTCGAGGAGACATGGCGAATCGTAAGCTTGACACCGGCGGGCAACACCTCGGCCAAGAGATCGCCTAATTCCACGTCGACCTGAGACATGGCGGCCTATAGATCCCTCAAGATGAACAGATCAGCATATGATGTCCAGTGTGATTTGGAAAATTGCCCGTCGGGCCTTTAACTCTACGAATCCTTTTGTCTTTTTCTCACCCCCTCAGACGCGTTCCATTTCACGGGCGTATCACGTGCCCGCAATCTGACTCTTTTCGTTGCCGTCAGCACTTTATCCCTCGCTTATCGCCAGGAGGCAGTCGATGGATGAATTTGGCTCAGGAATGTTGCCGCTTTGACAAGAGAGAGATATTGAAGTGGTTGAATATCTGTCCGTGCTGAGATGGTGGAATAACACCACAACCAACAGCAGAGATTCCGGAGGACGCATAGGCGGATATGGCCTTTACACATGATGGATCCAAGTGAATTGAACCTCCAAGAAAGAACATCAGGGAGCTAGCCAACCTCTACTATCTATGGACATTAACACATTTCAAAAGTATCCCGCCACAGCATTCAGATCATCTGCATTCAACAAAGCAACACCTTCCTCGAGCAGAGTCCTCCAAATGTTGTTGCGAGCACGGATCGGATAGTAAGGGGTACCCCAGTATCGCGCTCCAATACCCTTCTTCTTAGCAGCAGCGATCTGCGTTCGAATGGCAAGGGTTTGATTCTCACTCAGCTCACTATGCGAAAGAGGACCCACGGCAGCCGCAAAGTTAGTCGAGGCAATAGGAGAGATTAGACCGGTTATCTCGGAGTATTGACCCTCGTCAAGTTTATCGAGGGGTGCATCAAAGAAGTAGTCTCTGTTGGCCACCGGCCCGACCAGGTCAAGTGGTGTGTTACCGGTGCCTATCACCGTGACGGGCCCCTCGATGATGGTCGTGTTGTCCTTGAGAGTAGTCAGGTAACCACGCGTGCGCAGTGGCTCCAAGGCCGCGACGACAGCATTCAAGGTTTCAGGCCCGGATGTCTTCAGATCAATGAAGAAATAAAGCGTTTGTGAAGTGTCAGTATCGAACACACCGCTGGGGACTCGTCAGCTCGGGCTCTTGTCGAAGAACCAACCCATCCAGGAACATTGACAAAAAAGACAGGCAGCGCTTACTTCTTCGTGGGCGATGTCACGAAACGAGATGTGGGGTTCTGACGTTGGAGCACATCCAGGATCGGGTTGACATAGAGCGACTCCAAGGTTCGCTTTTCCGTCAGAGAAGACTCATCATGACCGACCTAGCTGTGTCAGTATCGCCCCAACCGCGAGATCCCGTATTATGGGACGGACATAAAGAGTGCCATTATACAGCCACACATCCGCCTCAGTCGATATGCATCCTTTCGATAGGCCTACGAATGTAAGTCACTCATTGGCTATTGACCAGTGGCCTGTGTTTGCATCGATGCATACCTGCGTAGAAAGGCACATCTCTCCAGTAGTCACTGGCACGAGGTTAGATACCGTGTCTCAATAAAAGGTGCTGATACTGGGCTTACTTATGGGAATGGACTGGGATCTGCAGTCTGTATTAGAATGGGATTCGGTGATGCCTCTCGCAATGCAATTCTAAAATGATAATCGCCATTGCGATATGAGCTGGGAGGAACTTACAGGCAGAACGTCCCTGGTAAAGTCGGTGGGATATCCATATTCATTGCTCATGTGGGTGTTCTTCAGCACGCTCTGTAGTTCCGTTACTGTCCCAGCGGCCTGCTTCGGGGAGCCAAGGAGGAATGCGGAAGCCGCGATCAGGAGCGACCGGGGAAACACCATCGTATATATATATGATATTGCTGAGGAGATTATTGATAGTAAAGCCCAGTTAAGAATATGATGAGATAGTCACCACCGCAGAAAAGTATCGGAAATGAGGAGAGAATTAGGCGGTCGGTCGCGAATGTTGTCAACCAGAAGAAAGCTCGGCGACAAACCTGTCCGAGAAGCGCAAACGGCCAATCGCAGCCTCACGTGGTGGTCCAGCCCTCGTTATTATATCAGCCCTTAGAAACAAGAAAAAGCGCATAACATCATATTGACACTCTTCGAACGAAGAACAATACATAATACGCCCAGATGTACGGATTTATGAACTTTACTATCTAAATATATGAAGAACTAATCGGTAAAGAACATGATCACCAGGTTAAAAATGCTTCGAAGGCCAACTCGCGTATAAAGAATTAACCCAATCGCGCAACGCCAGTCAGGTATCATCTAAACCATAGAGTTCATCAATATAAAGAAAAGAAGCTAGTGTATCTAAGTCAAATGGTGCAACCCCGCGATCCAGCGGAGCTCTGTCTGTATCCTAGACCTCGCGAATCGAGGGTGGCCGGGAGTTGTTTTGGGAATCCTGCGTACTACTGCGTCGGAGGCTCAAATTGCCAATGCGCTGTACTAGGTTGCTTCCGACTGCATCGACAGCACCCTTTGGCGCTAGGAGCGTAGGTCCTTGCGCGGCTGCCTCCTGTACCCTGAACAGCTTAACACCAGTGCCATTCCACACCCCAACTGTGCCAGGTGTAGCACCTGACGCGGACCCAACAACCATTTCGCTCGAGAAGATGAATCCCCAAAGCAAAGATTCATACCAACCCATGGAAAGGGCCGACCACTCGAACGAGTGGACACGAACGGGAGAAGGTTCCGAGATAATAACCTGAATCATGGGCTCCTCAACAAAGGTAGGAAGGTTTGTGATCAGAGTGCGTGCTTCTGGATTAGAGGCAGACTGAAAGGCCGAATCCGGTACGTGGGGCATTATGGCTGAGATAATGGTGAGGATCGTGTGAAGCGGCAATTCAGGCAGCCACGAATCAAGCTGTGTGTTTCTAGTTAGCAAAAAGCGTGATTGGGCAAATGCGGGCTTTCGCTTACCCAGGCAGTAGTCGGCGTAAATCCGCTTGAGGATGCAAGGAAAGCAGCCGACATGCTGCTTTGGCTAGTCATGCTGTTTTGCCGAGAGAAGGTGGGTTGTCCGGCAGGCATTTTGCCACGCGCCTTTTCAGACATCCCCCGGAGCTGAAGGGGTACGCTCTCGTCGACGACAGACGAAATAGATTGCCGTCGAGACGTTGACACTGACTCTTGTGCCGGCGTGTTGGGCGCTTCACCCTCGTCCTCCGAATCATCTCCGCCAATGGCGAACGGACTATTTTCTTCCGGAATGCGACCCAGAGATGAGCGTGCTCCAGAGGGAGCTTGTACATCTTCTTCAGTCGGCGAGAGAACAGGACTAGCGGCAGACTCATTCCCCCCTGACTTTCGCCGTTCATTTTGACGCTCTATCTCCTGCTGTCCGCTCTCGAGAGTGAATTCACGCACAGCCTCGAAGCGTCTCCGGTTTCTGAGGATAGAATAAACAAGATATGGATTGTCTGCACCGCATTAGCAAGCCAAATAAAAAATATAGTCTGCAAAGTACCGCTTACTTGTAAACTGGTGCTCGAGAATAGAGTTGATCGACTCGAGCACGGACGCTAGAAGGACATGGTTCGTTTCGTTGGCGAGAAGAAAGCTGGGAGCCGACATCGAGGAGAACAACTGCAGCAGCTTCGAACAGGAAACGGGAGACAGATGCTCGACGTATGCGGCAATGTTGTTGATAATTGCCAACAGCGCCGGATAGACAGCGGTTAGCTGCCCTTTGCTGGCAGTGATCAAAGTATGAATAGACTAGCCCACTGTTAGTCTGTATCGCCACTTCGAGCAAATAACGACATACTGTTATCAAGTAATCGGCGTATGACCCCTTGAAGCCGGGGATCCGGATGCTTTGCGGTAGAGTCTCTTGAGCCTCGAATTTGAGATTCAAACTCTTGCCGAAATTGGGCTCAACGCTCATTGTCTGCAAGATGAAAATACACATTCTGACTACGCCTTGCTTCGCGGGGTCGGACTTGTACACAATAGCATAGAACAAACATAGAATAATGAAATCGTGTGAGCGGTTCGAATCGATGATGAACGATCTGAAGCGCTTGTTGCATTGCAAGGCCTCCCAGAATAGGATGAGCATTTCGGGTGCCCATTTCACCGACTTTTGACTACCAGGAAGGTAGGAGTTCGTGATTTGCATCTGCGCATTGAGCCGTCAGCAATGTACGTACTACAAGGCGGAGGCAGCACTCACTGGCTGATTCAAGATTCTGGTCATGCCATCAACGAGAAACTGAAAGTCTTGCGGTCTATGCAGTCTTCCAAAATAATGGCGGTAATAGTTCTTCGGCGGGGCCCCGCGACCGTCTTCCGGGACTGGGTATAGAAGGAGCACCAGAAGAAGCTGCAAGCAATAGATGACCAATATCTGTTTCGGGTCTTTCCATACAACATGGTCATATGGTACTCTCCACGAGGCGGGGTTGTATTTGATCGCCTATACTCGAATCAGGGATATTGCCAGTTGGTGATAAAGCTCCAAGCACATACCGTGTTGAGTAGTGAGCACAGCAGAGTCAAGACTGCCTGTTTGTCGGGGCAAGTTGTGATGTACGTGATAGCACGAACACCTTGCACAGGGAGCAAATCTCAGGGATGGTCAGCATGAACTCGGTTTCATACGCAACTACCGTGACTCACTCGAAGGCATATACATCGCTTTCCCGGTCAAAGTCAGGAGCAATCGTAGGACCTCGCAGCGGTTGTTCTCCAGCTCTTTGGTCGACCCCATTGAGGTATTGCATCCCACGCCGCTCTGCCAGATCGAATAAGACACCTTTGTCTTCGCAGATGATAACTTTGGGATGGTAAAATTTGTATAGAAGAGTAGGTCGAGCAGAGTATCGATCAACTCCTCGGCCAGTGGCTTCGCATCCTCCAATTCGCTGGCCCGCGGCGAGGCCTGATCCCGCTCTTCAGCCTGTGCTTCATCGAACAATACTTCCGGAGCCACTTGCGCCTCGCGGGTCTTCTTCTTGCGACGGGCCCAGAAGAAGTTCTCCTCCCACTCCTCCAGATGCTCGGCCTCGTAGATGTATGGGATCAGACGGGTGAGGATGCGAATACAGTTGAGCGCATCGCGGTCGGGCGCGAGTTCGGGATCTGGAAACGAAGGGTGGTTTCTCAACACCGTCAGGCGAGAGGTGACGGAGAGTAAAAGGGTCTCGAAGTTCGTCAAGGCATGATCGCGCGTGCGCCGGATGTCGGCCGGGGTGAACAGGCTGAAGACATCCTCGGTCGACTCTGGGAGCTCCCAGAACTAATGCCCCAGGTGTGTGTGTGAGCTTATACCCATCCTACCATCAAGACTTTAAAGAGTCACGATACATACCCTGGTCCAGTAGGGATCATCCGCTGGAATGTCCTTCTCCTCAGACAGGCGGAAGATACCCTGCTTGAAGACTAACTTTGACTCGGAAGCTCCCATCGTGAAGCCACCATGAAGCTTATAAGCTTGTCAACCTCATGCAGTTCAGTGAGATGATCGAAGAATGAAAGGCTGTGTGCGAGGACGATTCTTTCAAGAGAATTGCTTTGGGACGTAAGCCCAGTAATCCGATGCCGCGTGTGAATGGACTTGGTGGCATGTTGGCGGTCTTGGGTCATTGCCTTGGAAGCGGGTACGACTAGGCCCGCGGAGACCCGACGATCAATCAATTACATGTAATCGGCCATCAATAATAATCTGGGGGAGCCAATTCTACGCCGCTCTGTCTACTTCTATAATACTGTCGGCAAGCGAAACTGCAAACGCTCTTCAAACTAAAGTTGTATTTGAATCTAACTTACATGATGCTGCATCCATACGCTGCTATTCAAGGAGTCTAAGAATCCGCATGCACCCCGCTAGTAATAGCGAACAAAGAGATAGAAAGGGAAATTCATAAGTTTACATCGCTTCCTCTGCCTGCTCCCACTTAACCCTTCAAGTCGGCATTAATAGCTGCCATTGCTCGCTGACACTCGCCGGCTTCGCTCGTATAACCACTTGTTGCTCAGGCCCAGGGTCGCGCGCTTACCGCCTACAGGAGACGGACTCGCGGGTCCAAGGCTCGACATAGTTGACAAAGACATAGATGACATGGTGGACATGGTCGACTCTTTGAAAGACGAGGTTGACTCTTTGAATGACGCAGTCGAATCCTTGAAAGACATGGTCGAATCTCTGTAAGGCGAGAATGACGTGCTCCGACCAAGCGGCGACGAGGACCCGAAGCTCGGTCTCCGTCCGCTATCTTTCCCGCCGTTGGTGACCACTTTCTGGAATAGCGGACTGGGTGAAGGTGAGAAGGAGGGACCCGAGGATACTCTGCGACCGGAGGCGCTAGCACTGGCCGACAGCGGGGATCCAGGTCTACTTGCTGGGCTCGCGGGACGAGATGTAGAAAGACGATATTTAGGCGGAGTCACGTAGGTAGTGCCGGGGGTCAGTGGCGGTGTAGCAGTGGGGTCCAGCCCGAGAAGCGAGCGCTGGGTTGGGGTGAGAGGTATATCGGAGAGATCGTCCTTCGGTCCAAATAGAGGATACAGCGCGATGAGAATGTTGACGACAAAGATGAGGCGCAAGGCGAGGAGGGAGAGGTCAGGATAAGTAGAGAATTGGCTAATTTCTTGAAGCCAGAAACCACTGTAGACATTCAGTTAGAAGGATCCCAACACAACGCACAATTGTGGCTCCGTTGCCATAACTTACTATGACTTAAATGTGTTCCCAAACACCCACGTAGCAAACAAAGCAGAGCCATTCCACAGCAGCTTGTTTAGATTCCGGTCACCAAATGTTCCAGCATTCTGTCGACGGACTACTTCGTCCAAGTGAGGGTGGCGCCACTTGCCGGGTGTCTGGTTTTTGTCGGGGACTGCTTTGATTGCAGACGCAGCTTTGGCAGCTTTGACAGCTTTGGGGGTAGAGGGGAGCGACGGAGACGCCATTGAAAATTACCACAAACACGAGATGTGGTTGAGAAGTACAGAGAAACCTAGCAAGGATGAGTACGACAGCATGCCAGAGTAGGGGAAGAGGGGGAAGTTACTTACCGAAAGAAATAAGGGACTTCCTATTGTAACTTACCTGATAATAGATTGCGCACGGGGGGAATTGTATCACATGGGTAGTATAATCTCCGATGAAAACCTACGACAAGAGTCCAGACTGGACCATAGTCGCAAGGGAGTACGGAGTAGAAGAAGCCCCTTGGGATGGAAGAGGAGCGGGGAAGAATTGAGAGTCGGAGTGGTGACCTGATGATTGATTGTTTTGGGTGATCGGTGCGCCGGTCTCAAGTCAGGAATCAAAGGGCAACCACAAGCGCCATTGCCGCGAAGTTTTCTACTATCGGACTCACTTTACCGCCCGCCCAGGCGCCCGCGCAGCGGTTCCCCACATCTGGCATCACATCATAGGCAGCCTAGCCGGCCGCCTTGTACGTAAGGAAAGGCAGCCAGTCAGTCACTCAGTCTGCTCAGCTCAGCTCAGCTCAGCTCAGCTCATCGTACTGTCCTTCAACTGTCCTCTTCTCGCTCGACCTTAAGAACTTACCCTCTCTCTCTAACACCCGGCACATATACATGTACAACCTACCTTGAGAGATATCAAACCTCAGAATGGACTCCGAGCCGTCCATCGTGGCCAAGCTAGACGCTTTTGTGGCGGAGCTTCTGGCCGACTGGAACACCACCACCACTGTGATTGCTGGCGGCATTGTCGCCTTCCTCGTCTACTCGTTCCTCACATCCCAAGATTCGGATATTCATCCTTTTCTCCTCGCACGGCAGTCGACCGCATTCCCCGTTCGTCATCCAGGCCAATCTGCTCCGTACAGAAGTCTCGAGACACCGCACGGCTACCCTCTGCGCACCGGACTCAACGTCAAGGATCCTGGGACTCCTAAATGGACAAGTGGCCGGAAAGGTGATCTGCGTGATGTCTGGAAGACCGCTGTTCGCGGATCGGTGGAAGAAAATGGAGCCGTCACAGGCAAGCAAGGCAAGATCTATACGGTGCTTGGAAAGAAGGCGATTGAACACTCTTTGGATCAGGTCACTCAGGAAATCAATGTCATTGGAACCCGTCTGCAAGCTTCCAAGGCGAAGACCGTTGCTGTCTGTTTGACGGACTCAGTCGAGCTGCTGGCTGTTATCTTCGGTTTGACCTCCCTCTACTCGATGCTTCTATCAATATGTTGCTAACGGCCCGGTAGCCGGAGCATTTTACGACTTCAAGGTTGTCATCATCCCTCACAATTTGCATGCGAAGGACCTGTCGGAGTTGTTGCGAAAGTCGCAGGCTGATGCATTGATCGCCGAAGCTGGATCACTTGACTTGTCATTCATTGCTAAGGATAACGAACAGCTGTCGCAAGTCATTTGGGTTGCGAAGCTCGGAAGCAGGCACATGGACTGGAATGATGTGCCCCAAGATGTGAAGGGTACTTTGGAAGTCACTGTTTGGCACGAGCTGGTGGAAGAGAAGAAAGAGCTCGCTTGGCTTGAGGTACCGGCTTATGATCCAAGCACTCCTACTCCATCCGTGACCACTATCTGGCCGTCCAAGTCCTCAAACGGTGAATTCGTTGAGTATCAGCCGGAGGTATGTTTTTCTCTTATCTGTAATCTTGCGCTCGGCGGTGACTGACCACTAGAACAGAATCTTGCATCAGGAATTGCTGGCCTATTGTACTCTCTTCCCCGCCAACAGCGGTTTGGCCCTAGTGACGTGGTCCTTTCCATCGACTCCCTTTCTCGATCGTATCCCTTGTGTCAGATTATGGCTGCTTTGTTTGCCAATGCATCCGTTGCCGTCAATTCCGTTGCTGGCGAAAGCGTGGATTTTGCTCTTGCAACTGTAGGAATGTCGCCGACGGTCATTGTTGCATCCTCTCGCACCATGTCCAATTACCACACCAAATTCATGAAGCCTCACTCCGGGCCTGTGTCTGCGCTGGCGCGTTGGATCCAGGTGCGAAGCTTGGACGCCGGATACATGCCATCCCACGGCCTACTGAATCAGCTAGCCAATGTCGGACCCACAGCCGAGCTTTCTCTGGACAAGCTTCGTCTTCTATGCATCTCGCACCGCTTCGACGCCGATCCGGAGGTACGTCTCGACTTCGAGCAATTGGCAGACTTGCGCATCTTCACTGGAGCGCGTATCGTGTATGCTTTGACTGGACCCGGGATCGCTGGTGCCGTGTCGCAGACCAACGTCTTCGACTACAGACGCTTTGAGGGCCCCAGCCACTTCGGTGCCCCTCTTAGCAGCGTTGAGGTTGTTCTGACGGGCTTGTCAGATGACACCGGGAAGGAGGAGGGTCAGGTAAGCGCAAATCTGCACGCATTTCTTTCACCGACGCATTCAGCTCACATACTCCTTAGATTTCTGTAGCCGGCCCTTCTGTCGTCTCTGGAAAGACGGTGCTACCGGTGCAAGCTCGCTTGCGCCATGACAACACCTTGGAGCTCTGTGCCTGAAATACCTCTCGAGCGAATGATGAGCGTTCTGCGTTGAATTAAGGGAATAACCCGTCTCATTGTGTTTCTCATCTCTCTCTGTGTATCTTGATTCTAAACTCTGCTCCGGGGACTACAGAATGACTGTTGCACGGCATCCTGCTGAAATCTTCTGGAACCTCAAGCGTAGCTAGGCGCGTTATGTCGATGAATTGGAGAAAAGGATATGCATTTATTTTCAAATAAAAGATGTAGCTCCAAACAGATTCTGAGGAAATCATGGTAATGTACAAAAAAAAAGGGCGTAGACAGGAAGGCGGCAGATCAATCATGACAACTGATCCTCGATTCCATGATACTTTAGACTTTGTTGATAGCCCCGCGTCGGGCTAGCCTTGATTTTCTCGGGAGCAGCATCCTTCTGGATTTGAATCCACTTGTCCAATCTGTTCGCTTGTTCCTCCAGAGCCTTGCTGAGTTCGGGATCGATGGCCACCTTTCGGGCAAGCTGAAGGGCGTGGTAGATGGGGACATTCTGCTCCAACTGCCTGTCGACAGTAAGGTATTTCCGTTCCCGGATTTTCTCAAGTTTGTCCAGAGGTACAGCTTGGGCAATGCCTTTAGGAAGTGAGAGATTTGAGGCCTTCATATCAAGCTTCAAGTGGCGCATGCAAGCCAGCAGACGATGACTGTAGTCGTGAACGAGATGGTCCTCGTCCTTGCCGGCGAACTTGTGCAGGGCGCGGGCGGCGCTCAACTCGAGCATGACGCCGACGACAGCGGGGCGGCGCTTGGCGTCGGAGGCCGGGGAGGGGTTTTCGTGCCTGGGGAGGGCCATGAGGTTGATGAACTGCTCGCCGAGGCGGAGCATGCGGTCGACGTCGCGGCCCTTGAACTCGGCCTGCTGGGCGCGCAGGTGCAGCTCGAAGAAGATCTTCTGCACCAGGCTGGGCGACTTGAGGGAGAAACCCGAGTCCTTGGCCTTGGCGGTCTCGAGCACGGCGCCCAGCGCGTCGTGCATGCCCGCGCGCCGCACCACCATCTCCAGGTTCAGCTTGCGGTTCACGTGGTGCAGCGCCGTCAGGAACGGCCGCAGGTTCTGCCAGTCCGCCGACGTCTCCATCATGTGGATCAGCCGGTTGGCTTCCGTGTTCCGCGGCTGCGCCGTGTAGTCCATCGGCCGCAGCCGGTACTCGTCCTTCTCGCCCACCGTCACCGTCACCGGGTTCTCCTTCAACGTCGCCTGGTGTTTCTTCCGGTAGATCAGGAGCTTCTGCTGCTGCGACAGGTTGAGCGGGATGAACACCTCATTGCGAAATCGCTGCAGCCCGGAGAATAGCTTCTTGTTCGAATCGGTCTTCTGGAATTGGGGCACTGCACATCCCGGATGGGGAAAACCTGTTAGCTAGGACCTTTCTCGTTGATAACAAGGCGAATGCCCCCCTTGGCATCCTTAATCAGGGGCAGACAGAGGAGACGGGACTGCAGTACCCTTGTTTGAATAAGTGCGCTTCTGTGTGCAAGAGCCAATGCTCTGACCGAGAGTGCGTGTATTCTGGCAACGCAACAGCGTGCCCACGGCGAGTTGCGCCATGTTGTGAGCAATGTACCCAGACGGGGGAGAATAACACCGTTCGCAACGACCGAAATCGACTCCAAGCAACTGAGACCCAAATCAGAATCCCCAGAGCTTCTAAAACACAATCTCAACCAAATCAATCAGTAACAGAACCGGGACCAGTTGCATGCAATTCACCCTGCAACAGAAAGGCACGGCGGCAGAAAAGTTCCCCGGGGCCCGAAGATCGAATCTCGGGGCGGTGAAGGGAAATTCTGCCGGTGCCCCCAATTCCTTCAACTGTTTCCCGCTTGGGGAACTTTTTGTTCAGCCTATTCGACCTTCTGTTTCAGCAGCAAAGCGAAAGGTCGGCACAATCTCGCCATGGCGAACTCCTCCTCGATCCTGCAGCAGTTGGGATGCGTCCGGTCGCTCTTCACGACGACGACGTCCCGGTCCACCACGCTGCAGACACCCATGGTCGGCCGCCGCATGCTCAGCACAGTCTACTCCGCCAAACCGGACCCAATCCCTTTCCCCAAAGGCTTGCCCGACCAATTCTACTCGCAAATACCGAAACGCATGCGCCCTGATCTTGGTACGTTGCTAGCCTCGAACTTCCCCATCAGACTCCCTCCTCTCCCCGCCTCCCCAGATCCACGCAAACCTACAACCACCACCACCACAACCAGCCCATCTAACATACTCTGAACCAAAACCATAGCCCCAAAGAAACTCAAGATCGTCCCCCCACCACCCGCACCGCAATGCAAGGACGCCGTGGCAGCCGTGACCCAGGCGCAGCTGAAGACGCTGGACCCAAGCGGCAAGCGGATGCGGCTCTTCGACTACCGGCGGTACGCGCGCAGCGTCAAGCCGGGCGACATCATCCGCGTGACGTTCAAGAACGGCGACCCGTTCGCGGGGCTGGTGCTGAGCATCAAGCTGCGCGGCGCGGACACCTCGGTGCTGCTCCGCAACCAGCTCACGCGCGTCGGCGTCGAGATGTCCGTGAAGGTGTTCAGTCCCAACGTTGAGAGCGTGGAGATCGTCCAGCGTTCTGAGAAGCGGAAGCGTCGTGCTAGGTTGTATTATATGAGGTGCGTATTCATTTTCTTCCGCGGTGGTGGTGGAGTGTGTGCAGTCTGGGTCTTTCTTCTTTGGATGTGTGCTAATATACTTTTTTTTTCTTTGGAACAGACAGCCTAGACATGATATGGGTAGCGTGGAGAACTTGGTCACCAACTATCTCAGACAGAAGAGAGCGCTTGCTGGAAAGAAGGATCGCGGTAACAAGAAGCGGTGATCGGACTTGGGTTTTTCGGGGCGATTGTATTTTTATGTTAACTAGCATTTGTATATTGGATCTTAGGTCCGGGTGTTCATTTCTGTCTTACTTTCTCTCTCACTTTACGGAATGCAGTCAAATCGAAAAGATCTGGGATTGCGTCTTTGGATGTCTTGTCTTGGTACGGCGGCTCGAAGTGGGCTCTTACCTATTGACCTCTGTAACAATACTCAAAGCCAGGCTAATACGGGAAGCTTGAGTTGGTTTGTGCAGGTTGTTCACAATATTGAACAGAAGGCACAAATGGCCTTATCCGAGTATTACGTCTCTAAGCCGAGTCTACGTTTAACCTCTCTTCATCTAATATATGTACCGAAAGCTGTTCCAGATCAGCAATTGCAAACATGGTAGCATAAACACCAAAACTTGAGAACTTCCAAAAAAATAGCCAGGGATATGGAAAGAAGACATACTTCATATTCTCCCTGTCCGTCAAGTCCAAGAAAGCAGTAGAGTCCAGGTCTCTACCCTCCAAGCCTCCCTCAGTCTGCGACTGGATCCGATCGCGTCTTTGGTTCTCCCATCGAAGCAGGAAACCGAGCACGGAGATCAGGACGACTTCCAGTAGATGACAGACTATCATAGACCAGATCCCGAGCTCGTACGTTGGGCTATCGTATCTCATTAGTAAGACATTCTCGCTGCAGGTTTGCGAACAGGTTGACTCACGCTTGATGTGTCTTGTAAAAGAACGGGCCTGCGATGTTCCCGGTGCAGTAGCCCAGAAAGAGCACGGCGTTCGTGACGACTTTCTTGGTATGGCCTGCAAGAAGTCAATTAGTTGCTCGATCCCTGAAGGCTGCGAAGGAAAGCATTGAATAGGTAGCAGACGTACCTGCTGTGTTGGCAATCTGCATGCTGAGAATCAGGACGAAGGCTGCATTGTATGGACCGGTCAGATAGTAGCAGATCAGACGGCCGACTTTCTGGTCTTGGGGCACAAAACGAAGACCAAATGCTCCAGCTATGTTGGTAACAGGAAGATCACAATGAATAGGCAGCGCCGGTTCTCGAATCGGTCGTTGAGGTATACACAGGCCAGAATGGAAATCGCTATCAGGACTCCGTAGGGAATCTAGGAGTTCAGTAAGATACCCATTTGATTCATAAAGATGGCATTGTACACACCTGCATCAGAGTTGTTACGAGAGTCGAGAATCCAAAGCCCTTGATGATGAGAGTGCCAAAGTTGGAGATCCCGCCATTGGGTATGTTGCCTGTTCGGATTTAATCGTCAGTCAGGATTCAACAACAAATGTCAGAAGTCCCCACAGACTAGACCCAAGGTGAAAAAGATGTAGAGTTTGTAGTCCAGGAAAGCCTCTCGAATCTGGTGTAATATGATATGCTTGTTTTCAACACCAGTCTGGTTTTCTCTTAGTCGCTCTACTGCAATACGTCGCTCTCGCTTGCTGAGAAGAGGCGCTGTCACAGGCGAGTCAGGCAGAAAAATGAACATCACGATACCCCAAGCTGAGCAAAGACAGCCGCTAAGATTCAAAACTCTGGTCAGCATATGCAGTATAAAGTCAGCAGCAACTACGAGCAGTCGTCTCTTACATCACAATGAACTCGTATTTCCATGAAGGAAGAGCGCCTCTGATGTGACCGATTCCGTATCCCAGTAGGCCACCAAGTGCAATTCCTAAGCCGTTGGCCGTATACCATAATCCGATCCGCACCGGCTGCTCTCGCCTCGTGTACCACATGCTTGTTATGAGCATAAAAGCCGGGTCCGCGCAAGCTTCAGCTGCACCTCCTAGAGCTCGTAAGACAGCCAAAGTGGCAAAACTGTGACAGGCTGCTTGAATGATGAGGAAGACACCCCTAATACAAGACGTTAGTCGCACAGCGGGACAAGAGGAAACATTCATCATACCACATGAAGATGTTGACACCAAGGTATTTTCCTGTATATCAAAATCAGTCTCGCCCTATCTAAACGATAAAGGAGCATGTTACCTATAGGTAGGCGTTGCATAAGGAAATTGGTAGGCTTGCCAGACATCAGCGAATGCAATCGAATTCCGAGGGAGGTTCAATCTCACAAATGCCCATGCGAGAAACCCAAAGTAAAATACACTGGAAAGCCAACTATACTGTGTCCCATGAAGATGGAGATCCTCCTGTATACCGAAGATCGCAGCATAACTGAGCGTAGTCTGGAGGTTGCAGAAGTATGCAGTCAGCGGATGTCGTCACAATGGAACATCAGTGAGACCTGCCCACCTTGTCGATGTAGAAAAAAGCATAGCAAACAGCCAGATAAGGAAGGATCATCAAGTCAATCTTCCAAAGCAGCTTTTTTGCCTCCACTGGGTCAATGTCTTCATGAAGAGCATCCGGATCATTGAAGAGAGCCATCGCAGTGTCTCCATCGGGCTGCCTCCCCGGCTTCCACCCTGACTCGACATGATCCTCATCATGTGTCTCTGATGCTATATCAGCTATGTGTTCCGCATGCACGCTGCTCGGTTCGGCCTGAGCTTTACTGCCCATGTTGGATTCCGCCTTTTTCGCTGTCGTGTTGATTGGAAAGAGACATACGATGACAATTGAGATGTGGCGGAGGGAGGTGGAGAGACAGTCGAGAGTCTATTTAGGAGCCTGTGATATATTTCCGTACCACGCCCAGAGCTACTGTGAGCTCCAGCCTCCCGTCTCTCAAACCTTGATCTGGAGGTGATCTTGCTATCCTGAGGCGACATCCTGTGGTGATTGGGTGGTTAATTATTGGACGTGGGGGTATAAGTCATGTCAGTCATGCGAAGTCACCCTCTCTTCAGCTTGTCATCCAATATGAGTGAAGCTGGTACACCAGACATCATGCGTAAGTTCACTGCTCGGTCATTCTCCGTCTGGAGTATCACTGATAGTGTTCCAGTTGCATGATCCTGATACGTGGAAAATAGATCTCGGAGTAAAGGCGAGCATGGCATGATGATGATGCATTGATTAAGGTTTGCGAAGGCAGTCAATTCTGGTGAAGAGAGAGAAGGTCTGTGTCTTGGTATCCTTCAGACAGTGAATGATCGAAAAAAGCGGAGAAGTGGAGATGAAAGACCCCGCGCGGGGGTTGGGAAGAATCCGGGGTAACTCCAGCCCGACAGGACAGGTGCCTTACCCCCGAGCCCTCCTCTATCGTGGAGTATAAATAGGGTCCAGCCATGCTAGTGTCCAACAGACTGCTCAGAGGCGGCGGTCTCTTTGGGCTTGAATAGAGTTATCTTGTTAAGTTTTGTCTTCCTGTGGCATTGTCCACAGATGCCAGTGTAGGTCGAGAGGCAAGACTTATGGTCATGATTATATGTTGACCAGCCGAGAGAAAGGCAAGGAACAGGCCAGTTAGACAATGCCATGGTATACAGTTGAGAGTGAATATTGAGCTACAACAAGTTTCGCGCTGTGCTCAAGATAGATTAAGTTGTATCACAAGGCTCTCGAGTAGGGATGGACACGTGATTGGCCCGATTCATTGTGGGAGGCTTCTGCGATGATATGAACTAACCTAGGGAAATGGTTGTCACGAAGGACGTACATGATGAGTACCGGAACCTGGTCCTATGGCTATTGCAAGGTTATCATCTAGCTACTTGAATGGCAATTTGTCACCTGCAGCATCTGGGATTTCTTTCAGACTATCTCCAGGAGAGGGGCGCGGTTGAGGATAGGCAATCGACATTCAAAGTCTTGCTGCTTGCAGGTGATAAGTTCGCTGTTACTTTAAAGCAATTGGGGATGAACGCATTCGTTCAAATGTGTCATTCCACTGAATCAAGTAATCTGGCATGAGATTATCGTATCATCTCACAGCCACACTCGACAAGCTTGAATAGTCGAATTGGGACTTGAAGTCCTGGGAAGTGCCTATGTTTAGTCACATTCCTCTGGCTGTAGATTGAGGTGACAAGATCTGAATAGATTGTCCCAACTGATTCTAGTCAGAAGTCCACGGGCAGATCCTGTAGCCCGAGATACATCTATCCATGCTAAGAGGAGGGAACTGATCGCCAAGTACGGACTACCTTGAGCTCGCCTGAAGACTAGCCTGGGATTGGCTACTCGCAGCTATTGACTTTCTTCGATCAGTGTTGATCGAGCCACGATCCACAACATGGAGGTGGACCATGTGTCCTGCAGTCCGATATGCCACATTGATGCATGTGCCTCGTGGGAAGTGTTTGTTGCTATGACTCATGAGTGCTCATGCACCCGACCTGGTTGCTCATATGCAATCCAAGGCTCATTCCCGTGAAGCAGGATGAAGAGTGATTCGATTCCCAAATGCGCGCTGAGCGGAATCGTCCAAGCCACAGTCCATGAGCTACAGCAGTGCGGACGAAGTAGCCGCCAACCAGAACGAACTCCAGAGCTGTGAGGTTGAATTGAGCACGCTTAGTCATTGCATAGATGATAACTAATTGCACTTATTCATGCTTAAAATCTGGGTAGGTGGTTGGAAAGTTCTGCGCGTGTCAAGCGCGGAGTTGCGCAGCACAGGGTTCCAACACTCAGGCGGAGCACGTTCTGCTCAATTGACACTCTCGAGAGAATGAGACTGATGAATTGTACGTTCTGGGACGAATAGACCGAAGGGCCGTGATGAAGCCAAAAGTGACAACCTCAAAGTTGTGATATGCGCATTTCATATCTGAAACCAGCAGACACAGCGTCGAAACATGGTTGTAGCATTCGGGTGTTGAGACACAGTAATTCTTGGCGGTTCTGTTCCAGGTAGTCAAGAAGAGTGTGGGATTAAAGCAGCATCTGTAAGGAGAGAATGATGAATCTAAGCATTGGTCAGTAGTACGGAACTGTACTTTGCAACGCAACTGGTGGTTAGGAAGGTTCATTCCGATCAAAAAGAATAGAGTCAATTCCTTCCAGTTCCTCACACTCAGTTCTGTAACCGGGTGCGGATCGCAGGGGCTAAACTTCCCCCCATTTTCTTTCTCCCCACCGTTTGAGAAAAAGACGGCCAAGTCCGCCCCAGCGCGAGCCATTCATTCCCCCCAAGCGCCCCTACTGCACCGTCAGCCTAAGCCCCGCCTAGCGGCATGCATTTCGGAGCTCTGCCATCCGCTCGCTCCCTTCAATACCCGAGGGTCAAAACGGTTCGAGCGATAACTGGTCACACACCGACTTTCGTCGTTTGTTCACCAGCCCGTCCATCCCATCTGCTAGTCTCCTGTAGTCTACTGTAGTCTCCTGTACCCCGGCTGCAGGCTTGCATCCGGTGTGCGGGTGGAGTGGACCACAATTGGCCAAAGGCGCCGTCATGGGCCTGCAGATCGAAAGAATAGGTGATGGGTGGTGGGATTCTCACATGCTCCGATACAACCACCAAGTCAGTGAGGGGATTCAGGGACTTGAAATGTCTGAGCCTCTGAGGAAAAGGAATGATCACGATCCTTCGCCGTGCTTGATCACGGCTAGTCCAGTGCGATTGATTTTCTAGGTAGGGATCCGGCTCGCCTCGTTTCAAGCCATTGGCTAAGTGCCGTTGTATTGCTGCATTAGTGCAAATGCTAGCTAGGCATGGTCGTTTTGATATGGACGTCCATGCAACATGAATGTCTAACAGCTGCTGCGGAGTAACATTGGGTGCGATCGAATTGTTTGTAGTCTTCGGCGGGCTATCTAGGGCATTGAAGTGATATGGCAAAGAGGCAGTGCTCGCAGCATAATATCAATTGGTATCGCTCCGAGGGTTGGTAGACCTCTATTGAGTTGTGAATAGAAGCTGCGGAGAGACGATAAGGCTGGTAATTGACAGCCGAAGGAAGAATCCCTGTTGTTCCGAAGCTCTGATGAAACTACCAAGCACCACAAAATGTGCTTGGTGGGATTGTATTAAGTATAGGTGCATTTTTGCCTCATAAGTTAAGCGTTACGCGCCCATTACGTGACGGATTCTTTAAGAATCTTGCACAATTGACGAAATGATGTCGATGTCTCCCGCTTAGCAGAGGTAATTCTCTATACTCCGTACATATATATCTGGAAGAAAACTCCCAAGTGCGAATGACACGCGATCGAAGATCCGACTAGATTGTCGAACCAATTTTTGGATGTATAATACACTGGCAGTTAACGACCGCATTGTTCCGCACCAACAATGAAAATCGCAGCAGACCGAACTGCGATGGACTCTGTCCTGTCTTCGAGAAGACTAATGCGATCAACCATGGAACCATTGGGTGACCCAGAAATGTCCTCAAGGTAACAAGACCGGCACTGGACATGTCGTCATGTTCAAAGGGTTACAGAGGGCCATAAAAGCAGAATCCGCCACGCAGATCCGAAGATCTCTGACGTGGGGGGAGGGGAGGGGGGGGGTTCAGCCATTGGACTTGGTGCCCTTTCATGCGTTCTTAAAGCTGGGGTTTCGGGGGGAGACGAGAAAATTCTTTTTCTCCCCGCATTATGCGCGAAGAATAAGGGAAAGACACCTAAAGGAACGTGCTGGTGACTATTGGACAAGCTAAGTAAGTAGAAACTATGGTGGTTTCAAGGGGGGTTGAAGGGGAAGGTGAAAAGGCTACGTATTTTCGAATGGAAGACAGAGATCCGATCGCAAAGGATGGTTCTCATTGTGGAGGACTAATGATGAATGCACTGAATCATCAAGAGGAAGGGAATTGAATGCAGAGGGGGGGAGAGAATTGGTCTGAGACCGACCCAGCCTAGCAGCCGGAAAACCCCAGGTATCGTCACCAGCCAGCCTGGAGCCCTTCTGAAAAGTCCCCCTGCCCGGGAAGCCGTGTGGGAAACCACTAAGGAAAGTGACGTAATGACCAAAATAGGTGTAACTTCCCCCCCGAGGCTGCCACATTCAACTCACTCACTCACCTCACTGATTGCAGTGACTGCAGTGACTGCACTGACTATGAGCCGCAGCGGCGAGTCTTTCCTTCAAGTGGTCCAACCCTGTCTCTGCCAACTCTGACTAAGGCTAATAATACTAATGCCCATGCGGGAGAACCACCATAACTATTTCCTAAGTATTCATTTCTAAAGTGAAAATGCATCTGATGTAAAACATGCAACATTGGAAATAAAACAGAAAGCCACTATGTATATTATACGGCTAGAAGGACTGTTGGTCTATTGCTCCAAATGGCACCCGGTTCTTTTCCCCCTCCCTCTCCAGGCGATTGCATGCACCTTTAAGGGGAGAGAGGGGGGCCGACGGCCTTTCGTAGGGGAGTTTAACACCCACAATCGAGGGAATCGACCCACTGCTGGCCAATTCTGGATAAGACGAAAAGTGGGTAGTGGCCATCCTCAGAAGTGGGACGCCAGCCTTTATAATAATAAGTAATGTCGACTGACCCTCCATTCCGCTGGGAAAACGTCAACGCTCGAAATACATAAGCAAGGAACCAGCTGGGAAGCCCACCTCTAGGATCCCTTTCCCTTCTTGATAAATCTGTCTTCCCCCCATCGTCCGCCAACCTGCACAGCTCTTTTATACTATCTCGGATACTACCACCACTGTTACCATCTCCATCACCAAAACCACTAGCACCACCACCACCACCACCTCTTCTCCTTCCCCAGATTAACCGCCACTCGCCTCGTTCACCATGTCTCGAACTAAGGTTCTGCTCGTCGGAGCAGCAGGTGAAACTGGTGGCTCCATTGCAAATGGCTTGCTAGAACAGCCCAACTTCGTATGTAGCCCATTTTTGTTATCTTGCTTACCTTGCCGACCATCGATCTAATCGGGTTCCCTTCGCCTGTACAGGAAGTTCATGCACTTGTTCGCCCTCGCTCGGTCCAGAAGCCCGCCATCGTTGCCCTGCAAGAGCGGGGTGTTCAGATTCGCAAAGGTGACCTCAAGGGACCCGAGGAATCGCTCACCGACGTTCTCACCGGAATCGATGTCGTCATCAGCTGTGTTGGCCCGTCCGAACAACAGGATCAGATCCCCCTAGCCAAAGCCGCGAAAAATGCCGGTGTTCAGCGATTTGTTCCCTGCGGTTTCATCACAGTGGCTCCTCCTGGTGGCATCATGTGGCTGAGAGACGAGGTATGATACAGCAGTCCATCTGGTTCTTCCAAATCTTGCGTTCCGGACTAATCTGTTCCACAGAAAGAGACGGTCTACAATCACATCAAGCAGCTCAGACTTCCCTACACCATCATCGATGTCGGCTGGTGGTACCAGTTCTCCTACCCCCGCCTTGAGTCTGGTCGCATCGACTATGCCATGACCTCCGCCAACAACGAGATCGTCGCTGACGGCAACACCCCCATCGCGTTGACGGACTTGAGGGATATCGGTCGCTATGTCGCCAAGATCATTGTCGATGACCGCACACTGAACAAGATGGTTATGGCATACAACGAGGTCAAAACTCAAAACCAGATCTACGATCTCCTCGAAGAAATCAGTGAAGAGAAGATCCAAAGGAATTACGTAGGTGGTCTTGGCATTTACTCGGCCACAACACAGACTAACTCAATAATCGCTGCAGATCCCCGAGGAAACCATCTACACCAGAGTGCTCGCAGCCCGTCAATCTAGTGAAACATACCCCTTCGATCCCGTCAAGTTCATCCCCAGATATCTCGCCGAATACCAGCTGTCCTGGGGTTTGCGGGGTGACAACACACCGGAATATGCCCAATACCTGGGTTATGTGACCTCCAAGGAACTGTACCCTGACTTCACGCCTACTGACTTCAAGGAATACCTTGAGACGGTTGTCAGGGGTGCAGCCAAGGGCGTGTATACCGATCGTACCATTTCCAAGGCTCAGCAGCGCTTCTTCCCTCGATCCGAGTCCAGTGATTCTCTTTACACTCGCATTTTCCCTCGCACCGAATCGAGCGACTCTTTGTACATGTCTCGTTGAAAAACAAGACCTGTTCACTATTAGAAAGAAACACGATCCCGCGCTAGATGCGCCTTTACCTTCCTGGTACTCCGATCATGATTCACTATCCGGTGCCACCTATCCGGTGCTCATCACACTACGCGACGGCAGCCCTTACCCTTTTCTTGCTTCTCTTGCTTCTGCCTTCTTAGGGTATTTTTCTATTCCCGGGTTTCTAGACAGGCGTTCGTGTATCTATTGATGGCTTATGACTGTCTTGAGTGGAGGGTTTGGTTACGTCACCACTCACGTTTATATACCAATGTACTTTGGGGATTTTTCAAAATCGCCCAGTGTCGGTGACAGGTCTCACGGTCACTGGAAAGATAAAATCAATTTTCTTTTCATCATGGTCCCATCTTGTATTCGAACCGACCAACGTAATTAATGCTCGGTTAGGTGACTACTGACGGCAACCTTGGAGTGCTCCTTCTATTCAGGAAACTACACCAACCACGTGACTCCAACATAGCTCTTTCCGGTCCGGACGACACCGCGGATGCCAGTTGTTTGACAGCCAGAGAGCTATGGGGCATTTCCAGATCACGGTCTAGATCACGGCATTGTATCCTCCGCGGAGGCGACACACTTGCTATGGGTAGCAATGGCCGAGGAAGTTTGCGACAACGATCGAGATTGTGGCAGTGCCCCAACCACGAGCGATAACAACATCTCTTCTAGCCAGCCTTCTATCCCTCAGCGCATACGGCCATTCATCCCAGTGTATGGAGCCTTAACCCCACGCCAAGTCAATATTCTAGGTGCGCTCTCTTTGAAAAAACCAGCGTGTATGCCTTACTCATATTGGCCACAGCGATTGGAGGAGCGATCAATACTGGTCTTATGATTTGTGCCGGTCACGCGCTTTTACTGTAAGAGCATTGACTTCTTGTTCCGCATTTGGCTCGATACTAACCGGGGACAATAGCGCTGGAGTGAGTACTCTACAATGTCTGATCGATCAACACTGACCACAAAAGCCTGCGTCCATCTTAATTTCCTACACATGTGTAGGGATAATCGTCTACTTAGTTCTGTGTGCTCTGGGTGAAGTCGCATCTTGGTCCCCTGAGCCATCAATGGCCGAGAATGCGTCCCGGTTCTGTGATCCGGCGCTCGGGTTCACACTAGGCTGGATGTGAGTCGTCAGACTTGAGACATTGGTTCTCATGTATGGATACGGTCTAATCATGACAGTTATTGGTTGAAATTCATGGTTGTGATCCCCAACCAATTCGCAGCCGGGGAGTTGCTGATAGCGTTTTGGCAAGGTGATGAGAAGGTATACTCTATCTTCTGGATCACCTTCTTCCTCACAATGATCATCGTCGCCAATTCGAGATGCAGTCAGTATTTCGATAGGTACGAACTCCTTTTGTCCTCCGTGAAGATCATCGTGATGTTCGGACTGGTTTGTCTGTGTGTCGTTCTGGCATGCGGCGGTGGCCCCGATCATGATAAGAAAGGATTCCGCTACTGGAGCTATCCAGGAGCATTTGCTCAACACTCGGGCAGAGAGGCTATGGGCATATTGCGCGCAATTGTCCGAACTGTCCCTTCTGCTACGCTGGCCTACCTCGGAAGTGAGCTTATGGGAATAACTATACTACGCACACACAACCCTCGAGAGGTTGCGGGGCAAGCTATTGAGTCTAATTGCTACCGCATCTTGGCCTTTAACATTGTCAACGTTGCTCTCTTAGGGATACTTGTTCCTTCCGGTACGCGCGTCATGGCCTTCAGTCAGCCGTCCTACAGGCCCCGCCCGGCATCAGCTTTTGTGGCGATTGCACAATATACTGGATGGCCGAAGTTACCGCATATATTGAATGCCTTTCTCCTGGTCTGTGTCATCTCGGCTGCTAATCAAGCCCTCTACATGGCGACAAGAACGCTATATGAGCTTGCTATAGACCAGCATGCCCCTTCCTTCCTTTGTCGGACCAATGGTCGAGGAATACCGATATACGCCTTGGGTATATGCGCTCTTATAGGTTGTACGGCGTATCTAAACTGCTTCAGCCGCTCTCAGAAGCTGTTCAACAACCATGTTAACTTGGTTTCGATGTTTAGCATACTTACATGGGGCTCCATTTTGGTGGTTCATATCTCATTTGTGCGAGTCCGGAAAGTTCAGAAGATTGCCGACGATGATCTCGTCTTCAAGGCTCCGTTTGGTGTGCTCGGATCGTGGGTCGCACTGCTGGCCTGTGTCTTCATCTCAATCATTCGTGTGTTTGATCTTACGAACCGTGATGCTTTTCCAAAAGGATTTGATTATGCGGCATTTGTCACTTCTTACGTGTGGATCCCACTCTATGCAATTCTTGCCGTTGGTTACAAGCTCGCTACTAGGACCCATTCGGTGCAACCTGAGAGCGTGGATATGAGGACCACCAAAGCCGCACAGAACTCGTTAGATGCTGGTTGCACTCCTGCAGCGCCCGGCGCACCTATTCAGGCTTATCCAGAATCAGCCCGCATGCGTCGAAGTATGATTTCGTGGTTGCTGTGACTGGGGCCCCACATAACAATAACAGCTGACTGGGCAAGAGTGATCAGAATCCGGGCAGTAATTGTTTGAGCATGATTGTACAGTACAGTTTGCGGCTCGGGAGCACTTCTGCGCTATAAAAGCTTCATTGTTGCGCTAGGTAACTTAATTCGTGTTTATGTAATCCAATTAAGAGAACCTCAATTGTCCTAGAATCAGTATGATATGATGTTGGGTTAACAGCGGAGTATAGAATTGGAACATGTCGCATACGCAAGCCACCTTGCGGGGTTTGCTTGTCTATGGACAACATGTGTCCTGTATTATGAAGAAGGCAGGTCCAAGGAAGATAGATAGCAAGCTAGGGAACCAGATACTTAGCTGATATTGTAGCTCAAAAGTAGATAGTGTCGAGGCGATCGGCGTCAAGAGTCAAGAGTAAGTTGCCGATGTGATTCGCCCGAGAGGGGCAAATGGAGGGGAGGTGTCAAGCTTTAGCGTCAAACACACCACTATCTTCTGCCTGCAACTTCACCATCCCAGCCACTACCCCTCTCTTCTTTCCCCTTCACACCTCCCTGGCTCCAATTCTTCTCAGGACGCTATTTTGTGTCATACCCCTCTCAATGTTGGCACTGACATTGAGCTGATCAAAAGGGATAATTGAGCAAAGAGCCTGGCGCAGGTCGTCTACTCGTTTGTTTACAATACCCTGGATCAGTGATCATCAGAGAAGACAAAACTCCCGGTCGATGCACCCCGCCAATCGTTAGCCCCAAACTCGCTGGACACCAAACTGTACGTGTGCAGGTCATTCTTGTATTCGACTTCAAGAGATGAGCCTCCCCACTACTCCAGCCCGGAGCGGGCGAGAATTGATTCAAGTGATTCACGATATCAACAAGAAATACTCGCTAGACATCCCAAACCCCCGTATCGAGTCCCCTGGAAGCGATAACAAGAGCTTGGCGTGGAGATGTTATTATGCTATCAAGCAGCTCTACTTTCGCCATGCCCCCTTGTATCGGGTTCTTGAGAACTTCGACGAGTGGGTCTCGTCACGATCAATAACTCAGGCCAGTACACATTCAGGTTATGCTCCCAATGCAGTCTTGAATTCGGCTGGGCAACGGTCGTTGATGGGAAAAGAGCATGAGCGGGAAGAGCGGCTGGGATACTTGTTCAGACTGCTTGACGACGAGGTTTATTTTCTGAGAGAAGGCTCATTCCCGGCGAACAAGCCCATCGATCACCCTTCGACGGAGCCTGAGCACAAAGGCATCACGCCTAGATTTCTGAAGAGGAGGCTCTCTGCAGACGAGGATGAGTTCCACACCGCACCGAGTTCGCCTGTCAAAGCTCCTGCAAGATCAGTTTCCCCGATGGAGACAGAATCTCAGGCCCCTGAGGAGCGGCGGTCAACAACTGCGACTGTTCCTATTAACCTCTTCCAGAGTCCCAACCGCCCTGAGCCGGAGAAAAAACATTCCGGGTTGGTGGATAGAATGCTTGCTCCTCAGATATACCGAAAATATGATGCTGTCCCTGCTGCGCAGAGCGACGCAGACCCCAGCTTCGCAACAACTATTACTTCTGAATCTGACTTTTTCGCTACTCGGAACAATTCGTATAACATTTCCTTCATCACGACGATCACCGAGCCCATGCCGGAGAATGAGTCCATGTATGAAGACTCGGTGGTAGAACATATGCTTAGTGAAGAGACCAGAGACACCTTTGAACAGCAGATCCTGGCTTCGGAGCTGGATTCAGAACCTCGCTATTTCGATGAGGAAAAGGTCATGAGAGAGCTCTTGAAGCACGGACCGTTCACGTACGAACAGACTTCTCCACGCTCGGTCCCACTTCGCTATCGATATGAGCTAGAAAGAACAGGAAGAGCCTGGGGTGTACCCTTGAGTCGCATGCTGGTCGGTGGCACCATCCCATTCAAATCTCTGGACGACTATTGGCACTGGATTGCGAGCCATAATCAACGCAATGGAAAGCCACTCCCGGAGAAGCCAACTCGCAAGGCCTGGGAAGCCGCCACTGGCGATTTCAAGACGGACAAGCATTCAGAAGTAGTTGTTTTGACAGGGGATATGGAGTGGTGCACTGAGTCTGAGAACGGTGTCTTGAAATTGAGTTTTCATCCTCTGAAGACAGAACGAACCTGCCGCTTTCACCGACGCTTTGGCTCAGATCGCTTTCTCAGTTTGACGATGCCTGCCCCGGCGCGGCCGCCACCCCATCTCCGGGTGGCCTCGCAGTCTACTACTGACTTGCAAGAAATCTTAGCTCTCTGGTTAACGCATAATGTGCACCGGTGCCTGGGTAGGGAATGGCGGCCCTTTTTTGTGGAAGAGGTCAAGTCGAAGCGTAAGGTCAAATCGGAACCAAGATTCCGAGTGGATTTCTTCGCTGTTGATGGCATCGATTTCGATCATAGCGTGAGCATACCAGCATCCCTACCTTCCCCAAATCAGAACAGTACGAACCGGACTAAGATGAGCGTGGACGACCTCATTGAATGGCATATGCCTTGGAAAGCGAATATCGGTCAGTCAAATTGCAAACTTTTCCAGAGATTATCCTTAGGCCTTTCCAAAACCTACGCAACGGTGGTGATGAGGCCATCGCAGATTCTGGCACTGCCAGATGCCCCAGGCCGTCCCGTCATGAATGATGGATGTGCTCTCATGTCAAGAGCAATGGCAAGCTGTATCTGTGATATGTTGGGAATCACAGGAGATACCCCTAGTGCATTTCAGGGTCGGTTTGCCGGAGCTAAAGGGTTGTGGATGGTGGACCGACATCAGTCGCAACTATCTGCGGAGTGTGGCGACGACATTTGGATCCAGATTTCTGACTCACAGCTGAAGATTCAGCCACATCCTCAAACCTGGAAAGGTCCCGTGGACAATGAGCAATTGACCTTCGAGGTTGTGAAGTGGTCCAAGCCGTTGCACTCCGTTAATTTGAATATTCAACTCCTGGCCATCCTCCAGCAAGGCGGACATGTGAGGGACCATATCGCCGATCTCACTCGACACGGTATTCAGGCGGTGTACAAGGACTTTGTGGAGGTACTTGAGTCTGATAGTCCGGTCCTCTGTCGCAGCCTCATTCAGAAGATCCGGCCTTCGGCGGATGACAAGCCGGGGTTGATGTCACACAAGGTCAAGCGCCTAGAAAGGTGGACGGCAAACGATGCAGAATTCATCATCCGACTCACTGAAGCTGGATTTGCACCTCGAAGCTTCTTTCCCCTTCGTAAGCGCCTGGGGAAAGTTCTCAAAGACGTGTTGGAGCGATATGAAGAAGAATTGCATATAGAAGTCCCTCTTTCGACGTATGCTTTTTGCATCGCAGATCCTTACGGTATACTCAAAGAAGACGAGGTGCACTTTGGATTCTCCACCAATTGGCGCGATGGTCAGGGTCAATTCGAAGACACGTTATTAGATGGCATTGACGTCCTTGTTGGCCGACTTCCAGCTCATCTTCCGTCCGATATCCAACGTCGGAGGGCTGTGTGGAGGTCAGAACTTCGCCACTTCAAGGATGTCATCGTGTTTCCTAGTGTGGGTGACGTAGCTCTAGCGCATATGCTCTCAGGCGGTGACTACGACGGGGATAGGCCATGGATCTGCTGGGACCAGAACATCGTACGCCATTTTTCCAACTCAGACCTCCCAAGCAGCCACTTTCCTCCCAACTTCTTTGGTCTTACCGAGGAATCCGTACCCATTGAAGAAATAGAATCCGTGGACGAATTCCTCCAGAGTGCGTTCACCTTCAATCTGACTCTGTCGAATCTAGGGCGCTGCACGGTAGAGCATGAGATGCTTGCCTATGATGAATCGATCAGCGCACCCAGGGCTGTTGAACTTGCTTCTCTCTTAAGCTATTTGGTGGACGGCCGTAAGGTAGGTGTGCAGCTGCCTGAGGAAGCTTGGACGCGATACCGAGCGCAAATAAGTCCTCAGCGCCGCGAGCCACCAGCGTACAAGAACCCGGGGCGGAAACCCAAGAAGGCTCACATCACCGACTTTCTTAAATTCGAAGTAGCCGGCAAGGAGCGCGAGAAGGTTCTGACACAGTTCGAAAGCCAGTTTCCTGAGAAAGAAGGTTTTTCTGAGCGAGATGAAGACCTTGTACGGGTTTACAACGAAGTCAGGCAGCAAGCCACGCAGGACAAGGAGCTAAAAACAGCATTGCAAGCTGTCAGCAACGAGCTCAGAGCATTGCACGCACAATGGACTAACTCGTTCGCAAGAAGCCAAGAGTCCTTCTCCGCCCGTGCCTTACAGATTGCGGAGGAAGCGCAAGCTCTTGAGCCTCCGTTAGGGAACCATCCCTTGTTTCTGGTTTGGCAGCACTGCCCGGCCGAGTGGCTTCGGTTCCTGGCTTCAAGCACGTATAAGCTGTACCCCAACTTCAGCTTTGTCATGCACGCCTTCGGTGAGGTTCTCTGTCAGATGAAGACGAGCAACCTGTCGGCCCGGACAGTGACACATGAGGTTCTCGCCTGTTATCGGGTAAACCAGAAGGTGATCGCGCAACTGACGGCTCGGGACACGATGGAGGAAGAAGACACCGGATCGGGCGACGACGAGTACGAAGGCCATGAGGCTATCGAAGCCATGCACCTCGGCCTGCCGTCTGCAGCAGCGGGCGGATACTACGATCCGGATGATGGAATGTCGGTGGAATGAGGGGGAGGGTTTCAGCTTGGATTGGTTTTATTCATTGGCTGGAAATGAAACTCGCGCATCTTCTTGTGTGGTACATTTTTGGTTGTCGCAAGAAGGACGCTAGATGCATGTGCGTGCCTTCCTTGGTAAACATTTCAGGTTCTTGGATAGAGTTCTCCTCCGACTATAGAGCATGAGGCTACTACTAGTACTGGGTAATTTGGACGACGATGATCTACCGTACGAGCTTCATTGATCAGCTGGCCCTGATCGGCTGAATGGTGGCTCGGATGAGTAATCGCGAGTATCAGCCTATGGGAGCGGGCTTCAATGGAAAAGGCAGGCGGTGGGACGGTGCAGATGGAATGCGGTGGGCGTCATCACATGTCAAGCTGGAAGGAAGACTTTAACTAGTGGTACGAGGCTGACTGCAAACGGCAGTTTCCACGAGCTGTCTTCGCTCTCACTACACGTCGGCTGTTCCTCCCGGGCGACACAACAAGGAGGATTGATTGACTACTGACTGAGGGATGGATGGACTTGTGACTCGGGTCAGCATGTGAACGGGGGCGAGGATTAAGGCCCAGTCAAAGTCAAGGCCTCGTTAGTTTCCCAACTCTGTGATCTATCGTTTCGTTTGCATGTGCCTGAGGCTAAAGTAGTGGATGGACTTGACTGACATAACCAGTGGACAGGTTAAGGATATGCGACAACTTAACATACAGACCACCAACTCAAATGATACTGTGCTGTGGATATTGTAGTTAGATGTCAAGTGGCTATCACAGGAGTCAGACTGAAAATATATAGGCCAGAGCGAGCCCAGTGAGGGACAACTGAGGAAAGTGAGTGAGTGAGTGAGTGAGTGCCGAAACAACCCCGTCAGTCTCGGCTCTTCTTTGGCCCGCCGCGCCTGGGTTTTTCTCTGGCTTTGCACGTGAAAGTCCCTCCAACTTGCAATCCTTCTAAGCGATTCATCATTCAATCAGTCAGTCAGTCAATCAATCAACTGCTCACTCTCTTACTCTCCTCTATCCTACTATTGCTCCCCCCCTCCCCACCACCACTTCCTCCGAACCCTCTCCTCTCTCGCCCCTCCCCCCAATTATCCGTTAGTCTCAAACCAAACGCGCCTAAGCCCACCAATTCCAGGCTCTTACTTTCATCTCGACTCATTTACCCTTTCTGGCCGTCGGAGGACAGCCATGGACCACCGTCCAACCGACGGCATCTCTGGTCCTGGCCCAAAGCCGCCCATCTCTGCCGTTCGAGACGCCACGACGCCTACCACCACCACTACGACGACGACGACGACGACGACGAAGTCAGCTCGGCCTTCTCCTTTATTAGTCTCTTCGACCGCGACTGCACCCTACTCGGCGCCTCCCGCCTCTTATTCTTCTTTCCATCAACATGTTCCTCCCCCGTCTTCTATGATGGATGTCGATCACAGTACTGCGGCCGAGGATCGCTCGCGTCGAGCCACCAGTGTCCTGTCCATGGATGATATCGAAGCCGCCCAAGCCCTGGAAGGCTTGCGCACTGGTAATAATTCTTCCCTCCCTCTCTGCCTCTTAGAAATAAGAATCAACTCTGCTGTTTTGCCGCTCCTGTTGTTTCCATTCATCTCTACTGCATGATCATTACCATGAGACAATATTGACTATGGGTCTGTGTATTGGCAATATAGAATACGGGCAATCGCCTCGAACCTCGCAAACATCCGAACAACAAAAGTCCCAGCCAGAGCCCCTCCTCTCTCTCCTGACGTCTACGCACCCCCTCATCTCCTCGGCCATCAATGGGTCTGTCTCGGCTTATACCAACTCCAAATCCTACTCCCCCCGGTTCAAGTCTGGGGCTGAGTTCATCGAGCGGAATATCGGGTCGCCTGTTGCCAAGTCCGTGGGCACCGTTGGTCGGAAGACCGGTGTGGAAAGCGGACTCCGGTGGGCGTTGCAGCGTCGGGCCTCGTCATCGGCCAACTCGGGTCGGTCGAAACGTCGGAAAGTGCATGGGCGGGAAGCCGAGCAGCAGCCCTCGGCGGACGCTGACGTGGACGTTGAGAAAGGGCCGCGGGATGATACTATGGAAAATGGTGCGGAGGGTCCTCCGCCGTATGATGATCAGAAGTCGCCCAGCTACGATGAGATTGGACGGGACAGTCCTTCGAGACAGACTCAGCCGACCTGGCAGAGTCGGTTGATGATCTCGACGTCTGGACTGGGTGTTGCGATGAGTGAGGAGTCGCTACGTAGTCTGCAGTACTGCTTAACGTGGCTGCGGTGGGCGAATGGACGGTTGGGTAAGGCTATTTTGGCGCTGCAGGGCGCGCTGAAGGAGTGGGACAGCTCGAAGCAGTCTGGCCAAGGGGGCCAGGATGCATCTTCCCAGGCGAATCTGCTGACGCAGCGGATACAGGCGGTCAAGGAAGATGTTCTGTCCACTCTGAAGAGGGTGGTGGATATCGTCTCTAAGTACGCTGGTGGAGCGCTCCCGGAGAATGCCCGGAATCTTGTCCGTCGTCATCTCACCTCCCTGCCGCATCGGTTCCAGATTGCTTCGACTTCCAACCCGCCACCGGACTCCGCGGCGGCTGCGTCCGACACCACGGTTAGCGCTCATCGGATTCTGGTGCTCGCTCAGGAAGGCCTCGACATGATGGCCCAGGTCAGTGGAGTCGTCAATGACACCCTTGTCAGTGCGGAGCACTGGTGCGAGAGACTGGGCCGTAAGCGCCCCGAGGGCAAGAATGCCGCGGAGGTTCAGCGGCCCCAGGATCACCATGAGTCCTATCTGGCTGATATCAAGCGACCGATTCATGAGAATTCCCCGCATGATGTGCCCATGTCGGGCATGGAGAAAGTGTGAGGCCGTAACTGGTCGGGGAAGTCGATAGCAGGTGCTGCCCAGTGGAAATCTGAGCAAGCATGTCATCGACGGTGATATATCAGGCAAGATGCCTACAGATTCAAATTGACAACTCCAGACAGTCACCGTTCGCTAACTAGCGGATCATCACATTCCTTGTTTGCGTGTTCCTTTGTCATGGTCAACCTTCTTGCATGTGTTGGTTCTCATTGCCTTTGCGACTGACCTTCCTTACATGATAGCGGTTTCCTTTCTGGAATGAATAAAGTATGGCGTTTCTCCTTCGATGAATTGACTGACTCATTGAACTTGCATTGTTGCGCTGTTTGCAGCACCGACCTACCTACTTACAGTCGTTGAGTCTTGGGTCCATGGCCTGTCCGACGCTCGCCTTCACTCCCGATTTCGTGTTCTTGTTCTGGCAGTTTGTGTGCGTGTGTGCTAGTGATGCTTTGGATCTTGATCTCGATATTGCTCATTCCAGTTGTATGAAGCAGAAAAAGTCTTGCCTTTCTCTTCCCTTGCGACGATGCCCTCCACCGAGATCATCTGATGAGTTCTCCAAACGACCTCCCATCCATTTCGATCTCCCGTATGAGATTCCGATCCCCACCGGCCTGCGAGCAATATAACCTCACCTTGACACTGCTCGCTGTTTTCTGGTGTTGCGCCTGCGCCAAGGCGGCCAAGCGCTGCCTTCTCCGCTCCTCCATAATGAAAGCCCACTTGATGCGCGCGTCCTCGAGTCGCCTCTGCCGACTCCGCCCGCGTTTTCTCCATAGCGCCACCTGATACACCATTAGCTGGTTCTCATCGTCGGGCCAGCCGCCCATTGCTCGTTGGGTTCGCGGTAGGGCCGCCGTGGGACTCGGAGCCGGGTAGTAAGACTGGTAGGGGCTTGAGGCGTAATACCCTCCTCCACCTCCCTTCCCGATCCCACCGCCGCCTCCGCCTCCCCCCATCATCCCATCGCGCCAATCCACCATTCCAGACTCGAGCTGCTCCAGCGCGATCTCCCCGGAATCCACCGCATGCAACCGGCGCTTCCAGCCCTTCAGCTCATAGACATCCTTCCCATCCCGGCAGACACCCAGCACGCCCCGCCGCAGCATGTAGTGCACATGGACATGGTAATCCGCGCGATACCGCGCGAAGGCGACATCCGCCGCGCTATCATGCGAAACGAAATACCGCGCCACCAGCGCCTCATATAAATGGCCCGTGGAATCCGACCCGGACGGCGGGGTGGCCGGCGGCGTGAGCTCCGCGTAGCTGATATAGCGCCCTCGTTGTTCTGCGGAATGTGTCCTTGCGGTTGTCGGAGACGCCGACCGCCATAGACGAGGATGCAAATCGACCCCATCGTTTTCGATGTCCATCTCATCCTTATCGTCGTTCCGGCGCCCATCCGCATCTGAATCGGGGAACATCTCATCCGGCGCAATCTCGAATTCTCTATCCTGTGATCGAAAGGGCATCGGAAGGGATGGATCGTAACGGCCCGCGGCTGTGTCGGCGCGGAAGGTGGATTTGGGGATGCGGTCGATGGCGCAGCTGGTGCAGGTTAGGGCTTCGTGGAGGGCGGTGGTCTGTAATGTTAGCTTTGGTTTAGGTAATTGGTGAGGGAGGTAGAAAAGGGGAACTCTACCATCTCTTCATCCTCTGCCGATGATGATGATAATGCCGATGACGGTGCTGTGATCGAAACAGACCTCGCCATTGTCGCCGGTGGAGGCGATGGTGATGGTGATGGTGTGGGCGGGAGCATTTTTGCTGCGCCGCTGTGTGTGGTGGTGAGTTTTGGGTTGTATACTGTAGAAGTATAACCACTTTGCTCAATCTCAATCTTAATTTCACTTTGAATTCAATTTCAATCAAATCAGCTCCACCTCAATTCCAGCTGCGAGAGCAGTGAGTAAATGATGTATATGAATACCGTACCGTACCCACCCCTGCTCACTTTTTGTGAAATGAGTGTTTCTGAGTTGGACGGAGTCTGAGTCGGAGTCTTGGTTCTGACTTCATTCAACTGAGTGAGTGAGTGAGTGAGTGAGTGAGTAGTCTGAGGCGTGATTCTGACTCTGTGTCGACCGAATAAGTTGAGTTGAGCTGAGTTGATTTCCCACGCTTGTGTATGCTTTGTGCTTTGTTCTGGTTGTGCGGTTGGTTGGTGTAATTGATTGTATTGGTTGGAGTATGCTTAGAGGACCTGGCGGTGGTGTTCTTTGTTCATCCATTCATTCATTTATTTTTTGAGTGGTGTTGTGTCCATTGTGATTTGTTTGATTGTTCAGCAGTGTATAGACTGTCTATTCTTGCTTGGTGTTATATTGCGAAAGATAGAATAAATCTGTGCGCTGAGTGTATAGTATGCTAGTATGGCGTAAACGAACCAAGCAAGCAGGATAAGATAAGACGGCAATCGATAGATAAACAGATATACCCACCTCAAACCCACCAACAAAATAATCAAAACAATGTAGCAGTAGCAGTTAGAAAGGAAGAGTGAGCAGTTAATAAGAACAACTGCCCTTCATCACCATTGTTATCATCAGCAGGAGCTGCCTACATAGTGGTAAATGAATCCGGTGTGCAATATCATTCATCTCGTGTCATTTCAGCCCCTAAGCAAGGTAAGGTAAAGTCATCCTCCATTCTCAGCTGCGACGATCATTGGCATTCCAGTTGATTAGTTGGATCAGTTTAGTTATGTTACGGTAGTAGTTTGGATGTTGTGCTTTGCTGTGCTGTGTGTCGGCTGGATTCGGGAGAGTCACGCTGTCTGCTAGTGGGCACCACATGATTTCATGTTTGCTTGCGCGGGTGGGGGTGGTGATGCGGTCATATGTATGTAGGCTTCCAGCCAAGTTGGCTTGGCTTGGTTCATCGCTGGGTTTGGGTTTGTTTTGGGGAATGCTGAGGTCTGGATTTTGGGGCTGGTGGTTGTGTTTGATTTGGGTTGGGGTAGTTGGGTTGGGTTGGGTTTCTGGGGGTGACGGAGTAGGTCTTTAAGAACTATACAGACCCTATACCACCCGACTTCTCGGGTAGGGATATTGGTAGTTCTGTCCGTGGATATTTGAGGGTGCGTACTATTGCTAACTAATGGAAATATGCAGGATATTTCCCGTGCCTTGTAGACATGGCAGTACAAATGCAGTGTAAGCTTATCTTCTTTCCTGCAGCAGAGGCACATTCAAGCTATATTTCAAAACCCTAACCCACAATACTCTGCTGGTTCTCGTGCCAGGATACTCCGCATAATCGTCGCCCACAACCACTCCTCAGCAGAAGCTCTCTCGCACTCGGTCTTTCCTCAGCATTTAGAACAAAGAAAATCACAGAAAAATCCTGAGCCGACACCCACGGTCCTCCAAGGGTTGTTTCGGGATCCCGTCGGCATCCGGAAACACCACGGGAGGCTATAGTTGGTAGCAACCCCGCGGCTCATGGAGCCTAACACCACTCGAATTCGTCTACTTTATACTTCTGGCATGAAAAGCTTTTCTAGCTGCGTACATCGGCCACCCTACTCTAGGACAGACAAGACAAAAGGAATCTTCGTGAGTCGCCAAATAGGGTGCACGCATGGCAACATATGAAAGCCTTTGCGGACCGCAGAGATGGTGATAAGCTGGACGCTATCGAACTCTTCGTGGTTTGCTTCTCTTGGATGAGCTTGACTTCTGGGCAATAGCATCCAGCCCGCGCGCCATCATCCTGATTCGCAATGGGTCGTACAACAGGTATGCACAGTGCACTCTTTGTCTCTGAACTTAGCGCACACTGCAGCCAAGCATGCAAACGCTGAGAGGGATCTTGCACTGCCACACGGCTTCAGGCTTCCAGCAGCTCCCAGACCAGACAGCCTGACGGCATCGGCTAAAAAGCGTTTGCTCCTCCTCTTTCTCAGCTGTGCCGGAGGCATGCAGGTGGAGAAATGCCTTGAGCCCGGAAGAAAGCATCGACGATATCGCTCTGGTCTTCCACCTCGTTACCCACTTCACTCCCATAGTCACTCTCATCACCTATGTGACTATCTTCGTCTCTTCCGGGGGTATTTGACTCGGTCCCCGTTCCGAGCGGCTTCCTCTCCACCATCCTAGGCTTCCCATGGGGCCTGAATTCAGGCACGACATGCGCCTGAGCAGCTACGTGGACCTTTCCTATGCGCTGGTGTAGGATACTGTTATCATATGATAGCCTGGAGAGCGTAACAAGCAGAATTGGAGCTTGATCCCAGTACTCTGGGTTAGGGCGGCAGGCGCTCGCGTCGAGCTTCATCGATTTCTTGTCATAAACATCTGGGAGCCCAGCTAGACCATGTAGTGTGGGCCGCCCACCGTACATCATCTCCCACTTTATCATGAGCTCACAACCTTCGCGAAGTAGGTTTGTCGGTGCCTCTCGTCTTCTTTCGGACTGGTCGGAAGTCACGGGTAGCTCTTTCAGGAGCCAGCACAAGGGCTGGCTGTCAAGCAATTCATCAGCGTAGTTGCCCAACGCTTGCTCGCGTCGATCGGCATGATACTTGCCGAATTCAAGATTCGGGGCGTCTGCATGGGTAGCGGGGTTTGCTAGCCTCTGCGTATGAAACTTCCAGAGCACCGCGTATCTGGGGTTGGCTGTGGCAGATAAGGACGGACATCAGTACATACCGCATATCCAGGGACCTGAAGGATACTCACTTTCGTAGAATCGCTTGAACAGGTATTGAAGCTTTTGAGCAAATTCTGGATCGTCCGCCTCGCCGGAGCCTTTTTTCCCATCCAAATATGCGAAAGGCTGTTCATGAAAACGCTCATAGATCGCCTTGATCACGATAAGCTGTTTAAGCATCTGGCTGAATCGCTTGACTGCCTTTGGAGGCAACAGACTTTTGAGAGCTTGACCACTCTAGCTGTACGCAGTAGTCCTTCACGCTCGCGATCAGGCCCCGGATCCGATCAGCTGGAAGGGAATTAAAGTTACTGATCGTATAGTCAGCCGCCCAGGTGCAAATAAGACATTCCAGGTAAGCTTGGGCATCATCCAGATCGTCGCCTTCGCAACTCCATCCTCCGAAGCCACACTCAAGGATTCCACTTTCGTCCGGCTCAGACTCCTCAGACGCACACTCCTCAGACGCTGACTTCTCGGGGGACGTTGTGCTCTTCTTCTGCTTCCTGTCCGGCAGGAGGGGAGATAGGAGGACTTGATATGTCTGGATCTATTTTCTTTACAGCGGCTCGGGTCCGGACCATGATGTCAGAGAGGGTAGGGGAGAAGTGTTGAACGATGAATAGAAAGTTGCTCTGCTGAAAAGCAATAGCCAGACGGAAAGTGAGAAAGCAGAGTACGTAGATGAGAAGAAGAAATTGCGAGGCTCGTCTTTGTTGGGTGAGACAGACCCCTCTCTTTGTGCGCCGGTGGAGGGGAGTCAAACCACCAGCCAGCTTGATCATAATTCATTCCATCTTGAAAGCTTCACACTTGCCAGCTTTCTTTGTTCTATTTCTCAAACTCTCCACCTCTCCATCCTTGGTTCTCATCATTATCCCTCGTCTAGCAACTTCCTCGTCAACCAGATTAGCAAATCCACATCATTCAGAGCCATGAAGCACACAGGTGACGTTGAAATTATGAGCAGACAACGCAACCCTACTAAAATCGTTGTGGGCGTCGACTTCGGCTCTACACACACCCGTGAAAACCATCCATTCCAGACCCATGGCGTTGCATATTTCCTTGTGCTTGGATGGCTTACTGGGTTGGGTCAGGTGTGGCTTGCGCTGTGTGGAGTGGCCGAGTTCCAGAAGTGTCTCAGCTCCAGCCACTTCACACTGATAATCGTGGCCAAATCCCTAGTAAGGTTGCTTATACGCCGGATGGGCAGACTCTCCGGGGATGGGCAGTCCACGGCAGGTATCCTTCCCGGCTGGATTATGCCTTATCGCCGGGTTGAGTTCAGGGTGCATTCAGGCCGATGATGTGCGACTGTGACGCGCGCTGCCCGTTACAAAAAAAAAGAAAACTGGCTGCCCAGGGGCAGGTCATTTCCAGCTTTTGTTCTAGCATAAGCTGCTACCGGTCCAGTTCTTGTTCCTCCTTTTCATATGATTTCATCTATGGCCTTCCAGAATAAAAGTAAGGAGATCGTCAAATTTGCCTCAAAGTAGGTATACCCGGAAGTCACGGCAGTCCGATTTTCACGTAAGGAAACAAAAAACATAGGAAGAACGAGAATATTCTTTCCAGTCAATCTTCCCCCGACTCAGGTATCTCACTCCCATAACCCGTAAAGTCCTCTTCACCTTCGTCAATCACATCTGGCGCGTTCCCCATCGTCAGTGGCTTCCGCACCATCTTTCTTCGCTTCCCATTAGGCATATACTCAGGCACAACCTGCGCCTGAACAATCATGTCCGTATCTCTCAACTCCAAGCCTATAATGGTGTGCTCGTATGATAGCCCTGGGCGTGAAAACAACAGGATTGGGGGAGACAGGCCCCATAACTTTGGCTTCCGCCGCGTTGCGCTCAGGTCAAGCTGCATTACTTCGCTGCGGTAGTCACCATTGAGTCGGTCAATGTCATGAATCACAGGCCGCCCACCGAACCATGCTTCCAAGTTTATCATGAATGAGCAACCCTGTCGGAATACTTCTATGAGCCGATCTCGTCTTTTGGATTCTTCATCACTCGAGTGCATCTCTTTCAACAACCAACAAAAGGGCTGACTGAGAAGCAATTCATCCGCCAGATCGCCCAGTGCTTCCTCGCGTCGCTTGGCGTGATACTGCCCAATGCTGCAGTTAGGGGCATGCAGCTTATGAGCTGGATTGGCCAGCCGCTGGGTATGGAGCTTCCAAATCGCCGCATATCTCGGCTCGGCTGTGAGATATGAAAGGTTAGTGGGCATGCGGAAGCAGAAGGAGGGGGATGAGAAACTGTAGCTCTCACATTCATACAACCGCTCAAACAAGAACTCGAGCTTCCGCCCGAAGTCCGGATCAGTCTCATCATCTGGACCTCTCTTTCCATCAAGATATAAGAATGGGTGCTCGAGGAAGCAGTCATAGAGTGTTGTAAGAATAATTAGTATTCCTAACTTCTTACTGAAGGTCCTGACTGTTTGAGGAGGGAGTAACCTCCTCAGTGTAGACCACTCCCATTGCCTACAGTACCCTTTCACACTGGCAATCAGACTGCGGATCTGATTGATCGGCAGAGAGTGGAGGTCATCGATGATATATGAAAATGCCCAGCTCAAAGCAGAGAGCTCCAGTCTGCGATGCTCCTTTTGCACTTCTTCGAGCGTATGATACCAGTGTGTGTGTGCCTATACAGTGTAATGTCAGTCACCGAGATACTCGGTCCTTCCACCTCGGATCCAGACTCCGCAGTTGATGTTGGCTCTTCAGAGGCATTGCCTTGTTCAATTTGGCTCCCGGAAGCCTCGTCTTGCCTACTGGTGGATAGTAGCGACTCTTCTGGCTTCTTCTTCTTCTTCTTCTTCTTCTTCTTCTTCTTCTTCTTCTTCTTCTTCTTCTTCTTCTTCTTCTTCTTCTTCTTCTTCTTCTTCTTCTTCT